AACATCCGTACCGCAACATCCGTACCGCAACATCCGTACCGCAACATCCGTACCGCAACATCCGTACCGCAACATCCGTACCGCAACATCCAAAATCTTATCAATTTAAAGTTTGTCACTGAATTTTCTCATTATAATCGTAATCGATCAATAAAGTAATAGATCATAGGCTTTAAAAGACCCAAGCATAATCAAATAAAAGTGTTGCATAGTGATAAAGATTTTGATTTAATTACTTTTGGCTGCAAATTTGTCATAAAATTTAATCTACAATATGTTTATTCTCTATATACTCTAAGTATATAACTACAATATTAGCTCAATGAAGAATGGTTGTTACTTTCATGCATATAAAGACGGTATGTTTAAAGTTTGACTTTCTTAATAATGATAATTTGAATAAAAATTTTTAGTGTTTTCAATTTATCAAATCAATTTATTATAAATCAGATTTCAACTGATAGTTGAGAATAAGATATTTTTCTTCTAATTCATTTATTTAAACCCTTTTTTATTTAGATTAGTTAATAGTGTTATTTTGTTTGATTCTATTTCATTATGGTAAATCAAATCTCATATATTATATCTATTAAAAACATTTAAGATAACTTGGAAATTTAATTTGTAGACTTTACGTATGTTTAGATTATTTATGTTTAAATTACAAACACTACAATCAAAATCCCAGTACTTTTAAAGGTATATATTTAAATAACAATATCATGTCTCATGATTCTGTTTCAACTAATGAAAATACTAACTTAAAAATTGACGAAGATGATGAAAATGAGAAATTGAGAAATAGATGTGAACATTTGGAGGCTTTGAGATTGAAAAAGCAACAAGCTGAACCTCCATTAGAACAGAAGCCATCAATGAAAATTTAAGATACAATTGAAGATGAAACTCAAAGAAAAAGAAAAGAAAAATTACAAGCATGGAGGAAAAAGAAGCAACAAGCACAACAATTTCCAAAAAATGTACCTTCGTCAAACTTACAACAAACTTCAACAATTAGTCATCAACTTTCAAAAGATAAAACCGCAATATCAATTTCCAAAGAAGCATCAACTGTTAGACCATTTCGACGAAAAAGAATAGAATTTGAAGGAGAAGAAAATCATTCAAATTTGAGAAAAAAACCAAAATTTGAAGTACCCAAAACTGAGAACAATGTATTAATAAAAGATACTTCAAAAACTGTGGATGAATTGGATGTTTTCATAATTCAATTAAATAACAACAACTCAAAACAAACATTAATTGAAAAAGAAGAAGTTCAAATTTATTCAGTTTCAGAAGAAGACGAAAAAGAAGAAGATTTACAAAATAGAATAGATTCAAAATTAGCCAAATTGGGAAATACCAAAATACTTAAAGAAATAGATCTGTCTAAAATCAATTATAAACCGTTTAAAAAAAATTTTTATCAGGTCCCATTTGAAATGTCACTAATGTCACATGAAGAAATAGAACTTTTAAGGTTGGAACTAGATAACATAAGAGTTAAAGGAGATAAAATTCCTATTCCTTTTACGAAATGGTCTCAACTAATACTACCTTCAAATATGATAATTGTTATAAATGAGTTAAATTTTACAAAACCATCACCCATTCAATCTCAATCCATTCCTAATGCATTATCAGGTCGTGATCTAATTGCAGTTGCAAAAATAGGTTCTGGTAAAACTTCATTTTATGTACTTCCATTGATGAGACATATTAATGCTGCTAATACTGGTCCAAGTGCATTAATTTTATGTCCAACAAGAGAATTAGCATTACAAATTGAACAAGAAGTTTTAAATTTTTTCCAAAAAAGTGGATTAAAAAATTGTTTGTTGTTATGGTGGTTTTAAAATTGAAAATCAAATTAGTGAGTTGAAAAGAGGAGTTGATATTATTGTTGCCACTCCTGGTAGAATGATTGATTTATTAGCAGCAAATAATGGAAGAGATTTATCTTTACAAAACACAACTTTTGTTGTATTGGATGAGGCAGATAGAATGTTTGATTTAGGTTTTGAACCACAAATAAATAAAATCTTATCTCAAATTAGACCTGATGGAGACAAACAGTATTGTTTTCAGCTACTTTTCCTAAAAAATTAGAGGCATTGGCTAAACATATACTAAAAGATCCCATCGAGGTAGTTGTTGGTGGTATTGGTGTTGTTGCTAAAGTAGACCAAAAAATTGTATTGCTTAATGATGGTGAAGATGAAAGAAATTATATGACATGTTATCCGCCATTAATGAGAATGATAAAGTTCTAGTGTTTGTTGAAAAACAATCAGTTGTTGATAAAATGGTTTCAAATCTTCTACTGAACAAATTTCCTTGTGTTTCAACACATGGTGGTGTGATGAGGTTAGAGTTGTTTGAGCACCAGCTTCATTAACATTAGCAGTAGAATTAATACCAGCAGTATTAGCTTGAGACATTAGTTTAGTTTAAAGTAAATTATAATATAATATATTAGTTGATTAAACAAAATTATAAAAATCTAAAAATCTAAAAATAAAAATCTTAAAAATAATTTGAGAAGCTGGGAAAATGCCAACCTATTTATAATAAAAATATTTTAATAAACTTAGTCAATAATAGACTTTAAAACTTAATAAACTTAGTCAACAAAAGACTTTAAAACTTAATAAACTTAGTCAACAATAGACTGTAAAACTTAATAAACTTAGTCAACAATAGACTGTAAAAATTAGTAATAAATAAAAATAATAATAATAATAAAAATTTAATAGTAATAAAAATTAGTCATAAGTAAAAATAAATTAATAATCAATTAGTAAAAAGATAAATCCCTCATTGTTAAATTAGTAATTGAAATACTTTAATCAGTAATCAAGGAGTGACTCATTAAATCCCTTATTGAAAAAGTACACAATATTTATTTGTATTAGTCATTTGTTTACAACTTTAATTTTATTTTGCAGCCAAATGAACTGCCTTATTGTTTAAAAAATATGACACAAAAATAAAGTTTAAAACTATTTTCTAAGATTAGTAATTATTGAGTTATAATATTTCAACAGGTGGTAAAGATCAATTGGATAGAAAATATGCTATAAAAGAATTTTCATCACCAAATAGTGGAGTAAATATATTAATTGCAACTTCAATTGCTGCAAGAGGATTAGATGTTAAAAATTTATCTTTGGTAGTAAACTTTGATCCACCAAGTCATTTAGAAGATTACGTACATCGTGTTGGTAGAACTGGTAGAGCAGGAGCAAAAGGTGAAGGAATTACGTTTGTGTTTAGACTGCAAGAAAAAGAAATCATAATATTGGTGAAAGGTTTAAAATCTAGTTTAAAAGATATACCTCCAGAGTCACTAAAAATATCTGAAGGATTTTTCAAATAAAGTTAAATCTGGTGATGTTAAAACAAATTCTGGATTTGATGGTAAAGGTTTAGATAATTTACAAGATGTTAGAGATAAAAATTAGAAAATGGAAAAAAAAATGTATGGTGAAACACTTGAAGAAGAAAAAGAAGAAGTTCCAATCAAACAACAATCACCATCTCCAATAGGATTTATATTACCTACATTTGAAATAATTAGAGGAAATTCACCAGAATCTTCAGGTCCGGATAAATGTAAATTTCATAGTAGAATTGCAATCAATGATTTACCTCAATTAGCTCCATTGAAAATAGTTCAAAGAGAAAGTTTAACAAGAATTATAGATGAAAGTAGAACTTCAATTACAACTAGAGGTAAAATTCATCAATCTGGACAACAACCAAAACCTAATGAAGAACCTAAATTATATTTACTAGTTAAAGGATTAACAAAACAATCAGTTGAAGAAGCAAATACAATTATTAAACAATTAATGATAGAAGGTATTGAATCACTAAGTAATAATGTTAATAATAAAAATGGTACAACTGGTAAATAGTCTGTCATATAAATAATTAGAGATAATAGATTTAGTAAGGTGGGCCACTAGGGTTTTACGCTGTCCCAGGTTTTACGCACTATGTATTTGCTCGCGTTTACTAAAATTTACTAATCTGAAAACCAAAATCTATAACGTTTCGTTTTGATTTTGTGTAATTATTCAAAAGTACTTGATAATCATATTTATCTCATTCTGTTGAGTTCAATTTCATTCCAAGAGAAAATCGATAACTCTTTCACTAATCACTGAGACTGAGAGAATAAAATGATAGTTTTTTCAACAAATTAAGACCAAAATTGAAAAAATTTCCATTTTTCGCTGGAAATTGCTAACGAATTTATTTGCAAAATATAATTAATTAATCGCATTATCTGAAACACAAGAGAAAAGAGAACTAAATAATAAATTAATTTAAAAACAAATAATTATTATTGAAAAATATTATAAGATCTAACTAAGATATAAACTATTCATTTTTTTTAACAAATTTTTTTTGATTAGCTAAATTTGCAATATATTTTAAAACTTTATATTGTTTAAAATGAATTTGTACTCCCGTTTCAACTAACCATAAAGGTAAATATCTACTAATCCAATGTAAAAAATAACTTCTTTTACCATGATATAAATTAAAACCTGGATCAATCCATTTTCTTAAATCTTTAACAACTTGTTTTGCATATTCATTTGGTGAAATATTAGTTTCTCTACTCATCATTGAAGAAGATCTAATTGAATCATAAACACCTGGTACATTATAATAAGATTCATCTAAAGTTGATAAATTATTTGAATCACAAATTGCAGTATCAACACCTCCAGTAATAACACTATGAACTCTTACACCAAATGGTTTCATTTCTCCATGTAAAGTTAAAGCATAAGCATCAATAGCAGCTTTTGTTGAATTATAAGCAGAAACCCAAGATAAAGGAACTCTTGCAGCAACAGATGAAGTAAAAACAATTGTACCTCTTGCATTAATAACTAATGGAGCAAAATATTTAGTCATATTAATTTGTCCTAAAACATTAACTTGGAAAATTTTATTTAATTTATCTTCATCAATTTCTATTGCTGGACCTGCTATTGATATACCTGCATTATTATATAATATTGATAATTTTCCTCCAGTAATTTCTTCAACTTTGACTAAAGTAGATTTAATTTGTTCAATATTTGTTATATCTAATGGTAATGATATTATTCCATATTCTTTTTCTAATGGTTTTTGACTAAATAAAAATTGTTGAGGTGAACAACCAATAACTTTATAACCTTTTTTTGATAATTCAATTGCTAAACTATATCCAATACCTGAAGATGCTCCAGTTATAAGAGCATATTTAGTTGACATTATGAATGGAATGTATAAAAACGTTGAAATGAAAATGAAATATTAATTAATTCATTATTTAAAAATTAAATATATATTAAATCTAAAACAATAATAATATTTAAATATAAATTAATTTATTTATTATAACCCCATTTTTTAACTTTCTTATTTAAATTCATTTTTATCTAAATTTAGTTATAAAATTTAATTTGTTTATCTACGATGCTACCAAATCACATGAATTTAATTTTTTTTTGTTGAGTTAAATTAATTTAGCTAGAACGAAGAATGTGATAATTACCGACCGAGGGAAAAAAGTCATCGACGTAAAATATTAAAGATGAAATATCAGTATATTTAATACATAAATCTATATAGGAGGTGGCATAAAAGTTTTTGGTATAATTGTATCATTAATTTTAGAATTATCACTTTTATCTAATATTATTGCAGGTACTCCATTTTCAACATCTTTAAATAATAATTCTGGTTCAATTTTATAATTTATAAATTTATTATCATCTATTTCTTTTTCTGGTTGTATTGATTGATTTTCATTATTGTTATTATCATCATTTTGAAATTTTCTAACTAATTCACTTTCAAATCCTCCTAATCTTTCCCATAATAAATTTGATAATTCTTCTGGTGAATATATTGATTTTTCATTTGGACCATCTTCAATTTTATGCCAATCATTCCATTCTGATTGTGGACTCATTGGTGGACTTATTAAAAATCTTTTAGAATCTAAATCATTTGGTAATTCTAAATAATTAATTTCTGTATTAATTTCTTGTTGTAATGCTTTATCTAAATCCAGTCTTTTTAAATCAAATTTATTATCTTTTATTGTAAATGATATTTTTATTGATGAATCCCATTTTAACAATTTATTTTTTAATGATTCAGAAATTTCTATTGATTCACATATTATAACTATTCTTGATAATTTTGATAATACTATTAATTCAACTAAATATGAACTTTTTGATATAAAATCAATCAATGGATGAGGATTTAGTAGTAATTCATCTTTTAAATTTGTAATTATTAATGTATTAGTAGGACTTCGAGGCATTACTATTATTATAAGAAAAAGAGAATTAAAAAAGAGAATCCAAAATAGATACGAAAAATAATAAACTTTTTACTTAGTAATTTTTTTATTCATTAGTTTCATCTCAAATTCATCATTCTTTTCATTCTTTTTGGTTCATTTGAATCTTTATCATTTAAATCATCTAAATTATCTTCATCATAATATCTTTTTGGAGTATTTTTTAAATCAAATAATGACCAAAATTTTAAATTTTCATCACCTGCAACTGTTGCTAAAGTTAAATTATCAGGACTTAAACAACCATTTAAAATTCTTGTATCATGAGCATTTGTAATTTCTCCAGTTTTTTGTAAAGTTGGATAACTAAATAATGATATACTATTTGTTGGATATCCATGAGTTGCTACAATTTCCATTCCTGTTCCAATTGCATAACCCCAATTTAATGATGAAATTTGTGAACCAGTTTCTATAGTATTAACTCTTGCTCCAGTAGTTGTATTCCAAAAATTAATAGTTTTATCAGTTGAACCACCACCAGTTGCTAATAACGAAGATTGATAAGGACACCAAGATAATGCTTTTACAGCAGCTTTATGATTATTTTTGACAAAAATTGGTTGTTGATTATTTCTAATATCCCATATATTTACAACATTATCATTACCACCAGTAACAAATTGTTTTTGATTATTATATTCAATACCACAAATTTCTGAAGAATGAGAATTTTCTAATTTTGATATAATATGAGAAGAAACTCTAACATCAGAATGATATAAGTTACCAACTCTACTACCACTTGTTAAAATATGTTGATTCCAAGATTGAGAAGCAATTCTTGTTAAATGATTATCACAATTTAAAGTTCTTAATTTTATATTTTTTTCAATATCCCAAATTTCAATTAATCCATCATCTTTACCAATTGAAACATATGAACCATCTTCAGACCATTTAACTGATGTAACTAATTTTTTTTCAGGTAATTCACATAACAATCCAACTGAACCAGTTGATGCATTCCAAACATAAACAGCATCTTCTAATCCAATTGCTAATAGATTATACAGTGACCAAGCTAATAAATTTAAATAAAAATCATCAACTATACCTGGAGCATCTAATACTCTTTCTGGTGCTGATGGTATTTTTTTAGCTCTTGCAGAAGCAATTGAAGGAGGTAGTGAATTTTTACCACCACTACTCAAGGATAATTTTGATGATTGTTGATTAAATTGTGATGATAATAAATTAATTGGTTTTTTTCTTTCAGGTGGTGCAGGTTGATATAACAAAATTCTTGAATTCATTTCTAATCCACAAGCTTCTGCTACATGATGTTGATATATTTTTGATGATTGAGCTTTTATATGAGTTTCTGGTGATGCATTTGGTGCTGGTTGTGGAGTTGATGAATCTAATTTACCAGTAATTGAATTATGTCGAGATGGGATAAATCTATCAGATATTGAAGTTTCTGAATTAGATGATCTATTAATTAATGAATTTGATCTACGTAAAGTAAACGGTAAATTATTATTATTTCCATTATTATTATTATTATTATTTGTATTATTTGATGATGGTAATGCTAAAGTAGTTTTTGATCTTTTATTTAATAAAGGTTTTAAGGAGGTTGGTAATTGAGGTCTTTGAAATTTTGATTCTTTTAAATTTGGTGGTTTTGATATTGATTCATTTGATATTATTTTATATTTCTTTGTAACATTTGGACTCATTTGTTTTAAAAATTGTCTTTTATTTGGTGATAATAATGGTTCAGATATTGATACTGGACCACTAATAAATCTTTTTTCAATTTTTGTAGATTCATGATTTTCGTTATGCGTCGTCTGTTTATTCGGTGATATAATTGATATTGACATTATTTAAATTAAAGTTTTTGACATAAAGTAATGAAAAGAAGTAATAAAATGATGGTGAAAATATAATTAACTTAATTATATGATGGACCAAATAAAAATTGTAATAATGTAATTGCTTTTTTAAGTGTTTGCTTTATCGAATAAACTAACTTGCTTTCAATTATAAATGGCTGTTTCAAATAAGTTTAGTTCTTTTTTTTGATATTCTTTCTTTAAGACTGTATTTAATTTAAAATTTCTTTTTTCTGCTTATTATAGTTATTTGTTTATAATTTATACTAATTGGGTTTAAATTGATTGATTATTAAATAGTTGATTTTGTGTTACTCAATTTAGATTTGAGTTTTTCCGTAAATTTTAAATTGTAATATTTCAAGAGTTTCAATTTGATTATTAAGTTTGAATTGGTGAAGGGCAGTTGATGGACTTATATAAATTGAAATGTTTGTATTAGGTATTGCAATTGACACACTTAGTTAATGATAATTTCAAATATTTGATGTCGATTGTATACATTTTGCAGCAAAATATACATAATAATTAAAATAATAATGAGGCAAAACTTTGCTATCAAGCATTTAAACACAAACAAATTTAATGTCTAATAATTCAAATTCTTCTTAATTCAAGCTAAAGGTATCAGACATTTCACTAAACCTTCTCTCATTGAATTCAGTTCGATTTAATCGACTTTAAATAAGCTAAGTATTGTATATGTTTTTGCTACCAAATACAAAGTAGTGCACTTTTGATCAAGTATATTTCCAATTATTAAAACCGGATTATCAAATTCTAAATTCAATCTAAGTTAAGGCAACCACAAATATAAAACAACTTAATCAATGCCAGCATATCATTCTACTTTTTTAGGTGAAGAATCACAAGATACAAGAACAATTGGTAACTTATCACTATTACCATTAAATACAAAATATAGAGGACCAGCATTTGAATCAAATTCAGATTATGATATAATTGAAGAAACTTTAGATTTATTTAGAGCAAATTCATTTTTTAAAAATTTTGAAATAAAGGGAAATGCAGATAGATTATTAATATATGGAATATTATTTACAAGTGATTGTTTAAGTAAAATATCAAAAACAATGTCTCATAAAGAATCAACTAGAGTTTTAAATAATTTAAGTCTTGATAATTTTGCATTACCTGGTGATATATCTTTCCCATTAAATTCATTATATTTACCACCAAAAACAAGATCTGATGCTGATTTATTAAGAAGTTATTTAACTCAATTTAGACAAGAATTAGCTGAAAGATTATTAAATAGAATTTATAAAGATGATTCAAATATACCAAGTAAATATTGGTTATCTTTCACTAAAAGAAAATTTATGAATAAAAGTTTATAAAATATATATACCCACTTTATTTTGATATAATTTATAATCATTACCATAAAATTTATTTATTAATATCCATTCTTCATATTTAATTCTTTTTTTGAAAAAAAAATGTAATATAATTAAATCTATTATTAAATTGAAGTAATTATTTAATAATAATTGAATACCTATAGCAAATAACCAAAATCCAAAATAACTTGGATGTCTAAGCCAATTATATATTCCTGTGGTTACCAATTGATGATTTGTTTTTTTGGTTGTTGCAATATAATGACTAAATGAATCTCCACATTGTTTCATTGCTAAATGTCTTATATATAAACCAACACAAATTAAAATTAACCCCAAGATTGAAATTATGGAAGTCTTTTGATTATATCCAAAATGATATTCCAATATGGTAATACATTGCATCAACCAATATTCATTATTACCTTTCACTCCATAAATTAAAAAGGCTTTTGATGTAATTGAACTTGGTTGATATAAAACAATATTAATAAATTCTAAAATAAAATAAATTTTTAAACAAATAAAATATATAATTAATAAAACATATTTTTTAGAATTGAAAATTGACCAAATATCTAATGTAAATAATGAGCCTAATATAAAACAAACACCATATATCTCTAATAAATTTACTTTAGTTGTTGTATATTTCATGCAAGAAATGAAGTGTTGCAAAAACAGAAAAAAAATTTGACAACCAAAATAAATATTCCTTTATCTTATCTTCAAATGGGTGAACTACTATCAAGATATGATCCAACAAGAAATAATCTACTAATAATTGGATTTAAATCATTTTCAATAGGAGTTGTTTTTACAACATCAACAATTTTAGAAATTTATTATCAAAAACATTTTGCATTATTTTTATATTTACAATTTCTTTGTATTTTCCATTCATTAGAATTTTTAAGTACTTATTTATTTAATAATTCACAAGTTGATGATGATTCATTTATTTTGGAAGATAAAGAATTTCATATAATTACTTTTGCATCTATTATAGAATATTTTATATCACCTTTTAAAATTAAATTTTATATAATTGGATTTCCTTTGCTATTATTAGGTCAATTTATAAGATTTTTAAGTATGTTTACTGCTCAAGAAAGTTTTAATCATTATGTTCAAAAACAAGGTAAAGAAAGTCATAAATTAGTTACAAATGGAATTTATAAATATATTCGTCATCCAAGTTATTTGGGGTTTTTTTTATGGTTTATTGGTATACAAATAATTTTAGGTAATATAATAATGTTAATTGTTGGTATAATAATATTATGGAGATTTTTCAAAGATAGAATCAAATATGAAGAAGAATATTTAATAAAGTTCTTTGGAGATAAATATACAAATTATCGAAATTCAACATCAACTTGGATGTTTATTAAATAATAAATTTATATAGTATATAATATATGTACATAGAATGTTTAAAATGTTAAGTGTCCTGATTTAACTATCTATTAATAATAAGTTTCATGTGTAATGATATTTTATTTTTCCTTTCTTGGATCAACTCCAAATCCATTAATATTTCTATACATTAAAACACCATTTTTACCATCAACAAATTGACACCATCTTGCAGATTTCCATAAACTAACCCACATATTTTCATTTGAATGTTGATAATGAATACCCATAACTTTTTTAATTGCTTCACTTGCTTCTCTTGCATTATAAAATGGAATTCTTGAAACATAATGATGTAAAACATGAGTTTCAATAATATCATGGAATAAATATTTACCAACAAAACCAAATTCACGATCAATTGTTGCAGCAGCACCACGAGCAAAAGTCCATTGATGAGCTTCATAATGTGGCATTTGAGGATCTGAATGTTGTAAATAAGTAATAAATACTAACCAATGATTAACTAATAAATATGGTAAAAAATAATTGACCAAAATATTAAATCCACCAAAATTTTTATACCAAACATACAAAATAGTAAATTGAATTAAAATACCAAGATCCGACAACAAAATATAATTATAATCCTTTTTATCAAATATGACTGAACTTGGATTAAAATGACTTTTTTGAAACCAATTTAAATTTGGAAATGATTGACCACTAACATTTGCAAAAAGATAAGCAATCCAACCAAAAGTTTGTTGAAAAATTAAAGTTAATAAAGAATAAATTGGTGAATCACCTAATAAATCATCTAAATCTTCAATACCTCTATTTTTTAAAAATTGTTCTTTTGTTTTTGGTATAAATACCATATCTCTTGTTAAATGACCAGTTGCTTTATGATGTTTACTATGACTAAATTTCCAAGAAAAATATGGTACTAATAAATAAGAATGTAATATCCAACCAACTAAATCATTTACCCAACCATAATTTGAAAAAGCTTGATGACCACATTCATGAGCTAAAACCCAAATACCAGTTGCAATTAAACCTTGACACCAAATATAACCACTCCAAGCAGCAAATCTTAATAATTGATTTGGTAAAATTTCAATATAATTATTTGCAATAAATCCTAAAGTTAACATAAAAAAAATATCTCTAAAAACATAATAAAATGATTCAATTAATCTTCTTTCATAACAATGAGATGGTATAACTGATAAAATATCTTTAATAGTATAATCTGGAACTTTAAAAGTATTACCATAAGTATCAATTGCAGTTAAATTAGTTTGATAACCAGAAGGAGTAGATTGAAAACTTGCAACATTACCTGATTTTTTAATTTTTGTTGAATTATTATTCTCATTATTTGAATTAAATGATGAAATTGATGAAGTTACCGCTGACATTTTTTTTTATTTTAATTAGATATTTGGATTAACTTGTATTAAATGTATCTATATTTCTATTAAATGAATGGAAATTGTTTGAAAAAATTTGGTTGTAAATATTTGAAAAAAAACAGATAAATAAACGTGGTTTGTTGATAAAACTTTTTTGACTGCAAAATGAATATATTTTGAAATTAATTAAAAATATATATATATAATATTAATGGAAATGAAAAGTGAATGAATGATTTGTAAAGTTTGAATAAGGTAAAAAAAAAAAAAAGATTGAATGAAAATATGAAGATAAGATAAAGAAAGATAAAAAATTCAAAAAAAAATTCAAGATGAATGAAAAATTGGTTTTATAAATAAATTAGAATTTATTATTTTATTTTATTTATTTATCAGATGAAAAAAAAATAAAATAAAATAAAAAAAATAAAACCACTTTTTTATTTTCATACTTAAAATTTCAATATTATTATAAGACATTAATAATTAATAATAAATCTTACATTATAATATAATAATAATAGTAGAGATGGATGATAAGAGAATAATAATTTATTCAAAGTTTATTAAAATACAATTGGGTAATTCATTGATTTCAATAAAATCCAATCATTAAAGAATTTAAAGAAGATTCGTTTCTTTTTTCTATTCTATATACATATTGATTTTTATTGACAGTTTGTAGATCTTTTTAATTTTATTTTTATTTTCAATTTTTAATTCGTTAAAATGGTTTTAAATTAAATTGAATTTATAATTGAATTGAATGTACTTTATCAATTTATTTAACTTGAAATATAGACATCTTAAAGAACTTTCTTAATATAATTATACAATGTTGTATTAATCAAAATAAGGGAAAACGTAACCCCCTTTTTTTTTGATAATTTACAATTACAATTTAATTATATAAAGTTAATACAAAAGTTACTATAATTTGTTGGCACCCGATTGTTTTATTCTTTTTTATTACACAATATAAATTATATGTTATAATATAGATTATAAAATATAATAATTAATGTTAAAATAATATTTATTTTAAATAACTTATTAAAGTAATAATTCTAATTGGTTTATTCTTGTAATTGTATTAAGTATTTTATAATAAAATTGATTCTACAATTATTATACCAACTTATATTTGTACACAATTAGAATTAGATATTGGAGTTAAGANGTTTTTTTTTTTTTTTTTTGAGTGTTTATTGAAAGAAAAAAAAAATTTTATTTGTTAATGCTTAAAATGTAAAAAGAAAAAAAGAAACTCAACAAATGATTATGAGCTCTAATCAATATCATCAACTTCTACATTGTCTTAAATTTTAAGGAGTTAAAGGGCTGAATTTTATGATTCAAGTAGTCAATTATTCTCATGTACGTGTAATGATTATTCTGTCACCTTTTTTTATATTTTTAATTTGCCTGAAATTAAAAATTAAATATTCAAAGATGATGAAAATTTAAACTTTTTTTCTTGACACATGTTTTCTTTATTTCTATATACATAATTTAACATGTTTTCTATTCTAAATACATAAACTTGAAAAAAAAGAACGAAATATTAACATAATCGAAGTAATCCAAATTGTTAATTCTATGCTTATATAAATAAGTTTTTTATTTTTGATGAATTTGGTCTAACTACTCTTTGATTGATTTATTTATGAAACAAAAGAAATAAAAGAAGGCTTTTTTTTTACTTTTAATTTACGAATATTTTAGGAATCACGTTTTAATTGTATTTAAATTTGTTATTAAACTGCAATAAATAGTTTAATGAAGGGAGCAAATAAACTACAATTACTTCAACAATTATATATATGAATATCTATTATTAAAAATTATTATATTAAACACGATTAACTATTTTATAATTCATTATAATATCTTATTTTTACACTTTTTTTTTTTATCATTACTTTTTTCATTAACGAATATTACTTAATCTTGTACTATTCATATGAACATTAATATCTAATTTATCAGCATCTTCTTCAATTTTTCTTAATCTTATATTTTGACTATCAACTTCTTTATTCATTGTATTTGCAATACCATGTAATTTTTTTGCATAATTACCAATTTGATCTAAATTAGAAGCAATTTCTTTTTCTGCTTCATCATCTTCTGAATCATTTTCAAATTGATAACGAGAAGCTTCATTTAAATTTTTTTCATTTTTATATTTTTGATGAATTTCATTATTTGTTGCATTATTCATTAAACCTTGTTTTAATCTTTGTTCACTTTCATACATTCCTTGTCTATTAGTTTCTCTAAGATATTTTTCTTGAATTTTTTTATTTTTAATATTTTCTTCTTGTTGTCTTAATCTTGATTTTTTATTAAATGGATTACCATAAGCTGGTATAAATATTGATCTATTTAATCTTCTTAATTCTTTAACTTTTTCATCTGCAATTTGAGTTTGAGTATCAGCTAATAATAAATTTTGTTCTGCATTAAATAATCTTTCTGATTGTGATCCTAACATTCCTAAAGTATTTGTACCTGATGCATCTGCTTCTTGTGCCATTCTTAAAGTATTACGAGTTGATTGAACTGATTCTTGTTTTATAAATCTTATATCTTGTTTTATTGCTTCAACTTCTTCATCTTCTGAATTAATTTGTTCTTCTTCTCCTGGGATTTCTAAATTCAAATCTAATTCTTCATCATTATATTCTTCTTGAATAAATTGATCATTTAAATCTAAATTTTCATCATCATCATTTTCAAAAGTTTGTTTTTTTAAAGGTTTATTATTTTTAAACATTTGATGTGATGATATTGCATTAAGATCTAATGATGATTCTGTATCATTTGTTGTTTGTCTTGTTGACATTCTTGTGACATTTTGAGATTGAGAATTATTTCGTATATTATTTTGTGAGGGTGGTTGTTGTTGTCTAGATGGTCTTTGAGATTGTTGATCTCTTCTTGTTGGCATTGCATATGGATCTGAAGCTAAAGTTCTTGACAGTGACATTGACAGTGACAGTTGACTAACATTTTTATTATTATACGGATTTGATGTATTTGTTGATGATGAGTATGGACTTGAACCATTCTGATATGATTTATTTTCTAGATTATTACCGTTTTGAGAACTATGATTATTATTATTATTATTAGCTGCATATGGATTTGAAGCTGGATCATTAGTTTGAACATTTGCATATGGATTAACAGGAGCAAGACCAGGTTTCATTTGAGCTCTTTCTTGAGCGTATTGTTTAAAAGCTCCAAATTTCTCTTGTCTTTGATTACTTGATTTTGTTGATATACCAACTCTATTTAATTCTTCTCGTAATTCTTGTTCAGTTGGATCTTTTTTCATAAACATTTTCTTTAACCCCATTTTGAATGATTATATGATTCTTTTGTAAATTTGGTGTGCTGGTTATTAAAATTTAAAATATGTAATGATATATGTATATATATATAAATGTATAATTATAATAAACTATTAGGTTATTTAATATATGAATATTATATTATAATAAATAGTCTATATTGTAATAAATTATTTGTACTGCGACTCAAATATTATAATTTTGCCTTAAATTAAATGATCAAAATATTAATTGTCTTAAAATTAATTGCAGTGTCATTATTTGTTAGTTTGTGTCAATAAAAGTACACAAAACCAGTTTGTAAAAAAAGTGGGGAAGATCCTTGATAAAAAGTAGGGTTCAACTATTTTTTGATAATGCTTAAGTTCAACAAATTTAGATTGTAAAACTATTTGAATAGTGTTGAGCTATTAATAATTTAAAAGCATTTTAAATATAAGATAGCATTTTAAGTAACAGTTAATGTTTGTACAATACTAATTTATTTCTCAAGCTTATTTATATTAAGCAATTGATTTAACCTTTCATGTTTCAAATCATGAACTTGGTGATGTTTATAATTTCTTTATTTCAGATTGGCCTAATTTTATGGTTGGTTCTATTGAATTTGCAACGTTTATATAAGTAGAAAAATTTTGCAGCCATATACTAATTCTTAAATAATTTAATAAGGAAATGCGAATTAGTCCGAAACCGGGTTTATCCATGAAAAAATAACGCGCTTAAAATTGGAACCCTCGTATTTTTTTTCGTTTTTTTTTTCTTTATTATTATATGTTTGTAGCTTCTTACTATTACTATTATATACATAATTGGATCAGATGTAAATTTAAATAGATTTAAATCAAAGAATTAATACAAAATCTGAAGAAGATTTGTCACTTGAAATACAGTTGATGGATCTAAAGTTAATAGAATGATTCCAATTGATCTATATGATTGTCCCCTTTTGTTCTATCTCTTTTGATCTAAAAAAATTAATTTATCAAATTTTAAATAGACTTTCTTCCCCAAACTTTAATTACAATAATAATAATTTTTTTGTTTTTCAATTTAAATAAAATTAGATATTTTTTTTTTTTCAACTTTAAATTTATCACAGTTTTATTTCATATTTTAATATAAAACAATAGGAAAAGAACAATTAATAAATTCATTCAATTGATTGGTGAACTTAATTCCAATATCAATAATATCTATTCATATCATATATATTTATTCCTTATTAATAATTATACCAATTATCTAAGTACTATCACAATCACAATTCAAAATGTCTACTACAAAAATTGAAAAAAAACCAATTAGTTTTTCAAATATTCTTTTAGGTGCTGGTTTGAATATGTCTGAAGTTACAACTTTAGGTCAACCATTAGAAGTTATTAAAACTACAATGGCAGCAAATAGAAATTTAACAATGGCTCAAGCTGCAAAATTAGTTTGGAGTAGAGGTGGTATACTTGGATTTTATCAAGGTTTAATACCATGGGCATGGATTGAAGCAAGTACAAAGGGGGCAGTATTATTATTTGTAAGTGCTGAAGGTGAATATAGATTAAAAAGTTTAGGAGCTTCACCATTTATAAGTGGTATGGGAGGTGGTGTATTAGGTGGTTTAGCTCAAGCATATTTAACTATGGGATTTTGTACATGTATGAAAACTGTTGAAATTACAAGAGCAAAACAAGCTAAAACTACTGGTGTACCACAACAAACAAGTTTTCAAGTATTTCAAGAAATTTGGAAAAAAGAAGGTTTAAAAGGTATAAATAAAGGTGTTAATGCAGTTGCAATAAGACAAATGACAAATTGGGGTTCAAGATTTGGTTTTTCAAGATTAGCAGAAGATGCTATTAGAAAATTTTCTGGAAAAGGAGAAAATCAAAAATTATCAAATTTAGATAAAATTTTTGCTTCTGTAATTGGTGGAGGATTAAGTGCATGGAATCAACCAATTGAAGTTATTAGAGTTGAAATGCAAAGTAAAACTAATGATCCAAATAGACCAAAAAATTTAAGTGTTTGGGGTGCTTTTAAATATATTTATAAAAATAATGGTATTAAAGGTTTATATAGAGGTGTTACTCCAAGAATTGGTTTAGGAGTTTGGCAAACTGTATTTATGGTTGCTTTTGGTGATATTTTTAAAAAAATGTTAAATACTGAAGGTACAGGACATTAAGGAAAGTAAAGAAATTAAAGTAATAAATGGAATAAATTATCAAAAAGGACAGACATAAACATAATTAATAATCACTTTTTTTTTGTATAATGCAAATATCCCTATTTAATTAAAATAAATAACCACCTTTAATTATCATCAATATCTTTTATAATATTTTTACGTTTAGTACCCCATCTATCATAACAATATAATCCAAATAAAGTTATAATTAATCCCAAAGATTGTAAAGGAGTAAAATTTTTCAATTCCCAAATAAATGAAATCAAAATTATAAAAATTCTTTTTAATATATTTGCAATAGAATAATCAATTGGTGATAAACAACCTAAAATTTGAAATGCTAAAATTGATTGGGAAAAATGACTTAGTCCATTTAAAATTACCAAAAATAAAATATTTGAATTTAATTGAAATAATGAAAAAACTGGATTTATAAATTCTGAAGTTATATAAATTGGAAAAGTAAAAATAAAACCAACAATTGAACAATAAAATAAAATAGTTAAATTATCTAATTTTTTTGTACCTGCTTTTGATAATGGAATTTCTGAAGTTGAAGTAGTTGATGCAGAAGTTAATCTATTTTTAGCAAATATGTTTTGACTAACAAAAATTAACATTGAAAAAAATGCAAATGTTAAACCATATATATAATTATTATTATTAAGTAATGTTTGATCAGGATTTAAAATTTGACCTGGTATTACTACTTTAATCTTTTTAGGTTTATAACAAGTCATCATAATACCAATACTTAATGGAATTAAAGTAATATAAGTTCTTGGTTGATAATCTTTTTTAAATAAAAATCTATAAATTAATACTGTAACAATTGGGCTTAATGCTTTTATAGTATGAACTAATGAAACAGGAATCATTGAAGTTGCTTTATGACTAGTTAAATGACCAATAAATTGAAAACATCCCATTGGTAAAGTAGTTGCAAGTATTAATTTCGTTGGTTTTATAAAATTTGATATTGATTTATTAATTGGTAATATACTATTTGGTATAATTTTATTAATAAAATTAAAATTATTTGATAAATTTAAAATTATTAAGCTTAATAAAATATTCATTGTAAATTGAAATTGAGTAACTGTTATTGGATATTTATAATTATTTAAAATTAATTTTATTGAATTTGATGATATAATTGAAAAAAAATACCAAATTAAACATAATGAACAAATTTTATAATTTATTGGTGGTAAAATTTCTGATATATTATTTATTATTTTATTTTTAATATTTTGTTGTTGTTGATTATTATTATCTAATAATAATTTATTATTGACATGTTCTAAATTATTATAATCTAATTTTAATGGTTCAGGTGAAGTTGATTCTGAGTATGGTGGTGATAATGGTAAATTATTATTAATATTTTTAATTGAAATATAAGAATTTGTTGAAGATAATGGAGGTGAAGGTAAAGCTATTGGAATTGAATTTATTGAAATATTTGAATCATTATATTGAGAATATATACCATTATTTTGATTATTTTGATTTATTTTTGATAAATTTGTTGATGAATAATTTGGATTAATTTGTGATGATGAATAAATGTTATTATATACTCTATTATAATTTGAATGTTTCTTCTTATATATAGGTTGTTTAGGAGAAGTTGAAGGAGTTGAATTTAATGAAATATTTTGAGATCGTGATTGAATTGGTAATTGTTGTGGTCTTATTTGCGAATCTATATTTGAATTATATAATCGTTCATGATTTTCATCTATATCATTACACGAATCTTGATTATTTGAATGTTCTTGTTCTTCATTCATATTTTAAATTATTTGTATTGATGAATGTGCTGGTAATTCTAAAATTCTAATGCAAAAAAAAAAATTAAAAAAAACGAAAGTAATAATTGTAATGAATAGTTAATGAAATAAATCTATTGATAAATGATTGAAACCTATAATTATATTGAAATAACAAAACAAGTTATAAGAATCAATTATCAAAATATAATAATGTCAAAATATTGTGGTTGTAAAAAATAATTTATTATTATTTATTATTATTTATTATTTCTATTTGGTTGTAAAATATTATTATTAAATTTTTTTTTCGTATATTTTAATTAATTAATTAAAAAAAGAAAATTTCTTTTTTTTTAAATTTTGAACATTTTAACACTACCACAGATATATTAATTTTAATTTATGTTAGCCTAATATAAATACATAATAATAATAATAGTAGTAAGTAGATAGTAATATGTTGTTAATGATGTTTAAACTAATTACAATAACGTATATATCAAATACTTCATTCAATAATGATTCAAATAGTAAATAGTAAGTAAATAAAAAGACATTCAAGTATTAATATCTTAATTGATTAAAATGTTTAATTGAGTTTGAATCTTATATCTATTAGTAGATTTATCTTTAAATGAATAATAAATTTCTAAGATCTCAAAATCTACTGTATTAGAATTTGATGAATAAATTTATATACGAAATAAGCTACATAATATACATAGACATATATATATAAATCATTGAATAATTAATTTATCTATAATCTACTCTTCAATTCAATTGATTAACAATGATTAGTAACATTTGTTAATTAAATATCTTATCTTACAGTAAAGTTCATTATAATTCTCAAGATTTATTAAATTCTTCTCAATTAGTTGGATCGAATTTAAGTCGATACTATTCGGATCTTGAGGTAAATAAGGGCAATATTCCACACAAATTTATGCGGTGCGGCTCCCGTTGGTGACTCTATATATTTGAGTTGGGGGCGATTATATCTATTTTGTTTTAATTTATTTATCCGTAACTAAGTAATAAATTTCTTATTATCTATGTATTGAAATCAACAATCGAGAATATAATATAATATAGTAATATTATAGTATATAATACATATACATTAGTTATTATAATAGAATCAAACTCAATAGGATAATTATATATACAAATATATTATAATTAAGAGTATTAAAAAATAAATTTAAATCTACAATTGAATAGACATTTCAATTTTTATAAGATATTTATTTATTTATATAAAGTTTATATTATTTATTTGATTATATCATTTATTATATCAATCATTAAATTAAATTTCAAAAGTAATTTATTACAATTTCATCATTGAATCATTCAAAGTCAATTCTCGATTCAATTCATATTTCATAAATTAATTAACAATTCTTATTCATATTATAAAACAAATCAATGCAAATATAATTCAAAATCAAATGTCTAGTATTGTTTTATTTACTTTAAAACAATTTATAAAAAGAGCAATATCTGATGATTTAGATGATTCACCAGATTTATCTCAACCTGATGATGATAATTTAGAAGATTCAAATCCTGTTGAAAATGAAATTTTTAGTTCTTGGGCTTTATTTATATTATTATTTTTATTAATGTCTGCATTATGGTCATCATATTTTTTACAACAAAGAAGAATTAAAGCAATTCATGAAACTGTATTATCTATATTTTGTGGTATGATTGTTGGATTAATTATAAGATTAAGTCCTGGTCATTATATTCAAGATGCTGTTAAATTTAATTCTGAATATTTTTTTAATATTTTATTACCACCAATTATTTTAAATTCTGGTTATGAATTACATCAAGCAAATTTTTTTAGAAATATTGGTAGTATATTAACTTTTGCTATTCCTGGTACTTTTATTTCAGCATTAGTTGTTGGAATTATTATATATATATGGACAGCTATTGGATTAGATAATGTTAAATTAGAATTTGTTGATGCTTTAGCTGTGGGAGCAACATTATCTGCAACTGATCCTGTTACAATTTTATCAATTTTTAATGCTTATAAAGTTGATCCAAAATTATATACTATTATATTTGGTGAATCATTATTAAATGATGCTATATCAATTGTTATGTTTGAAACATGTCAAAAATTTCATGGTCAACCTGTTAAATTTTCTTCATTTTTTGAAGGTATTGGTTTATTTTTAATGACTTTTACTATTTCAACTATTATTGGTATATTAATTGGAGTATTAGTTGCATTAATTTTAAAACATTCTCATATAAGAAGATATCCACAAATTGAAACTTGTTTAGTTTTGTTATTTGCTTATGAATCTTATTTTTTTTCAAATGGTGCTCATATGTCAGGTATTGTATCATTATTATTTTGTGGTATAACTTTAAAACATTATGCTTATTATAATATGTCAAGAAGAACTCAAATTGCAACAAAATATATTTTTCAATTATTAGCTCAATTATCAGAAAATTTTATTTTTATTTATCTTGGATTATCTTTATTTACAGAAGTTGAATTAGTATTTAAACCACTTTTGATTATAGTTGCATTTATTTCAATTTGTATTGCAAGATGGTCAGCTGTTTTCCCATTATCAAAATTTTTAAATTTTCTTTATAAAGCAAGAATTGAAAAATATTCAAATTTAAATACTGGTACTAATATGTCTTTAAATTTACCTGATGAAATAAGTCATTCTTATCAAATGATGATATTTTGGGCCGGTTTAAGAGGTGCAGTTGGAGTTGCATTAGCAATGGGGTTTAAAGGTGAAGCTAAATGGGCTTTATTAGCTACTGTTTTGGTGGTTGTTGTATTAACTGTTATATTATTTGGTGGTACAACTGCTTCAATGTTGGAGATTTTAGGTATTAAAATTGGTTGTATTGATGATTCAGCTGATTCAGATGATGAATTTGATATTGAAGCTCCAAGATTACCAATTCATTCAGGTAATTCAACTCAACAAAATATATTGGGTAATAGAAGATTTATGAAAAATTCAACAATAAATCCTTTTAAAGATAATTTATCAAGTAGTAAAAATTCATCAGCTAATAATTTATTAGATTCTGAATCAAATCCAAATATTGTTATGGGTGATGATGAAGCAGAATATATTGGAAGTGATGTTGATGATTTAATATCTGACACAACACCATCAGTTACAAACAACAACAACAATAATAATAATATAAATGATAAAGGAGTGCTAGGAGCTATTTTAAGTGCTGAAGAACATGCGAAATGGTTTACAAGATTTGATGAAGAAGTTTTAAAACCAGTATTATTAGATACCTTACCAAGTAGTCAATCTAGCACGACGAATAATAGTAACATTAATCTAAATAGTAACAATAGTAATAATAGAAGAGACTAATAAAAGTTTTATAAATTATATTATATTAATTAAAATATACAGGCATGTAATTTTATTTTAATATTGATACTTTGATTTTTCTTGTCTTTCAGCAATTGTCATATCAATACACCATTTAGCTAATTTATAAGTTTTTTGATTTAATATTAAATCATTTAATTGATTATCAAAAGTTAAACAAATTTCGTAAAATTCATGCATTGTAAGATTTCTTAGTTTTGATATAAGTGAATTTTTTATTTTAGTTGTTAGAAATACTGATGCTGGTAAATAATCAATGTAATTTGTTGATGATCTTATTGACTTCTCTAATAAGTTCAAAGTCGTACTAATATCTTCTGATTTTATTATATTAAGGGAATCTTCTTGTAATGATTGTTGAAGTATATTTGAAATTGCAATAACTGCATTGCCATAATTTACTGGATTTCTGATTCTTGATTCACAATCTTTTTTCAAAGTGACACGGAATAAAATACCGACTTTTGAATCTAAAAATTGTTGTTTTAATTGAAATAAAGTATTTTGAATTTTTTTAATCTTAATTTCAAAATTTGGAATTTTTGATAATTTTGGATAATAAAATGTGATTAGTTTCTTTATTGGTGCTACTATTTCGTATTGCCAATAATTAATTAACTTGTTATTGGATGTGGTTGGTTTTTCAGGAGGTGTAGGTTTATTTTGACTTGAACTTGTGTTTATCGGTGATGAAGTGAATGAATTACCAAATAATGCATTTGTTTGTTTAGGTTTGAATCCAGTATTGACATCTTTAACTAAAGAATCTTGTAAACTTTTCAATATTTTCATGTCAGAAGAACTTCTATAATTAACTCTGTCACTTGTTTCTCTTATCACTAAAGAACATTCATTGAATAAAGCAGGCCATATTTTTTCATTTTTAGAACGAATACTGAAAATAGCTAATCTCAATTTTAATCCTTCCTTTTGATTTGTATTTGAAATATAAGCAAACTCTTGAAATGCAGTCAATCTACTCAATTGATGATTTGGTGACACATCTTTCAACCCATTAATCAAACATGTCAATGGATCTTTACTATATGATGAAATTGGTTTTTTACCGTCCAAACATCCAATAGTTGCATAAACATCAAAAACATGATTTTCAAATTCCCAGTTTAATATTATGATATATGAAAGATATGATAGCTTCAAATAGGTTATGAAGCTTGTATTATTTGGTGGTACCGAAGTATCTAGTCCAAGAATTGAAAGTAAAAATAATGATTTATATAAATAAGGTTTTATAATCCAATAAAGTATAGGATTTAAAACTATAAATATTAATGCTAACCCAAATGAGTTTCCAATTGCTTGAGGTATATGTTTGAATAAATTTGATTCGGGATTATTTCTATTATGACCAATTTCAAAGTTCAATCTATTTCTTTGAAAAATCAATTGATTTGCTGCATAAAAAAGACCAATTATGATCGGACAAGTCCAAAAATATACCCATTCATCATTTAATAATGGGTTTTTTCTATATTCTTTTGATATAACATAATAATCAAACGTAAATGGTAAGTTGAATAGAAATATTCCATATACGAATATTGCTGATATAATATAAAATAATGATACATGTAAAAAATTTTGTGAAAATATTGAATGATATATTTGTGAGCCCAAAGTTTTATGAATAGAATATTCAACAGTTGAGTATTTTTTTCTAACTTGTCTTATTAAAGTTAATGCTGCAAAGTAAATAGGAATTTTAATGAATAATGAAACATATTTATATTTTTGATGAAATGGTAAATTTAAAATTAATGACATTAATATCGCTAGTATTATATTGACATTTAATACATATTTTAGTCGTTTATTGTAAATCTTGTTGAATATACGATAATATTCATTCTTATCATTCTCAATTGATGAGGTTGATGATGACATCGAGTTTTGATGATAATATCTTGGTTGTTGTTTTAAAAATGTTTTGATTTTGCAATAATAAGATCAAAGAAAAAAAAAATTGTTAGTCTCATTTATTTTACAAATATAAATTGATTCAAAAGTTTTTATTTACAATTAATTTTATATATACAAATTAGTTCTTGCTATATTTCATTCCTCATATTTAATTGAGCTTCTCTCCTTATTTTTTCTCTATTCCCACTTAATGTATCTTTAATTTGTTCTAAACCAGGTTTACCATTAATTTCACCTAAAATAGCATCTTTAATTTTCATTTCATTAATTTCTCCAACTAAGAAACTTGAACTATTTGAAAATAATTTATTATCAATACTTGTTTGATTATTTTCAAATTTTGCTGTATCGACTTCAAAGGCCCTGTATATGGCTTCTTCTAATTGTTCTTCATTTGTTATAAATTTTGATGCAGAATGATATAATTCTAATAATTTTTGAGCTTTTTCTTCTTTTTCATTTAATTCTTTTGCATTTCTATTAAGGGTTCTTTGTTCTTTTAATAAACGGTTTTCATCTGGTGTCCTTTTTCTAATAAGTCCTTCTTTTAATAATTTTTGCAATGTTGGTAATGATGAAATTGTTGATTCTGTTTTTCTTTCTTCCTCAAATTTACGTTGATTTTCTAGTTCCTTTTCATGTATTTTATTCTTTAACTCATCAATCTTGGCTAATCTTTTTTCTTCTTCTAAATATGCTTCTTTCAAAAATTCTGCTCTATAATAAGCTCTTTTGTAGGTGTCTCTTTCTACTGCTGGTAAATCATTCATTTCCTTTAATGACATTGGTGGATATTTGATATGTTTTATTCTGTCCTCGACTGTTATATACTTTCTTGGAGGTTGATGACGTGGAAGAGATTCTCCATTAATTTTTGGAGTTGGTACACCCTCTGCATATCCACTTTCTTTAAATTTTTCTTTTTGTAATTCTACTTCATTCATTGCACGTATTGGTCTATGAAATATTTGCTTGGTTTTGGGAAGTATACCAGATTTACCACCATATTTTAAAACTCCTTTCCCCATTATTCTTTGTTATTGTAGTTTGTTTCAAATTGATTTGATTTGAAAAATTATCAAAACTTTTTTTTCATATTTTTTTTTTATTAAAGAGATCTTAGTACTACAATTATTGAAACAAATTATTACTTACTACAAGAAATCAGTTAAATCAAATTAATCTTATCTGGCTGTACTCTATACACCCCAAACATCGTAAATCTTTTCCAGCAAGACTTTACCAATTTTTTTATTACCTACTTGATTTTTAAATTCGTCAAACATTAAATTTTTTTTAGTTTCAATAGGACAAGAACTATGTTGTTGATGATAAAATTCTAATAATTTTTTGGGAGTAGGGAATCTTATTTGTATGACTATAGCTTTTTCTAATGAACAACCTTTTATAGTCATCAACATTAATACAAATAGTTCTTTAACAGTCATTTGAGTAGTTTTACCCATCATTTCTTGGAAATTTGAAAATAAATGACTGCATTCGTAATTTTCTTTTCTTTCAAATTTTTCCCTGAATTTGTTCAAAATATCAACATATTGTTCTTGATTTGAAATATCTGTTGGTTTAATAATGATTAAATTTTTATGTTTATGTATATCCTTTATAACTCCAGTTAGTGATGTTAAGAAATCGGTTGTTTCGTCAATATCTTTGAATCTTTTCAAATAAATTTTTGCATTTGTCATTGTTTGAGCAATACCAGTTTGAATTGAATCTAAAATTGAATAAACTCTTTCTTTAACAATTGAGACATCTTCCACTAGGTAATAACAATGTTTCATGCCTGATTTTTTCATTCTATTCTTCTGTTCTTGAAATCTTCCATCTTTTATCGAATCACATAAATCACCAATTCGTTTTCTTTCACAAAGATAATTTAGTATAGCTTCCTTACCAGTTTTTAAATTACGTGCAACCCAAACTGTATCTCCACATGATAAAGCTTTTACATCACATTTGACATCATGACCTTTTAATTTTCTTTGGAAAAAATCTCTTTCTTGTTGGGCTCTAACTTCTCTATTATCAATATATAAAAAAACCTCATACTCATCTTTTGTCCAAATTTCATACGGTACACCATCATAACTTCTATTCACAGCATCATGCGAGTTTGATCTATTGGAAAGTGTTTCAGTTATTAATCTACTATTATGAGCAGGATTATATAATCTAACGGGGGCTTGTTGTCTTGTTGATTCAAGTATATCGAAATTTCTATAAGTTACCGGTGATGATTTATCGAAACTAGATTCAAATCTAACACCATTATCATATGATGAATTCGCAACTGAATTTGATTGAATTGGAGATGAAGGAATACCAACAGCAGTTTTCAATTGACTAGCTAATTCTTTCCCTTCGTCTGTTAAGTAATATCTTTTTGGTGATCTACCAGTACTATAAACTAAATCTTTTTTCATTAAGGTTTTTATTGAGTCCCAAGCTGAATGAAATGCAGTACTTGTAGCAGTAAAAGATTTATCGCAATATGCAGTTGCCGTTGAAGTAATTTGTTCTCTTGTCATTCCCTTGCTTTCTTGATCTTTCAAATATAAAGTAATCATAATAGCAAATCCACCTGATCTATGTTTTGGTACATAACTTGCAGTTGTACGGGCGCGTTTTGTTGGACGCGTACTTGTTTCTTCAGTAATAGTTTGATCAACTTTATTTAAAGTTCTTTCATAAGCAGCAGCTTCATCCATAAATCCTATTGGTGGTTCCCAACCATTTGCTTTACATAATTGAACGACTCTATTACTTAAAGTTAATGCTGTCTTAATCCCAATATATTTAATTTGTTTTAAACTTTTGGTACTATCAATTGGTTCATTAGTTCTTTTAACTTGACCTAAAATTTTATTATATAATATAGCCATTTTGGAACCATTTCTAGTAGCTTCAATTGCATCAGCTTCCACCCATTTTATTATATATTCTTTGAAATCATCCGGTAGTATTTCAGATTCTGACATAAGTTGATGGTTATTAATCTATGGAAAAATGTAATAAATAGAGAGAAAAATAAATTTCATTAAAAAATTATCGTTATCATCTAAACAATGATACATAAAAAAACCATACTTAATAAAGAGACATAAATACCATCAAAACTATTTACAAATTAGTGACATTTATATACACTAATAATACAAAAACTTATACACATAAACTAATAAGGAAATGTCTACAAAATCAATGAAAAAATCGAATTTACCACCAATAAATCTAATATTTAAATTTTTACAACAACAATCATTAGTTTCAATATGGTTATATGAACAAACGGATTCAAGAATACAAGGTAAAATTCAAGGATTTGATGAATTTATGAATTTAGTGATTGATGAAGCTGAAGAAATAACGAATGGTAAAAAAACATCTTTAGGTAAATTATTATTAAAAGGTGATACAATAACTTTAATATCAAGTTTAGATGTATAATTGGAAAGTAATTGATTAATCAATAAATTTAACTTTTTTTGTATTACTTGAAAAATCCAATTTTTTTGGTGATAGTCCTTGTCTCAATGAATATCTATTATTTCTACTTTCTGTAGTAATAAAATTTTTATAATTCATTACTTGATCTAATCTTTTACTTGATGCTAATTGTCTTTTTGTAGGTGATTTAATTTTAATTTGTGACAATTTTATAGCTTCAAGTGCTTCTGTTGATAATTTGATAGTTACAAAATACAGATTTTTTGATGTAGTTTCGTCATTGTTCATATTTGATACATGATGAAGATGATTCTTGATAGATTATATGAATTAGTGGTAATAATATCTTTTGTTTTAATTGACAGTACACGGTTGATATATTAATAAGTGATTTAAAAAAAATTAAGTACAAATAGAAATATTTGTTACACGTCTAAATCATAATAATAAATTATTAATACATTTTACTCTTAAAGTATATTATCATTCCATTAACCAACAGATTAATGAATCAACAACTACCTAACCAACAGAATCAACAACCCAATCCAAACCATCATCATCAACAGCAACAATTACCTTTTCGTAGATCAAATAAACCACCATTACAACACGTTAAACAAAATCATCAAAAACCAAGATATGAATCAAACACTTATACAGAAGAAGAAAAAATAGAAATACAATCAAAATTAAGTAAAGCATTAGGGCCAGAATATATAGCGACAAGACCTGGAGGTGGAGGTACTCAAGTTCAATACATTGAAGGTTGGAAAGCTTTAAATTTAGCTAATGAAATATTTGGATTTAATGGTTGGAATTCAGAATTAATATCATGTGAAATAGATTATTTTGATACTCATGGTAATTCAGGTAAATATTCATTGGGCTTATCAATTGTTGTGAGGGTTACTATAAAAGATGGAACATTTCATGAAGATATTGGGTATGGATTTGTTGAAAATGCAAAAAGTAAAGCAATGGCTTTTGAGAAATGTAAAAAAGAAGCATTTACAGATGGTATAAAACGTTGTTTAAGATGTTTTGGTAATGTACTAGGTAATTGTTTATATGATAAAACAATAATGAAACAAATTAAAGATATTGAAAAGAAAAAAGTTGAATATAAACCAGAAGATTTTTATAGAGATCCAATATTTGCAGAAAGAGAACGTAAGAAAGAAATACAAGAAAAAAGGATGGAGCTAGAAAAGGTGATGGAAGAAGAAAGACAAAAACTTGAAGAAGCCAGGATTCAACAACAACAACAGCAGCGGCTACTATTAGAACGACAACAACAACAACAACAACAACAACCAAACATTCCACCATCAAATGTATTTGTCACCCCAATTCTGCCCTCAAAAACTATAAAAAATGTTCATAATAAAAACAAAGATAAAGACAAAGATGTTGATGAAATGGATGAATCTTTTTTATTTAGTGATGATGTAGTTGATGAACAAGATCAAGAACAAGAACAAGAGGAACAGGATAATAAAAATCATAATGACTTAGAACCTCCTCAATCAGAATTTACAAATACTAATTTTCCACCGAATTCATTTTTTTCTGCAAGATCTGCTGCGTTAATTGCTTTAAATAAAGATAAAGATGCTGAATTAGAACAATTTGATCCTTCATTCATATCTCCAAATATTAGAAGAACAGTTGATCCTAAAAAATCAATACCAATTAAAAGAACAAATCTTAGATCTCAATCACCATCAACTACAAATCATTTACAAAATAGTAATAAATTAAATACAACTACTCAAAATTTTTTAAATACAAATCCATTAAATAATAATAAGAGATATGGAGCTCCACCACCAACTAGAAGTAAAAAAATTCAGCTAGACTCCGTGGTCGACACTTAAAATTACATAGATATATATAATTGAATGAAAATTAATTTAATGATTTAGGATCTATCTTCTACTCATTAATGTAGTATTTACTCTTTGCCAAAAAATGTGAGATCAAAAAATACTATATAAAGAGAAAAAAATAAATAATTTAATTTTGAAACATTTCACGTCAAGAATATAATAAAAATAATATTTTTGAAAGGAAAGGCAACTACATAACTAATATCATCAATGAAGTCATGAAAGATTTATCATCGATAGAACCAATTCTAAATAATATAGGTTCATTTAATGAAGTTCCCACAGAATATAATTCAAATGATGCATATGAATCACTTACAAACTCACAAATATTAGTTATTGGATCAGGTGGTTTAGGATGTGAAATTTTAAAAAATTTAGCATTAACTGGTTTTAAAAATATACATGTTATAGATATGGATACAATAGATTTAAGTAATTTAAATAGACAATTTTTGTTTAGACAAAATGATATTGGTAAATCTAAAGCAGAAGTTGCAGCAAATTTTATTTTAAATACTATTAATGATCCACAATTAAATATAACACCTCATTTTAAAAAAATTCAAGATATGAATTTGGAATTTTATAGAAGTTTTCAAGTTGTTATTAGCGGATTAGATTCAATTGAAGCAAGAAGATGGATTAATTCAATTTTATTTAGTCTTGCACAACAAGAAGATCTTATAATACCTCTAATAGATGGGGGAACTGAAGGTTTCAGAGGACAAAGTAGAGTTATTTTACCAACTTTTACTTCATGTTTTGAATGTTCATTAGATTTATTAAGTGCCAAAACAACTTATCCTGTATGTACTTTAGCAAATACTCCAAGATTACCAGAACATTGTATTGAATGGGCAAGTCAAATGGAATGGCAAAAACAATTTCCTGGAAAAAAATTTGATGCCGATGATCCTGATCAAGTTGATTGGATGTATAAAGTAGCTTTGGAAAGAGCAAAAGAATTTAAAATTGAAGGTGTTACAAGAAGTTTAACTTTAGGTGTTGTTAAAAATATTATACCTGCTATAGCGTCAACAAATGCCATTATAGCAGCAAGTTGTTGTAATGAAGCTTTTAAATATATAACAAACACAAATCCAATGTTGAATAATTATATGTTGTATTCAGGTGATGATTCAATTTTTACATATACATATTCATACACAAGAAAACCAAATTGTCCAGTATGTGGAAATATAGCTAAAAACATAGCGGTACAAAATTGGTGGACATTACAACAATTTATTCATGAAATAAAATCAAAACAAGAAATTCAAATGTCAAATCCAAGTTTATCAATTGATGGTTCTTTACTTTATATGTCAAATCCACCAGAATTAGAAAGAATTACGAAACCAAATTTGAGTAAAAAAATGAGAGATTTAGTTGGAAATGGTAATGAAATTGTTATAACTGATCAAAATTTACCTATTTCATTAAGATTTTTAGTACAATTTGAAGGTAATTATAAAGATCCGGAATTTTTATAATTAAACTGATTTTTTAAGAATGGGAATTTTTATAATTAAACTGATTTTTTAAGAATGTATATATTGAATATATTAATTCTCTAAACTATCCATTTCTTTTAGAACTTCTTTATTAAATTTATTAATATTATCAAGATAAATATGATGACCACTTTTATTAATAATTTTGACATCACTTTTTTTAGTACCCGAAAGATTATTAATAATATTTGAACACAATTGACCACCTTTTTTATCCATCCAATCACCATCACCATACCACCAAGACATTTTACAATTTAATTTATGAATTCCTTTTTCAATTAAAGGATGTCTCGCATCTGCTCCAGGAGCCAATAAATAATTTAACATATATTCTCCTGATCCATTACCTTGAAAAATTCCATAAGAATATTTATGTAATAAATTGGATTCTTTTATTGACAATTTTGCAAATCTTCTTGATGACCAACCACTAACTAATTTTGAACCTAATACTCCTGATTTTCTAACTATTGAAAAAGGAGAAATATTCCTTTCCCATAATTTTTTGAAGTATCCTGGTATAGGTATTTGTTTTCTATGTTTTAATATTGCACCTGGTGATACCATTAATATCTTTTTACAAAAATTTGGATCTCTATAAATCCCATAATATGCCATTAAATAAGCACCCATTGAATGAGCCATAATTAATAGATTTGATTTATCAATGTTCTTTTGTTTAAACCAGGATTCATAAGAATTAAAAAACCAATCTTCAACTTCTTTTAAATTTTTTGGATGAAAATGAGGTCTTGAACTTGATCCATACCCAAATAAATCAATAGCATGAATACACCAATCATTCCTTGTTGCAATTTCATCGAAATTTTTTATGAAAAATCCTAAACCTGCTCCGTATCCATGAATCATTACTAAATGTTTTAAATTCTTCAGATCATTTTCTGATTTACCAGGTGGATAAATTACAAATTCATTTATATAGTTCCCTTTATCATCTATTGGCACTTTTAATACTTGTGAATTTCTACCTAATTTATCAGCATTAGGATAGAATGGTAAAGTTGATAGCAAATCATGTTGGAATTTTAAAGAATCATTTCTCAATTTATAATGTTCAATAGATTCTGATAAACTTAAAGGAAAATTATTACTAAAAATTTTTGAAAGTGGAACTGAAGTTGGATGAGTTGATTTTTTATATAATGATTTTGAAGTTGATTGCTTTGATTTGGGTTTAATTCTTGGTTTATGTTTTGTTTCAGGTTTTGTTGTAAAATCATCAACTGTTATAACACTTGATTTTAAAACATTTGAATTTGTAGTTGTTTTTGATTCTAAATTTGTATCCTTTTTAGGTAAATAATTAAATATATTATTAAATGAAAAAGTAGAAGAATTTGAATATATTTGTGATAAACTAAAGAATCTTTTACTTATCATATTTTGTTGATACTTTGATCCCCACGTTTTCCTATGGTATTAAATTGAATAATTAAATCGAATTAAAAATTGTTCTCAAAAATCAAATTATTAAATAGTAAAGATAAATGATTGTAAATATTAAATCATTAATGAAGATTATAAATTATGAATAGATGATTTGAAATAGTAAATATTCCAAATATAATTTGTTGGTTGCAAAAAAAAAAAAAGTTGGAGTAAATTTGATAACGTGTTTTAAAATCAATTATTAATAATGTGTTGCAAAAAAAGGAAATTTATAAACAATAGACAAAACCCAAATAAATAATAATTTTACAGTTGAATGAATGTTGAAATAAATAAAATTATAAAGAATGACTGATTTGTTTTATTTTCTTATTGATGATGATGATGATGATGTTAGTTTATTTTGAAAGATCGAAATCAAAGAAAGTACTCAATAAATAAATCTCCTCCTCAATAAAAATTTTTTTCATTTTATTTATTTATTTTTTAAATTTGAAAGTTTTTATTTAATTGCTTTTTTTTTTTTCTTTAATAATTTTTTTCTCGTACAAACAATTTTATTGTTAATTATAAAATTTATAAAATTTGAATGACTATCTCAAATAAAGAAAAACTCAACAAATATTATTGGATATTTTTCTAATATTTACAGTACTAATAAGTGGTTGGTTACAGAGTATTGAGAATGGCTTAAATAAACTTATACTTAATGATTTAAATCTTTTATCTGATAAAATATGATTTTATTCCAAAAATCATTAAATTGAATAAACAGTATGCCGCATATAATTTTCTATATGCAGTATTTATGGTGATTGTATTTTTGGTCTCGAGTGGCTAATAACTTTTTTAATTTCTTAAAATAAACCAAATTCATTTCAATTATTTTGGAGATCTTCTCATTCAACTTTGCCTCAAACTGTCATGGAATTTATTTCATTCCATAGTTTATAACTAATTTAAATTTTACGGCAATTCAACTTAAACTCCATTTAAAAGTTTATGGTATTTGATCTATGAAGTGCTATTTATCAATACTCTATAATTAGAAGAGGTCTACATATTGTTTAAAATTACTTTTTTTGACTTTTGAGTAAGTTTTAGAGCAATGTAATTTCACTTCTTCATATGTTAATAGCGTTAGCATTAATGTATTTTTTGTATGACAAGATTTTATATGACATGTAAATCAGATGTCATTAAGATAACTTTGGCCCAGAGCTGAGGTCAGTTGTTCAATGACCTAACGAGTTTGGTGAGGTGGTAATACTAGTGTGTTCTGTTCCCTTTTTTTTTTGTCGAATTATATATTTTCATCCTTAAAATTCACAAAATAGGTTAAAGATCTTTTAGATAAGAAATTTTTATCAAAAAGATCAGTAGTACATAAAATATCTCGCTACGATTTAGCCCAACAATACTTTAGTATTACAAATTTCGAATTACTTTTAGCTTCAAAATTTTTTCAATACTTCAGAACAGTATCATCAAAACAGGGGCAGATTTTCTTGTTTAAAACGAAAATGAATAGAGAAATAAAGAAAGTAAGCAATAGGAAGGAACTCTCGGGTCCTATTATATCAAATTGACCAATAGACCAAACAATGAATACTTTTATTAGCATGAGTGTATATCTTAGAATATGTCATATCTCATATAAAATGTCAAAATTCAAAATCCAAGAAAAAAGGGATAAATTGTTGGAGTAACAAAGAATTTTTAAGGATCAATAAAAGTGGTTAGTAAATTTTTTGACAGCCAATTGCACAAATGTTTTATAAGCACAAACATTTTAAGATTTGAAGAACTAACTATTACAAGTTTTATAAAATTAGTCAATGCATAAACAATAATTAATTAATCTTTCATTAATGTAAGGCTGTAGAGAAATTAAGAACAATTTAACCAATTACAAATTTGTAAAAAGAAAAAAAAATTTTGAATGAAGATTTTGAGACAAAATTTAGTTTTATTCTTCTTCTATGGCTCAAATAACTTTTCAAGCTTCTGGCTAATGATATCAATTATTTAAATTCAAATATTCAATTGAACTTGATTACTTATTCTCCAATAAAGAACCTAAGACTAATTCAATTGAGCAGAATGAATAATTTTGATAAAAAAGTACGGATTAATGAAGAATCATTAGTCCAGTCAATCTTATAAATTTGCGAAAATCGCATTAATTTATTAAAGTAAAGTACTATTGTTTTATGCTATTATATCGAAGCACTTTAAATTTTCATGTAATAATTTTGAATTAAAATTTTTATTCGTCTCTTATTGGTGAAAAATTTATTAATTGAGTTACAGAATGAAAGAAAAAAAAATGCATATGCATAAAATTTAAATAAGTGTCTGTCTGAAATGTTAAATCAATTGAATAAACATAACCAATGACTAAAAGAATATATCTGCAAGACAGTGTTTTGAAAACAAATGAAAATACCCTCATTACAGATTTTGTATCATTTGATTAATTGATCCATCCTAGGTTTAAAAGAGTACAAGTAAGATTATCAAAACGATCAATGTCAGATCTCAACACAATTATTTATTTTTTGAATAACATAAAATACGAGCTGTTGCAACCTAATTTCTATAACCAGGAAGAAATTAGTGACTTCTATCGAATTGAAATTCTTTTTGTTATACTCACTTATGTTGAAATGTAATTGATAATGAATTTGACCAAGATCTACCACTTTGAACCATTTGACCTTGAAAAATTCTTATCGTTATATTTGGCTTATTGTTCTTGTACGAGTTTGGTTTTATATGTTTTAGTTGCAAGTATATATGATTTAATTAAAATGTTATTTATTTGTAGACCCCCCATTTTTTCCTGTAATAAAATTAAAAAATGTCTGAAAAATTTGTATTATTTAGATGAAAAAGATAAAAAAAAATAAACTTTTTATTTAGTGTAAATTTTGATTTTAGTTTTAACAAATAATGAGTCGATATTTTGTATTAAATTTACTACTATAATAAATTATTTTTTGAAATGGATATTACAAGTTGGGGTTATATCTAACATTAGATTGAGTTATGATACAAACAAGTTCATAACTAATTCATATGTTTTGATTTTGAGCTTTAAAACGATATTTTGATTCACCAAATTTGATAAAATTATATTTAAATTCAAATTTTTGTCTCACTTTTTCTTTTTTCAAAAAATACCAAGAAAATAATTTTCAATTCACCAGCCAAGAAAAAATATGGAAAATTTTTATCAATTTCATCAGTAATACACATAAAACTTTCAACATTAACTTGTAGTAATTTGAAATAGGTATATATAAACAAGTCCAAAGTAATGTTATTTTAACTCTTTTCTTCCCTTTTTTTTTCTTCTTTTCTTGGTTCTTTGGTTCTTTGGGTCTCAATTTCATTAATAAAGTAGTAATAATATAGAATAATAATCATAATTTCAATAAGTTAAGAATAGAATTAAAAACAAAAATGAAAAGTCCCATAATTTCATTTTTAGCAATTTTTTCAGTTTTTGCAATTGTTTTTGCAGAAACTCATACTTGGTGGTATGAAGCAAATTGGGTTGAAAAAAATCCTGATGGTTCATTAGTTAATCCTGATGGTAATTTTCCAAGACCAATGATTGGTTTTAATGGATCTTGGCCATTACCAACTTTAAGAGTTAAAAAGGGAGATAGAGTTCAATTATATTTAATTAATGGTATGGATGATAGAAATACTTCATTACATTTTCATGGTATGTTTCAACATGGTTCAAGTCAAATGGATGGTCCAGAAATGATTACACAATGTCCAATTCCACCAGGTGAAACATTCTTATATAATTTTACTGTTGATCAACAAGTTGGTTCATATTGGTATCATTCACATACTTCAGGTCAATATGGTGATGGAATGAGAGGTGTATTTATTATTGAAGATGATGATTTCCCATATGAATATGATGAAGAAGTTGTTTTAACTTTAAATGAACATTATCATGAATACTCAGAAGATTTAAAACATAAATTTTTAAGTAGATTTAATCCAACTGGTGCTGAACCAATTCCTGCAAATTTATTATTTAATGAAACTAGAAATGCTACATGGGAAGTTCAACCAAATACCACTTATTTATTAAGAATTATAAATACTGGTAGATTTGTTTCACAATATCTTTGGATGGAAGATCATGAATTTACAATTGTTGAAGTTGATGGTATATATGTTGAAAAGAATACAACTGATTTATTATATATTACCGTTGCTCAAAGATATACAGTATTAATTACTACAAAAGATACTTCAGATAAAAATTATGCTTTCATGAATAGAGTTGATATTGATATGTTAGATATTATACCAGAAGATTTAGAATTAAATGGTACAAATCATATTGTTTATGATAAAGATTTACCTTTAGCAGAACCATATCTTTTAGATTCAATTGATGATTTTTTTGATGATTTCTGGTTGAAACCATTGTCAAAAGAAAAATTATTAGAAGATGCTGATTATACTATTACAATTGATACTCAAATGGATAATTTAGGTGATGGAGTTAATTATGCTTTTTTCAATAATGTTACTTTTACTATGCCAAAAGTTCCAACTTTATTATCTGCTTTATCAGCTGGTGAACATGCAACAAATGAATTAGTTTATGGTACAAATACAAATTCATTTATTTTAGAAAAAGATGAAATTATCGATATTGTTTTAAATAATTTGGATACTGGTAAACATCCATTCCATTTACATGGTCATGTTTTCCAAGTTATTGAAAGACATCAAGCAATTGATGATGATCAAGATCCAGTTGCTTATAATGCAAGTGATCATGCTGAATGGCCAGAATATCCAATGATTAGAGATACAGTTTATGTTCAACCACAATCTTATATGGTTTTGAGATTTAAAGCTGATAATCCAGGTGTTTGGTTATTCCATTGTCACATTGAATGGCATTTAGATCAAGGTTTAGCAATTCAATTAATTGAAGATCCAATGGGTATACAAAATAGTTCAACTCAACAACTTACTGAAAATCATAAACAAATTTGTTCAAAAGTTGGTGTTCCAATAGAAGGTAATGCAGCTGGTAATTCAACAGATTATTTGAATTTAGATGGTGAACATCTTCAACAAAAAAGATTACCTACTGGTTTTACTCCAAGAGGTATTGTTGCTTTAGTATTTTCATGTCTTGCTGGTATTTTAGGTTTAGTCGCTATTGCTTTCTATGGTATGCAAGATATAAATGATGTTGAAGAAAGAGTTGCAAGAGATTTAGACGTTGATCTTGAAGATGATGAAGAATCTAGTTCAGAAATAATGAGAGAAAATTCTTCTACTGGTAATTCATCAACTCAAAAACGTTAAAATTATTGATGACAAGATTAGAAAAATTTTATCTTAAATTAATTGACATTGATTTTTGAAGTAGGAAGAAGTTTTAAGATTGAAGAATAAGTGTGTGCGTAAAGGTGATTCCCGAAAATTGAAGATAAAGAATACCTTTTTGAAGTAAAACTTTTAAACTACGACAGATACATCGAATTAATGAAAAGATAACAAACTTTGATGACGCTTTTTAATGATGCTATTTTTTTGACTACTACAATTATTATTACTACTTATTTTTATTAAATTTGAGATGTAACCCCAAGAAAACCCCCAAACCCAAATCCTTCATTTTAGATTTTAGATTTTATGTGTAATTGTATATAATTTTTAATATAATATTCCCGTGTTATATAACATTTTATAAGGATTGTAATAAAATTGAATCTAGCACTAAGCATGACACAGTAGTGTAAAATGGGTATTTTGTGCCAGTATCAACTTGAAACAAAACGTGAAACATTTCCTATTGCAATAATTTGGTTGCAAAAAATATTTTTTATATGGGATGCAAGCTTTTGAAATTTGAAAAGCTACCAAATTATTTCAAAAATTTAAAAAGTAAAATGATCAAAATTATCACCACTTTCAAAATACATGCCTGATCAGGTTCACTTTTATTAAAATATTATTATATGAAATGAAGACTCATAACATTTACATTCATGTATTTAAGCCATTTATTGTAATAAAAGTTGAGAAATTGATTTTTTAGATTATTTAATTTTTAAGCCTAATTGCATAATAATAGGACATTAATATGCAGTTTTTGACAAATTTATTTACTAACCATGAAACTGCATTGACAATTCTTCATCATACGTATAGTGTAAACTTTAAAAAAACATATGTTTAGACAAAGTCTAAGGGATTTAAATGAACTTTATTTAATTTAATGGCATAAGAATTAACTAGAGTGATGACATTAATTTTATAAATTTACGAATAAAATATTGTATTAATCAATGATTGGTTATAATAAATCAAGCATTTCTTTTTTCTATATTTGTTCTATTGTTTTATTCAATTTAACAATTAAAAAACAATTTAATAAATTATACATTATCTGATTAAATCAGTTAAGGTTAAAAAATCTGACACTTTTTTTTTCTACTTATTTCTTATTGTTTGAGTTTGAAATTTTATTGTACAAAGTGAAAATTTTTTTATCAGTTCAGAATACTATTTTGTATAATTTAAAATTTTTGAACATTATTATAAATAAATAAAATGTTCTACAAATTTTCTTCAATTTTAAATAATTTTCAATTGTTAGTTTCATTGGTATTACTATTTAGTTTTATTTCATTCAATTCATACTTAATTCTATAGAATTGTTGAGTGTATATGATTGTTAAACTCAATTAGATAATTACATCAATTCAATTCAATTCAAATAAATATTTTAATTTAATTAAGGGATTATAAGCCAAGAAAATATTTTATATTTGATACAAAGTTGATAGAATTATACGAGGGATTCATTATTATTATTATTACAACTTATATTTAATCTTGGCATCAATACATTAAACTAAAAATAGATAATATGAAATTTTTGAATATTTTACCAATATTCTTTTTATCATCATTAATTTTTGCAGATACTAAAGAATGGTGGTTTGAAACAGGATGGGTTGAAAAAAATCCTGATGGTTCATTGATAAATCCTGATGGTGTTTTTCCAAGAAAAATGATTGGTTTCAATGGAACTTGGCCATTACCAACTTTAAGAGCAAATAAAGGTGATAGAATTATATTACATTTAATTAATGGATTTGATACTGTTAATACAACCTTACATTTTCATGGTATGTTTCAGCCTGGATCCTCACAAATGGATGGTCCTCCAATGGTTTCTCAATGTCCTATTCCAACTGGAGAAATGTTTACTTATAACTTTACTCTTGGTGATCAAGTTGGTTCTTATTGGTATCATTCACATACTTCAGGTCAATATGGTGATGGTATGAGAGGTGTATTTATTATCGAAGATGGTGATTTTCCATATCAATATGATGAAGAAGTTGTTTTAACTTTAAATGAACATTATCATAAATATTCAGAAGAATTGATGCCTGATTTTTTGAGTAGATTTAATCCAACTGGTGCTGAACCAATTATTGATAATATTTTATTTAATGAAACAAGAAATGCTACTTGGAACGTGGAACCAAATAAAACCTATTTATTAAGAATTATAAATACTGGTAGATTTGTTTCACAATATCTTTGGATTGAAGATCATGATATGACAGTAGTTGAAGTGGATGGTATTTATGTTGAAAAAAATACAACAAGTATGCTTTATATTACTATTGCTCAAAGATATTCTGTTTTAATTACAACAAAAAATTCAACCGATAAAAATTATGCTATTATGAATAAAGTAGATGATACAATGTTGGATGTAATTCCAAATGATTTACAATTAAACGGTACTAATTATATGATTTATGATGAGGACGCTGAAAAACCTGGTCAAAATTATGTTGATTCAATTGATGATTTTTTAGATGATTTTTATTTAGTTCCGTATGATAAAGAACCATTATTAGATGATGCTGATTATACGGTGACGTTAGATGTTCAAATGGACAATTTAGGTAATGGTGTCAACTATGCTTTTTTCAATAATCTTTCATATACTGCACCAAAAGTTCCAACTATTTTATCAGTATTATCAGCTGGTGAGCATGCAACTAATGAATTGGTGTATGGTTTGAACACCAATACATTTGTATTAGAAGAAGATGAAATTGTTGATATTGTTTTAAACAATTTAGATACAGGTACTCATCCTTTCCATTTACATGGTCATGCATTCCAAGTTATTGAAAGAGGTCCAGCAAGAGAAGATACTGAAACTCCATTAGCATTTAATGCAAGTGATCATGCAGAATGGCCAGCTATACCAATGAAAAGAGATACTGTATATGTTCGTCCACAATCATATTTTGTTTTAAGATTTAAAGCAAGTAATCCAGGTGTTTGGTTCTTTCATTGTCATATTGAATGGCATCTAGATCAAGGTTTAGCTGTTGTATTTGTTGAAAATCCAAATGCAATTATAAATAATTCAACTCAACAGATTACTGATAATCATAAACAAATTTGTGAAAAAGTAGGAGTTCCATGGCAAGGTAATGCAGCTGCAAATACAGATAACTACTTAGATTTGCAAGGTGAAAATGTTCAAGTTAAAAGATTACCTACTGGATTTACAGCAAAAGGTATTGTTGCTTTGGTATTTTCATGTGTTGCAGCAATTTTAGGTTTAGCAGCTATTGCTTATTATGGTATGCAAGATATTAGTGATGTTGAGGAAAGAGTTGCTAGAGACTTAGATGTTGATTTAGTTGATGATAACGGTGTACCATTAGAAGTTGAAGATGAAGTTGATAGAATTGAAGAAAGTTCATCCACTGATAACTCAACTCGTAAACATTAAGAAAATTAGTTTTAACAACTGTATCAAAAAGTAGAGGATTGAATAATTTGTGTGTGTGTGGAAATGACAATTCGAGAGCAATGAAATATCATTTGTCATTTTCTTAAATTCTACTTTAATGGTAACATTAAGTTGTTTTGATAGTTTCAAGATTTGATATAAACATTTTAACCCTTCCCCCAATCCCTCATCCTGCAATAATGAAGTTTTATGGTTTAATTTTTTTAGTTCGTGTATAGTTTGTGATAGTTCTTATCTAAATAGTCATAATTTAATATCCCGGTAATTAAAAACATTGTCTTGTAAATATTGAAAATTTGCTTGATTGAAGTTTGTTGCAATTAAATTGTGCAACATATTTTTTCTGTTAATAATTTTACCTAAGTCTTACATTTTACAACAATTTAATACAACAAAATATCAATTGCATAGTATGATCGAAGCATTGTATATATCAGATATAAGTAATGTTTTGATCTATGAATACTCAAATAAATTATCACTACCGAAGTTCAAATCAATCTTACCAAAAATTCAATCACAAATAAACAATTCATCATCTTCAACAACAACTCATATATCCATCAACTCTTCCTACTACATAATACAGCACAATCATTTGTCGCTAAATTTCTATGTCTTATGTTCAAATACATATAATACAAACCCTATAATACCTCATACATTCATACTAAGACTAATTGAAACATTACAAGACTATTTTGGAGAATTAAATAGTAATAAAATAGAAACTAATAATGATATTATTACGTTGATACTATACCAAATGCTAGATGATGGGATGCCAAACATAACAGATTTTAATAAAATAAGAGACTTAGTGAGTCATAATTCATTACTAACTAAAATACTAAATGAAGCTTCCAAGACTACTGGTATTGCACAAGATACAAAATTATCATTTCAAACAGATATACCATGGAGACGAAATGATGCAAAGTATACGAATAACGAGATGTATGTGGACGTTATTGAGAATATTAGTTTGACTATAAAGCCAATTGTCAAAAGATCAAAATTAAATCAACAACAATATGATTCAGCTTTCTATTCAAGTCGTCAAAACGAAAATATCGTGGACAATTATATTTTAAGTGGTCATATTAATGGCCAAATTGATTTTATAAGTAAATTAAGTGGTCAACCAACTTTAGAATTAATCTTAAACAAAATTGGCTCACATTTGGTTTTACCAAGATTTCATAAATGTGTAAACTTAGATATGTTTAAAGAAAGAAAAGGAGTGTTATCATTTATCCCACCAGATGGAAAAAGCACATTAATGAAATATCAAATCGATTTATGTGATGATTCCACTACAAATAAAGAGAAAATTAATTTATTAAAATTGAATTGTATCGATACTCAATTTTTAGTTCATGATAATTCAACAGATTTTGAAATTAAACTTTTCCCAGCTTTAATGATTAATAAAATTGAAAGTATAACGGTTGAAATAGTATGTGAAGATCAAGAAGATCAAATAAAAGTAAGTAGAATAAGTCATGGAGATTTTCAAACTAGAATCAATAACAAACATGAATGGAGTATGAAAGATTTGAAAAAGGGAGTCATACCAATGTTGTATGGAACCATTACAAGTAAAAATGACCAAGAAACTGACAATAATAGTGAAAAAGACTACAATTCAGAGAAATCACCAGTTGCATCAACCCAACCAAGAAAACCTTTATATATTAAGTTAAATTTCACATATAAAGGTCTAGTACCAAGTGGTAATAAAGTAGAAAGTTTGAAAATAACAAATGCAAAAGGATTAGGTGATAATGTTAAACCCTATAAAGGTGTAAAGTATATAACCAATTCTGGTGAGTATATAGTAAGATCTTAGCATCTTCGTTTAATTAATCTTCACGTCCATGTATTCGACCTTTCGTAATTACAAGATAATAAGTTAATATCATTTGTTTTTAATCATTAATTTCCATTTATTGACCCTTTTTATTATACAATTAATATTATAAAAATACTCACATAATTTATTGAGTTTTCTTCTTACTTTTCTGTTTTTGTTGATTTTTAATTAAGACTTTCCCAACAAATGTTCCAACTCCCAAACCAGCAATCAATAATAATAATAAAGGTAATTTTATTGCATAATCTCTTGGTAAAAAAAAATTATTTATAATTGAATCTGAATCAATAAATGGTAATACAAATACCCAAGTTGAATAATATATGAAAACAAATGTAGCTACAAAAAGCATCCCCAATCCAATTAATTTATCAACAGCCTTTAATTAAGTTAGTATAAGTCACTCTCAGCTCAATTGAGGTCCTTCCTGTTACATACCATCTTTATGTGTGTATAAGACTTGAAATGTTTATTAAAAAGTAATGGATCGTAAATTAAACTTAATAAATTAAAATATTTAATACGTGTCAAATATTTGATTAAGTAACACTACTTTTTTCAATTTTTCCATACAACTTTTCAGTTTACTGACAACTTGTTAAAACTGTTCCTACTCTTGATGGTAAATTACATTCATATTTTAAGCACTATTGGCAGATTAAGAGAGGATGTCAGATGAGTTTTGAATGAAAGAATGACTGTAATACCTCATATTCACTGCCACGCAGTTGGTAGCTCTAATATTTTGAAACCATAAGAAATTAAAAATGGATTGAATCAATGTGATTTTTGTACTTCCGATATTTTCGATCAACTTCAGCCTCAAGGTTGTTTTACTCAAATGTTCTCCAAATTCAAATCAAAGAAGGCACCTTTATCACTAAACTCAATATCAAATGCTATAAAAACTCATGGTTCGAAAAGTTTATCACCTGAAGAAATAAATCCTAAACATATTGATGTACAAGTTATAAATCAATTAGGTATACCTGAGAATTCAATAACAGCTATTGCTTATGATCCAATACAGTCTTTATTAGCAATAGCGACTAAAAAGAATGATGTAAGGGTATACGGTCAAGTAAATGTCGAAGTAGTATTTCAATTCAATATCAAACATCCAATAACTGATTTGAAATTTGTTAAAGGTGTATACCTACTATGTTCATCACCTGCATCTGGTTTAACTATTTTGTCATTGCATTCAAAACGTATATTGGGTACTTTTTCATTCCCAGGAACTGTAACCGCAATTGAAACTGATCCATCTTTGGATTGGGCTGTATTCGGATTAGCTAATGGAAGTTTAATATTTTATGATGTTGATAGATTAAATTTAACACCTTTTAGAATTGATAATTTACAGAAAAAAATTATGCCTAAAGAGAAAATGTCACCCGTAGTATCAATAGAATGGCATCCAAGAGATATTGGCACTTTATTAGTTGCGTATAATCAATGTGCCATAATTTATTCACTAGTAACTGGAGAAATTAAAAGTGTTTTGACTTATCAATTATCGAAAGAACACAAAGGTTTTCAGTATTCCACTCATATAGCCACTGGTGGTAAAAAAAAATTGTTTGGCTCCCTGAAAACTATTATTCCAATGATAAAAGAAGCACATTTCCATCCAAATGGTTTACATGCAATAACAGTACATAATGATAATACTATAGTATTCTGGGATATAGATGGTGGCAAAATTATCGAAGCTAGAACATTATATGAAACTCAATTACATAGACCTGGTGCATATTTAGAAGTTCCGATAGCATTTAATCCAATAGAAACAGTTAAGTGGGTTTGTGGAGAAGATCCTGAGAATACAAAACTACTAGTAAGTGGAGGTGACCCAGACGCTACAAACACTATAAGTGTACTTGATTTTGGTTACACATTAAAATATACTATAACATCCATAGAGAATCAAAGTAGATTTTATTGCAATCCGCAAGGAGGTCAAAGAAAGATACCCATTAATTTTTATCTTAATAATACCGAAATTACTGAATATATAACCCACATAGAGCCAATCACGGAAAACGGATCACCTTATTTCCATGGAGGTCATAATCCTTCTTTCCTTCTACTTGTGTCAAATTTAGGAAGAATGTATTCACTTTCATTTTCAGATAATTCTGGTGGTCAAGGAAGTTCAGATTTAGGAGCAGTAATTTTCCCAACTTCAATTGCATTAACTGTACCACCTTTATGTTATTTTGATGTTCAAGCTGTTGTTAGAATAGATTGGTATAGCATGATGTCAAGTAGGGTTTCATCAGGAACAAACGCTAAAATAAAACCCTTGTTGTTTGGTGGTTCTCCAGTTTCATTAACGAGCTTACCAAAATCTTTAGGCTATAATGATGGATTCAGAAATATAATGATTACAGGTCATGAAAATGGATTAGTCAGATTTTTAGATGTTACAAAAGGAGAACAACTGAGTACTGAAAGTGTTGTTCAAGTTAGTTTAAAAGAAACATTATATGATTATCAAAATCCTGCTAATTTAAGAGTTCTGCAAGTTTCCTGCTCGTTCCCAAATCGTCAATTATTAGTTGGCTTGGCTACTGGTGAAGTTGTTATTTGTAAATTCGGTAAGAATCCAAATGTTAAAAACGCTGGTATATCCACTAATAAAGATTATAGTGATTGTCCAATGCAACATACGAATGGAAGTGCCCTGTTACTAAATATTACTGGAAGAGTTTCTGGATCAGCTGCTCTGTCAGCAACTTTTTTACCATCGTATATATTGAGATTAGATCCATCAGAACCAATTTCAGTGTTGAAAATGAGTGATGCTGGTTTTGCAGCAGTTGGTTATAAATCTGGTAGATTGGTGGTTTGTGATATCTCAAGAGGTCCAGCAGTAATATTTAATTGTGACAACATAAAACAAAACTTAGTTTCTGTTGATGGTAAATGTTATGCTACAACAATGGAATTCACTATTATGGAATACGGAATGGATGGTTACTCATCATTGATTTTGATTGTTGGTACAAATTGTGGAGGTAATCTAATTTATTACAAAATAACACCAATGGGTAATGGTGGATTCAAAGTTGATTTTGCTGACAAAACTGCTCACTTGAATTATAGAACTGCTGACGGTGGAGATGCAGAAGCATCAAAATTGCTGCAGTTGATTCCTATTGATGCTCAATATGGTATGTCAGCTGTAGCAGATCCAAAGAGATTCTCACAATTAGGTACAGGTACACCAATTCCTGGATTCATAATTACCGTATCAGATAGAGATTTGAGAGTCATAAAATCTCCAAAAACAAAATTATCACACAAAGTTATTGATGATGTTTGTCTAAAAGCTAGTGTTGTTCAGTATAAGGATAAAGGTGTTGTCTTGGCTGTTTTGGTCAAGACGGGATTTATTAAATTAGTTTCATTACCAGCATTGCAAGACATTGCAAATATAAAATTACCAAAAGAAGCGTTCAACCATTTAAAAGAATCATTAGAGTCGGGAACTGCAAATCAATCAAACTTATTGTCTTCAGGTGAAATGTATCTTCGAGTTTCAAAAACTGAATCAGTATTCATTACAGCTTATGAAAAAACTCGTCAAAAGGGAGATATTGAAACTGATAAATTATTCAATCCAACAGCAATTATACCACCAAGACCTCTGGCAAGTACATTGTCTTGGGCTAAAGGTCAAATCAGTTATGTGTCTGTAGAAGATTTAACAATGTTAATAGCTGGTCCAAGTAGAAGAGCTCCGAAAACAGAAGAATCAACTTTAGCTCATAATATTAGTCCAGAAGCAAATCCTCAAGCTAATTATGGTGGTTATAATCCAAAACCTAAATCTGAAAATGCTTATGATCAACCAATAAGAAAAGGCGCTGCACCAGCTACAGGATTTGGAGCACAAGGTTTTATGAAAAGTGTACAAAATGGATTGCAAAGTGCTGAAGAAACTTTTAATGACTATGCAAATTCTGCAAGTCAAACTTTTACTGAGGGATTTGAAGAACAAAAAAAATCATTTTATACTTCTGCTTTACAAAGTAAATTTGGTTTTTAGATTATGAATTAAATTATGTTATGACTATATGATTGAAAATCTTTTTTTGCTTGTATACCATTATGCTCTCTTGACGTGCTCGTTTGGACCTTTCAATATAGATTTTGTATTATTTTGTGTTCAAAATTTTACTACTTTTCTTGCAATATTAGTTTGCAACTAAAATTTAGCATAACGAAGATTTGGCTATTTAGATATATACAAATCAATATATTTCTTTTTTAATTTTAACCAGTTTTTTTTCTCCAGTTGATCACCAACTTCTACTTTTATCCATACTACTTTTATCCATACAAATGAACTATTTATTTATTTAACTACTAACTTCAAAATTCTAGTTTCATTATCTATTGAGAAATATCTGTGAGACATTTCAATCACTTAAGTTTGGGAATTACTAGAGTTGACTATCTGAGAGTCTTTTCCAACCCTATGAATAGAATTAAAATTTTATCGAACTTGAGAACCAACCTTTTGAGAACAAACTTAACTAATTGAGTGAACTATGATTTAGATTAGACACTGGAGTGAAGCAAGTGAGATTTATGTTTATTCGAATTGGTTGACAGTCATTTTTGACTTTACCACTTGAGATACATGACTGTGAGTGGGCAGGTTGCTTGGTAGAGATGGATAGCTGATTCTAACTTAACTTTTGATTTCATACATATCATTATCGGGATAGTAACTGAAACAAAGGCTAAAGACTGCAGAAAGAGACTTCACAAATGCATCAAAAATGACACGAAATTAGCCCAAATCTGACTTGACACTAGCCACCAAAATAAGAAATCGGTTGCTAAGATTGAATAACAAAATTATCCCAGACATACAGAATTAAGAGCTTGACAGTTTAAAGTATATGACAATAAAATATAGAAATGTTTCAAATGAAGCTACCATATAAATCAAAGGTTATGCTCATTTTGCACCTAGAAAGGTTGCAATTATATAAAATATTGTACAATAAATATATATATAACAGTTAAATCATTAGATGCATTAGATCAATAACCAAAGTCGCTGGTAATTCAAGTGCCATAAACAAGCAAATGAAAAATCAAACTTTCTTTAAGGCTAATTTTAAACTTTATCCAATAAATTCGGACTTGAATTGTTGCAAAATCTTAACAAATAAAAATTTTTGTTTGTTAGTACTATACATCAAATTAAAGCTCAAAAAAGCACTGAGATATCAAAAGAACAAACAATGAATATCTAAAGGCACGAGAAGATCTAAACTATTACAAAATAGAGCGTTTCCTGTCTTTGAATGTTCCCGACAGAAATAAATCCGTACACACATAGTTTGCAAAGCGCGTTATACCAAATCTCTGCGCTTTTTGAAAGTCCAGCTAAAATTTAACACAAAATCAAATATCAAAACATACGAACAAAAAAATGTAAACATAAACAGGGACTAATAAAGTACAATAGCACTAAACCACACAAATCAATGAATAAAGAGAACATTGATCCATCAAATGATACCTCAGACGTGTCAAACTTACCTTTAAAGCTGATACATACCAACACAACACAAGAAATCAAAAAACCATCAAGTAGTGGAAATATAGACCAACATTTTCAATTAATCCATGAGACGAATTCAGAAATTCAGCAGCAATTATTTCGGGTAGAAACTTCAACTGCTCAGACAAATGTAGACCTAGAACAATTATACGTCAGATCCAAAAGTAATAATGAAAATTTGAACAAGTTACTAAAGAATATTGTTGAATATTCAAACGAAGTTATCACTGAAGGAAATGCAACAAAATCTGATATGAGTTTGATTATTAAAGCTTTAGAAGAAATCAAATCTAGCCATAATGGAATCAAAGACTCAGATCTAATCAAAATTAAAGATGAAATACACCTGTTTCTAGAAGAAAGGGAATTCAACGACATGGAAACAAAGATGGAAGTTGAAAAACTATATAATTATATCAAAGATAACGAACATAAGACCTCAACCCATCTACAGAATGAACTTAATAATATTTCAAAAGATAAGGATCACAGGCTTGACGATTTAGTCGATCAAGTAACCAAATTAAATCGAACTATAGGTTTGGAGAACTCTACAAAAAACATAGAACAACTACTTGAGACACTACTGATGAACTTTGACAATAAATTAAACTCAATTCTCAAACAACAAGAAGCATTAGAATTACAACATAAAATCGACACATTAGAACAAAAATACAACCTCCTCACAATCAGATATAATGAAAAATTCAATCAATTCGTGAATTTACAACAAAAATTTGAAACATTATCGAATCAAGTGAAACAAACACAATTATCAACCATTCCAATAACACAAATTGATAACCTCAAAAAATTCCACAAGACTAATCTACAAATGATTGATGAAAAAAATATAATGGTTTATGAAAAACAAAGAATAGTGAGTACTCCCATAAAATTTTCAAATAATTCAGATGATGAAAATAATAATAATGATGATAATGAACTATAATGACAAATTTTTTTAATATATATATACAATCTATCTACAAAATTCTATGTGTTCTTTGTAATTACATCTTTACCATCCATGTATGGTCTAAGCACTTCAGGAATTTTGATAATATCCAACTCTGGATCATAAAATTGTTCAATAATAGCAACGATCACTCTTGGTATAGCCATACAAGTACCATTTAGTGTAGCAACATGACCAATTTTTTCATCAGATACATTGTATCTTATCCCCAACCTTCTTGATTGATAGTCTCCACAATTAGATGAACTTGTTAACTCACCCCATGATCCTCTACCTGGCATCCAAGCTTCAATATCATATTTCTTCATAGCTGGTGAGCCTAGATCGGAAGTTGGCATATTTAATAATCGAGCTTTTAATCCTAATTCTTTGATTATTTGTAATTGAAAATCTTTAATTTCTTCAAGTTCTTCTTTTGATTTTTCCATAGTGGTAAAATGAAATAATTCAAGTTTAGTGAATTCGTGAACTCTATATAATCCTTTGGTATCTTTCCCACTTGCTCCTGCTTCTGCTCTATATGCTCTAGAAATACCAATATATTTTAATGGAAATTTTGTATTAGATGAAAAAATAGTTGATGAATGATATGCACCCAATGGAATTTCTGCAGTACCTGTTAATGCTCTTGGTTCATTTTCAATCTGATAAATTTGTTTCTCGTTATTTTGATCATTAGGTTTAAATCCACATGCATTTATTATTTCAGATTTGACGATTGAGGGTGGTGTTATCATTTTATATCCAATTGAACGTGCTTTACTTAAGCCATATTGGATCAAAGCTTGCTCCAACAATGCACCGTCACCTATTAAATAATACCATGATGATCCAGCAATTCTTGATGCGGTTGTAAAATCAACTATTCCAAATCTTTCACCAATTGATTTATGATCTCTCTTAGAGTCGCTTTTATTGAAAGATGACGCTTCTTCAGGAGATGTATTTATATAGGCCACTAGCTCTTCTTGAGTTTCTGATTGAGGTACAGAGTCATCAAGTAAATTAGGTAGAGCTTCAGCTTTACTGTACAACTCCTCTTGCAATTCTTTTACAAATTTTTCCATAGGTTTCATTTCATTTTTGATGTCTTTAAGTCTATTCTTTAGCACTTCGGAATTCTCATCTTTGTTTTTAATTTTATCAGCTAGTTCATTTCTTTCCCTCTTTAATGTGTTAATTTTGGTATAGGTTTGAGATAGTATAGGTCGATTTTTAGTAATAAAATCAATATCTTGAATTAATGAATTTGGTAATTGTCTTCTTTTGATCGATGATTTATACTCTTCTGATCTGGTTGTTATATTATTGAGATCTAATTGAGCTCTTAGTAATGTAGATGAGTTTTTGGTACCTGTACTAGCATATCTTAGTAGTAGTTTGCTTTTCGTCTTGAGCATTGATTGAGAATTCTGTATAGATTCTTTGTATTTTTATCAGGGCCCATATTTAGTGCAACCTGAAAAAGTATGTTGCAAAAGTAATAACCTACAAATTAACGCACCAGTTAGCTATAAGACAAGAATAAATACAACCACTCTACAATTCAATATTTATTTCTCCAAAACCCATTAATAAATATTTATAATAAATTTGAAATAAATAATACTATACAAACTAATATACAAATTTAACCAAGTAAAAAAAAAAATATGTTCAAAGTCATTTCCATCATCAACATTCCAATCATTATAAAAATTATGCAATAATTATTGTTCAATTCATCAAGTAAGAACCATTTCCAATTTCATCAATTTAATAAAACATGAATTTAAGGATTTTCTTCCACCATGGACTTCTTTTCCATTTTTCTTTTTCTTCTTGTTTTTCAATATTTAAAATTTCTTCATCAAATATAGTACGATCTAAATTAATATCAATTTCACTTAATGGAATATATAATCTCCAATTTCTTGTATATAATTTATGACAAACATAAAATAAAATCAAAACAATTGCTCCTAAATAATTTTGGAAAAATGCTTCAGCATTTGGTTTACCTTCTCCCTTTGGATATAATGCAATCCAAAATTGTGCAATTAATACTAAACCATACCATACTATAGCATAATATGATCCAATTACACCAGTTTTAGATTTATAACCTAATGCATCAGTTGAAATATGATTATATTTTAATGCAGCTCTAAATCTAACATGAGATATACAAATACCGCTCCAAGTGAAAATTTGTGATAAACCTGAAATAGCCAATAACCAATTGAAAACAGTTTCTTGTTTATCATAAGCTGCAATGAATGAGAATAATCCAATGATTGAACAAACAACTAATGCACGGAATGGTCTACCACGTCTATCAATATAATTAAACCATGATGGAGCAAATCCTTGTTCAGCTAATGATTGTAAAGTTCTTGAAGAAGAATATAAAGCAGATGAAGCAACTGAAGTAACAGACATTAAAATAACAGCATTAATAATTGATGGAACAGCTTTAACACCATGTAACGCAGCAGCTAAAACAAAAGGAGAAGCATGAGAACCACCTCCACCTGATCCCATTAATCTATCTGATGTATAAGGAACTAAAAGACCAACAATAGTTAAACTTGCAATCATTAAAACAATAATACGATAAAGAACTAATTTTGTTGCAATTGGAATAGCTTTTCTTGGATTTGGTTGTTCACTAGCACTTAAAGCTACAAATTCAGATTGTCCTAAAGCAAATGATCCAGTTACAAATACTGAACATAAACCTTTAAAATTTGTATAATAACCAGGATCATGCCAATATCTTCCACCAATATACTCCCCAGTTGGACCACCTCCAACATTAACTATAATACCCATTAAAATAAATCCTGTAATCATCATAACTTTACAAGTTCCAATAATAAATTCAGCTTCACCATATCCAGATGAACCTATAAAATTAATAACCACAATTACAATATAAAATATGGTAACCCAAACATCTGCATTAACACTTGTGTTCCAATAACTTATAGTCATTGCTGCAGTAACTAATTCAATTGAAATAACAGATAACCATTGTATACAATAATTCCAAGTTATAGCAAATGCAACTGAATCATCAATAAATCTTCTTGGATAATTATTATAACCACCAGATAATTCACTATAATTTACAGCCATTTCTCCAGCTGCTTGTAAAGTTGGATATAAATAAGTACCAACAATTGCAAAACCAACAATTAAAAATAATGGACCACTTTTATGTAAAACTGAACCAGTACCAACTAATAAACCAGTACCAATACCAGTAACTAAAGCCATTAGCATTAAATGCCTTTGACTTATACCCTTTTCCAATTGTTTACCAACTAAATGTTTTTCAGATTCATCAACTTTATTTCTACGAAATGAATCAGTAAATCTTGCAAATTTAGATTTTGATCCAATATCAGAAGAATCATCAGATGCAATATATGGAGAAGTATCTGAATCATTAAAACTTCCAAAATCTTCTGGTTTAACTTCTGGTGAAGCGGTTGATGATTTTTCTTTTTCTTTTGTAAAAACCATGATTAGAAAATAAAATTATTTGAAAGATATTGAATGCTATTAGAAAATCTAAATTGGTAAACAATGAATGATAAATATATAAAGATTTGTATATAATTAATTCTTTAAACTCTTGACTTTCAATTAAATTCTTGTGACTTTATAACTACGAATCTTGAAAAATAATGTAAATGTAAAATAAATTAATGATTATATAAAGCCCAAGCTATTGATAAGTACTAATAAAAATGATGTAATTAATGATTTTAGATCTGAATTGAGTGGAGTTGATCTTATTTTAGTTTAGAACAAGAAAGTTTCTTTGGTGAATACTTCTAATTAATTGAATTAAGAAATAATTATGATATTAATTTGTATTGGAAAAAGAAAAAAAAAGATAAAAATGAAGTTTATAAATATAAATAAATGATTACAAAAGTTACAATAAATCAATTATTTAGTTATCATTTACAAATCAAAGATCTAATTATAAAATTTAATTCTATTCATATTTAATATTGTTGTGAGTAATGAAAAATGCAAAAAAAAAAATATTACAATAACCCATTAAATTTAATGATTGCAAAATTATTTTTAGTAATCTTACATTAATTATTATTTAAAATTTTTTCATATTTCTTTTTTTTTTTAAATTTTTGAAACTTAAAAAGAAAAATATTTTTCTCTTTCTATTACCATTTTGATTCGGGTTTATATTTGAGAAGTAAAAACTATTAATGATTACATGACTTATTAAATTAGTTACCTAAAATCTGTTATTCAAAGTCGGGGGTTTTAAGAATTCAAAATTCGCTCGGTATAATAATTTTGAACACAAAGATTCCTATTATTTGGGTCATTACAACAAATTTGCAGCAATTTAAATTTACAAAAATATAATACAATATAAATAGATAAGATTAATTTAAAGGTGTAATTGTTTTACCTTCAATTGTATTAATTCCTTATCGTCTGATTATTATGTTTCATTTTAGTCAGATTAATGATTATAATGTTATTCATAAATCAATTTGTTCCTTAAATTTAAAAATCTGATAGTTTTAGAAATAAAGTTTTTTTTTCTTGGTCTAATGTTTCAAATAATTTTCTTTTTTTTTTTTCGTTTAATGTTAACTCTAAAGCTAGAGATGGTTATTGAAGGTTATGATCAGATCAAGTCTAGTGACTATCAAATCTTTAATTATTTATTGTTCATTCGTTGAATCTATAGATAACAGACTCAGTAATAAATATTATGCGAGATTATATAAAAAAAGAAAATAATTTTCGATTTACATTGCTTTTATTCAAAATAAAGTACGAATGCACTTATAGTAAACCATGTAAGTATTAGGAAACAATAATCAATTACACCAATTTTTATTGATTGGTAAAGTTACCGAGTTATTGATTGAAATTCAATACGTACAACTATGCACTTGTAATTCTTGCTCAATAGTGTTTGATTAATTTGCTTATCTTCAAAGTACAGTCTAACTTCACCACTCTTCTCCTCAATGAATTTAAGCCAACACGAATTCCATTCTGCATTTACAAATAAGCATCATAATCGGTATAATTTACATTCAGTTAAAATTATTACGGCAAATAATACTTGAAATAATTTTAATGGCAATTCTTTGAAAAGAATACAAAAAAACTTTTTATTCTTTGATGATGTCTTTTATAAATAGTACTCAGTAGTAAAAATAATTTCTTTTTAAATTTATGGCATTTTTGACATATTTTTTTTTTTCAATTTTGTGTTACATATTTGAAATATTTTTCAAATTTTGTTATGCCGCTAAAAATAAATTAGAAGAGTAAATGCCCTTTTTAAAAATTATTAAAAATGTAACAATAATTTTTTCCCTATTTCGGATCAATGTTATGGCATTCGAGATATTTACGGCTATTTAGTATTGATAAAAAAGTCCGAACTTAAAAATATATAAATGATCCGTTTCAAATATTATTAGAATTACTCCATAAAGATTTATTCATCTATCAACATCTCTATTATTTACTATATGCAAGTATATTTATTTATAAGTCTATTTACAAAGTTAAATTTTTACCAATAATTTCCATAGATGTTGAATCACCTTTAGCTAATTCTTTAATTTCTAAAGCATCACTTAAACATTTCCATGGATCTTTTGTACCACCCCATTTTAAAATATCATTTTTATATTTTAAACCAGATTGTTTATTCCATGGATCTTTAGAAAATAATGCATTCCATAATTTTTCAGCTATTGCTCTATCTAATAAATATGAATAATAAACTGCTCCATATGAAAATAAGTGAGGGAATTTTCCATGCCATGTTGAATATAAATCGGCAAAAATTTTTAAATTTTTTTCAACTTGATGATATATTTTAGTTGAATTTATTTCTTCTTGCTTACTTAATTTTTCAACTATTAATTCATTATGTAAAGTTTGATCTAATGTTGCCATTTTACTTTGCATAAAAGTTTCACATGATTGTAATATATTTCTATGGTCATGAACTTTTTGTAACAATTCTAAAGGTATTAATTCTCCAGTTTCATAATGTTTACCAATTTTAGTTAATACTCTTAAATCTTTACTAAATGATTCCATTAGAACTGATGGTATTTCAACAAAATCTGTGGCACATCTTGTACCTGATAAATTATGTAATTCAGTTCTACCAATCATTGAATGCATTGCATGACCCATTTCATGAAATATTGTATCTACTTGATCTAATGATAATAAAGTTGGTTTATTTTGTAAGGGTTGATTAAAATTACAAACTAATGATATTACTGGTAATTGATAATTTTTATCTAACTGAACTTTTGAATTGTATTCCTCTATATTTTCCCACTCATTCAATCTTCTTGAACAAACAATAGTAAAATGTGATGGTAATACTTTATGTGACCAAAAGTCAAGATACAAGTACCCCAAAATTTCATTTTTTTCTTGATCTATAACTTTTAATTTTCTGACAGTTTCATTATCCCATACTTCTCCACGTAGTGTTGCTTCAGGTACTAAATTTACATTATATAATTTTTCAAATAATTGATTTAAACCAGCAATAACTGTTCCCACCGAAAAATATTCGGATATTTTAGTTTGTAATTCAGAATCTTGTTGTTTTTGAGATTGAATTTTATTCAATAAATAATCTCTATCCCATGGTTTTAAATTATTAATAATTTCATCACTGGTCGAATCAATCTTTCTATCGTCTTTAACGCCATTTAAAGCTTTTAATTCTTCACCAACAATTTTACTTTTTAAGGATTCTTGTAAATTCGTTAAAAATGCCATTACGTTTTCTGGTGATTTGGCCATTTTGTGTTCTAATTGATAATGAGAAAAAGATTCATAACCTAGCATTTTTGATAATAATGCTCGATATGAAACAAAATTGTTTAGTATTTCAATTTGTTCTTTTGATGAGTTATGTAATGCAACCCAAATTTTTTTTCTTAATTCATCAGATTTACAATTAGTTAATAATGAATATGGTAAATGTGCAATTAATGGAACATAATATGAATTAGGGTTTTTAGTATGATTATATTTTGATTGATATTGTAAAATTTCTTGTTTCAAAGATGGATGTTCAATATTATTAAATTCATTTTCAGTAATTTCACACCAATTCGAGTCCAAACTACTTATCTCATTATTGAATCTTGAGCCCAATAAAGATATTTCTTGAGTAATTGCAACAAAATTTTCTCTAGTTTTTGGATCCATATGTATTCCTGATCTTTCAAAATCTTGTTTCAAATATTCTCCAACTTTAATTTCTTCATCAGTCAATTTTGAACTTAACTCTTTTGAATTTAAAAGTTCAACTAGGTTTTTATATAAATCAACATTTGTATTTAATTGATTCATATATTCAAATACAAGTTCATGAGTTTGTTGAGCTGCGTTAATCCATTTGTTACTTGGATGAACAACTCTTATAAATTCTGCAACATCAATCACTCTACATAGTATATCTGATAATTGATCTAATTTTTTTACATAATCTAGCTGATTTTGAGTTGATTTATTCTTGTCATTCATATCTTCTACTAAACTTTTAGCTTCAACCAAGGACTTTTTGGAAAAGTCTATTAGTCCCAGCGGTTTTGATAATAACTCATTTTTAAATAATCCAGTTTCTGATTTATTGAATGAAAATGGTGATTTTGTAGTCTTGGAATTTTCATTTGTGAATTTATAGAAATAATCTTGGTTGTCAAATATTCTTACTAAATGATTAGGTTCATAATTAATTCTATAGTTTGAAGATTTGTGAAAATTTCTAGTTGGTATCAATGATTTTAAATCATATCGTAGTAATCTACTTGATATCTTCATTTATTGTTGTCAAAAATTTATATGACACTCAATACATTTATAATTAGTTATAATGAGCCCAGAAGCTTTTAAAATAAGAATGACCAATATACAATAAGTGATTGAAATCTTTCCTGTTGTATTAGTTTGATAAATATTGTGTATACTAAGCTGATGTACTAACTAAATTGGTACAAAATAAAATATAAAAATAATATTATTATTACAAAATACGAATTTTCAATATTTCTGTTTAACAACAATTAAAATAAGATCTAACACGTACTAATTACGAAACAATATTCATATAATTCTTTGAACATTTTTCAATTCCTAACAACAAATTGCTTTTTACAATTTATAAATTAATAAACTTATAGATCAAATTGCTAAATAGTTACCAAATGAATGAATAAGTATGTCAAACATACCCAATTTTGCAAGACCAACAACTACAAATCCATCAAGAAATGGAACAATTAATGAAGTAACATCACAATTGTCTCAATCATATATACTGAATTCAAATAATAACTCACAACTGTTACTGCAGCAGCATCAACAATCACCAGCCCTAAAGCGTAAATCTGCTAGAGACTATCAGTTTGGAGCGAAAATTGGTGAAGGATCATATTCAACCGTTTATTCAGCAATTGACAAACAACACAACAAAACCTATGCTATAAAAGTATTATCCAAAAAGCATATAGTAAAAGAAAATAAAATTAAGTATGTGAATATAGAAAAGACAACACTTCATAGATTAGGTCAACAACATCCAGGTATTGTTCAATTATATTATACTTTTCAAGATGAATCAAGTTTATTTTTTGTATTGGATTTTGCCGAATATGGAGAATTATTATCAATTATACGAAAATTTGGATCACTATCTGAACAGGTGTCAAAATTTTATATGTGTCAAATATTAGATGCTGTTAAATTTATTCATCTGAAAGGAGTTATTCATAGAGATTTAAAACCAGAAAATATTTTGGTAAGTCATGATCTTAGTATTAAAATTACAGATTTTGGAGCAGCTAAATTATTGGGAGAAAATGATGAATATGGTGAAAAAATTGATTATACTTCTTATGGAAATAATGATGTTGAAGTCAATGGATCAAGTATGAAGGAAAGATTAGGATCATTTGTTGGAACTGCTGAATATGTTTCACCAGAATTATTAAAAGAAAACATTTGTGGATTTGAAGCTGATATTTGGGCAATTGGGTGTATATTATATCAATTTTTCAACGGATCACCTCCATTTAAGGGCAATACTGAATATCTTACTTTTCAAAAAATTATAGATGTTGATTATACATATATATCACCAAAACCATTACCCAATGACGTGATTGCATTGATAGACAAAATATTGGTATCAGAACCTACACAAAGATTAACTATTCCTGAAATGATGTCCTCAAATTGGTTCCATGATGTTGATTGGAGAGATGAACGTTTTATTTGGAATAGGAAAGTACCCAAATTTGAAAGTTTTGACTCCGATGGTTCAATACAACATGCTCCTGTTACTTTCAAAAATGGATCGAATAGAAATATGAATAAATCTAATTCGTATCAACAATTACAAAATCAAATTCAAGGTTCAGATTTTGGATTTTTACCTACTGTTTCTGCCAAAAAGTCATATAAACCCGCAACAATATTAAGAAAAAATAATTCACCAACAAAGATCAAGGATTCAAATATGTTGAATAATAATTTCCAACCTAATACACTGCCAATGCAAAGACAAACTATACAACGCTCGGTACAAAATTCACAACAACCACCATCATTTCAGCAACAACCACAACAAATGCAACAACAGATACCACAATCACCACTCCAGCAACAACAATTCAACAATCAAGTCAACAATAGCAATAACAATCAAATTAACAAAAACAATAATAATAACTATAACTATAACAATTATAGAGTCGTGGAACCTCAAAGCCAAATATCCATACAACAAAAACAATCAATATACAACAATCCCTCTGAGCCAACTAATATTAGAAACAACACTGCATTTCAAAATATGCAACCAATATCATCTCCATCTCAACCTCCTGATAATGGTCAATTTCAAAATGTTCAATCACAGCCCTCATCATCAACGTCTAAACCTCCATTAGTAACACAAAAATCACAACAATATCAACCATCTCCAACTTTCTCCAAACCTACCAGAAAAAGTAAATCACCACAAGGGTCACTACAAGGGTCAAAAGTTGAACAATCTGAACAACAATCTGAGTCTGTTGCTTCAAATGCAGCAGCAGCAGCCGCTTTCGCTAGTCAACGTCAAAAACAAAAAACTTCATCAGCATCTGGATTACCTCAAGCACCCTCCAGAACAGATTCTTCTTATTTAATAAAAACTACTCAACCAAAATCAAAGCAAAAACAAAGCATAATAAATTTTCGAGATATTACTTCATTACTTAATCAAAACGAAAAAATTTTAAAAATGGATTTATTATATAAGATTAATCTTAAAAAACAAAATTTAAATATACAATATGATATTTTAGATGATTCAATATTAGAGCAAATCATTTCAAGGAATAAAGTGGTATTGGAACAAAATAAAAAATTAGTGTTAACGATTATTACTAATATGGCTAGATTATTTTTTGTTGAAGCATCATTGGAAGTAATGTTGGTTGATTTAAAAGCAAATAAAGGAGCTGATTGTTTAATGTATGATTACGAATTTGAAACCGATGACGAAGAAGAGGATAATTCAAGTGATAATTCATTAGGTTACTTAATCATAGAGTTGGTAAAAGATGGTGGAGATTTAGTATTTCTTGAACAAATTTCAAATGATGTAAGAAAAAAATTACCACAAGTCATCAAAGTAAATGATAAAACAAATAAAGAAGTATCAATTGGATCAGATCATGGATGGATTGATTGTTTATTAATTGCTCGTGATACGTCTTCTTCTGCTACTACTACCCAACAATCAAAACCTACTACAACACGATCTAAATCTCCATCAACAAATTCAACTACAACAAATAATAGTAAATCAAGAAGATTATCCAAAAGAAAACTGAATGATAGTAGATCAACTAAATCATTACTGTCGCCTAAAATTAATCAACCAAATCATTTTGCAGCTGCAGCAGCTGCCGCCGTTAATATTAATAAATAGACCCTTTTTCTTAAATTTTGATTTATATCTAATTTATATACAAATATTATTATACATAAATCATTTCAAGTCCTGTCATATCAAATCAAAGACTGTAATAATTTGTGAATCGTACTAACATATGACAAGCTCTTTACTCTTCTATTTATACATACTACAATTCATGTAATAAAATAGTTTCAAAATTTATTATAATTCAAATTTTCTATTGTTAATCAAATTTGAAACATTTTATTAAGAGAGAAATTAAATATTATTATAATATTAAACAAATTACAAAATATATAAATTACATTATTATTCAATTTTTTATTAATCACCAATTCTTTTGATCAATCAATCAATATATATCAAATCAATACAACATCAACACAAATATATATATATGGAAGAATCATGTCAAATTTGGAAGATATAAAGCTAAATCCTTATTCTTTAAGAGTATTTTTAAATATTGGATTTCAACAATATATAGATAATATTGTAAAGAATTTAAGCGAAGGAGAAGATAAAACATTATATTCAAGAAATCAACAAGATTATGATAAACTTGAATCAGAATTTCACTTTATTTCTCAATCTATTATGACTACTATAGATAGAACTGATTTTGATGAAGCAAAATATTTACCTAAATTTGATATGAATAATAAAAATTCAACTTTATCAATTGAATCTATTGAAAATATATTATGTGGAAGAAATCTTACCCCATTTAGATATACAAAAGTTAAAACTAAAGATTTAATATTAAGAGCATTATTTAATCAAGATGAAGAAGTTTTTATAAATAATCGTGAACAAGTTGCATCAAAAATATTAAATATATTATATTTAGTATTAGAAACATATCCTGAATTTAAGTTTATTGAAAATGATTCAAATAAAAGTTTAGGCTTATATTGTTTAAAATATCTTGAATCAGTATCTTCACTTTTTTCATCATCATCAACAAACCAAGAGGAAAATGAAGTTTTATTTACATCTGCATGTAAATATTTAAAAAATGATTATTCAGAGGACATACCATATAATAAATTTTTTGAATGTTTTGAAACTGTATTTACAACTATTTTAAAATATATAATATCAAGTTCAAATTCCAAAAATGAGTCAAATTTTGAAACATTTAATAAATTAAGAGAAATAGGAAATAATCTTATGTCATTTCAATCATTTGGTCAAGCTATAAAAGTTTATACTGAAGCATTGACAATTGAACCAAAGTATAATTATGAAGAAGATTCTCAAATTTATACTAATAGAGCAATTGCATTTATAGGAATTAATTGTGTTCCAGAAGCTATTGATGATTTAAATTCCGCGTTAGTTATTGATAAAGCATTCGCTCCTGCATGGACTCAATTAGGTTATTGTCATTTATATATGGGTAATGGTTTAATGGCATTAGAATGTTATTCAATTGCATTAAAATGTGCTGTTGGTGAAATTCTTCCCTATAGATTCCCAAGAGATAAGAAAATCGTTGAAGAATATAGAGAATTGAGACAAAAGACTATATTACCACAATTTGTTGAAAGATTAAGTGCTGCTATAGCTTTAACTGAAAAAAGAGCTTATCAACAAAAAGTACCAGAAGCTAAAATTAAAAAAATTGTAAGTGAAGTAAGAAAAACTTTAGCGCATTTAAGAGCAATTGGTCCAGAAGGTGATAGAGATTATTTTACATATATGCCAGTTTATAGAGATTCCACTTTGAGAAATCTTTCAGAAAGAGCTAATGCTAATAGACCAAATATCCTAACACCTGAAGTTAGTCAAAATATGTTGGCTAGAAATGGAATGGAAACTGCAACAATTACTCAAATAGATGCAATTCCTCATAATGATGCACCTAGAGCAACTACAACTACTACTGGAGTATCTGGACCTCCCAATAATAACAATAATAATGGACCAAGATCAAGAAGAACCAATGGATTTTCGGTAACTGCTGTTGATGCAGATGGAAATCCGGTTGATGGACTTCCAATTGGTAATATCGCAGATTTTATTGATGAATATGACGAAGGTATTGAAAATAGTAATAATAGAGGTGACAATAGAGGTTTAGGGGGACTAAGTCAAAATGTAAGTGAGCTTTTGGGAGCATTTACTCGACCACAGCAACAACAACAATCAGAACAACAACAACAGCAGCAACAACAACAACAACAAAATCAAAACACAAATCAAAGTCAAAATACCAACCCCAATACTAATACCAATACCACTACAAATGAAACCACGAACACAAATGAAACTCCAAATCTAAATCAAAACCAAAATCAATCAAATGTTCCTCCTGATTTTAGAAGCATATCGGATGCTATAGTTCAAGGTTTAGGTAATGTATTTGGTCCTTCTATTTCAAACACATTACAAAGTATGGGAGTTGGTACAGGTGGAACATCAGGTAGTAATGTTTTCGTTAATGGAGTAGATGTTACAGCAATAGTCAGAGATTCAGTTCGAAATCATTTTGAAAATCAAGATCAAAATCAAAATCAAAATCTAAATCAAAACCAAAACCCAAGAAATGGTTCGACTCTGTTTCAAACTCATGTTCAAAGTCAAGTTCATTCCGAAGCAACAAATTCAAATCAACAACCTTCAAATACTCAACCTAATAACTCCACTACCAATAATCCAAATACTTCTTCATCCACAAATGCAAACACTGAGCAAACTAATAATCAAACTCAATCAGATCAAGATCAAGATTTAGATTTGGATTAAGTGGATAGAGTTAAAATAATAAAAATGTCTTCTTTTCTAGTTTAATAATATTTTTACTACATTCCCATCTCTTTTCTTTAGTAATAATTTCTTTTATTAATAATATACAAACCTCATAAACACCGTACTATAAAAATCCCTTTTCTAGTTTTAATCCTTTTTTGATTTTTTTGATTTCTTATCTTTCTTCTTTGATTTTTCTTCACTCACTTCATCATCATCATCTCTTTTTCTTTTCTTTTCCTTTTTATCTTTTTTATCTTTCTTGTCTTTTTTATCCTTTTTATCTTTCTTATCTTTCTTACTCTTTTTATCTTTTTTATCTTTTGATTTAATTTCTACTTTTTCTTCAACTTCTTCAGTTTCTGATTCTTCATCATCTGAATCAGCAACATTATTGTTTGTGATTGGAGCATCAGCATCAACATTATAAGCTCTTGCTTCCGTTATATCTATTTTTGGTTGTTGTCTACTGACTTTTGATGTTGTTCTCATATCTCTACCTTCTAATTGACTTAATCTATTTTCAACTTTTGATCTATTTTCTAATCCAAAATCATCTGAATCATCTCTTTCTTCATCAAAACAATCATATCTTACTGATAAAGCTGCTTTTGCAGCTAATACTCTTGCAATTCTTCCTTTATTTTTACCAGTTGCTTGACCAACTATAGATGCATGATAAATGATACCATATTTTGGAGTATCATGTTTTGTTTTCAAAGCTCTGAACAAAGCTTTTTCAGCTCCCAAAATTTGTATAGTTGAAGCAGGAGCTTTTGCTAAAGAAATCAATGAACCAGCATGAGCAATAAATCTTGCACCAACTAAATCACCAACCATTGTAGTTAAATTTGGAGCAATAGCTTTCATTCTTGAACTTAAATAATTTGATAATTGTTCTCTATAAGCAGCTAAATCAACAATTTGTTCAGCTAATGCTTTAATATTATCTAAATCATTTTCAGTAATTTCTGTACCCATTGAAACTTCAGCAGCAGTTTTAACTTGTTCTTCAATTTCTTCTGGTAAAATTTCTGATAATTCAATTTCTGAAGCATTTGATCTTATACCCATTGTTAATATAATCCTTGCATATGCAACTGAATCAACAACAATTTTAGCTAATTCAGGAAAATGCCATCCATACCATTCTTTACATCTCATTGCATAAGTATTCAATTCTTTATCTAAATCATCTAATAATGCAATAGCTTGAATAATCATTGTATCAACTTTATCAGCTGAAAATTTTAATTTATGACGTCCAATAGAATGAGCTAATCCCAAGGACATTTGATTTAATGATGAATTATCTAATCCTGGTAATAATTCAGGTAAAAATTCTTTTATAGCTCTATGTAAATCTAATGAAGCAGCATCAGATATAACTTGAAAATTTAATCCCAATTTATTTATAGCATTACCTAATTTAGTTTCTGATACAATCAATGTAGATTTTTTGTCAGTCTTGGAATCTTCCAATAATTTCTTCAATGAATCTGATACTTTACCTTCCATTATAGAATTTGCTTCTTCTAATGCATTTGCTGCACTTTGAAATTTTTCAAATCTATGAATTTTGAATTGATCAGTTACTTTTTCTAATGAATTTAAATCCTCAATTAATGATGAAGATTTATGAATTTTTTTATCTGATGCTTTTAAAAGTGCATACCCTGCTGCTGTTTCTGTTAAAACGTAAGCCATTTTATATTATCGTGATTATTTGTACGAATGTAGTTGTGAATGAATTAATAAATGATGATATAATTATTCGACAAAACTGAAAAATTATTGCTTCAACAAGTTTTTTGAATAAATCTATGAATTAGTCTTTAATAAATTTAAGTTGATAAAACGGACAAGTAAACTTTCGCTAAATATGATGATGGGGTTGGTATATATGTTGGTTCGTTGGTTGATTAGAATAATATAAATTAAGATTCTAATTCTTTGCAATAATTAGATCTGAAAATTTTGAAAATGAGATGAGAAATTTTTGTTTCTAAAGTTAATTAAATTTTTTAGTAATAGTTTTTTTCTCACTCTCCATATTCTATTAAAAAAACTACATCTACTCAGAAGTTAATACTTAGTTGTACTTGTTGTATGAGTATATTAAAATATATTCAGTAGCTACTGATAGAATGATTGCAACCATAAAATAGTTTACCAACTGATCAACTAAATACATATTTGTGAAGTTGACTTTGTTCGAACTTATAAACGATTATTAAGGGTATGAATTGCTAAGAATAATTAAGAAGTATAACAGGTCTTCAAACTCAATTGCAGCATTCTATTTGATTAATTTATACTATTTTATAGTCTGAGATTGTAATCAGCTCTAGTATAGTTTTGTTAGACAAGTCTTGTGATGTTTTAAATTATATTTGAATTGAGCTACCAAATTTTTGCAACCTTTTTTTAAACAGTAAGTACCGGTGAACTTAATAAAGAAATGATACTATAATATTTGTATATCTATTCGAACTGAGTCCTAGAGTTGAACTTTACTTAACGAAGAGCTGTAATTGAAATATGGCTTAAATTAATGTGGTCAAATTTTGTATGAGTCTTAGCAATATTACAATAATAATTAAAACATATAGTAATAATTCTTATATATGACGCGTTACACGCTTTAAGTATGGTACTCTAATATAAAAAGTAAACAGTAAATATCATTTCTTTTATATTCAATCATAACTATAACTTTATCACCAATTTATGTCAATAAGAAAAGATAATGAAAATATAAATGAATATAATACATTACGTTCAACAAACCCTGAATTAATAATGCCTTTAAAAAGACCAAAAAAGCAATTTTTTTTCCCAATTGATAAATTAACTTCTACAACAACAATATCACTGAATAAGTCCAAAAATGAAGATATAATCAAACCAGTTGATATAAATACTTTAAAATCTTATCCCCAACCCATATTTGAAATTAAAAAATCAAGTCCCAAGCGCAAAACCAAAAGAAGAAAACATATTCAAGTTGTCACTGATAATTCTGATGATAGTTTTGATGGTATAAGATGGAAAGAAAGTCCTGAATCAAAAGATAGTCAAAAATCTCAACTCAATGAATTACGCGTTATTAAGAACAAGAACTATGTTCAAAATTCTTCATCACCTCTAAAAAACATCGCACAACTGAAATCAAGTTTGCAAGATGATTCTTCTAATGAATTATTATCAAAATATGGAACAGATTTCAACAATGTTTATATGATTTCACCACGACTTGTTAAAAGTCGATCAGATCTTGGAACTAAAACAAATGCTGGTCCATCAACTCTCAAAAGAACCAAATCAAGCGAAGGCGGGAGTCTACGACAAATTTCTGGATCATTTCAAGGAAAATTAAATAATTGGATTAATAAACTTGGTGGCGAAGATGATGAGAATTTATCTGAAGAGTCTGTACAAAAAGCAAAAGGAATCAATCAAACAATACTACATCTGTCCCCTACTGCCAAAGTTTATAATGATTCAATTCAATCAATAGATCCCTTTTCAGATGATGATGAAGTAATTAATTTACAATCACAAAAGAAGGAAGTAAATATTGAATCGAGCCAACCACAAATACTAAATTCCGAGCCAAATGATTTATCGGAAGACCCATTTTCAGATGACATTGACCCAGAAATTATAAATCTATTAAATATAAAAAAGACAAAGCAACAGATTTTTACCAAATCATTTAAAAGTGAAAATAATTTAAACAAAAATGATTCTGAGAGACCTGCATTTACTTTGAAAGAAGAAGAATTTGGTCCACTTGCATATGATAGATCAATGCTTAGAAGATACAAAATAAAATCATTTACTGAACAAGTATATTTAAAGTCCAAAAAGCAAATGATTTTTGTTGTTCAAACTTTTAATGGTGAAGAATCAAAATTAATAGTCAGAGGTGAATATTGTGAATTAAATTATCAACCAAATGACATAATAAACATCATCATCACCGATCATCAAAATCCGAATTTGATCGATGACACCCACAATTTACTTATTTGGAATCCAGACATTATACTTTCAGCAACTACTATAGCACAACAAATATCTTGTCCTAGAAAAAGTGTGATAACTTCAAGATATAAATTTCCAGGTTCAACCAGCATTCCTTTAATTGTTGGAGAAATTGTTCATTTAATTTTCCAGGAATGCATGATAACGGAAACTTGGACTCTAGAATTCATGAATGAAGTTTTCGATAACATAGTAGATCAATATTTAGTCAATTTATACAGTATTGATAAAACTATTGGCGACGTAAAGGATGAAGCTACAAAACATTTTGCGTATTTAAATACATGGTTCACCAAATATTATAAAAAAGTACCAAATGCAAATACAATGATTGAAGACTGGTTGGAAGGTAACAAAATAGGTTTTGGGGTTCAAGATATACTAGATATTGAAGAAGAAATAAGATCACCGGTTTTTGGTTTGAAAGGTAAAATTGATGCAACAATTATAGCAGCGTTAAAAAATCAGAAAATAAGAGGTAATTATCTTTTCCCAATGGAGATTAAAACTGGTAAAGAATACATCAATCATAGTGCTCAAGCTTCTTTATATGCTTTGCTATTCAAAGATCGATATGATATGGACATTAACTCATTTATTTTAGTTTATACAAAAGAAGAAATCACCAAAAAATGTAACATAAGAATATCTGATGTGAGATCGTTGATCAATTTGAGAAATCGAGTATCGGAACATTTTAAATCAGGATTAACGTTACCGGAAATAATTAGAAGATCAGATTGTGAAAGATGTGATGTTTTAGCCGGTTGTATGACTTTAAATCATTTAGTTGAAGATGGAACAGCAGAAAATTCAGGATTAAAAGAAGATGATTATACTATGTTGACTTTGGGATTATCTGATCCAAATTTCAAACAATTTTTCAAGTATTGGGATTATCTTATAGCAAAAGAAGAAGAACTTATGGGAAAAGCTATAAAGCAATTGTGGACAGTTCCATCTCATACACGTCAAGAAAGAGGAAAATGTTTCAACAATTTGAAAATAATTGAATCAAGTGATGATGATAATCTGATTTTCTATTATGCAAATGTTAAAAGTGAAAAAACGAATGCAAGACAATTTTTATATACATTCACAAAAGATCAAGACTTTAAAAACTCTAATTTTTTATCTTCAAAATTTACGTATAATGACAGAGTTATAATTAGTGATGAAGATGGTCATTTTGCTGTTACAACTGGGTTTGTAAAATCAATTTCAAGACTGCAAATAGTCATTAGTACCAAAAGGAGATTGACTACTCATGATCAAAAACTCAAAAATTTCAACAAAGTTAATAATCAAATGATTGAGAGTTTAATTCATGGTAAACTCAAATTTCAAGAAAATGGGAATAAAAGATTTATTCTTGATAGAGATGAAATGTTTTATGGTTTAGGTTTAGCTCGATATAACATTTTGAGTTTGTTTTTGACTGGCTCTTCTCCTAGATTTAGAGATTTAATCGTTAATTTAAGTCCACCAAATTTTTCACAACAAGATTTTGAATATACAGGTGATATCAAATTCAATGATTGTCAATCAGCAGCAATGGAAAAAGTATTTTCAGCTCAAGATTATGCATTAATATTGGGGATGCCAGGTACTGGTAAAACCACATTAATAGTTGAAATTATTAAAACAATAGTTTCACATGGTCAATCAGTCTTACTTACTTCATATACTAATTCAGCTGTAGATAATATACTTTTGAAACTCAATGACAAAAAGTACAAAGATCCGAATGTTAGAATTTTGAGAATTGGTCATCCACTGCGAGTCAACAAATCATTACATGATTTCATTCCAGATTTTAAAGAACCGATAAAATCACAAACTCAATATCTTGACACGTATTCATCACCAAATGTTATAGCAACCACATGTTTAGGAGTTGCAGATCCATGTTTTAATTTAAGAAATGAATTTGATTATTGTATTGTTGATGAAGCTTCTCAAATTACATTACCGATAAATTTAGGTCCTATTAGTATGGCTAAAAAATTTGTATTAGTTGGAGATCATCATCAATTACCACCTTTGGTTTTACATCCTAATCCGGAAGTTAAAACTGGTCTTTCACAATCATTATTCAAAATATTGGCAGAGGCTAATCCGCAAGCTTTATGTGAATTAACCGATCAATATAGAATGTGTGAAGATATTATGCAAGTTTCAAATGTTTTGGTTTATGACAATAAACTCAAATGTGGATCAGACGAAGTAGCCAAACAAAGTTTAAAAATACCCAATCCAACTTTTATTACAAATTTGTTACAATCAAATATACCCAATAAACATCAATGGATTGACAACTTGATATTTGATGAAAATAAAAAAGTATTGTTTTTGAATCATGATGATATGCCAGCAAGAGAAACTGTCTTTGGAGAAACTGTTCAAAATCCAGTAGAAGCTAAATTAATTTATCAAATTGTTAAAGCATTGGTTTCTTCAGGAGTAGATGAAGATCAAATTGGTGTTATGTCATTTTATAGATCACAATTAGAACTTTTGAAAAGAAACTTGTCATCAAAAACTGATCTTGAAATATTAACTGCTGATCAATACCAAGGTAGAGATAAGCAATGTATTATTATTTCATTAGTAAGATCAAATGAAGAACAAAATTCAGGTGATTTATTAAAAGAATGGAGAAGACTTAATGTTGCAGTTACAAGAGCCAAATCGAAATTAATTATACTTGGTTCAAAGTCAACATTATCTTCAACTAGTATTACAAATACTTTTGTTGAATTTTTGGAGCTGAAGAGCTGGTTATATTCACTTCCACAAAATGCTGATGAAATTTACGATTTACCACAATCAGTAAACAATTCACCGATTAAAAAATCGCAAAAAGGTTCAGGAATTTTGAGACAAAATCCAATGCTTAAAAATATATTAGACGATATCAGTAAATAGAATATACAAAACCTTCATCTATTGTGATTTGTCGTTAATTCATGTAATCTATATACAAATAATACATTTATCTATAGTGCAAAAAAATGAAATTCCATATTACCCCTTCTAAAATCAAATTGAAACCCGTTCCAATTGAAATTCCACCCATTTTGTACAGCATTATTATTATTATTATTATTACCATTTCCATCTTGAGGTTGATTACCATCAGGTTGATTACCACCATTTCTCATTCTTCTAAATTGTCTTATAATATTTTGAACAAAGAAGATCAGAAAAAATGCAAATGTCAATGATATAACTAGATAGTCTCCAATGTCATAAGTTTCAATATAATCTGAATCATAAGAAGTACCTTGATGGTGAGCATCCGCTCTTGAAACTGCATCTTTGTTTAATTGTTGTTGTTGTTGCAGTTGATGTTGTTGTTTTTCTCTATTTGCTTCTTTACCTATCTTTTTAAATGAGCTTAACCAACCATGATCAACAGGATCGTTTATCAGATTCACAAATGCTTTTCTGTTGAATAAGTATTTAAATCTTAATCTTAATAAAGCCCAATTAATATGAGCATTGCTATAAACAGATTTTGTTTGAGCATTTTTCCTGTCATAATCAAATTTTTCCTTGTATTGTAAACTTAAATCGTAATACCTTTTAGCTAAGAAATAATCAGTTGTATTACTTGCTGATCCAACTCCATATTCATACATTTCTGCCAATTTATAAGCTCCATGTGAAGAATGTCTATCAGTAGCTACTCTAAAATAGTTAAATGCTTTCTCATAATCTGGAGTAATTCCAATATTGTTATCTTCACCTGAATAAATATTTCCCAAGAGAATAGTTGCATCAACATTTGCTTGTTTTGAAGCTTTATCGAGGTACTGTGCAGCAATATCAAGACGTGGAGAGCTAAACTCTTTTGGTTTTTGCTCTTGTGAATATAATGGCTGTAGTTGGTAAAGTAAGTATGCAGCTGATATTTGAGCTTGTTCAAAACCTTGTTCTGCAGCAATCAGATACCCAATTAATGCATTTTTATAGTTTCCACTTGCTAGCTCTTCAAATGCATATCTTAAATGTGGAGTGAAGAATTGTGATAATCTCTTAACAAATTCTCTATAATACATTGTAGTTTTGGAACATGAAGTTTTTTCTTCTGGATCTACTATTGATGATAACCCTGACTCTAAGAAATTACCAACATAATATAATGCTTCAGTATTACCTAAATATGCAGCTTGTTTCATATAGTTATAAATATCCATTTTATTTTCACTAATATGAATATCGACTGGTTCATCAATTTTCATTAATAATTTAGCTAAATTCTTTGTACCTTCGGCTGAGCTCTTTTTAGCAGCTGCTAAATAATATTCTAAAGCTTTTGATGCATTAGCAGGTCTTATTAACCCATTCTCTTGTATATATGCAAGATCGTTCAATGCATCCAGTGTCGTTTGAACTTTAGTTGACATGTTCAACAATCTTTCTGCCATTATTGGATCTTTTGGAACTGACAATCCTTTTAAATACATTTTAGCTAAACTTGTTTGACAAGCACTCAAAAATAATCTATCCATTTTATCCATATTTCTGTACTCTCTTGACCCATAGATCTCTTCTCCCAAATTTACACATTTTTGAAATTCTATTCTTGCTCTCGTCAAGTTCCTTTGAGTAAAATAGTCACCTTTTAAATTTTCCAAACCATTGTAATAAAATGATGCATACTCGTGCTCATTTGAATTTAATCTTGTTTCTTCAAAATGAGTTTTCAAATCTGCATACAATTTAGATGGTAATTCAATTGATGACACGGATTCACTTAGTTTTTCACCAAATAGTCCACCATTAAAATCAGATATTCTAATATTATAATCCACATCTCTTGAGTTTCCAGAATCATTCAACCATTTAAATCCATACTCAGCTAATTTCGAGTAATAAGGTAATGCTAACTCACAATTTGAAGGTACTTCAATCCCCTTTAGGTGTCTAAAAGCCATTACCAATAAGGCGTTCAAATCTCCATTTTCTGCTGCAAAATGATAATATAAATTTGCTTTCGCTTGATCTATAGGAAATTCTCCAAATAATCCAGTTGAATGGATAAATCCAAGCATGAAATAAGAATGACCATTTGGTTCAATTGAAATAGATGTTTCATAACAAGATTTTGCTAAATTATAATCTGTAGGACATGAATAATTACCAAACATATATATATCTCCAAGTGTTACTAGTGCCTTGGGATTATTCCTCGAAGCTGATTTTTCTAGAAGCGGTAGTACATCATTGGTTAATTCTGACGGTACTTCAATTTGTAAGGTAGACTGATATTGTCTTGTAGTTGAATTATATGGAGGTATTATTAGATTATTTTCTATATTATCTGCATTATAAATATATGATTTTTTATAAGTCTTTGATAAATTATCTAGTCGCCTTATTGCTTCATTATAATCAAAATCATCAGATCCTATTACAACATCACTTTTTAGTAGACATAGTATGCATAAGCTTATAAATTTTAACCATTCGAATTTCATAAATAGTTTGTAAAATGAAATGAAAATGTGGAGATTTGATTATGTAGTTATTATACTTTATAGTGAAACTTTGTAATGAATATATTTATTTATAAATGACTTCTATTGCTTGAGCTCTGTTTGAGACTTAAGGATCCTCCTGGTGCTGTAGAATTGATCTTCGGGTTGAATCTTTTTTTTAATTGTTGTATAATTGTATATAATTATATAATTAATGAATACACGTAATACTAAAATTTGTGTTGTGTAATGATAAGATTAAAGAGAGAGAACTTCTAAATTAATATTGATTTCGAATTGGCAACACCTTTTTATAATAATTAATTACAATTAATATAATAATATTATAATATATTAAAATAATATCAATACATATCTAATAAAGAAAATTAATTTAATTTAACCCTTTGACTCAATAAAATAAACAAATTTTACATATTCAGTTTCACATTCACAAATCTACATGTTTGATAATCAAAAATGGCTAGAATAAGACTATCAGAATCACAGCAAGATATAAAAGAATCGAATGAAGCAATATTTCGATCTGCACCAATGACATTGGTACAATTTTATGTCACAATTGAATTAGCAAGAGATATGGTAGGAGTACTTGGAAATTTAGGTTGTGTACAATTTAGAGACTTAAATTCAAAATTAACACCTTTTCAAAGAACTTTTGTAAATGATTTAAAATCAATTGATCTTATGCTAAATCAATTACATTTTCTTCATTCAATAATGTTAAAACAAAATACTATAACTGGTGATATATATATTAATTTAAAAGCTGATACTAAATCATTACCTACAACTTCCGAAATGGATCAATTTAAATTTAAATTAAATGATTATTTTGAAAGAATAAAGCATTTGGATGATTCATACAATAAATTAGATTATCAAAAATTGAAATACATTGAAAACAGAAGTGTTATAAATATTGTAAATAAGTTTCATAATTCAAGTCTAGTTGATAAAAATGAGGATAATAACAATGGAAATTTAACTTTTGATGATGATAATGATCTTGATGATAATATTGCACTTTTAAATGAACAAAGAAATAATAGTTTAGAATTGGGACTAGAGATTACCAATCTAGAGGATTCAAATTTTAATACAATTGCAGGTACAATTGCTAGAGATAAAATTCCAATTTTAAGAAACATATTATGGAGAACTTTAAGAGGTAATTTATATTTTCATGACATTGCTATAGATGAACAATTTCCTGAAAATGATAATTCGATAGATTTAATCTATAAAAATGCATTTATAATTTTCATACATGGTGATTTATTGAGATCAAGAGTTAGAAAAATCATTCAATCATTAGATGGTATAATATTTGATAATGCCTGCGGTAATGTACAAGCAAGAGAGGCAACATTAGATGAAGTAAACAAAAAAGTTGAAGATTTAACAAATGTTGTAAATAGTACTAAAGATCAATTAGTAACAGAACTAAAAGTTTTCCAGGAATTATACCCTGATTATGCTTTTATTGTACAGAGAGAAAAATTGATATTTGAAACATTAAATAAGTTTGATGAGGATAGTACAAGAAGATGTTTAGTTGGTGAAGGATGGATTCCATCAATTGATTTTGAAAAAATTAGGGGAGCATTGAGGAATTTGATTAAAGAGAAGACAAGAAGAAATAGATCAAGAAATTCAGCAGAATCAATAAATATTTCAGATACTTTTGAATCGGAGACTAATATGTTTATAATTGATGATGAAGATGGGAACGAGGTATCAGGATTTGAAATTGACGAAAATAATGAAGAACTTGGTTCATTAATTGCTGTTGTTAATGAACTTTCAACAAACAGAACTCCTCCAACATATCATAAAACGAATAAATTCACAGCAGCTTTCCAACTGATTATTGACGCGTATGGTATAGCAAGTTATCAAGAGGTAAATCCAGGGCTTGCCACTATCATAACCTTCCCTTTCATGTTTGCAATTATGTTTGGTGATTTAGGTCATGGGTTCATTGTACTATTAGGTGCGTTATATTTAATCAAAAACGAAGTTTCATTTGGAGCTATGAGAAATAAAGATGAAATTTTTGAAATGGCTTTTAATGGTAGATACATTATACTATTGATGGGACTTTTCTCGATGTACACAGGTTTGATTTACAATGATATTTTTTCAAAATCGATGGCAATCTTTAGCTCAGGTTGGGAATATAAATTTCCTGATAATTATGATCCAAAACTAGGTGGAACTTTAACTGCAACTAAGATACCTGGTAAAACTTATCCATTTGGACTAGATTGGGTTTGGCATGGAACCGAAAATAATCTTTTATTTACAAATTCATACAAGATGAAACTATCAGTTTTGATGGGTTATATTCATATGAACTACTCATTGATGTTTAGTTTGGTAAATTATTTATTTTTCCATAGAAAAGTTGATATTATTGGCAATTTTATTCCTGGGTTTCTTTTCATGCAAAGTATATTTGGATATTTGGCTTTAACTATAGTATATAAATGGTCAGTTGATTGGTTTGGAATAAACAAACAACCTCCTGGTTTATTGAATATGTTGATAAACATGTTTTTGTCACCAGGATCAATTGAAGAACCTTTATATCCAGGTCAAAAATTTGTACAAATCGTATTGGTTCTAATTGCATTAATTTGTGTTCCATGGTTATTGATTTATAAACCACTAACTTTAAAAAGACAGAATGATAAAGCTATCAAATTAGGCTATTCGGATATACATTCTCAAAGACATCACTCAATAATTTTACACGAGGAGGAAGAAGCATTAAATTTGGAGAATGAGTTAAATAATGATCCAATCGATGACTCCTTTAATGAAATTGAAGATGAAGATTTTAGATTTCCAAATGATATCGAACCAATGTTTCATTCAGCTGGAGCTCATGGAGATGATCATGGAGAATTTAATTTTGGTGATATTGTAATTCATCAAGTAATTCATACTATCGAATTTTGTTTGAATTGTGTTAGTCATACAGCATCATACTTAAGATTATGGGCATTATCTTTGGCTCATGCTCAATTATCCACAGTTTTATGGTCAATGACAATACAAAATGCATTTGGTAAAACTGGAGCAGTTGGTATTTTAAGCACTGTTGCTTTGTTTGCAATGTGGTTTCTGTTAACTGTCTGTATTTTAGTTTTGATGGAAGGTACATCAGCTATGTTACATTCTTTGAGATTGCATTGGGTCGAAGCAATGTCTAAATTTTTTGAAGGTGAAGGATATGCTTATGAGCCATTCAATTTTAAAACTATAGATATATAGCAGTTTTGCTAGTTACTAGAAGAAAATAAAACACACATTTTTCGTATTAGATTCAAGTTTTATATCGTTAGTTTGTAGAATATTTTGTTGAAGTCTAAATTTTGAAATTAAAATTTAATTCTACACTCCTAATGAATTAACTTTTACGACATTATTGTAAATAAAAATTGCGTGGTAACTTAATCAATTTGGCTTAATTACATAAGTCTAGAAGCATGCGCTGTGTAAATTACTAACTACCAAAGCTTTAATTGACTCAATTTAAAAACAAATTTAGTATTTAATTATGCCAACATAGATAAAATTAACAGAGAAAAAATGATGTTTCAAGTATTGTTCAAAAAAATAAATTAATTTCTTCTCAGTGCGAAGAAATAAAATAAAACTTTAAATCTGAAACAAATTATTTTTTAATAAAACAATAGATTTAGCAATATTGAACTTATTGTTCACGAATTAGACGAGACTTTGATATAATATTTAATTATAATTGCACAATAATATATTCAAGTTTTTTCTTCAAAAAAGATAAATATAAGACGACATCTTTTGCTATGTCAAGATCAATTATTGAATTTGAAACACTATAACAACATACTTTGCTTTGCTTTTGTGATTGTTTTTTGGTCATTTTTTTGAGCCCTTTACTCAAAACAAAAATTTCATAGGTGACAATTTACTTCCTAAAAATGTCATGACATGCCACACAAGCTATAAATTGCTATGGACGCTAGTGTGATGAATCATGTTCAATACAATTCAAAGAACTATATTTATTGTTATCTTGTTTATCCGTGAATTGCTCATAATAAAGTCAAAGGTACAGTAGATCATAAAAGTAACTGTTAAATGCCGTTTGTTTTACCTGTGACTTGATTCAATAGAGTGTTGTCTTTTATGAAATAGTCATTATTGTGTCTTTAACAAAAAGAGACAAGAGTATGAGCCAGCCAAAGAACTTCCGAATTAATTCATCATGAAAGCTCAATATAAAAGAGCTAGTTTTCATACTAAATAAGAACATTCACGTGCAGGCGATAATCACGAAATTCAATTGAATTATCAACATAAGTCGAAACGTTTCTAATATTTGCAATCTTGGTTTTTTATCAGGCTGAAAAATACATAAAATACTCTTTGAAAATTTAGCTCAGCGTGTCATTTATTGATTGCAAAACCTCAACAAAAAGTGCTCCAATGATTTCAAATTACCCCACAACTTTTTCTTAGTTCAAAATTAAAACTAGAATTAACCAAATCACGAAGGATACAAAGCTATAACTAAAAATCTAGATCTAAATTTTTTAGAACTAAACCATTATTTAGACACATTAGTCTCCAAGTTCACTGACAATGTATTTTCTGCGCTTTTTTAAAACATTGGATTAATAATATAACTAAACAAACTAAAGTGTTCAAACTCTATTAGTTCTGAACAATTAACTTGAGTAGAATCACAAATATTATGACTTTTGCAGAAAACTGTACTTGGAGAATTGGACAATAATTAAATTGCGACATAAACTTATCCTAAACTTATTCCCTGCTTCTAATAAGCTTGAAAAATGGCTTATCATCACAATAAAATAAAATATAATGTAAAATTACAATAAAGATCAAGTAAGTAATATCGCATTACATAAGTAGCTTGGTTCAAAGGAAGACTTTTTATGTTGTAAAAAAAAGACGTATTCGGTTACAAATAAGGATAATTTAAATATATAATTAAAAGTGCTTATCTTTGTTGTTCAAATACTTTAGTAATTATTTAGTTTTACATACTGTCAAAAATGATTTTTTCATGTAAAGTTTTTACATTAGGTGCTTCTAAATTTTTTAAATTAATAATTTTTAGTTGAACTAATTGATAAATTACTCCTTACTATCAAAAATTAAAAGGAATTGGTATTCCTTTCGAATATTATTGTCAACTAGACGTATGATTATATTGATCGATTCTCCTTTTGTTTCGTAGTTTTTTGCTTGAGCAATTGTTTTCGTTACTTTTAAATGCAAGGTTTATCGATTTTTCACACTTCTCGTTTAAAACATGTGCAGTACAAATTTTACCTAATCGAGGCAAATTTTTCGAAGTATTAAAAATATCAAACGTATTTAAGGATACTGACATTATGCAATGTAAATCTGTTTCCAAATTTAGACCTCTACATATTTACTTGTTTATAATTTTTAAAGAGGTAAATCGTCGAACTCAAAATTAATTCCTCGTGATTAATTTTTGTAGTCAATAAATGATACCAAAAAATAAATTAATTAATAATAATACATAAATATAAAAAGAGGAACAATTGATTCCTTTAATTTGTAAACTTCAAACTTCTATTCTAATTGAACTTTTAATTTAAACGTTAGCAAGTTTGAAAAACTTAGCAATTAATAATAACATACTTTGAATAGCAAACAATAAAATTTAATAATAACAATGCTTCTTCAACTAGAACTGAAAAGTACTATTTAAATAAAAAAATGTGTAACTGGGTCTATTATGAAAACAACTGTGAAAAATAATTCTGCAATAGCTTCTGCAAAACCCTTTCTTCAACTAGTCAAAACCATTATCTACTATCATCCAAATCAATTCTTTTACCAGATGTCAACATTCTTTGAACCTCATCTAGAGTCCAAGGTCTTAATCTATTTCTCATTTTATTGTGTAATTTCTCTTTTATAATTTCAACATTACAATTTCTTCTTATACTCTCTTCTTCAATAAATTTTATGATTTTTAATCTTGTATGCCTAAATTGTCTCTCTGATGATCCATGAACTTTTAGCCATTCTGTTATTGAAATATCTTGACTTTTCAATTCATCCTCTAAATTCTTAAAATCATCCCACATTTCATATAATGTTGTTGCTTGTCTTGATAATCTTTTTTCTAAAGTTAAATCTCTCTTAGTTTTAATTTTCTTTTCTTGTTGTGGTTGTTGTTGCATTGGTGGTTTAGATATTGGTGACAACAGGTTCGACCTTGGTAAATTCGGTTGATATGGTTGATGTGGATGATGATGTAAATGTTGCTGATGTAAATGCGGTAAAGATGATGAAGTAGTTGGTGGTGGTGGAGGTTTTTGTTGTTGTATCAATGTATAGTTGGGATGTGAATGAGGTTGAGGTACCTGATGAACTTGTGGTGATGCAGTTGCAAAATATGGTGAGCTTGTTGAAGTTGAACTTGATGTTGCTGGAAATGAGTGTTGTTGAAGTACATGAGAAATGACTTGGGTAGGTTGAGTTTGTGGTTGCTGAGGATGAGCAAATGTTACCGGTTGATGTTGTGTGTGGTGAGGTTGTTGTTGTGGTTGTTGATAGTACTGTTGACTACCAAAAGAAGGGATTACATGTGGTTGAGCAGATACAGGTTGTGGTTGCAGTACCAGTTGTGATTTTGGTTGAGACGATGATTGTGAGTAGCGTTGTGAAGATATTTGTGAGTGTAGACTATCACTTTGTTGTCTCAGTTGATTCAATTGAGTCACCGGGGGTTGTGAAAGTGGTTGTGATGGTTTTCGTTGTAGGTGTATACTTTGTTGATAATGTTGTTGTTGTTGTTGTAACTGTTGTTGTTGATTTAGTTGATTTAATAAATCTAAAGTATTGACAATACCGGATTGAATATTTTTTGATTCTTCATTACTTATAAAATTTTGAGTTTCTTGTAAATTCTGCTTTGCTAAAGTTAAGGAATTTGGATTTTTTGACGACATTAAAATAAATAACCCATTTATTGAATTTTGAATTTTTTGTAAATTCTCACTATGTTTTTGAAAAATATTAGTTTGACTTTTTATAAAATCATATATCAATTCTTGATTTTTGGTTTGTTGTTGAGTGTTTTGTAATAATTGGTTTTCTAGTGCTTTCAATTTTAAATTTTGGAACTCTATCACTTCGGATATTTTTTGTCTTGTTTCAGAATCGGTAGATGAAGATATTGATGGCCAATTTTCATCATAATCACTTTCTGTTTCATCATCATTTGGATTAAAACAAGTATCACGAATTAACGTTTCAATTTTACCACTATTCTCAACTTCATTTGCAAAATTTAAAAATTGTACTGAATTAAAAATTTCACTTTTTGAAAGTGGATTAGCTGGATATCGTTTTTTAATAATTATCATATCTTGACATAAACTTCTCCTCAACATAGCAAATAAATTTTTCACCTGCTCCACATCTTCTTTACCTTCAGTATTGGTTTGATCAACCCTCATTTCTTCTTCATTTAATTCTTCTTCATTAATAAAAGAAAAAATTTGATTTAAAAGTTCAGCTGGTGGTTCTATAGAATTTCTGGTAATATCATATTCTTGAAAACTTTCAAACCCTGCTAATTGTAACAAAATTTGACTTGGTAATTTATTAATAGAAGGTGATAATAATTTTTCAGTAATATCAAAACCTTGCGCAGTTAATAATTTTGTTAAATTAACATCTTTATAATTGTATGAACTTATATTCAAAGCTGCAATAGATGATTTATGTTGTTGGCTATATGAAATTGGAACTAATTTATTATTACCTTTCAATAACTTTAAGTCTAATAATGATAATTTTTTTATTGCGTCACTAGTATTTAAATTTACCCCCAAAGAAAATTCAAACGCACCATATTCATCTGGAATATGAAACCTACTGAATAAATAAGCACTTAAGGCAAAATGAGGGCAAAACTCGATATATTTGTTTCTAAAGCATCCACTATATTGAACTGTCGGAGCTGATGAAGATGATGTCGATGTTGGTGTAATTTTATGATGAGTAGGATTTGGTTTTATTCTTGTAATTAAACTATCAACATAATTTATCTTAGTAGATATCAAATCCCCCAATTCTAACTCCCTCTTTTGTTGATTTTTTAGTAGTAAGGAATGAGATAAATTGAAATCGACTATTGTTCTTAGTAATTTATGATCATTTAAAGTTGAGGCATTAATTTTTATATTTTTATGAACAAATAAAGGTTTGACCAATTTGTAATAATCATCTATAGTATAGTCATTATTATCAATTGATGATTCTTCTGAATCTGATATCATTTTTAGAGCTTTTCGCTTACTCTTTGTGTCTGGTTAACCTGATGATGATTTTGTGTAAAATTTTAGTACTGAATAAATTTTAGTTGATATAATTTCCACAAATAAGTAAGTGGTTGTAGTTTGTGTAATAAGATGGTTATATTGATAGATTAATTCGTCGATTATTGTGTCATATATTAATTGAATTTTCAGTGTTTGAAATTGATATCTTGAAAATTTTAATTTATGTTGATTGATCAAATGTTGAGCCTTGAAAATTTGAAAATACTTGTACAACTTAATTCAAATGTATAATTCAGATTAAAGTTGATTATTAAATAATACTTGACCAAATGAAACAGTAAAAACTAAAATTGTTCTTTGAAATCTGATTTTTTCTTGAATAAGATTTTCTGGGGGTAAGAATGTGTTGAATAGTATTGTAAGTATAAATTTGATGATAAAAAAATAAAGCTCCCGATTAAATTAATTTTCAACTTTATGACTTTGTTGATAAATATTTATATAATAATAATCACTTATATTTGAATATAGTGTATGACTTTTGAAATTGAACCCAAAAACTCTAGTTACGCAATTAGTATCTTGATTTAAATATTAAATTTAATTTTAAAGTGAAAAGTGAATAAGTAGATTCATAAATAAATTATCTCTTGTTTAGTTAATTTTTGGAGGTTATAATTTTAAAACTATGTGAATGAAAAAGTCTTTTTTTGGTTTATGGAATTGAGTTATATGATAATTTTTTAATCATATAAAAAAGTTATATTGAATTAATAATTGGAATGAGTTGCTTAGTGTAATGAATATTGTTTAAAGGAATGAAGAAGGGGATTGGAATAAATTGGTTGATTAATTTTAAAATTGGATCTATTTGATTCTTAACTTAACTGGTTGTAAAATAATTTAAAATTTAATTTGGTTGTCAAATTTTATAATATAAAAACTTAAATATTTAAATATTATTTATATTTATATTTATATTTTTTAATAATTTGAAATAAAAAAAATTAAAAAAATAAAAAAAATAAAAAATAAAAAAATAATATTTCAAAATCTTTTTTAAGTTTGTGTTCAAATTTAATCTTTTTTAGACTAAATTAAGATTAATTAACAATTCAACAATTTTGTGTAATACTTTAAATTTTATTAATAAAAATGTCTTTTGTTCTTTTTCTCTTTCAAATTTAAACATAAAAAGTCGTTTCTTTTTTGAATTTAAAATTCTAATTAATAAACTTAATTTAGTAATTGAAATTTAACTAATGATTTTCGATAATTATAATTCAATATAATTGTAATGATATGTGTGAAAAATTATTATCCAGTACTATGCATTTAATGGACTAATTGAAAAATTTTTGAAATTGATGAAAATTTTTCTTTTTGGTAATTTGTTCCGGTGATGAATATTAGTCAGATAAATTTTGTATTTTTTTATTAATTTGGTTTTCGAAATAAAATTTTTATATCTCTTTATGTTTTATTAACCACAAACTTGTGATAATTCCAATATTGAATTTAAAAGGAATAACTTGGAATAATTTGATTGTTTTCTTTTTAATCAACTTATTGTATCATGTCTTGTAAATTTACTCCTTTTTTTTTTCTTATTGTTTTTTTCCTTGTTTCAAAATTTATTGTATTCGATATGAAACAAATTTTTTCTATTGTTTTCACCAATAAAATAAAAAAAACTTTTTCAACTTATTCAAGTTAATTACAAATGAAATTCCGGAATCTTTTGAATTTTCCAATTATATCCCTCACTTTAAAATTATTGATTGTAATCTTTAATACGTACTTTTAAATTTTATAATTATCTTAATTATATATTGTTATAAATGAAAGTCAAATATTTTTATCTCGTCAAATTTGGATAAAAGGGTTTCAAAATTATTACTTTTGTAAAAATCTCTTTAATTATAATTGATGATTGAAATGGTTTCATACAAAAACTTCTGTAATCCAGTTAGGAAAGAATGACAAAGACAGTTTTATCCACTTGAATTTTTTAAAAATTTCTTAAATTTAAAAATTTGATTATATGAAAAATTAAAAAGTATTTATAAAAAGATCTAAAATTAGTTTGAATTATTTTTAAAGTGCATTTCAATTTAGTTCAATTATACATAAACTAATTAGTGAAATAGTAATTATATAGTTACATCAATCTTTCCATGACGCGCAATTACAGATTTTCAAATTTTAATTATATAACTAAAGGCATTTTCATGAATTTGTTATTATATTATGTTTATTAGATGTCAAATTTCTCTACTTACGGATATATGTAAGAATAATTACGTTAAATTTTGACTTGTATTATAATATTTTATTTTGACAATACGTAATTGAAAAAAAGACTATATTATAAGAGTTATTGCATGTAATTTGAATTAAATATAAATTCTTCTTTCTCTAGAAAAAAAAAGCCATAATAATAAATTAATTATCGGGTCGAGAAAAAATTTAATATAGATTATTTACAGTATTATAACCATGAAGCTTATTACGTTAGTAATTTTAGATAAACCCACTTACAAGTATAAAGTTGAATTATATGGCATTTGACCAATCTTTAACAATAAATTTCATGAATTCGTTTACTTATGTATCTGAGAAAAACTCTTTTTCTAAATTATTATTCTCCTCTCATATAAGATTAAGCTTTTAGTTTTAGGGTCTAACTATAAACTTAATTTTTAAGAATTCAATACTTATTTAAATTTTTTCTCCAATTTACACTGAGTACTCTTTAATTCAACCTTGAAATTACTCGGTGAATAGTCAACCTAATAGATTTATACAATAGTCATATACAAATGAATTTAAAGTCTTGATTATCATTGACATAAAATAATATTATATGAAATCTCGTAAATTTGAAAAAATTAAAAAAATTTAAAAAATAAAAAATAAAATAAATAACTAATTTTTTTAGCGAAAAAAAAAAAAAAAAAAAAAAACATTTTGTGTACGAAAGTCATAAAATAATGAAATTTCAAAATATTTTAGTGTATTCTAGGTTTTGAAGCATTTATTGATTCAACCATATTGTATAGGGAATTACAAATTTAACTTTTATTTTTGATAGGCTGTGTAGTAAAACCATTGTCTTAAATTTTTCTTTACTCTGAAAGAAAACTTAAGGGGGAATATAGAATTAATTGTTTGGGTGATCAAAACCTATATTAAAGTGGAAAGCGTTTAAATCTGAATATAGCTTAAAAGAGTTAGTATTTACGACCCGAAAATGTATCATCCATGGGTAATGTCATGTGTTCTACTCAAAATATCTAAATTATCGTTATATATTTAGCTGTAGCAATTTAATAATCATCCATCCTACCATTACTTATTTTAAAGCTCCCCCAATCTTATGTAATTTCATTAGGCAAAACTGAGGTTTCAATATAATAATCCAACGCTTCAGAAGGCTCTTAGGCAAAATGAAGAAAAATCTTATCTGAAAAAAGCATTATTATGTAATTGATGTATAAATCATTACTCAATTATGTTTCACATCAATAGTCAAAAAAAGCAATATTTTCTGAGATAACCGCTACCGGTTCAATCGTATCTTAAAATATAGTCGTCTTCGTTTAAGCAATTCGGGGAGATTGATGAGATACATCGTCATCAAATTTTATTCAGTCGACATGAAATGGAAAGAATTTGAGAAGTTAAAGGGAAAGTGAAATAAACAACACAAAAAAGAAAAGAATTTTAACAGAAAAACAAAGAATCTCATCAAACGTTTGTATTTGATTTATTATACAATACAAATATTCTGCAAATCCTATTACTAATGTTCACAAATGTGGAAGTTAAATTCAAATATACAATCAAAAGCCGATAACTTTTAGCTAAAATATTCTACTCGATATGATAGACCAAAATTTGTTACTTCATATTTCTAAGACATAGGATAAACTAAACAATACTTGAGACAAAATTTTTTTTAAACTTTCGTAAAATTTCTTACTGATAATTTAAAACCCTTTATTTTTATTTTCTCCTTATAATATATTCAATTCGAATATTTTTAGCTTGCCGATCTTTTTTACTCTTTAGTGTTATTCTACAAAGAAAATGGATATACCAGAGAAGAAAAATCAATTTTGTGTGAAGTTCTAAACCATTATTTTTTTTCTATCGAGTTAAGTAGGAAAGAAATGGAAATATGAATTAACATACTAAGCTTTTGTCATCATCAACTGATGAATCTTAAATGAGGTAACCTATTTGACATCACTTTCCTCTCCACCAGCACGAGTGTTTAATGTACTATATCAGAAATTGATTAATAATCAGTATTAAATTTTAGTAATGACAAAATTTTCAATTAATAAGTAAAAATAAAAGTTAAATTTAGTACACCAAACAGCAAAGAGAACAAAAAAACAATACATAATACACAGGTTTAACCGAATAGCGAAAGAACAAAATTTTCCAATAAAAAAATTAAAAATAAATTTTTTTATGTGCAAAGTATTAAAAAATGTATCTAGTATTTCAAATTGATGCACATCGATTGACTATAGTGATGATATAGTGAAAATATTTTAATTAATTATACATAAATATATAATCACGTTAATAGCAAAGTAGTACATAGCAACAAATTGAATTTTTATGAAATTTCACATTTTCGATTAATGATTTACAATATTCTTTATTTTAGTAAATGCTATAAATAAATATTAATTATTTAATACTAAATAATTATAAGCTTTTAATTTATCATAAAATAATATTTAAATTATTATTATTAAAAAAACTAAAGTAATTTTTTTTATTGTTCTTTTTTTATTTAATTATGCAAGTGAAAAAAATATTATATTTTTTATTGTTTTAATAAAATTTCATAATAAAATTGATTTAAATAGCAAAAAATTCAAATCATTAAGAGGCGTAAAAATTAATTTCAATTACATTTCACAAGATTATGAATTTTAAACTAAAATTTGAAACTAAAAATATAAATCTAATTAAAAGATTAACCTGAAACGGGGTGTGTTCATCATCAAAGAACGTTTTTAAATTATTACGAGAGCTTATAGAACAAATCGAATATACGACAAAGGGAATTATAAGAGATTTCTTTAAATGATAAACAATATACAACAGACAATTAACAAAATTTAAATTCCTAATCAACCTTCCTCGTATTGCTAGACCTTTATAAACAACACAGATAATTCACTCCAATATAATAAGAACTTATTAATGGTTAGTTGCAACTCGTAATGAGTAAACACATTTGTCAAATCTAACGACATTTTCAATTATAAAGATCTCATAACTACTTAAATTTTTAGTTAATAAAATCTTACTAATACCACTTCAACAAAATTTACCTAATTACATAATTACAATAATTAAACTAGGAATTTATAAAAATCGTAATTAACTAAAACTCGTTGCAAAAAAGAAATAAATTAAGTAGAATTTCAATTATTTATATCCTATTTCATAAACCCCACTCTCCGTTAAATAAAACCATGTTCAATGGTTAAAAGTAATGTAAAAAAGTGTAATTGATATATTTAAAAAATTCTTTTTAAAGTTAAAGTTTGTAATTTATTTTATTAAAAGTTTAAATTTTAGATTTGAAAAAACAAAGCGCAACTTTATTGCTTAATTTTGTGTTTATGACGGAATATTGAAATTTAAAAAATGTATATTTCTTTTATCATTCTTTTAATTTGCAACTAGTACATTTACAAGTACTTTTTCTTGAGATAAGAAAATGCCTTATGCTTCACTATATTGCAAATGACTATTCAAAAATACTTTTTAACCTTATTAAATTTGGTAAATAAATTAATGTATTATAAATTACTAAAAAATATGATTAGCGTATACAATTGAAAAAAAAAAGATTAAAAACACATTACATTAATTACGTATCATCACTTTTAATAAATATTTAGTTCATAACATAACATCCATCATCATTCATTTTATCACAATCATAAAGTTCAATTTCATCATCATTATCATCATTTATACCATTAATTTTTTTAGTTTTTATAATTAAAAATTCAATCAAATTTGATATTAAATTATACTTATTTATTATTGAATTTTGTTGATTATCAAATTTTAATAACCATTTTCTTAATATTAAAATTATATTTGATATTATTTCATTATCATCTAAGGGACTTGGTATCAAATTGTTTATCATGTTTATCAATGATGTGAAAGTAGTCAAATTAATATCTTTTTCGTTTGTTATTGATTTTGATAAATAATTTATTAATTTCAAAGTATTTTCGTATTCTTCTAAGTTATTGTAATAAGAAATTAATGATGACATTAATATTATTTTTTCTTCTTGTGATAATATATTGAACAATTGAAGTTTTAAATCGTCTTCATTATTTTCAAATAATTCTTCATCTTCTTCGTCCTCACTCTCCGTAATTTCTTCAATGTTGATTGACTTCAACTTTTGTTCAAACTTACCCTTTAAAAAACTGAATAAATAAGGTGATTGATTAAAATTAACAATTGTATTTAATAATTGAAATTCTTCAAATATTAATGAATTTTTGGGTATCAATAATTCTAATATTTTTAAATCAGTTAAAATTTTAAATTTATTGTCATTTTTTTCATCTTCTTTTTTATTAGTTAGATTCTCCAAGTATGTTAAATTTATTATATTTAAAATTTCCAATATTCTCAATTTTAAAATTAAATCGTAATAATTCGATTTGGATTCATTTAAAATTTGATTTACTTTGGTGTTTAAACCATCTTTCATTTCATCAAATCCTTGATTAATGTCTTTACCTAAGTTCAAATTGATTAATCTTTTGAATAAAATTTCACTATCAAACATTGAAACACCATCAATTTTATTGATCAATTTATTTAATTTAACTAAGGTGTTGTTTGTACCATGATAGTCCAAATTTGTAATTAAATTTAGTTTAAATTTAGAAAAATGATTTATCATAGGTTCAAACTTTGGATACTGATATTTAAAAATGTTGATTGTAATTAATGATAATAAGGTATTTTCGAAATTGATTTCACAAGAATTCAAATAAATATAATTTGAAACTAAAATTTTGAAATTATTACTGGTTTGATCATCACCATTTAAACTTTTAAAAATCTCCGATCTTTTGTGATCAGTTAACTTGTTTGGCATTTTTAAGTAAAATGATATCAATATATAATCAAGTATCGAAAAAATTGATGATAATTGCGTTGATTCTGCTTCTTTTAGTTCACCATTTCCATCATTTGAAAATGAATTCATGTATGACGAAATAATCGGGTAAAAAATTGAGACTAAACTACCAACAACTAGTAATAATTTAGTTAATGACCACATTTGTATAAACATTGGAGATGGATGGAGTATAGCATTTGGAAATAAATAATGAGCAAATGGTAATGCATTTAAACTTCTAAAATCATTATCACCTGAACCACCAAATAATGAAGTTGCCATTACCGTAGCCATACCACCTAACAAATATCTATTAGGTTGATTTGATTGTTGTTGTTGTTGTTGTTGTTGTTGCTGCTGTTGTTGTTGTGGAGATACCTGTTGCGGTGGTTGTTGCGGTTGCTGTTGATATTGAATCTCATCCACCATCGGTTGTTGACTACGTGATCTAACTGAACTATATTCCTCTGGTGAACTCATTACTGATTGATTATTTGAATGCTGTTGAGGCATTCGAATTTGTGAACTTAAATTAGCCTCTTGAATAATATTTTGTAAATAATCATTTTGATCTTTTAATATAGAATTTTTTTGTTCTAAATGTTTGATATATTCAGTTGCTTTTGTTAAAACACTTGCTTTATTTAATTTTGAAGCTGGTGTTATACCTTCTAAATCAGCTAATGAAACGTCATCACAACCAGCTGCAATTCTTAAAGATGGAACTGCATCTCTCAAAATTAAAATTTTTGAATTAATATTAGTTCTATATTTCTTTTCAATCATATTATGAGAACTTTTATCTTTATTATTCTTTGGTTTTGTAATTTTAGTAGCTGAATTATTTCTTTTTGTTTGTTTTGCTGATTGTTTAGATATTGGTAATTTTTCAGTATGATTATTAATTGATTCTGGTGAAGTAAATTCAGAAGTTTCATGTGATTGATTAGATAAAGGAGTTATATTTTCATTATTATACGTAACAATTGAAGAAGAATGGGATCTTATATTGGTATCATATTGAAGTTGTTGTGGAGTTGACTTTTGTTGTTGAAATGGTTGTTGTGAGAGTTGTCCTTGTTCTTGTCCTTGTCCTTGTTGTTGTTGTGGGACTAATTGTTGTTGAAATTGATATTGTTGATTATCTTGTTGATAAGGTAATTGTTGATTTTGATTAGAATAATTATTTAAATATTCAGGAAATACAACCTCATCTCCATTTAAAGAAGATGGTGATAAAACAGGATTATGATAATTATTATTCATATAATCATTATTATTACTATTATTATTATTTTGATTAATATCATTTAAATCATTTTTTGAATTAATTAAAACTCCAGATATTGATCTTAAAAATTCATCAGTTTCATCAAACATAAAGTTTGATTGTTGTGGATTGAAATTATTACCATAAAAATCTATCATATTTTCATTATTAGTATTTATATTATTATTGATTCTATTATTATTATTTGAATCATCATCAATTATATTTAAATTACTTGATTGAATAAATGATTTATTATTATTATCTTCTGATTTAATCATATTTGAATCAACTTGTGATGTAATAGTCAGGAAAGTTGGCTGTCAAATATTTAGTATAAATTGGTTGCTAATAATTTAATTTGAATATATCTTAATTAGAAACGAGTATAAAATAATAGTAATTGATATTATCTTGAATATTGAAAAAGAAATATGATATATAAAAGTTGATTAACAATTGATTAATAAAAAAGCAAAAAAAAAAAGATCAAAAGAATAAACTTGATCAAATCAAAAATAAGTTGAATATTTGAATAATATATAAATAATGTGTTGATAAATTTCTATCTATTGATATTTAAAAATATTTTAATGTGTCTTAAAAATTTATATTAATATTTTAATTTAATATTTAAATTATAAATTATAAAAAAAAATAAAAAAAAATAAAAAAAAAAAAAATCAGGTCATAAATTTAAATTTTAATTTTGTGTTATTATAATAATTTCACTTTTGTGTATGACTTACTATTAAATTTAAAGTTTATTATAATTATAATTGTAAAAAAAGGTGCTACCAAATACAATATAAATATTATATACAATTAAAGGGGTTTTTTAATTTGGTCCCTTCTTTAAATTGTAATTATATTATTAATAATTTATTATATAATTTATTATACAATAATGATAAGTTTCAGTTTATAATTTTATCCGCTTAATAGTTAATATAAGATAGATGGAGATTGATTTCCATTTGTCTTATAAGATCCATCAAATATTGTATTTAAAACCTCAAATCCGTATATATCCTTTATGCATCTACTACATATTAATTTAATATTCTATATTTAAATTTTAGAAAGGAAGCAAAATTTTTGACATGTGAAGAAATCTTGAATTCTGTAAAATATATGAGATGCCAATAATAATTAAGAAAGTTAAGAATAATCTAAAATGGAGATACACAATCTGTTAAATGAATTTCTACTTGATCTTAACTTATTTTTAAGGATGGTATTTACTCGTATTATTTTTCAAAGGATTACTTTATTACAAGAAAATAATATATTGAAATTAAGGAACAAAAAATTGTTAAAGTTGTAGATAATAAATTGATCATTAGTACTTAAATTGATTAAACATTTAAACGTGCTTCTTATCGTCATCATCATAATCATCGGATATTAAGTGTGGAACTGTATGAATGAAAATCTGCATAATTCAATCATTTTTTTGTTTTAACTTTTTATTTAGTATTAATTTTTTACGCATTAAATTTAAAACTTAATGATTAATACAAAAAAGTTGAAAAAAAAAAAACATACCACTTTTTTTTTCTTTTTTTTTTCGTATGAGAGCCTCTTTTAACATTGAAATAAGTAAAAAACTTGCCAATTTGTATTAATTAATCAAACAAAAAATTTCTATATCGTTTAAATGAGTGATCTCAATTATATCTTTTATGATAACATATAAAGAAAATAGTAATCCAGTAGTAAAAGCTTTTCAATAATTACATGAATCTTTTTACTCGGATTAATACTTTTAAAAAATTCTAGAAAGAATTTCTCAACCCTTTCTTTTCCGGATAATTTTTGAAAAATAAAAACCCCTTTATTTTTCGGACTCTCTTTGTCTTTAAAATTTTTTACTAAGCTTAATTAATTAATGACCGTATAAAACCGGGAATTGAAATTATAGAACACTGAAACAAAATTTTAAGTAAAGGGAAATATAAAGTACATTATAGTCATTAAAATATTTATATAATACATCAAAAAATATATTTTTCATGTAACGTTATAATTATTGTCGATTATAATTATCAATTATTATTATTGAACTATTAATAGATTGTTATTTTATTTTGACTCTGAAATAATTATAATTTTCGATTCTATCGTTAATATCGTTATTTATTAAATTATTACTAATTATAATTATATAGGTGGTAAACTTGTTCTACAAACAGGACATTGTAATTTATATTTCATCCAATTTTCAAGACAATCAATATGGAAAATATGATGACATGGAGTTATCATATAATCTTTATGTATTTTATTATGTATATGATTGTGATGATTGTTGGGTTTATCTTTTTGTTTTGGTTCTTCATCTTTTATTAATATTGGAATTGTAACATCTGTCATACATATTGGACAAGTACATTCACAATCTATAAATTCTTGATTTGATTTGGAAGGAGTTGATGATGGGGTAGTTGTTGATGATGTTGTTGAGTCTATTGTTGTAGTGGAAGTTTTTTGTTTAAAACTTGCTAATAAATCACTTGATATATGACCTTCTTCTAAATCTCTTATTGTTAATATTGGTTGATAATCATAAGCTTTTGGTAACCATTTCTCATTAATCCAAAATCTTGCACCAAAATAATTTTGTAATACTAATAATAAAATTTGTAAACTTAACCATATAGTAATTAAAATACATAATATTGGATCATATCTATGTCTTGCTGGATTTGATTTAAATAATGTAAAATAATATATGGGAATAATTTTAATAATATTTGTACCAAAAATAAATTTCCATGTAAATGATTTACTTCTATTTTTTAAAGTATTTCTTAAAAATTGTGGTATCCAATATGAATTTATAATTATTAATGAAATATATTCAAATATTATTCTGTATTTAACTCTCCATTGAGTTGCTGAAAATATTAAAAACATTGAAATTATTGATAATGTAAAACCTGATGCAAAAATTGAATTACTATAAGAAGTTTCTTGCCATGCTTGATTGGGTATTGGTTCATTCGTAGTAGTTTCTGTTGGTTGTGGTGGTGCTGCTGGATTAGATATTGGTAATATTGGTCCTTCTGGATTTTCTTGAATTGGTTCTGGTGTAGTTTCCAAAACATTTTCTTGACTTGAACCTCTCATTATTTCCCACCATGTTGTACCTCTTTCATTAGCTTGTGTAGTTAATACACTAACCATAAATCTAATTTCAAAAACACCACATGATATAAATGCAATTGTTGCTATACATGCTAAAATTAAATATAAATCAGTTGCAACTGTAGATAATAATAATGAAATTAATGCTAAAAGGGAATCTTGAAAACCAAAGAAATATAATGTTTTACATGATATAACTGATAATTGACCAGGAGTTCTTGCTTCATTAACTTGATTGAAAATTAAATATAATTGTATAGTAACAAGTACTAATAATCCAGTTAAAACTTTTCTAATTTGATTTTTATAAACTTCACTTCTTTCACCTATAAATTCTGTATTTGGTTTATTTATTAAATTTATCCCACAATCTGGTGAATAAATTAAAAATTCTTTTATTGATAAATCTGGAATTTTTTTAGGTAATGGTCTACCAGTAGGGTTTTTTAATTCAGTATCAATATATCTTAATTCATCATGATTATACTCAGTCTTGTTTAATTGTATAAAAATAATCATTTCACATTGATCAATAGATTTAAAAATTGAGTTATTCATATCATCAAGATTAATATCTTTATCATCTCTCATATTATTATATTGAGTCATTAATTTTTTAGCAATTTCAAAATTTTTGTTATCCATTGTCATATGACTTAATCCATATGATCCTAAAAATTTAGCAGAATTTGATGTTGCTATTATTGATCCAATATCTTGAAAATATACACCACTTAATCCAATTCTATGATCTTCAATTTCTTTATAATCTTTTAAATTTAATTCCATTTTCACTACTATTGCATTTGATATTTTATCATTTTGATTTATTATTTTGAAATCTACTTCGTTGAAATTATATTGGTAATTGGAAACTTCAATTGATATTAAACCTGGTTGAGTAATATTTCCAATTTTATCTGATGATCCTTCCAAATCATTTTTAGGTGGTTCATCTTTTTGTTCTGGTGTTGTTGATAATCTTCCATCATATTCACTCCCATCATTCGTTGTTCTAGAATTATAATAATTTCTCAAATATTCAGGTATAGTTAGATTTACAGGTTCTATCTTTTGATTTTTCATTATTATAAATTCACCATTTGCTCTACCTGATATGTTTAACAAGTATGCATTTTCATTCAATTTAACTTCATCATTTCCCCAAAATTGTTTTACATTATCACTTATTACATTAGGCAATATAGAATCTCTTTGATCTTCTTTCCAAGGATGTTCTTTACTGAATTTATGAATTGGCCAATCTTTTACGGATTTACCTTGTAAATAATCATCATATGATAATTGATAACCAGTAATATTACCATACCCTAGATCATACTGCGAATCATTTAGCGTTTTTAGGGAATTCATATATTGAGTTTGAAATTGTGTTAATGTATCTCTTTCCATTTCTGAATGCGGTTGTTCATTTCCTGAAGGTAGGTATAGGAATATGAACATCACTATAAAGAATATTAGCGTCCCTCTATCGATCGCCATTATAAATATATGAGCTTAGGGTTGATGGTTTTTTATGTATTTAATTGATAAGGGCAAAGGACGTTTATAAGATATTACTCTTAGATTTTTGTGATACAATCCAAAATTTTGTGCTACCAAATTTTTGACATATATTATCAATAGGTTTAGTACTGATTAAAATCACAAGTCTTTAACTAGTCTGATATTAGACTGTTAACTAAAGTGAATAGAATTCTACAGTATTCTTCATATTTATATATATAATATTTTTATTTTTGAAAATACAAACTAATTAAACTGTAACTAAAAAGTAAAAGATTTTTGTATCTGGTATTAAGCTAATTAAATAATAATGTAAAAGATTGGACTTTAAAAAGTCCATAGAATGATGTAAAACAAAATTCAACCGAAACCCAATGTAAAAAAATAAGATTTTTTGATTTTTGATAAAATGAATGTCAACGTTTGAAGTTAAGTTTTATAAATGTTTATTGCCCCGCAATAGTATTAAAACTTAAATTTATATCATTAAAAACCCAAAAACAGCAATGAATGTAAATAAAATGGAATATAAATCATATTTTGAACTTAATAATTTAACACCAGAATTAGCATATTGTGGGATTGTTGATGTATTATTTGGTGGATTTGTTGCAGTAGATGTTGATAATGTTGAATGACTAGTATTAACATATAATGTTGGGAAAGCAGTTTCACTAACTACAACATCAAGTAACTTATAACCTGCTAATGAAGAATTTGAAATTGAAGTTGTTGAAGTAGCAGTATTATTCAAAGTGTATTTTGGAATTTGAGTTGATGAAGTACTATTTGTATATCCTGATGAAGTATCACATTGTTCTTCTTGATCTTCTAAATCATTGTCATCCTCATCACAATTATCATCTTCTCCAGTTGATTCATAACCTTCTTCTCCAGGACAAACAAGATCACTTGGACTAGTTCCCCAAAGAGAACCACTTGAACCTGAACCTGAGCCTGAACTTGAACCTGAACTTGAACCTGAACTTGAACCTGAACCTGAACCTAATGAAGATCCACTTGAAGATCCTGAGCCTGAAGTCAAACCACTTGATGAGCCTGAATTTGATGATGAGCCACTTGATCCCAGTCCAGATGAAATACCACTAGATCCAGAATTTGATGAACCGACACTTGGAGGAGCTGTAGCAACTGCAGCAACAGTAGAGCATTCATTGTCATCTTCCCAAACCCATTCCCAACCATCATCATTACTATCTGAGGAAGAACCACTTGATGATCCAGAGGATCCAGATGAACCACTTGATGATCCAGATGAACCACTTGAAGAACCTGATGATGGCCACCATGAACTACCAGAATTTGATGAACCACTAGAACCTGAATTTGAACCTGAACCAGAACCTGATGAAACACCACTAGATCCAGAATTTGATGAACCAGCACTTGGTGGAGCTGTAGCAACTGCAGCAACAGTTGAACATTCATTGTCATCCTCCCAAACCCATTCCCAACCATCGTCATTATTGTTTGATGATCCTGAAGAACCACTAGATGATCCCGAAGAGCCTGATGATCCACTATTTGAATTTGATGAACCACTTGATCCCCAATTTCCACTTCCTGAATTACCACTTCCTGATGAACCATTAGATTCTCCTGCAACAGTTTGATAGTCTTCATCATCATAATCTGGATAAACAGTCTTAGTAACAATAACAGTCAAAGTAGTGGTAAAAATTTGACCACCATTATTAATTGTGGTTTGTGGTACATAAGTTGTAACAGTATAAGCCATAGTTTCTTCACATTCCTCAGGTTGTTGAGTAACATAAGTTGTAAAAGTTTTACCAGCACCAGTATAGGTTATTGAAACTGTTTGTAATGAAGTGACTGTCCCATGAGCTGTTGTAATATAAGTTTGAGTTGAATCTGGTAATGAAGTGGTGTATGTTGTAGTTACTTCAACACCAACACTATTTGTAGTTTTCAAAGTTACAATTGAACTTTGACCAGCGATAGTAGTTTTAACTGTAGTTGGAATAACTTGAGTATTTGGATCACCAGAAGTTGTTTGAGTGAGTGTTGTAAGTTTTCCACTAATTGTTGCTGTGACTGTTGGATCATGTGTATAAGTAATAGTTGGATCAATAACTGGATCACTAGTAGGATCAACACAATCAGTTTCATCATCTTCTTCTGAACTTGAAGTAATTTTTGTTGGAATTCCAGTACTAGTTGTATTGAAATTTGATATATGAGTTAATGATGATAATTGATTTGAAACACTACTTAATTTTGAACTTGAAATATTACTTGTTGGTAAACCAGAAATTGAAGCTTTTGTAGTAGTAGAAGGATTTAAAATTGAACTTAAGAATCCACCTCCAGAGCCAGTTGGAATGACAATTGTATTTGAGGCTACATGACTACTAGTTGGGTCTTCACACTCTTCATCGTCATCACTAATGCTTGAAGCTGATGGTAAAATATTTGATGTAATATTTGATATTGCTGTAGTTAAAGGATTTGAAAAAGTTGAAGCAACTGCTTCAAGTGACGTTGATTGACCAGCAACTGATGAACGTAAGCTTGAAGCTGAAGTTGAAGTTGAACCTTCTCCCCATATATTGGACCACCAAGATTCAAAAGATCCTTGTTGACTATTAGTTGCTGTAGAAGTAGTTGGTTGTGATGAAATTGGAACACCTGAACTTGTTGAACTTGATACAATTGATTGAGAAGTTGAACCTTCTCCCCATATATTGGACCACCAAGATTCAAAAGATCCTTGTTGACTATTAGTTGCTGTAGAAGTAGTGGGTTTTGAAGAAACTGTAGCACCTGAACTTGTTGAACTTGATAAAATTGGTGCTAAAGTTGAGGAAACACCAGCAATAGTTGATGATAATCCTTTTATGGTAGAGCCAGTTGGTAATGATGAGGCTAATGTAGTTGGAATTGAACCTGAAGTTGGAGTAGTACTTTTACCACCCCATAAACTAGACCACCATGAATCAAATCCACCTTGTTGACTATTGGTTGCAGTACCAGTAAACGATATTGAAGTTGGAATGATACCACCTGTAGTAGTTTCACAATCTTCTTCATCTTCATCGGTAGTGCTTGATATAATTGGTATTAAACTTGATGAAACACCAGCAACTGTTGAAGATATTTTTAATGAAGAACCAGTTGGTAATGAATTTGAAGTAGATGAAGGTAATAAAGAACCTTTTGATGAAGTTGGAATTGAGCCTGAAGTTGGAGTTGTTGTTGTAGTACTTGAATGTCCAAATAAATCAGACCACCATGAATCAAAACCACCTTGCTGACTATTAGTTGCAGTACCAGTATATGAAATTGAAGTTGGTATTATACCGCCTGAAGTTGTCTCACAATCTTCTTCATCATCTTCACTTGAACTAGATACAATTGGTTTTAAAGTTGAAGCTGAACCAGAAAAGGATGATAAACTTGAACTTGGTTTTGATGAAGATACATTACCAGTAGAAGATGAGAATATTGGTATACTCGATGATGATGATGTAGTAGTAGTAGCTTTTGTAGTTGGATTAGTAGCTATAGTTGGTGTATCTGTTTCACAATCTATTTCATCTTCATCTATACTTGATGATGATGCACTATTACCAAACAAGTTCCCAAAAAGTCCTTGAGCAGTTGTAGAAGATGATTGAGTTGTCTTTGATGAAGTACTACCAGTAGATGAAGGTGATGAAGCTGAGGCTAATTGAGTTTGAGTATTAGATGAATTTGGTAATATAGCTGATGAAGTAGTAGGTAATGATGAAATTGTTGATGATGATGAAGATCCTGTATTTGCTGATGGATTTCCTACTTGAACTTGAGCACTAGCTCCTACCGCTACTTGTGCATTAGATCCTGCTGCTACTTGTGCACTTGCTCCCGCTGCTGCTTGTGCAATTGGTTGTGTTGATTGTTGAGTTTGTGCAGCATTAGTTGAAGTTGTAGTTGGTTGAGCTGCTGCTTGTGCACTTGTAGTTGGATTAGTTCCAAAAATTCCATTTACAATATCACCAAAAAACCCTCTTTTTTCATTTTCAATTTCAATTGCATTTGCTATTGCAACTAAAGTTATAAAAATTGAACTAACTTTTGAAACTTTCATGTTGATATATTACTTTATTACTTAATTTTGAATTCAACTATAAACCTGAAATTTTGTTTTTTGTATAATTCGTCTTCTTGTTATTTATTTTATTCTAAAATTAACGAAAGTATGAAATAATTTAATAATGATTGAAGATTATGAATTTTGAAATTAAGTTGAAATTGGTTGTCAAAATTGATAAAATGAATTAATAAAATGAATGGTTTTGAAATTTATTAAAATAAAAGTTGGCTTTTTCAATCAAACCTTTCAAAAAATAATTTAATCCATGATCGAAAAGATTTTAAATGATATTTATTCATTATAAATGTAGTAATAGATGTTTGTATTTTACATTTTCCAATTGTAATATTAAATCATATTATTTACTTAAAATGGTTAGTAAATTAAATAAATTGAATTACTTAATACAGTAATTTATTGGATCTTTGTGTAAGAATAATACGACAGATTATTAGTACTGTATATAAGAATAATAATTTTGACATATTAATATTATAAAGACAATATATTAATTTTATAATATTATAAGTAACTAAATTAAGAAATAAATTTACAAACCATCTCTAAATCATACGTATGTTCTACTTCTCGAGAGATTTTCATTGATATGTAGTTAACTCCAAATTGTTGTTTACATTGATTTATTTTTAACTCCAGATTGTTTTTCAATTTAAATTGTTTTGTTTCAAATTTTCGTCTAAATTCTCCGCAAATTTTGTTCTATTAATAACCATCTCTATTGATATATTTTTCTATTTTTCTACAAGAAAATGAAGTATTATATAGATTCATTTTCTTTTAAATCTACAAGATTTAACTTTAAAGTAAAAGCTTATTGACTAGTTAAAGTTTTCAATCAAAAGTATAACTTTATCGGATATAATTTTGATACTTTGAAATTGAATTTGTTAAAAATAGTGCGATTTTAATTAATTGTAGGTACGTTTCAAAAATGAACCCTTTACAAAAAATTTAAACTTTCTCTTTGTTAACTATATTTTATACCAATATAGTAATTTAATAATATGCATTTTTGTTTTGACATATTAATCTAGAGCAAAAATCTATACTTATAATATACACCGAAACTATGGATTATCATATTGAAGGTTGAAACTTATCCCTTACATTCCACTACATCCTTCTCTAGAAATTATTACTATTAGTTTACAAACGTACAAATTTTCCATGACATTACATTGACGTATTCATTAAAAGTAGAAAAAATATATAGCATTAAAAATAGTATACAATTAAATAAAATTTTGGAATTAAATTGATATCGTTACGTTAAATGAATTGAAAAGTGTTTTTTATGGGTATTTTTCATTAAATTAATTTAAACCAGGGTAAGGTAAATCAGCAATTGGTTCAGCTCTTTTTTCTAAAAGTTCTCTCTTTTTATTAAATTCTTCTTGTCTTTTAGCTATAATTTTGTTAACACTTTTTCTTACCAATCTTCTAATTTCCATCTTATCTGTTGTTGATCTTTTCATAAATCTTTTTGGATTACTACATTGACCAACACTTGAACCGTTTGAACCTCCAAAAATTGAAGTGAATAATGTTGTAAATACATCTGAAATTAAATCTGATCCAGAAGCACTTGAACCAGTTGTAGAAGTGGAAGAACCACCGAATATTGAACTTATTAAATCACTGAAAAAACTACCTGATGAACCACTTGATGATGTTGAATCTGATGCAAAACTACTAAATAAATCATCAAATATTTCACCTGCAAAACCCAAGATTGAAGTTAATAATCCACTACCTGAAGTGCCACTAAATAAATCTTCTACTGCTTCAACTCCGAAATCTAATATTTCAGTTAAGAAATCTCCACTACCACTTCCTGAAGAAGTTGATGATGAAGAATTTGATGGTGAAAAAAATTCATTTATAATACTATCAATAAAATCTCCTGAAGTTGAACTTGAACTAGTTTGAGTATCAGTACTTGTTAAATTTGAATTACCTGAACTACCAAAAAATTCATCAAATATATCACCGAGTATAGAGCCACCGGTTGATGTAGAGCTCGATTGAGTAGTTGTTGCAGCTGAATCAACAGAACTGCCAAAGTATGAATCAAATAAATTAGACAATAAATCACCACTAGTAGTTGTAGCAGCAGCTTGAGTTTCAACTGGTGCTGTTTCAGCTAAAGTTGTAGCTGTAGTTGAACCATCTCCAAAAAAATCATCTATTAAACCACCAATAAAACCTTGTGAAGTAGTTGTAGCAGTACCTAATGGACTTGATGCTAATAATGTAGCTTGAGTTGTAGCTAAAATTGCAGCGGAAGTTGAAGCATCGTTACCTCCAAATATATCACCAATTAAACCACCAAGAAATGATCCCCCAGTTGTTGTTGCAGCTAATGAAGTTGTAGGAGTACCAACAATTGATTGAGCTTGTGCTTGTAAAGTTTCTGCTAAAGATTGTGCTTGTACTGTTTCAGCAATTGGTTGAACTTGTAAAGTAGCTGTAGCACCTTCTGAAGCTGAAACAATTGGTACATTTAAAGATTCTGACGCTATAATAGTTGCTGCATTGACATTGGGTATATTCAAAGCGATTGAAGCTAATGTAGTTGATAAAATGAAAGAATTATATCTCATATTAAATTATTTTTAGAATTGAAGCTATTAAAAGAATGAATTTAGTTAAAAATAAACCTGGGAAGTCAGTATAAATTGATGGATTATGTTTCCAAAATTACCTATCATTTCTAAAATTGAATTAATTGGATTATATATAATTTATATATCAATATGGGAATATTCGAGTTGAAACAATATACATTAAATGGTTAAATTTTTTGTATATGCATATTGAGATATTTCAATCAAAAATTCCTAATTAGGATATATAAATGTAAAAAATGGGTAATGTGTAACACAAAACTAATTTTTATTAATTGTAACAGATCTATATAATGTAAATACAAATGAACTGTGTAAGTATCTTCAAAAGGTAACATTCCAATACTGACGATGGCTTAATCGTAAACATTGTAGGCAGGCTCATGAACATTCATCTAGTTTAGTACTTTGTATGTAATATTTTTGTGGGTTGAAATCTTTCTCATGTAAACCTGCAAACTTTAGATTTAAGCTTCTTAAACTATTAAACTTTTAATGATCTCGTAGTGAAAAAGTCAAATTCAAGACAAATCTAATCCATTCTTGGTAATCTAAGCTTTTAGTTTTATTAAAGTTATTCGTATCTTATTAGTTATATTTTAGTCGTAAATTGGTAAAAAATTCTAATAAAATTATTCTTTTAAATTCTCTCTTTATATACACAACCAATATATTGGAAAAAAGTTCTACTATTATGATCTCATATCTAATAGGATAACACCAAGAATGAGACCCAGTTTAATAAGATTAGTACGACCAAGAAGACCAGAGCGACCAAATAAATCCCCTTTGTTACCACCATTACAATTATATAGATCAATTTTGCGAGCTCATGTACAAAAATTACCACAAGAATTACGTTATTTAGGTGATCAATACGTCAAGAAGGAATTTAAAGATCATAAGAAAATTGATAATCCTTTACATATTGTAGGGTTTTTAACTGAATGGCAAGACTATCTAAAACAAATTGATGGTGGGAAATGGTTAGATGGAAAATTAAGTAAAAATGATTTAGAAAAAATGACACCTGAACAAATTGGTCAGTTATACGAATTAATGGAAGCTACAAAAAAATTAGGAGAAAATGAAATAGAATAGAAATATACTAGTAAAAGAATGTTATTTATTTTAAAATGAATCTATCTATAACAATGGTGATCTTATAAACCTTTACCATAATTTCCAGAAGTGAAAAAATCAAAAATAATTTGTACTATGTGTTCTAAACTTTTCAACCAAACAGATAATTGTTCATTTACTTTAATTTGATCAGCACCTAATTTTGCAAAGAAATCTTTTCTATAAGGACATGCTTTCATTGCTAATTTAAAAACTGGTTTAACTAAAATTCCATGATATTTTGATAATGTCTTTCCATAAGCATCAGTAAAAGTTGAAGTTAATTCTTTTGTTGGTTGATCTAAAGTTTCTCTCATTGCTTGAGCAGTAAATTGTAATCCACGAGATAACCATAAAAGACCTTGAGTTGCAGTTTTTGTTTTTGTTGTAGATTCAACTAATACTAAATCTTGTAAAGCTGAACAATTTATTGGATCTTCTAATAATTTAGTTCTTATTTTTTTAATATTACCAGTCATATCATTTTGTACAACTACGAAAGCTGTTGAACCTAATAAGTCGAATAATTTAACTAATTGTTCTGAAGCTTCTAAAAAATCTGCTGTATCTATTTTATTTTCTGGTGATAATTTAACGTCAGTAAATGACTTTGGCATTTCATCAAAGAATGTGGACATAGTGAATGAATAATTTGGTGGTGGGTTGTAAGTGAAAGAAAGATGTGTTGTAGTAGAGTTTAATGATTGTAATGTTGGAAAATTAATTTTTTGTTGTTGTGTCAAATACTATAAAGTTTTTGTGTAATTATGATTCATTTAACTATACGCGTACGAATATGATAAGTAAGGCTATAACATTTCAAGAATTACAATACCAGAAAAAAGACATTAAAATTGTATATTTAAAGTACATCGTCATTTATACAGATCGTAGTACCAACTGAAAAGGTTTCACCACTCAAGATTATCTGCCCATCTCACAGTTTTATTTTTTGGTTCATTATCTATATTTGATTGAGAAACTAATTCAACTCCAAGACTATTCGTATCATCAATTTTAGGTGTAGTTGTAGTAGAATTCTCTAAATTATTTTGTTTGTAAGATTGAAATTCATTTTCAGAATAAAATCCAACTCTTTTTCGACTTTTTTGATCATTTTCCCATTGCTTTTTTATCATCCTTATTATAGCCATTTTAATTAAATTATCATTATTTAAATTATTTGTAGGAATTTGAACAACTTCATTTTCATGTTCAGGATATGGGAGATTATCATTTCTTGATCCATTTAATTCTGTTGCAAATTTAGTAGCATCATTTAAAAACCCAGTTGATGATTCTATTAAAAATATGGAAGATTCACGAAGGTTGAAACATGATTTTGATGGTTTTAGGTTGTTGTTGGGTTTACATAATCCATGTAGTAGAATTGTTTGGGATTGTTTTTTATATAATGGTGATTTTTTAGGGATATTATTTGTTTCTATTAATGGTAAACTTTTACGTCTTGTTAACGATGTTAATGATTTCTTTTTAACTTTAAATGGTTTATTGGTGGTTATAGACTCTTTTTCGTTGGTGTTATCTTCATGAATTTGAAAATATTTACTTAAATCTGGATTTATTTGATCTATTGAATTCGTAAATCTATTTGAAAAAACTCTTGTTCTTGTTATATCATCCATTTCATAATCTGAATTTTCTAGTTGTTTCAAATCTTTCATTAAATTATATAATTTTGAATTTGGATCAATTGATTCATTTATATCATCTTGTTGTTTTTGTTGTTTTTGTTTTAATCTTAAGTTGCTTGTTACTTGAAATAATTCATTCGTTATTTGATTTGTTATATTGTTATCTGGTGGTAAACTTATTCGTAGATTACAATTATTGTTATGACTTTGAGGTGTAGTTGGAGCTGATTGAGATATTATTTTTCGTTTTGGTTGTAAGTCAGTATTTGGTATTAAATCATAATCTATTTCCTCTATATCACTCATTATTAATTGATCATCTATTTCCAGCAGTGAGAATATTGATCTTTTCATTGACTTTATAGAATAGATGTTTTGTTATAATGATTTGATTAACTTTTTGTTTATATCATTTAAGATTTTGTGATTCTCTTATAATTTGATACATTTCAATTTTTTCTTTTGTTTACTTTAATTCTTATTATGGTAAATTTATTAAGTATGAAGAGATTGAAAAATTATTATTTAGGGTCTAGATACAAATTTGAGCTGAATAAAACTGTATGAATAATGATAAAGACTAGCTAAGAGCTACTAAACATAACCGAGTTGTTTGCTTTACCTCTTTAAATAAAAAAATTCAAAATTCTTCTATTGTAAGGGCCAAAAAAAGAATATAACGGAGAAAAATTCAACTTGTTAATATTGCTTCTACTAACTAACAAATCAAACTCAATCAATGACACTAATAAATGAGACCACCGCCAAATTCCATCCAAGAATATTTGTATAGGCTATTAATTGATTCACCTCATTTTAATAATTGGGTTAGAAAAATTCACGCAAGAATTAATAGAATACCATATGATAAATATCCAAATTTATCAAACCTAAAAGAAATTAATGTTCATGATTATAAACCTACCACATTACAAAAAATGAATGCTTTTAAAAGAATATGGTTTCAAGAAGTCAAAGATACTTTTAAGTTTTGGTAAATTAAAAAAGCTGTATATTAAAGAAAAGATACCTATATAATTGAAAAATGCAAACAAACAATCCCAAGCAAAAAATCCTGTAAATAGAACTATAATGAAATAAAAAACTAGTTAAATTAATGATGGAACTCTTTTTCTGGATTGTTTAAACTTCTTCTACTAACCATATTAACATCATCTGGTAATGCCATAATCAATCTATTATTTGAACCATATTTAAAATTATCAGCAATAATATTTTGTTTATAATTTTTAACTTGATATGGTGATGCATCATTCTTTAGGATTTTAGATAATGACCATATAATAATGTAATTATCTGTTGATGAAATAATTGTGGTTTCTTTTTGATCAATACCTGTATTGAAATAAGCTGGAGAAAATTTAAATTCTTTATGTTGATTATTATTTTTAATAAATGCTTCATGTTCTGGTAATAAAGTTAATCTTCTTGGTGTTGGTTTTTTATCTTTATCAAAATAAGCTGTAAACCCAGATTTACCTGAATTTTTTTGACCTGATGTAATTTTTGTATCAATTAAAAGAATGTAAGTTTTACAAGTTGCTAAAATCCATCTACCATCTTTTGAAACATCAATACCTAATATGGCATCACCTAATGAAGGTAAAGCTGTTTTAGCATTTACACCTAATCTATCAAATAATCTAATATCACCTTTACCACTACCTAAAGCAATATGACCTTGGTCAGTAGTTGCTAAACTTTGGAATTGATTGTTGGTGGTTTTATAACATTTAAAAGTTTGATCATTAACTAATTTTGATCCTGATAATCTTGGATCTATTGTGAATAAACCATTTGATGATATACCAGTTAAAGTTTGTTGGTTTGTTAATTGAGCAAATTTTGAAGAAGGTGCATAATTTTTCACAGGAACTGTTTTGGAAACTTCCCATTCTTCAATAATTTTGCCACGATTCAAATCCATTTTGTAAAGGGTTTTGTCATTGACGTCGGGGTTTGACATAACCAAAAACTGATCTTCTTGATGCAATAACATTTTTTCTGGATTAAATTTGTTACCTTTTAAATCAGTTACATTGTTGATAGTGGTTTGATAAGCTAAAGCTTTGTCATCTTGAGAAAATACACCAATTTTGTCACCTCTTGAAACATATGCTCTATCTTTATATCCAACACTAAGATAAGTGTTTTTATCTTTTCTTTGAATATTTGTAAGTTCTTCAGTGAATTTTTTGGTGGAATTTTCAATTTCTTCATTATCTTCAGAGTCTGTTTCTTCAGTTTCACTTTTTTCAATTTCTTTCAAGTCTTCTTGACTTTCATCATCTATATCCATACTTGAGAAAGCATCAACAAAATAATCATCATCACCTTTTTCAACACCAAATTTCTTTTTGTTTAATGATTCATACATTGCTGCTAAGAATTTGTTTTGAAAATCAGTTAAATCATTAAAACTATCAAACTTTAATAACCATGAATTGACAGTAACTTGATTATTTTTGACAGTGTAATGATTGAAAATAAATGATAAATGTTCATAATTAAAAGTTGGATTTATATTTTTACTCAATGTTGTATTGATTGTAATTTTTTCACCAACAACAAATAAGCAAAATTCCCAAGTACCTAAATCAATGATTTTTAATTCATTTGTTGAACTTTTTAATAAAAATGTACCACTAGTTGAATCATATAAATGTAATGCAAATTTCTTGGTGCTAAATACAACATCACCTTTCGGTGGTTCTTCTTCATCTTCACTTTCTTCAACAAATAATTTTGGGGATCCTCTTGCTTCATCATACTCTTCGGTAGTATCCAGTTCATCATCTTCTTCTTCTTCATCTTCATCATACTCCAAATCTTCAAAATTTAATAATTCCAGTTTTGGGTTATAAATAAATTCTTTTAATTCTTCTAAAGTATTTACACTAATTGAACTTTCACGATATTTTTCTTCATATAAACATTTATAAATTGTCAACATAAATGAATCAAAATCATTATTTCTAATTTCATCATCTAAAACAAATTCAAATTTATCCCCCAAATCTCCATTAAGATCTTTCCAAGCAATTGATCTTTTACCATTTTCAATTTTTTTAAAAATTTTTAATTCTTCATTTATTGGAAATACCCATTCATCTTTTGTATTATGTCTCAGATCCTTTTGAATAAAACTTGATGTTCTTGCAATTGATGAATTTTGATCAGTTTCTTCATAATCTTCATCTTCATCATCTGAATAGTTATATCCTGAATTACTACGAAATTCATTTTCTCCTTCTTGATAAACTTTTGTAATACATAATTGATAAATAAAAGGATTTGTGGTTTGTTTAATCAGTGCGTAAGCATCATTATATAAACATTCAATTGCTCCCTTTGGTGAAGTTTTTGATCTTGTTAAGTAGAGTTTACCAGATGGAATTGATGCCACTTCATCAGTAGAAGTTGTACCAATGAATTTCTTTAAGAAGTTCATGATAATAACTAACTGAATGGCAAAAAGAGATTACATTTAGTTGTTACTTTAATTTCATATTTTTATTAGTAGTGTATTAACCAATAACCTAATACTAAAGGTAGTTATTGTTTGGTCTAGCATAAACTAAAAATCCAGCTTTAACACCAACTTTTGTATATAACATTTGAGCTCTATGATTATGAAATTGTGTTAACCAATAAGTATTTTTACAATTTAATTCATCAGCTGATTTATAAACAGATTCGATTAATTTTCTACCAACACCACCTAATCTATTTGATTCACAAACAAATAAATCATTTAAATAACAAGTATCTTCAACAGTCCATGTATTTCTATGAGTTAAATAAGTTGCAAAACCAATTAATTTCCCAGTTTCAGAATTAACTGCAACATTACAATAAGTTGGATCATTTGGATTTAAAAATCTATCAAATGTTGTATTTGTAATTTCTGGGGTAATTATATTTGAAGATCCATAAAATTCAATATAACCATTTGGACCAGTCCATAAATTGACCCATTCTTCTTTATCTTTTGCTTCGATTGCTCTGATTGTTACTGACATTGTAATTGTTGGTGATTAATTAATGTTGATTATTGGACTCATGATACTTTGGCTATTAATATATAAATTATCTTATCTATAAACAGCGGTTCAATCTTCCTAATTGGGTTTTTTGGTTTAAGCGCATTCATTGATAATAATTTTGAGGGGATTACTTAGTGGTTGAGTTTACAAGATTATTATAATTGATCAGGCGCGGATTTATTATTGATTGTAAGAAATATTGGTCAATAATTTGGAAATTTGTTAGTGGGGTTTGAGGCTTATTTTTCGAAACAAAGAAGAAGTAGCTTTCGTTGATCTATCATGACTTAGACTTACTCAATTCGCAATTCATGTAAAATGCTGCAAATATTCGTCTTCTAGAATAAACACTCTTAAAGTTCAAAAATGTTTATGAATTAACTCTTTTTCATGGCACCAATTTACTACTTTCATCTGTGTGTAATGCCCCGTATTTCATGACAACAACTTCCTCCTTTAAAATAGCTTAGACTGTGTTGTATCTATTAATGAAAGCAGCCTACTTGAAAGGATCAGTTGGATTAGTAATTGAATTGATTTTGACCTTGTTCATAACTCACCAACATTATGTTTTATAAATTTTGCAACCAAAATATCCAAAACCCAAAAAAAGAAAAGAGCAAAATGTAACAATAGATAACAAATAGACGATAGTATTTTGAGATAGATTAGTAAGATAAAATGAGAGGGTTTTACACATTTAAATCCTAAAATTTACCAAAATGTGGAATACGATATATAAATTGTCTAAGACACAGGGTGTCAACATCATGTGAAAAGTAAAAACAAAAGAGAAAGCAGTGAATGTATATAAATAACTTCATCTGTATATAAAATCTTCATTAACGTTCTATGATCTCATTTGTTTCACTTTAAGTTTCGAATATTATAATCTCATCTCATGTACTAGACAGTTTTGTGTAACAAGCTTTAAGCGTTATGGTAATTACGTTCCTCTTTAACAATCAAACATATTTATGGCATAAATAACAGAGTTTTGTTTGAACATTCAATAAATGGTGTTTAAGTTATTTATCGTATAGTTGAGCTAAAAATCAGGTTCACAAGCAAACATTTTGGTGATGAGTCCTCCCTAGTTTATGGATTTTCATCTTAAAGTCTACTAAATTAAATTTAAAGGGTGCAATTAATTTTGTACACTTGATATTTTCGTTAAATAATTTTGTGTTTCAAATTGTACAACTAGAATCGCTTACTCAGTTTCAGTTAGATCATAGCTTCACAAAACTATTGGTGTACTAAATAAAATCGAATCTCTTATATCACAATTTGTTCATAAAATAAAGTTGCCATCGAGAAACTAACTTTTAATTGCAAATCAAATTAGAAGCATACCAAAGAATAACTATTTCTTATAAGTAGATTTAGTAATAATTTCTCCGAACAAATGACTTCGAAATTAAAGAAATCTTATTTTTGACTAAAATTTTAAACAGTTAAAACCACGTCAAATCTAAATATAGATCAAGCTCATCGATATTGACTTATATCGTTAAACGGTAATAAAACCGATCCCTTATTTTAGTCACAGTTTAACACCGATCGATCTATTTTGAACTTTTTGAACGATTTGGTAGCAGTTTTGCTGATAAGATTATAGAAAAGAAACGTTGTAATAGTGCAAATTCATCAGAAAAAATGCTATTCCTCCGATGAAATTAAAATTATTTTTCAAATTTAAATCTGACCGTTCCTTGATTTGAAACTTACAATTTACGGTAAGACTACGGGAAGATTATAGAAATTTGATAAATTAAAGTTTTGATTATTGACTTTAATTATGGGGTTTTCAAAGTTATAGTTGCAAACATATTCCTTAAAACTGACCGCCTGACTGAATTAATATCTATAATTAAGAAATCTAATTATTTTATTTTGATGCCGCTTTATCTTATTGCTTCAAAATCTATCTATCTATCTAAATGAAAGGAGGGGGGTGTCAACTTAGTAGAAAAAAATATAATTTGTGTAAAATTTAAGAAAATAAAAAAAGAAAAAATTAAAAAGAAACAATTTTGATAAAATCATGTAACTTCATTTATTATAACCATAAATATATAAATATTTAATTGAATTCCAACATTCTTTAATCTTATCTTTCTGATATCTTTTTGTCAAAACTATTAATATTATTTAAGTTACTTTAATTATTTAACTACTTCAAAAATCCTAATTAAATTATTTATTACTATCAATCGCTTCAACTTATATCAATTACTATAACTTTATATCAAAAATGGAAGCTTCATCTTATTATTCTTATGACAATATTGTCCCAAATTTTAGATTAGATGGTAGATTAGCTATATTAACCGGTGGTTCAGGTGGTTTAGCTGCAATTGTTGCCCGTGCTTTATTAGCTCAAGGTGCTGATATTGCATTAATAGATATGAATTTAGAAAGAACTCAACAAACTGCAAAAGATATATTAGCATGGGGAGAAGAAACATTGAAAGGAAAACATGAATCACCAATTGGTCAAGTTAGTGCTTGGTCATGTAATATTGGAGATGCTGAAAGTGTTGAATTAACTTTTAAAGCTATTAATGAACATCATGAAAAAATTGCTGATGTATTAATTAATTCTGCTGGTTATGCTGAAAATTTCCCAGCTGAAGAATATCCTGCTAGAAATGCAGAATCAATTATGAAAGTTAATGGATTAGGTGCATTTTATGTTTCACAATCATTTGCTAGACCATTAATTGCAAATAACAAAAAAGGTTCAATCATATTAGTTGGTTCAATGTCTGGAACTATTGTTAATGATCCACAACCTCAATGTATGTATAATATGTCAAAAGCTGGTGTTATACATTTAGTAAGATCATTAGCTTGTGAATGGGCTAAATATAATATTAGAGTCAATACATTAAGTCCTGGTTATATTTTAACTCCATTAACAAGAAATGTTATAAGTGGTCATGCTGATATGAAAGCAGAATGGGAATCTAAAATACCAATGAGAAGAATGGCAGAACCAAAAGAATTTGTTGGATCAATATTATATTTAGCATCAGAATCTGCTTCTTCTTACACTACAGGTATGAACCTTTGTGTAGATGGAGGATACCTGTGCTGGTAAACTAAGCTTATATTGAATTGGCTAGGTTTCAGGTGGTGATGGTGGTGATTTAATGATTTTACTTAATTTTTTTATGTATATTAGTTATTTTAATAGAATTCGGATTTAATTTTTTTAAAAAGCTCAAATCTTTTTAAGTGGCGGTAGCTTATAGAAGTTCCCCTATGTTGTTCGTGTTGAACATTTCCACTGTTCCAATGAATTGATGAAGCAAAATGTACAGATAAATTAAACATTTTGGGTGCAAAGATAATGCTACCAAACTTTGACACAATTTAATTCTGCACTCAAATTATGTCAAGCTGAGCAAGTCAAAAAAATGAAGTATGAGGTGAAGAGCAAGGAAAAATTATTTTGTTAAAGGGTGCCTTAAAGTTTATATAGTGTAGTCACCGGATTAATTAGTTTTTCCTTTCAATTCTAATTCAAAAGATCTGTATGAGGTGTAATCAAAAACCAGTAAGCTTTGGATGACTTATAGACTCTAAATGATGTTTCTGTAAATAGGGAGTTAAAGAAGTCAAGTTTTTGAGTATCTTTATAGGTAGAGTAACTAATCAATCAACTTCTTTTGGAAATACATATATTTTGAAATACTTTTAGATGATTTGTAAATTTTATTCTTGCACGTTTTACATCAATTTCGCAGCAAAATTTAAAACAATTATAAATTTTTACAGAAACCTTAATCTTAATCGTTTCAGGACGGGACAAAGACTAGTCGAATTAAAACTGGTATTTTATGTTCATTTTTATTAGAATTAAAGACTTTTACTCAATAAATCCCAACCAAAGTGGTTCTTGAATGATAAATAATTTGATCAATTTGATAATTCAGATAATTCAATCCGTACATCAATATTAAAACTACAACTACAAAATATCACAGGTCAATACATCCAAACCTCAACATACTAAAGCACAAACGTTTGATTCATCAAATAATATAATAAATTATTATTTAGGTACATAATTTAGTCAAAAATTATAATAACGTCAACAAGAAAATTATTAATTTTTACGATCATACAAAATAAAATAATAAAAGAAAGTTTTATTGTTGAGAAGAGAATATTGTTTTTTTTTTCGAGTAATTTACTTGCATTTACTGAAGAAGAAGAAGAAACAAATAAAATTAAAACTATTTAAAAAAGGAGAATAACGAAGAAGAGAAGTAAATTAAAGTATAAACAACAAATTAGTCGCTTTTTCTACACAAAATTCTCGTGTCTATTGATTAATACTTTAATAGTATTTATGCCGTAGTAAATTAATTAACAAGTCATAATTTGTTTTGACTCTACAACGATTATAAGAAATATTATCATTTTGTTTTTGTTTATCATTTGTACTACTTTGGTATTTATTGCTATCTTATTACTAAATATTTGTTTATCATGCGTAATTAAATATTTTATTGTCGTGTTTTTAAGTTTTAATTTCTTTTTAAATTTTTTGTCATGCATTAATGCATTGGATTATCTTTACTTTGAGTCAAAATTCAGGTCCCCTTTTCATTATTAACCTCGTGTAATTTGTGCATTAATTACGTTAAAATTATCGTTTGTTTTGCCCCCTCTCCTATTAATTAGTTCATTTATTGATGCTCATTAAGTGCCGCCTAATGAATTACCTGGTGATATTTGTGATCTGATTTAATCGATCATTTTAATCTTATCTTTATTTTGCTAAATTTAACAAAACTTTAAAATTAAAATAATTTAGTCAAATAAAATTTACTTGACGAAAATAATAAAATTTTTATTGTTAACAATAACAAAGATTTTAATTTGCTGGCAAAGAGTAATGGTAGCTACTTTTACTAACCAGAAAATTCTAACGTAAATTTATACTAAATAATCTTTAAACTTTAAATATAAAAATCAACCAGCTATATATTAAGTACCTTAATTTGTGAATTAAATCAAGTGAATCAACCAATAAATCAATCAAATCATCCAGGTCTTTGATTTATAGAACCTTCTTTTAATCATTAAAATAATAAATAATTATAAAGGGTTTTTTTCTGACTTGACATTATTATATTTATTACTACGCCTTTATTTTATTTTTATTATTATTATTTTTGTGAGTAATTTTTATTAATCTCTAATGGATAGATAATTTAGAATAGATAGATAAATAGGTAAAAATAATCTAATAATAGTAATAAACAAAATAATATAATCAAAATAAAACCAAAATATCAACGTCAAAATTGTACTTACTTACCCAATATAGAAAGAAAATAACTATAAACAGATAATTTTAATAAAATGGTTTTTTAAAACTAAAAAAACTAAAAAGCAATTTATCAAAAAAATTTTATTGTTATGTTTTAAAATTACTAACAAAATACTGCATATAACATTTTGCAGTCAAATACTTACACAAAAACCTCGAAATAATTTTTTTATCAAAATTTCAAAATTTATAAAGTAAAACAATAAAAATTTTCACAACAAATTTTGATAAAATTTTTAGTTTATAAATAAAGCTTAATTTCCTCTGGATTAAATATTTTATAGATCTTTTTCTTCTTTCTTCTTCTCATTCAATAATCAAACAAACTTTATTCCTTCGCTTTTATAAATTTACAATGCAATATTCAAAAATCGCCTTATTATCAACCATCTCAGGTGCTTTAGCCAGCTATAACAGTACAGTTGTCGATATCTCATCAATCACGCTTACTGTGACATCTTGCCATTTAGATGCCTGTAAAACTTCTGAGGTTATTACTGGAGTCACCACCGTCACTGAAGTCGATACTACCTACACCACTTATTGTCCATTAACTTCAGGTCCAGCTCCAACCACCGTTGCTGCTGAATCAAGTGCTGCTCCATCAACCCACGCTAATGCTACTGTTTCATCATACTCAGCAGGTGCCGGTAAAGTTCAAGTTGGTGCTGCTTTATTAGCCGGTGCTGCTTTATTATTATAATTTATATAGTCTTTTTAGAGATATAATTATAATTCAATAAATTCAATTTAATTTAATTTGTTCCAATTGACTCTAGTTGTTTAGTTTATCTCTCTAGGTAATTTGCTGCTTAGTTTCGTTCACATCTTGTTCATTTTGTTCAATTTCAGCTAGTTCTATTCCTGTTCTTATGTTTTTTCTTTTCTCTTTTTCTATCTGAACTGATTGCGAATTTCAAAGACTAAATTCTTTAGACTGATAAGCCTAGTTATAATATCTTGTTGATTAACAGTTCAAATTGCTTATTTGAATTCAATATAGACTGCATATTTTTACCCTACCATATGATTTAGATTCTAGAACGTCAATTATTTAATTATTTGATTGTAAAATTAACAAATAAATTCTATTAATTATTTAAAAAATAAGTCGTGCATTTTGTACTTGTTTTAAAATATTAAGTCGTGGAATCAGGAACATCGAATGGAATTCTAGTTTTCTATTTTCGGAATTGCAAAAAAGGCAATCAAAGAAAAAACAGTAAAAACAAGGTTATTTTGCTAAGTCAAACAATGTCATAGAATAAACAACGTTTATATATATATGTTACATAACAAATTAAGATCTAGTCAGTGACTGAAGAATAACAAGATGATTTGGAAGTCTTGAAAATTGAAATATTACAAAATTTAATTTATTATTTGGTAATAGCAAAGAAAAATTATCATCATGATTTAATTTTTAATTTTAATGTTTTCAAGTGAAGGAGTTTGTTGATAATCTAAATAAACAATTTCCTGGGTTTTCATTGATTTAAGAACTTAGAAAAATGATATTTGATAAGAATATGAATTGAGAACTAGGGATTTGTTTGATTGAAATTTGATTATATGGTACTTGAATTGGAGTTTTTTCAAGGTTATTTCATAAAATGTTTCATCAACATATTAGATTTCATCATCATATGTTCATTGTAAAGTTTCAGAATGGAGATATAATAAAGTTGAACTTTTTCATTTAACGAATTATAATTTAATATTACACTTTTTGGCATTTGTTAATTTGAACTATATTTGAGCTAAAGGATACGATCAGTGGTTCTTGCTTTTTCTATTAATAAATATAAGTTATTTGAGATCAAAATTAATAAATAAAAAGTGAAGATTTGAAAGATGTATTCCCAATATCAAATTATTTAATGAAGATAAAGAGTGATTAAAAAAGGTTGTTATTCATTAATTATATGCAATAAAGTATTCGATATGGTTCATACGTTGTTGTCATTTTTCATTATCAATTCGGATTTTGCTCTTTTCTATGGTCAATTTAAGTTAATGGAATATAAATTGTTTGAAATTTTAAGACCAGATTAATAAGTAATAAGAGTAACTATATTCGTTTATGTTTTTAATGAATTAATTTTATTGGAAAGAACTTGGAAGTTTTTTAAATAATTATGATTCATGCACAATTTCATTTGAAAAACTCAGTTTCACCTAGTTCAATTAACTACATTGATGGAGGTGATAATTGATCGATTAATTTAATCATATCTCAAATCTGGTGCTAGTTTTTATTTAGGAAAAAGAGATTTTGACTGGATCTATTGATTATTGAGAACCATTTAATGAACAAAGATACTAATATAGATAGATTTGATTTGAAATTTATTATCCATTTTTATTTGGATTACATTAATGATCGTGGTAGTGGTATTAATGGTGAAATGATTTGATTTTGTTGATAAGTGTTAATATATCACTACAAAACTAGAAACATTTTTTTTTTTTGTTTATTTTAATATTTAAATTTTGATGAAGTAGAGTGATTTTTATCTAAAATTACGACAATAATCTAATGATTTAAGATAATAAAGATTCTACAGTAAATTTTATATCTGTTATACAAATACATCATAAAATTAAAAACGTTTATTTAATATAAACTGAATATATCTAATAGCTTGATTGAATCCTTGATTTATTCTCTTTTCTTATCTTTAATTAAAAAACTTCTTTTTTATTTTTCATAATTTTCATTACTTTCTATCCTTCCAATTGACAATGACACCGCCATTTAAAAAGATTAAATCAAATAGCTTCAGTCCAATTTCATGAACTTATTTGTATTTGAAACAATTAAATAAAGATAAAACTTTATACTTTTAAAAAAACGCTGAAGCATTATCAAACTCTTATTTGATATTGTCTGTAAACATTTCTTATTCTAAAGTTAAACCTTCATTGAATGATCCATCAAAGGTAAACTCTTACTAAGTGTTCCCAACCGCCAGCAAGTCAAGCACAAGAGCGACCCAAATTAACCAAATTAATTTACGTGGTGCAGGCCACAACCTTTCAACAATTTAACCTCTAACTTCACATTAAAACCCATCAATCTAATTTAAAAAGATTTTGGTACAGGGAAGGCCTTTGACAACCTCCACCTGTTGTTTAATCCCAAGTATGAATCCTAGAATTAAATTTTCTTTTAAATTTAGATTGTATTTATTATTTTGAAACCCCAGTTGTATTCATTGTTGTTGAATCCCAAGTTTTACCAAATGTAAGAAATGATAAGTTATAATGATCTAGTAGTAGTTATTTTGATAATGGATATTAATAATATATAAAATCTAAATAAAATTAGTTTCTCAAATCTTGGGAAATTAAACCCTTATTTATAATCTTTTGAAATCATTTCAAATCAAGGGCCACAATCCTTAATTCTCATATTACACCAATATAAAACAATTATTTTATCATACTTAAACTAATGAAAGGGGCTATTAATTAATTAAATCCCCGCATGTGTAATCTATTGTTTAAATTATATTGGGTTGTTTCAGATATGATCTACAACTTCTAATTTTAGAATAATTTTCTTAACTATACAAAATAAACTATTTGAGATTTGCACGACCTAACACATTTAAATTAACTATCATTTTCATTAATTGGAAAGGCGTTTTGAATGTGTTGTGTTTCATTTAATATGGAGAAGTGTTTGCATATGATATTATTAACTAATTGATAAACGTTTGCTATTAATTAAACTTAATTAAAGTTGATATCTAAACTTCTATTTATAGATTTATTTATTAGATTATTTATTAACAGATGGTAGCGATTTCATTTTAAATCTTAAGTATGTAATTCTAGCTTAATATGTAATATATTGAATTGTATGGAATTGAGTTAGCGAACTATTAACTGTTTACTAACAAGACCTTCTCTAATCGATACTAAAACAAGCTCGAGATCTTGTGTAACAGATTAAGAACTACGTACTACTAACATATAAAAACGAAAATATTTTTTTGTCTCACTTCCAAATTTATAATTCTTGAAAAATAAACAGAATTCCGGTTTTTGAGTCAGGTGTTGGAAATTTTTTAAGCCCTGAAAAGTACGTGATTTTTGTAAAAGCCATGTGGCAGTACCGGAAACGCGTCTGAAACCACCACCAAAAGTTTTTTTAGGTAATTGGTTTTAGATATAGAGATCAAGTCAAAATATCAATTGTTCAAGTATCCGGTAAAACTTCGTTTTTTTGAGTAATAGAATCTAGTATTGTATTCGCTTTCTTAACAAGTTTGATAACTTGAAAAAGATATAATTGTACTTAAGTAGGGTTAACCTTAATGTATAATTCAGTCTAAAAGTTACAACCAAAAACACATTATATATAATCAAGTAAAGGAATTATTTATTTAAATCAATTAACTCGAAAAGTAAATCATAGTTGATAAAGCAGATTTGACAGTTGATGATCTCTTTTAGTTTGACTTTTAGTTCAATTAATTCAAAGCAAAGAATGTATAGTATTTAGATTGTTTGTAAGTTTAATTTACTACATATTTTTGTAGCTTATTTTACAAATTATTACAAAACTTAATTAATAACTAACACCAGATTTGAGATATAATTAAATTAACTGATCAATTATTACCTCCATCAAATATATAATTGAAATGGTAATACATATTTAGTTTATCGAGTTAATCTAAAATAAATCTTTTAAACACAATTAAATAATTTTCAAACAATTTGATCGATTCATGGTCTTCTATTACTTTTCCTACATCAATTTCCTTCAAAACTGTAATAGATTGATAGCGTTTAATAAATGTGTGAACTTTTTACATCTTAATGGATTTAATTAGATGATGATGAATTTTCAAATGATTATGGAAATAATGCATGATCCATAACTATTTAAAAAATTTCCTTGTTCTTTCCGATCAGATTAAATTTAATAAAAACATAAACTAACATAGTAACTCTTATTATTTATTAATCTGGGTTTAACATTTCGAAAAATTCCATCAATTTAAATTGACCAAGGAAAAGAGCAAAATCCAAATTGATAATGAAAAATGAGAACAATGTATGAACCATTTGGAATACATTATTTCATGTAATTAATGAATAACGACCTTTTTTAATCACTCCTCCTCTTCACTGAGATTTAAATAATTTGAAATTGGTTATACAACTTTTGAATCTTCAATTTGTAATCATTAATTTTGATCTTAAATAACTTATGCTATTCCAGACTCCTCTTGAACAATCTTGAGAGGCTGCAAAAATAATTCAGTTACACAAAATCAGAGTTTCAGAATATTAAAAAGAATAAACCAAGAGATCCTGTTAATGACTGAATAAAAGATGTAGAACATAAAAACTATTGTAGAAATTACTATACATTTGTTAGTTAGAAGAAGTTCTTTGAGATGATATCAAGATAAGCCAATCAGAAGAATGTAGAGAGATCTATGAAAAGTTTTATCATACAATATAGTATCACAAATACATATTTGTATTAGTATTAAGTTTGAAACGACAAGGAAGGCAAAGTCATCAATTATAAATAATCAATGGTTTATATAATGAAAATGTATATACATTAAAAAAAAAATTTTTTATTCTAAGTTTATAATATCCGTAAAAACAAACACTTTAAACAAAACAAATATTCAAACGAAGAATCAAGTTGATCCTCCAATTAATACTACAACAACTACGAGATTAGAGGATTACACTCAAGATACTCATCAATATAAGAAAATAGAACCATTGATCATATCCTTTAACTCAGATATATTTCAACTTGATAAATGCCAAAAAAGAAATATTAAATTATAATTCGTTAAACAATAAGTTCAGCTTTGATATATCTCCTTTCTGAAACTCCAGATATATTGGACATAAGATTATTACTAATGCTACTATTAATTTATATATATGCTTCATAAATACTTCTTTTGAATAAAAATTATCTAATTTCAACATTTAATGACTTGTAGATCATCTTTTAGATATTCTTTTACTCTATTTTACATTTGAGAAGGTAATAATTTCTTTGATTTGATATATTTTCTATCCCAGTTATGTCTTTAATCAAAATCCTTTACCATATTTGGATTTTTTTGAGGATTCTTGAGAAATTTTGAGAATTTTCACCTTGAGTTTTCAACTTTGCTACAAAATGGTCAATGAGTTGATTTAGCTAATTTACTACAATATTTTTCTCGCAAAAAATTGCGCTAAATTTGGAATTTTGATTGTATTGAAATTAAATTGCGCGTTAAATATGGACACTTCAAAAATTCAAATATCAGATTGATTAGAGTGAAATAAGAAACACTGCAATGAATATTTTAAGCTACCCCAATATTGAAATTTCAATGACTTTATAACGCTCACTACTTGGGGAGGTTGGTAAGTCAAGACTTTACAAAATATTTGATTATATATCTTCAAACTCTCAATCATTCAACGTTGTATACTTTTATTCTTACATTTAGACCCTTAAACCCTTTCAAAATACTACAATTTACCACAAATACTACATTTCATTTTTCACTACATTTCATTTTTCTCACAACTACAAAACGTGAATAAAATTACATGTATTATAGTTTTCCCTTTCTTCAATTTAACTAATAAACTATAAATCCTTATACATTAGTTATTATCATTCATTATTATTATTTATTTCATCATCATCATCTTCATCATCATCATCATCCAAATCAGTTTCCAAATCACACATTGTTCTACAATTTGGACAATAAAATTGTGGATAACTTTTTATAATAATTGGTCTAATACATTTATAATGCCAATGATGAGAACAAGGACTAATGAAAATTGCTTGACATGGATCAACTTTCATTAAACATATTGCACATTCTCCATTATTCGATGAATCACCACCATCACCACCATTAAGTTTTTGATTTATAATTGAATCATCATTCAAATGTAAATTTTTAAATTTTTGATGAATTTCTAAATTAAATTGATTTACTTTTCTTTGCCAACTTTTATTAAATTCACATCTCATTTTAACACATCTATAAACTTCTTCTGTTCCACCTCTATAATCCATACCCAATTGAATTATATCCCCATCTATTATTGGCATTAATAAAGATTCTTGAGATGCTGGTGATAATCTTATATGATTTAAAAAAGTCCCCAGTGAACTTTTACAATCTTTTAAAAACCATTGACCTTCTTCATTACATTCTAATAATGCATGAGTTCGACTAACAACTTTTGATTTAAAAACTACTGGTGCTGATGATCCTTGTTTTGCATGAGCAGCTGCTTTATTTTTTTCAGTATATCTACCTATACTTAAATTTGAACCTGGTTTTAATTTTCTTATAATTGGACTAAAATATAATCCACTTGATGATGATGAATGATCAATTAATGGAGTCAATCTTACTGCATATTGGCCATCTTTATCTGTTTTCTCCTTTTCGGTGGTTGCACTTGACAACATGTTCGTTGAAGATGATGAAACTGCAGTTGCTGTATGTTGAACTTGAGGACGTGAAATTGATGAATTTTCTAGTTGTGGTTCTTCATTAGTATCATGAAATGAAGTTGAAGTTATATCATTATCATCATCTACAACATAATTATTTATATTTGCAATAGTAGGACTATTTGACATTAGATTATGATGATGTAGAGGTGGTTGGGTGGTGGTTGTATCTGATTGTGACCTCATTGTAAAGTTATTTAAAAAATTTAAACCAAAAGAAGGTCGTCTTGGAGGTTGTTGTAAATTTTGACTTTCAATTATTGGGGAGTTTGGACTACTTGAACTAGAACCAGAACCAGAACCAGAAATATTATTAGTAGAAGTATTTGATTTTGTAGTTGATAATAATTTTGGAATGCCTTGTCTTGTTAATGTTGAGTTAGGATTCTCTGGCATTTGTTTATGAAATGAAGTTGATGAAAAATGATTGATTAATTAAATTAATAGATTAAATGATAATTTATGATATTAAAAGCTGGTTGTTAATCTCTAATTAATTTGGTGATTTTGTGATTATTAAAAAATTAAAAATTGTTGAAAATCAGAAATTAATTTATCTAAGAGAGAATTTCTTTTATTTATTGTAGTGCACTAACAAAATTATAAATTATATTATACGAACTATTTTAGTATTCTTGTTCACCAATTAATCTTAATAATAAATCTGATAATTGTTTTTTACCTTTTGGTGATCTCCAAATAAAATGATCACTATTTTCTGCTATTACCCATTCAGCTGTTTTACTACTTAATTTTGAAATTTCTCTTTGCCATTTACCCCAATTTAATGATTTTTTAATCATAAAATCAGAAGATATTACTCCTACTGTTAATTCATTTATATCAGCATCTTTAACTTCATTATACGATAATATACCAGATACTAATTGTTCTTGACATCTTGCTCTAATATATTTTGATTGATAATACATATCTCTACCAAATATTCTTGATTTACTTGAATATTTCATTGGATGGAAAAACCAATGTATTGATGGAATAATCCCCAAGGGAGATATAAAACCTTTTAACCATAATTTTATACCAGTTATATTATCCATCACCTCCAAAGAATTTCTAAAAACTTTTGTTGATTCATTTTTTTTACCAGAACCATTAAATGGCCATTTTTTCAATAAATCAACTGGCCATGAATCAACAAATAATATCAGTTGGATATGAGCTCTATGTCTACTTGCAAACATTCTTGCGTATAATCCACCAATATCAAATCCCACCACAGCAAATGGTCCTTCAATTCCTTCTTTATCTAATGCATCTGATAAATAATCACTTATAATTCCAATACTTGCAGGTGGAGGTGCAGAATTTGAAAATCCATAACCTGGTCTATCCCAAATACAATATCTTTCAACTTTGTTTAAGTGATATAATTCTTCAATCCATTCTGCAAACACTTCTGAAGAAGTTATTTGTCCACCTTCTACTAAAACAATTGGTTGTTTTGCTTCTTTTGAATGAACATCACCAAAACATGCTAAATGAACATCAAATTGATTATTATCAACTGGTACCATTTTACCCCAAGGTTTTTCATGAGTATCAAATGCATGTAACCAGATTGTTAAACTAATACACCATATAATCCATAATATAAAAATTTCAACCACAACTTTAATTAAATTTATAAATAATTCAGCAACAGTTTTTCTTTTTTCAACTCTACCAGTTAATCTTATTTGTTGATATTTTCTAGCTTCATCAACCCAATAATCCAGTAATGAGTTAAATATTGAATTTGCAGCAGTCCACAAAAGTAATATAGTACCTAATAAACCTTGATCAATTCTTGTTTCTGGAATTATTAAAATCACTAATAAATCTAATATCAAAAACCCCAGTACAACGTATCCACCAATTCTTTCGTAATATGAAGGTACAATAAATGTGAAATTATTTAATACATTTATAAATAAACAAACCAATGCCAAATCCATTTGTAAAAATGATTTACCTCTATTATTGAAACCTGGTAATGCAAAGAATTCGCTGAACAATAATACCAAAAATAATACCAAATTAATAAATACCAAAAGTACTTGAATAAATTTTAAAATTTTAACATAATCTAATTTCAATGGTGATACCAATGGATCATCTGGATCTAATAATGGTTGTGTTTCTAAATCTGAAGTTGGTACATCATTTGAATTAATTGATTCTGGATTGATACGATTTATTCGATGATCATAGTCATTTTCTGTATGATGTTCTGTATGAGGTGTTGGTGCATGAGTACCTGACCTCGGCTGTTCTGATTGACCATTTTCTTCAATTGAATGATACTTGGGCATTGTTGATAAATTTCAATTGAAGTGCAAGGTAAAGAAGAATGACTTATTTGTAAATATAAATTTCGCAGCAAGCTTAAATTAAGGGGTTATTTAATTCTTTAATTTCATAATTCAAAAAGAAATGGCGGGGAAATCAATAGAATTAATGAAATTCTTCTTATTTAATTAGTGAAGTAGTTTCAGTTAGTAGGTTGATTGTAGTAGATCTTGCAGTAATTCATTGTGCATGAATTATGGCTCGTATCATGATAATGCGTCGAGACTTTAAAACTCCGAAGTTGAAAACAGACTCTAACTCTTTTATGGCCCGTCTGGGTGGTTCATTTTCTTGGTCATAATAAGAAATATATTACCGAGACTTTATTTCTTTGTCAATAATTGTTTAGTCTTGGTTGTTATTATTATAAATTGTTATCTCTTATCGTCAAATTTCAGTCGAGGCACTAAAAAATAATTGAAATGAAATTTACTACCTCTGTTAAACTTTTTTTACAACCAATTCAATGTCAATAACTATTCCATCAGAGCTTAATATAGATGGTTCCACATATTATCAAATCAACGTCAAACTACCGCTACGGTCTTACACTTTAAAAAAAAGGTACTCTGATTTTGAAGGTTTAGTCAATAATTTATGTCATAATATAGGTATCAACACTAAAGATTTCCCATATCAATTACCAGGTAAAAGAATCAACTGGTTAAACAAACACAATGTTATAGAAGAAAGAAAAAAAGAATTAAGTCATTTTCTTAACCAAATCATACAAGATAAATCATTACAAAATGAATCTGAAGTACTTCATTTTTTACAATTACCAAAAAGTTTTAAATTTCAAGATAGAGCTAAGATTGAAAATAATGATAATTGGTATGAAACTTACCGAAATCTAAAAAATGATTTAGCTGGGGAAAATAATGAAAATATCCTTAGATTAAAAGAAAGAATTACAAGAAATTATTATCCCGTTATGAGTGATTTAATAAATTCAAGTAAAGTTGCCAATATAGAAGAATCAGCTAAAAGAACAAATATGATCAATCAACTACAAAATAAAATCAATGAACTACTACTAAATCAACCAAAACAGAAGCAAAATGTTTCAAGAATACTAGGAAAAGAAACTGAAGAAACACTTCCCTTAAATAATCAAGAATTATTACAACATCAAATTCAAACTCATCAAACTCAAGATAAAGAATTAGAGCAACTTAGAATAATGATTGCAAGACAAAAACAAATTGGAGAATCCATTAATCAAGAAGTTGAGGAACAAAATTATTTGTTAGATAAATTTAATGGAGAAGTTGAAGAAGCAACTGATAAAATTAAACAAGCAAGAAGAAGAGCCAGAAAAATTATATAAATTTTGGTGGTTGTGGTGATTATTATATCAAATCTACATATCTTATGTTATCAGCTAATGAATCAACATGAATTTCCGAATGGAACTGATAAAATTAAAGAAGCAAGAAGAAGAGCTAAAAAAATCATATAAATTTCGGTGGCCTATATCATATCTACATATCTTATATTATCAGCTAATGAATCAACATGAATTTCCGAATTTCCATTTTCCAAAGCTTTCCTTTCAATTTCTTCATTCCCAATACTTCTTAATTCTTCAACATCTTCAACCACAAAATCTTCTTCATTTATTCTCCAAAATCCTCCAACACCAAAAAATCTATGTATACCAAATCTTCTTGGTGAATAGGCTCTACCATTATTTCTTAATTTGAAAATACTTGGATGATATTGATGATAAAATACAAATCCAACAAATCCACCTAATAAGCTTCCTGCTATAACATCTCTTAAATAATGTCTATTATCACTAACTCTTGTACTTGAAACAAATATAGCACCTAAAATTGGTAAAATTGTTAAAAACACTTTAAAAGAATTATTTCTATGATCAAAAGTTTGTAATCTTGCAGCCATATTTAATGAAGTTATAATCATTCCACAAAATACTGTAGAAGCATGTCCAGATGGGAAACTCCTAAATCCTTCCATTACAAAATTCCAATTTGGTTGTGTACATATTGCAACATTTGATAATTGAGTAAATGGAATAGTTTGAATCATTGGCTCACATCTATCAATTGCATCAGGTCTTGGTAAACCAGTTATATTTTTAAGTAAAGAAACTGCCCAAATTTGAGTAGCTTGAGCTCCTAATAAACATAAACAACCTGCAAAAAAATCCCATAATCTACGTTTTATTGAAGTTGTTGTAAAAATTGCAAAAAATACAAATTGAGCTAATGGTATCCCAGCAGAAATTAAAATTAATAACCATACCGGTACAGTAGCTTGTGGTAAAAAAGTATACCTAATCAGTAAATCAAATAACAGAAATTCATGAAAATTTGGAGGTATATTCCTTCCTAATGTTACAGATAAAATTAAAATTACTGAATAAAAAATAAAATCAAATATATATGATATAGTAGATAATCCCGAAATTTGTATATGTCTAAAAGTAATAGCCCAATCTTGAAACATTTTTTGGTGGTGATAATTATTTGCAACCAAAAATTGATATGTTCTTTTAGTACTCTCGTTTTTAATAAACCCATATAATTTATTTTTAATACGACTATAAATAATATATATAAAAAAAAAGAATAAAGAATTAAATACAAGTCATTCGTTTGACCATTATGTTTGTTGTTTGAATATTTAAAGTCATTCAGTGACCATTATATAATATATGCAAGGTTTCTTTGTTTTAAGTAATTTATTGGTTTTCTGGACGTAATTTTCTAACTTCTTTACCAACTCTCCAAATTTCCATATCTCTAATAGTTTTCAATTCTTCTTCTAATCTATCTCTGTAATCAACTTGTGAATTAAAATCAAGTGATCTTTGAGTTTCAGTACCATTTTTAACTGATTCATATAAATCTTCAAAGACTGGTTTTAAAGCATCTTTAAATCTTGGGTACCAATCTAAAGCACCTCTTCTAGCGGTAGTAGAACAAGCATCATACATATAATCCATACCATATTTACCAATTAATGGATATAATGATTGAGTAGCTTCTTCAACAGTTTCATTGAAAGCTTCAGATGGAGTATGACCATGTTCTCTTAAAACTTCATATTGAGCTAAAAACATACCATGGATACCACCCATAAGACAACCTCTTTCACCATATAAATCTGAATTTACTTCTCTTTCAAATGTAGTTTGATAAACATAACCTGAACCAACTGCAATAGCCATAGCAATAGCTTTTTCTTCAGCTTTACCAGTTACATCATTCCATACAGCATATGATGAATTAATACCTCTACCTTCTTTAAATAATGATCTAACAGTTCTACCTGAACCTTTTGGAGCAACTAAAATAACATCAACATTTTTTGGTGGTTCAACTTTAGTTAATTCTTTAAAAACTGGTGAAAAACCATGAGCAAAATATAAAGTTTTACCTTCAGTAATCAATGGTTTAATAGATTCCCAAGTTTCTGATTGAGCAGCATCTGATAATAAATTCATAATAATAGTACCTTTACTAATAGCTTCATTAACATCAAATAAATTTTCACCTGGTACCCAACCATCTTCAAGAGCAGCTTTCCATGAAGCACCATTTTTACGAACACCAAGAATAACATTTAAACCATTATCTCTTAAATTTAAACCTTGACCATAACCTTGAGATCCATAACCAATTAATGCTAAAGTATCATTTTTAAAATAATCTAATAATTTTTCTTTTGGCCAATCAGCTCTTTCATGAACAACTTCTTCAGTACCACCAAAATTAATGGTTTTAACACCACGTATAGCCATTAAAGGAACTTGTGATTTAAAAGTTGTAGTTCTTGTAGCATTTGCTAATAATGAAAAAGTTCTTTTTGATAAAATAGCTTTTGATGAAGCTAATTTTGCAAAACGTAATGAATTGGTTCTAAATGACATTGTATTTAATTGTTATTTCTTTAATTGATTCTTAATAAAAATTTTATAAATATAAAGAAAGAAGTTGAAAAGCAAAATTATTTATATATAAATTATATTTGTTGAAAAATTTTATTAATTAATTTTCTCTTATTCTCCCCACTAATAAATTTTTCAAGTGAATCATATAGTACTGTATATAAAATATAATCTTAACTACTACGGAACTTTCAGGTCCTTTATTCGGAACTTACACAAAACTATTATATCTCTTTGAATTTTTCATATAAGGTCTAGCGGAAAAGGTGAAAAAATTAGTACAATTTTGACATATTAATGCCTTGAACAAGAATTGATAGTGATAACGATTTGTGTAAGGCGTAATGAGTAATAACATTCCTAAATCTATGATTGATAAGGACTGTACTCTATCCTGTGTAGTAAATGTAGATATTTCAAAGTTCATAAATAATCAGAAACATATCTTTGTAACATTGATGTTCAAACTTTGACGTTGTAACATCTCACTCTCATATTAATTTTGGGTGCAAAATAAATCATACATGTTAAAGTGGTTGCAAATTTACCCAGTAATTCTCAAGTTTACACACTACCAAAGCGAGTTGCTGAAGCATTCAAAATAGTAGGAAAACGTTATAATCAAAACAAATTATTATTATTTATTAAAATGTGAGCTAAATACACTATAATGAAGCACTATGAAGTATTGAAGTAAAGCTAAACTTCTGAGAAGAAACTGAAACCTATCATCATCATTTTACATAAAAAAACCACCACTAAATTCGTTAAACTATTTTTTTAATAATTCTTCAATTTTTGGAGCAAGATCTTCCGGATTAGTTAATGAACTATATCTTTCAACAACATTACCATTTTTATCTATTAAGAACTTTTCAAAATTCCATTTAATTCTTGTTAAACCCAATAAACCAGATTTTTGAGATTTTAAATATTTAAAAACTGGATCAGCTTTATCTCCATTTACATCAACTTTACCTAAAACTGGGAAAGTAACACCATAATTAAGTTGACAAAATTCAGCAATTTCTTCATTTGATCCTGGTTCTTGTCCACCAAACTGATTACATGGGAAAGCAATAATTTGAACTGGTTGGCCTTCAAATTGTTTGTTTAAAGCTTCGAAATTTTTTAAACTCTTCGTAAATCCACAACGTGAAGCGGTGTTGAAGATTACTGTCACCTTTCCTTTTAATTCTGAGAATGGGAATGGTTCACCTTTTTTATCTAACGGCTTTAAATCGTAGAAAGCTGACATGATTTTGACTAAAAATGATATTAAATAAACTGCTAGTCTTGTACAAGTATCAATTGCAACCCCAAATTATGTAGAATTTTAATGTAGACAATTATCAGTTGGTAAAAGATAGATGATATGATGTTTATCAAATTAATGAAAATTTGAGAAATAAGTTTAATTATAAATAAAAAATAATGCTACCAAATACGCCATAATTAATAAGTAATCATTATCTCATTTCTAGATTTAGTAAAAGCTTAAGTTTATAATTTTAATTTTATTATTAAGCAGATTGAGTTAATTGTGATTATTTACTTCATAATTGAATAAAATAATATACAAATACTTGAGTACAGCGTTTAAAATATTACATCATCTTTTATATTATTTTAGTTAGTTGAATGTGTTATGATTTTTTTGAAACACAGCCGTTTGTTTTAACGAGACAAGAAAAAATAAATTTATCCGGAACGTAAAAATTATCCGTTAATTTAAATTAAACATTAAGTATTACCAAAATCCACAACAAATTTTATTTACAAGACTATACAAACTCAACAACATAATAATTTTGTTTACCAATTCTAATTAACATTAATTTCCCATCAACTAAATGATGTGATTTATCAAACAATACAACATCATCAGGATCTTCAATTTGATCTCTATCTAACCCTAAATAAACACCACCAGATTTAATTAATCTTTTTATTTCACTTTTGGACTTCCCAGTTATTTCAGATAGTAATGTACTCATTTTTATATCATTACATTTCTCCAATGGATATTTAGATAGTATACCTGATCGTTTAAAATTATTTATTAATTTATCTGCATTTACATTATCATCAAAGGGTTGATCTGGAGTTGGAAATAAAAATCCTGTAATATATGCTATTTCATCACCTACTCCAACACCATGTATCAAATCAACAACCTCTCTGGCTAAAACACGTTGAGCTATTCTTAAACCCGGGTCAGCTTCATGTTTTGGAATTAATTCACCTTCTATTACATTTAATGGTAATAATGTAAAAGTTTTCAATAATTTCCCAACCATATCATCTGGTACATTTATAAAATATTGATACATTTGATAAGGACTTGTTAATTTTGAATCTATAAAAATGGCATTACCAGCAGATTTACCGAATTTTTCACCAGATGGGTTAGTTAATAAAGGTACAGTAACACCATAAGCTTCATTTGTCTTGTTGACCAGTTTTTTCAATCTTGAAATCAAATCAATACCAGCTGTTATGTTACCCCATTGATCATTTCCACCAACTTGCATATTTACATTTTCTTTTTTGTATAAATGGAAAAAATCATAAGCTTGTAAAATTTGATAAGTAAATTCACTAAATCCAATCCCACCACTTTCTAACCTTGACAGTATTGAGTCTCTAGCTAACATTGCACTAACTCTTATGTGTTTACCATAAGTTGATAAAAATTCCAACATTTTAACATCTTTCCACCATGATTCATTATTTACACTACTTATTTCACCAATTTGTTTATTCATTGGAAACTGTCTTGATTTTGCATATTCAATACCATTTGTTAAAAAATTTGTAATTTGTTTTTGTATTTTGGAAACATTATCTTCAACCTCTGTTAGGTTCAATCCAGTCCTTTCAGTTGTTCTTCCACTGGGATCTCCAACTTGTCCCGTTGCACCACCCACTAAACCTATTACATCATTTCCACAAATTCTAAAATGTAGTAGAACCATTAATGGTAATAAATTTCCTAAATGAAGACTTTCTGCAGTTGGATCAGCTCCACAATATAACTTAAATTTATGATCATTATTTCTTTTCGTTATTATAAATAACTTATCATCCGTTATTGATTCAATTAAATGTCTTGATTGAAGATAACTAATTAAAGAAGTATCTGGATTTGTTTCTGGTGTAACATCTTTACCATCAGTCAATTCATAAACAGTAGGTATTACGGTCACCGTGTCTCTGGTCACTGTTGATGTAAACCTCACATATCTATTCAATTGACCTGTGACCCTTCTAAACATTTTTGGTGGTGGTGGTGATAATTGTGATTTTCTGAAACTTCTATATTTCAGATTCGCATCAATTCAAGTATTTTTTTTACTAGGTGATTGGCATCTCATTTGAAACATACATATCAAAATAAATGGTTTCAAACCATGAAGGTGGAGATCCTATACCCAAGAAAAGGAAAAGAAAGAGAAGCAAGAAGAACGGAAATAAAAACAAAGAAGTAGAACCAGTTGAAGAGGAATATATAAACAAATCAGATCAAATCAATGAAGTTTCACAACCAAGACAGAATAAAAAAATTAAATTTAATGAGGATGAAGAAATAGTAGGAGAACCCGAAGAAATTTCTATAGAGGAAATACCAATAGAGGAAGCCTCAATAGAAATATCAGACGATGAACCAAAACCTAGTACAATTCGAAACAAAAAACCAAAAGTCATAAAATTTAATGAAGAACCCGAAGATTCAGATTCAGATTCAGATTCAAATAATAATTTTAATTTTAAACAATCCTCATTACAATTAGCAGAAAGAGCTAAAAACCTTTTGGAGATACGACAAAATTTACCAATATATGAACATAAAGATCAAATCACAAATTTTATTTCTGAAAATCAAGTCACAATAGTTATTGGTGAAACAGGTTCTGGTAAATCTACTCAAATTCCACAATTTTTAATTCCCGAAAATAAAAAATCAATAGCTGTAACACAACCAAGAAGAGTTGCCGCTGCATCTTTAGCTGCAAGAGTAAGCGAAGAATATGGATGTAAGTTAGGTTATGAAGTTGGTTATCAAGTTCGTTTTACAAATATGTCGAACCACAAAACTAAATTAAAATATCTTACTGATGGTATGCTTCTAAGAGAAATTATGATGGATAGAGAATTGAAAAAATATAGCACCATCATACTAGATGAAGCTCACGAAAGAACAATTTTAACTGATTTAATAATGGGATTTTTAAAGTCCTTAATAGTTTCTGGTACAAGAAACGATTTAAAAATTGTTGTGATGTCAGCAACTTTAAATGCAGAATTATTTAGTAACTTTTTCAATGATGCTCCAATTCTATATATCGAAGGTAAAATGTACCCAGTTACTCAATTATACCTTGGAAATGAAGATAATCAAGATATAGTAGATTGTATGATACGATCAATTATTAAAATTAATTTAACTGAACCAGAAGGTGATATACTATGTTTCTTACCAGGTCAAGAAGAAATTGACAATTGTGTTAAAACTCTAGATCAATTAGCTCCTCAATTACCAAGAGAAGCTCCCTTAATTGTACCATTACCTTTATATGCTGCATTATCACCCCATCAACAATCAAAAATATTTGAGAAACTACCAAAAGGAAGAAGAAAAGTAATTTTAGCTACTAATATAGCAGAAACTTCAATTACCGTTCCTGGAGTAAAATATGTTATAGATTCAGGATTAAGAAAAGTTAAAATTTGCAAACATAATTTAGGATTATCTACATTATTAACAACTCCAATATCACAAGCATCTGCGAGACAAAGAGCTGGTAGAGCAGGTAGAGAAAGTGCTGGTAAAGTATATAGATTATATCCAGAAAATGAATATTTCAATCTACCAAAACAACAAGAGTCAGAGATTAAAAGAAATGATATCATACTACCTGTATTGACTTTAAAGAAATTAAATGTTGATGATTTGTTGAATTGGACTTGGTTAGAAGATCCGGGGCAAGAACTGATCATCAGTGCTTTAAACACTTTATATACGTTAGGTGCATTAAATGATGCCGGTAAAGTTACAAGTTTAGGTTATAAAATGAGTATATTACCATTACCTCCACAATTATCAGTTGTATTAATCACAGCGGCGGAAAATGGTTGTCTTGCACCAGTGATCGACATTGTATCTTGTTTGTCAGTTGATAATTTAATACTAAATGTTACAGGTGAAAATAGAGATGAAATTAATATGAAAAGAAGAACATTTTGTCCAAAGGGAACAACTTACGGTGACCTAATTTCATTGTACGAGTTCTACCAAAATTATAAATCATTAGGCAAAGAGTGGTGTTTGGAAATGATGTTTAGTTATAAAGGTTTCAAAAATGTTCAGAAAATTAAACATCAATTAAAAGGATATATGCTTGCTACAATAAAGCAAGATGATACTTTAACAAATGATGAAAAGGATAAACAAATAAGAGCTATTGAAGCACAACTTGATGAAGAAGACCAAGATCAAATATTGGATATTCCTGCAATCCTTAAATCGTTTTTAAAAGGTTTTATTACAAATACAGCTGTTGGAATGCCTGATAGATCATTTAGAACGTTCAATACCGGTCAATTAATAAGTATACATCCATCTTCTGTGTTATTTGGTAAACCAAACCTTGATGCTATAATGTATATTGAATATGTATTTACATCAAAAGGGTATGCGAGAAATTGTTCAGCTATCGAATTATCATGGATTCAAGAAGTCGCTCCTCATGTTTTAGGTGGTAACAAAATTAGCATTAATGATTAAATATTGATTTATAATTTACATACATCTTTAACTGCATCTATAACTTTATCAAATATTTTTTCATTACCAGCAATTACACCCTTTGATTGTAAAAGTCTACCTTTACCAAAATCTAATGGATTACCATATACATCACCAACTTTACCTCCTGATTCATATACCAAAATATTTCCTGCTGCATGATCCCATATTTTTTCTCTGTAACTATCACTTATTGGTAATCTTAAATATATATCAGCTTGTCCACTTGCTAAAGTGCAATATTTAACTTGAGAGTCAAGATTTATTGTTTGTTCTTTGACGGTATCTGGATTAAAACCAATTTTAGATTTTATATCAGCTTGAGTGGAATGCGATGAATGACCCTTTTCAACACCTTCAACAACCTTCAAATCCGAAGGTGATGTATTATTAGTCATTTGTATACGTTCTTGTTTATCTAAGTCAACAAAACCAGGTGTGAACAATTCAGAATAAGAAGAACCAATTCCTTTAATAGCAGAATATAATCCACCGACAACTCCTGATTGTTTTGTATTTGATATTATACTTTTTGGTAAATTAGGACATCCTATTACACCCAATACAACTTCCCCATCTTCTATTAATGCTAAGCATACAGCAAATTGATCACCTCTCAAAAATCCTTTTGTACCATCAATTGGATCAAGAGCCCAAATTCTACCTTTTGATCCACCTTGAGAATCTCCAAAATCTATACTTTTATATACGGACTCTATATTCGTAAGGTCACCAATTTGATCATCATATTCTTTTGTTTCATTTTGTACATTTTGAATCAATTCCATTACTTTGTTAGATAATTCCTTGTTATTTTGTAATTCTTCTGAATCTTCTTCTCCAACTATTTCATCTTTAGGAAAATTCAATTTGATAGCGTTATTTATAATAGCTTGACTAGCAAAGTCACCAATTGTTACTGGTGATTTGTCATCTTTGGTTATAGTACCTTCTTTAGATATTGAATCACTTAATTGTTTAGTCAATATTGAAGCTCTTTTAACTGCTAAAGTAGCTATTTGTAATTCTTTATGATATGGATGAGTTGACATGGTGAAATACTTGAACAATTGACTTCTAAGACTAATAATTGAGGCAAACAATATGAATATCAGAAATATTAATATCTTCATATACTAGTATTGAAATGAAAAATTATTGCTTAATATACAAATTCAAAATCGTGACAATTTAATTTATGAAATTGAAATTCATGACAATTATTATTTACATAACTTCAGGACAATCACCAAACAGGAAACGTTACAAATGGTATCATGTACAAAGCTCTACTAGCTTTATTGATACTTTGTTCGATATGTTGGATAATTCAACTACTACCTGTAATATCAGTTCCAGTAACTTCACCTGAAAGTAATATATATTTATCAAATTTTCAGAATTATACATTCGGAGTATTTGGAATTTGTGATACAAGAAATGGGCTTTGTAGTCCACAAAGGATAGGTTATCCTCCAACAAATAGTACATTCTATGGATTTATTGAAGAAGGGGATACAGGAGCTGTTATATTACCATCAGACGTCAGGTATACAATATCAAAATTGTTGGTAGTACATGTTGTTGCATTTTGTTTATCAAGTTTATTAATACTAGTTATACTTTATTTATTTGGTCTAGAAAGTCTTGATAGATACAAATTCAACAAGATCAGAAAACAACACAAAGTAGATAACGGATCTGATCAATTGAGAAATGAAAGAGAGGAAGAAGAAAACGGACATGACGTAACAAACGATACTGGTGAAAATGAACCAGCTGAATTAAAAAGAGATAAACGAGATTTGACATCATACTTGAATATCATGTTGATTTTAACATTTTTCTCAGTGTTGACAAACTTATTAGCATTCTTGGCAGACATTCTTTTGTTTATTCCAAATTTGAGTTATTTAGGCTGGATACAATTAATACCAATAATAACAATGGCTCTAATTACATCAATGCTTTGCTTTATCAAAAGATCCATATCAAGTAGGAAATTTTTTGAAAGTTATGATCATCAATATGCTAACGACGATATAAAAACACTTCGAAATCGAGCTATTGATCATTCTTGGAATGATTCATCTAGTGATGATGGATTTTATGTATATACAGATGGATTTTATACAAGAAATGAAGGCGAGCAAGAAGAAAGAGATAGAAATTTCTCAACAAATTCTCTAAGTACAGGAGCTCGACGAAATAGTAGAAGGACGTTAGATGAAACACTATCAGTAAATTCACAAAGAGAGTCAATAGAAATGGACGAATTGGGTAGGAACATTTAGTTATATTAAAATTTTATGTATTATTAAATTTATTTATTTATGGCATTTATACATATTTTAATTTTCGTAGTCTTTCTTTACAAGCTCTAGTAAGGTTGAATCTATTTTGATATTTTGTTTAGTCAACAACCTCAAGAATTGAGATGCTAGTAATTTTGACCGTGAAAGCTCTTTTAATTTATTATATAATTCCATTTGATTTTCCTCCAAAATAATTGGTGAGTTCTTTAACAACGTTATGAATTTAATAATTTCGTTTTTGTCAGTGATTGTAGACAATAACAATCTGAAATACTGAGTAGTTAAAGGACGATGAAAAAACACTGATTTTAAAAATGAAAGATCTTTTAATGCCTGATCTGGATTTTGATATGTATAAAAACCAATAAATTTACTAATGGTCTCTTCATTTGGACATTTTGCAGAGTCTATCAATGACTTCAATAAGCTTTTCGAAAGTTCAAAATTAACTCCACTTAATGCATATGCTAAATTATCTTTTGTATTATCATCTAAAGAATTTAATAGACTTGGTTGTGACGCATTTATAGTTATGACTAGTTCATTGATCAAATTCCCGATGGTAGGATACTCTTTGTTGACCTGCGAAACTTTACCTAGTAATTCTTTTAATCCATCTATTCTGAAATAATGTAAATTTAATGAAATGAACTTTAAATATTTTTCAAAAGACGTTACATTATCAATACTACCAAGAGCGTCATTTGAGGCTGATTCAACTGTATACAACAGACCTATTTCCGAAAAATGAATGGTTCCTCCTTTGACTAATTTGGAATTTCTTATGGCTTTACTTTGGTCGAAAAATTTCTCAAATGTCATGTCTCCAATTGAAGTGTTTGATTTACTAGCATTCTTGACACTTACTGGCTCTTCCAAATCTGTTAATTGTTTAATTTGTTGATTATATATATTTTTCCAACTTGTTAATATACTAGCGAATGGGAATATTGTAGGTTCATTTCTTGATTTAGCCAAACTTTTTATTACATAATTTGAGTTTCCGTATAAATTCTTATTGCGAGATAGTATAGAAATCAAAACATCGTTTGTATTTAGTTTGGTCACTAAATCAGCAACATCTTCAGGATTTAGAATTTCATGATGTACTTTTTCGATGTTTGTGAAAGTTGGTTTGTTTGGTATAGCTGCATAATTTTCCTCTCTTGTCATTTTCTCTGACTCAAAAACATGCTTATTTTCGTTTGGAGTAAAAGATATAGTGGAATATAGTCCTGATTTAGGGAGACGTCGTATTAGTTGGTACTTATTCATTTGCGTATGTGGTTTTAAAGTTTAATTAATGAAAAAATTTTGAAACAAATTTACAAGTAGATTTTGGTTACAAAGTTAGACTTTCAAATTCAACTCAATACATAAAACTTACTTATTGGAGACAGAAAGATCATTTAAGGTACTCGACGATATAGAATGATTACTACTTAAAAAGGACTTAGCAGAAATGCCGATATGAGACAAATTATACGATTTTACTCCTTTCAATTAGAACTATTTTAATAATTTTATTATATCGTTTCAAGTATGTTTCAAATGGATCGACAATACAAATTAATATTTTCGAGGAAAATGCATTTATTTGATTTTATAGCCACTAATACTAACCAAAATGTTTGAGATTATCATACTTTGTCATCTAATCTTATCAATTGTTGCACAGGATATATCAGTATTATATCATAACCTTAACACGGACGTAATATTAGAAAATAATAAATGGAAAGATGAATGCAGTCAAAATGCATTAAAACAATTGCCATCACAATGTTCACAAGGAATTGAAACGTTATCACCATCACAACAAAAGGAAATAGCATTAGAATTATCAATCTGTGAATTTGAAAATGCTGGTATAGATTATCCATTAAATTGTAATGAACAAATCAGAAAATTAAGTATTGATCAATGTATAAAAAGTTTGGAAAACTCCCCTCAATTTTGGACAACTTATAGTGGAAATTACAGAAACATAAAAGATATTTGTCATCAAATTAGTTTACCCTTTGAAAAAGATCAAATTTTGGAGGTTTATAGAAACATCACCAACGTTTATCAAAATGTCATGGATGATTTACAAAAATCACATCAATACAATAAGGATATTCAAGATCATATTGAAAAAAAATTTGATAAGATTTTTAAAGTAGTTGATCAAGTGATGAAGGACAAAGAAAAAGAAAAATCAGAAATGAATAAAACCTATAATATCTTTCATGAAAATTTTGAATTATCCATGAAGAAGGCATTAGTAGTTATTGGCAATTCTTATGATGGTGTTAATACAAACATTAATGAAATGAGTGCTCATTTAAATTATTTTTCAAATGAGTTATTAAATGTTTATAAATTAATCCAACAAGAAAGAGAAGAACTAGAACTACAACAGTTTTCAATCATAAATAATAATAAACAAATACTAAATCAACAAGAGTCAGTGATGGATCAAATCTCAGCCATTAAGAAAGAAACAAAAGATTTGCAAGACTCATCCAATAATTTAGGTAATACTATTAACAGCCTGCTTCTGTTTTCATCATTTCAGTTAAATGCTTTCAACTCATTATTACTGCAAAATATTGATGATTTACAATCACAAAAGTTAATAATCAAAGATCATTCAATGCATGTCATTAATGACATATCACAACTCTTAATAGAATATTTGAACAATTCAAGTCAGACAATATTGGATTCATTTGAATTAGCTTTACAAGACAGTCTACATAATTTAGATACCAAAATTATGAATACTGAAAAATCAATAGCTTTAGTTAATGGAAGAATTGAAGCATTTTTAGGTATAATCTCCAGTTCAACAAAGTTTTTAACGTCAATACCTCAAAGAGTGCTCAGATTTGTTCCCATATTCAGTGTATTTGGTATTTTGCTCAAAATATTACTAGTTTTAGTTGTATATTGGATTATGTTACTGCTCAAACCATTTTGGAAAGTACTTAAACTAATAATTAGAGGTAGTTCAACTTTAGTTTTACCACTGTTAATTGGTGTTGTTGCTGCTACAATTAGTTTAAAACTAATATATTCATTGAGGGTTATAAATAGTATTGAATAGTGATATAATAAACAAATTCTTTTTCTGATCGAATGACTATGCTCTACCCCACATATAAATATACTTTGCTTAAGGGGTAATTTTTTATTTTTTATATTTTTGTCTACAAAATAATAAAAAAGTCCGATTGAATTCGATTATGCATTTCACTCTCTCATTACATCTAATGATATTTTGCTATTAAGTACATCAATTACTACATGAAAGTACTTTTGCTACTATACACAGTTTCATTACTAGTTTTACTACGACAAGTTCACTCAAAACAACATATTTTAAATGATATATCTACAAATAATCAACAACTACGACAAACTCATGTAGAACCATTAGATCCAGAGATATTTTCAAACTTATATACATATGCTCATTTAATAGATATCTCATATTGTATTTCCAATCTTGGAGGGATTGAGAAGCCATTTAAATGTGATTTAAACTGTGAGTCAAGATTCCCCAATATGACGTTAATTTATCAATGGTATTTTGATGATAGTGTTGCTGGATATATTGCAACTACTCATGATAATATTTTCAGATATAATGAAACAACTGGTGGAAATAAGTCCAAGAAGAAAAAAACAATTATTATATCGTTGAGAGGAACTAAATCGTTTTCTGATACTTATGCAGACCTAAAGATAAATATGATTAATTATTCAAATTTAGGATTAAATTTAAAATTATGTGGTAGTGAATGTAAGGTTCATAAAGGATTTTACGAGTTCTATACAAGAACTTTGAATGTCATTAATCAATACGTTATAAATGAGTTGAAGGGACTTGAACAAGATGTTTGTAAAAGTCCAAGAGAAGAAGAAGATTACGAATTGATAATACTAGGTCATTCATTAGGTGGCAGTGTTGCTTTATTATTAGGTCTACATTATTTGGATATGGGTTATGATAAATTAACGTTGGTAACAATGGGTCAACCATTATTGGGAAATTATGAATTTGTAAACTGGGTAGATGAAGCAATGAGTAGTTCTGAACCACCAAAACATAATGACTTCAAGAGAAAATTTTTGAGAGTAATACACAAGAATGATATAATTACAACTTTACCTAAGAATCAATATTCAATTGATAAATATTATCAATTCAATAATCAAATTTATCTCAATTGTTCTGCTTCAAACACCAGACCTTCTTTGGATCAAGTTGTTGATTGTATCGATGGTGATAATGATTTATGTATTGCAAAGGATTATCCTTATGATATTTTGGATAGACATAATTATTTACAAATTCATCTTACATATTTTAGAAGAATAGGATTTTGTGGTATTAGAATATAAGATTATTGGTAATTATCTACTAAATCCAAATTTTGGTTGATCATCATCATCTTCGTCATCATCATCATCTTCATCAGGTTCATTATTGTTATTGCTATTATAGTTTGTATTGATACTAGATCTTTCGTTAGAATTAAATCTTGCTATTGTGTCATGATCATTAGTCTTTGTAGTTGATGAACGATTAGTAAAATTCTTAAACGTCAGTGCTTCTCCATCATCCATCCCTTCATCACCTTCGTCGTAGTCATCATCATCACTGTCCTCAATAAATAGCGGAGTTGGATGAAACCCACGAACTTCGTTCATAAGACCATTGAATTCAGTATCTACTTTAGTTTCTTTTCTCTTCGACTTAGGAGTATATACATTTGTATCAGATATAGTCATTTCAATAACTGGACGATCTTTATGTTGTGTTGGTGGTTTGTTTTTCCTAAATCTTTTGAAATTTTTCACATTAACATTGATGTTGACATTTATATCTTCAGTTTGTGGTACTGGCTTTTCTCTTAACGGCATATCAACAACTTCAACAATAGCTAAATTAGATAAATCTTCTGTAAATTCTTCTTCTTCATCTTCATCTTTTTCAACTATTCCCATTTCTTTATTCCATTTTTGAGCCAGTGTATTTCTTGCTTGTATAACCGCGTCAGCAAATGATACTTTTGGCATAAATTTTGGTACTTTTGGAGGTTGATGATTTGTAAATGATTCATTTTGTCGTTTTTTATAATTAATTGGTGGTTCATCTTCGGGTTCCTCTTTAACTTTAACTACTGTTGATTTTGTGAGTTTGGGTGTATTAAATGGAATTATTTCTTGGGTTTTTGAATCTGGAGTTGGTTCTGTTTCTGGAGTTTCTGTCCTCGATTCCTCTGATTCTTTTCTTTGCGGTTGTTCTGGCTGTGATATTGGTGGTGGTTGGGTTATACTTTCTGGTATTGGTGTTGATGTAGCACCTAATGAGAAGAAATGTAATTTATCAACTTTTTCATATTTTCTTCTCTTTCTGGAACTCGATTCCGTTGGCACTTGTGACGTTGCTGATCTTTTTAAATTCTTGATTGTGTTTGTCGGTATAGTATTTAAATCATTATTAATGATTTTAATCCATAATCCAGTTTCATCAATTGATTGCAAACCCATGAAATCTTTTGAACTAACTAAAACAAATTCTGAATCATTTGCTTTTGATTTTATATCCTCCTCTTTTTGTTCTACTACTTCACTATCTAGCCACTCAAGTGGTTCAAAAGACAAAACTTTTAAATCGAAAAATTTTCTTGTTGCTGGTGAGTATAAACTATTATTATCCGGTAAATATTTAGTATCTTGACATTTCAATAACCAGTTATCAACATCATTTGGATTTGCAATTAATGCTTCTAACCAAGTATCATTAACTATTTGTTTCCCTAGCACTATAGCTTTTTTAAATTCACTCAGATCAGGAACTGCTTTATTTGTATATAAATGAGTTGCATCATTAACATTATCAACTATTAATAAATCCATTTTTAATTTTTTTAATTGATCAACTAATTCATCTTTGGTATCAATGAATAATTTTATATTTACCCATTTAATAACCAAAGGAGCATCGGGGTTACCGCTTGGATCATCATCTTGTTCACATTCAATTACAATTTTATTTTGTGAAGAATAATCTAGTTCTCTTGGATTTTCTCCTTTCTTCAATCTTATAACGTCTCCATTTATGAAACTTTTAGCTCTTGATTGAATATATATTGTTAATGATGTTTTGCTATTATTTGATGAGGGACCTGTAACTATTTGTAATAATTCTCTAGCACATTTTCTTGAATTAAATGTGAAATCATGAACTTCAAATCTACCAAGGGACAAATTGGTTTCAGGAGGTAATACACGCGTTTCTTTAAATAGTTAGTATGGTTAATTGAATAAAACGCGATACTTGATGTCAACATACCTCCTCTGAGATCACCTTTATGGTGTACTATCCACATGTTGAATTCATGTAGTTTTAGCTTTTGATAATGATCTGTTACAAAATTGATGTTTAAATAATTGATTTTGCAACACTTTTTTTCTAAGAGATAAAAATCAAGAGACTATATTTTACAACCAACTAGCTAATAACTAATATTTATTTATTACAGAGCTTTCATCATTTCTTACTTACTTTACCTTTAACTTTTTTACCATTTTTACCATTAATTTCTTTCTTCTTCTTTTTTTCACCTAATTTTTTACCTAATACTTTAGAAACAGTTTCCAAGTCACCTAATTGTAATAATCCTTTTTCAAATGGAGTTAATTCATCTTTAGCAATTTCGTCTTGACCATCTACAATATCATCTAAAATATCCTCATCGTTGAATAATTTATCTGTATAGAACAACGGTATTGCTGGTGATGTACCAGTTTTTATCATTATTGTTTTTATAGTATTTATATCGAAATTCTGAATAACGTTGGTTATATTGCTGATTAATTCTTCATTTGTAAATTGAACTTCTTCTGAATCTTCGTTGTCATTGGCGAGATGACCAACTTTAACTGAAATAACAGTACCTTGTGGAGGTAAATAAAAAGTACTATTTAAATTTTTATCTAATTGATTTTTCAAAGTGACTAAAGATAATTCTGAATTATTTGAAGAAGTAGTAACTCTAATAGGCAATGGTACTTTATTATTTGATTCAAAAAATACTTTTCCCAATACATTTGGTAAAGTATTTAAAATTGCATCATCAACTAAAAATAAATCGTAATCATTTCTTAATTCTCTTCTCTTTTCAAATGTTTTATATTCAGTTTTTAATGATTTTAAAGGTAAGATTTGTTTTATAGTTGGTAAATTTTCATTTTCAATTTTTTCAATTTCTTCTGATGTTTTAACTAATTGATCACGTAAAAATAAACATGTTTTTAAATTATTGATGTTATATAATGATTTTGATAATTTTATAGTTTTAGCTTTGAATTGTGGTTTAGATGAAAAAAATTTCTTGGACTCAATCATGAGGTATAATGTATTATTTTCATTTATTTCATCTTCGTCAAATAATTGCAGTTTTGAATTTGGATTTTGAGCGATTGATTCTTCTTTTTGTTGTTTTTCTCGTACGATATATTTTTCCAATTCGTTTATGGCTTTGTCAGTGACTTTTGTAGGTATTATTGAAGTTGATGATTCATTTGATATAGCGGTTTGTTCTGGTTCTTCTGGTTGATCTACAGTTTTTGGTGATGCTTTTTTAACTGTAGATGCTGATTTTTTTGGTTTAGTTACTTTACCCGGTGATTTGACTTTGTTAGCAACAGGTGAAACTGGTCCCTTTGATCTAGTTTTAGCCATTTTCTGATTTTGTTGATCTGGTATTATAATTTGGTATATAAAATAGTTATATAAAAAATCTCATCTCTTAATTGAGTACAAAAAAATATAGAAGATCAAAAATACTGCACATAAGAGATTTTTCAAACATCAACTTTTTTCTAAGATATATCAGATCTACAAACTAAGCATTTTTCTAATATTACTAATTATATTGTTATACTAATATGTTTATATATTTTAATTATTCATTGATTTCATATTTTCCTATAGATTAAAATATATGCATTATTTATACCATCATTTAATACATCATCATCATTTATTGGTTTAACAATGGTATCATCGATTCTCCACCATTGATTTGTTTCAAAATCAAAAGTATCACTTGTATAATGTCCCGCGTCTGCTGATGATCCATGATGATATACTACTGAATTTAATTGATACTGTTGTTGTTGTGACTGTTGTTGTTGAGATAGTATTTCATTAGGTATGGTTAAAGTGTGATTGTATGTTATGTTTTTGCCTATTTTTTCTATTGCATTTTCTTGATTTTGTGAAGAATAACTAAATCTTTTTAAATGTATGATTAAGACTTTTGGTAATTTTTCTATAAATGTTTGCTTTTTAACTAAAAGGTCTTTATTATTTTGACCTTTATATGAAATATTTTCTAATTCATTTAAATGTAAAAATGCATCTTCTATTGATTCTGAATTTGATATATCTAATTGTACATGTTGGAATGGATCTAATGTTATTGATTTTTGAAATGATGATGCTTTCGGAATTGATATCACTGATTTAAATTCACCTCCGAAAATCAAATTTAGTGGTGTTGGTTCTATATCTATTTTGGTTACATTTTTTTTACTCACTTCTTTCCATTCATCTTCGTCATCTTCATTTCTAATTCTCTTTATACATGTCTTTATGTTATATTTGAATTTTGTTACATCATCTGATGTGTATGATTGTATTAAAGAATCAATTTGTGGAGTATTCAATCTTTTTAATGCTAAAATCATTTCTTCATTTAATGCATCTAAATAATAACCTAAAAATTCTTCTGCATCTTCTTGTTGTCCCCATTTTAAATGTTGGAATTTTTGATGTTTCGATAACGCTGAATAAAAAGTTTCAATTGAAACTGGTGATTTATCGTCTGATGGTTTGAATTCATTGAATAATTTTATAGTTGCATCTATTAATGGTTGTGAAGATATAACTAAATCTCCAATTGATTTGGTTTCAATTAATTTTAATAATTTATTAAATGGTTCACAATAAAGTAAAGTTTGAAGAATTGAATTCATAAAACATATATTACCAGTATTTGTCAAACCTTTTGGCTTGATTTCAAAAACGGGAAAATCATTAAAAATTGAATAATGACTATCAAACATTATTTTCAATAATAATATCCCCAATGGTTGTGCTGATTCATTTTCAATATTAAATAGTTCAAAAGTTTTAGTTGTAGTTATAGCTTTTGGGGCGGTGGGTTCTACTTTTGATGGATTTGATTTTTTGACTACTTTTTTTGGAGTTGGTGGAGCAGTTGATTGTAAAAATGAAGCCCAATTATTTGATAATGCAGGAGACTCTTGTGTGTTATTGGCATGAGGCTGTTGACTTTGAGGTGTTGAAGTTAATGATTTTTTTCTAGTTCTCTCTATTTTGTCTTTACCATTTGTTAAAATAGTTTCTAAAGTATTTATATATACAACTTTTGAAATATTTGGGGTAAGGGTAACTTTATTTTCGTTCCTTGTAAAATTATCTTCCAATTGATTTGATTTTGTGATTAATTCTATACTTCTAGTTTGTTCGGTTAATGGAAAATTATTGAGAAAATCCGACTTTTTAGTATTTACAAATAATGGTAACTTCATATCTAATTTGGTTTCAGATTTTTGTGTTGGTAATTTTGTTGGTTTTTCTTCCACTTTATGGCCATTTAAAATTGGTACCTCTTCCTTGAGCTCTAGTTCGCTTTGGTTTGGTGTATGGGTATTATTTGTATTTGAAGAAACATCTTTTGATTGTGAAATCTCGGTCGGGGTAGACTTTGGTGAATATTGTTGACGAGCAAGGTTGTTTTGTGGTTGAGCCTGCTGTTGTATATGCAGTGGTTGCTCGTGTTGTTGATTATGATGGTGATGCTTTTGCGGTAAATTCTGTGGTGGTGGCAGTTTTTGAAAATTATTTTGTTGAATTGGTGGTGGAGCTAATGGACTATTTGATATTTGATGATGCAGTTTTGTTTGTATATTATTGTTGTTGTTATTATTATTATTATTGTTGTTAATATTATGATCTTGTGAAGGAGGTGGTGGTTGAGGTATCGGAGGTGGAGGTTGATGCATTTGTAAATGATTTTGAGGAGGAGGTGGTGGCATCATATACAATTGTTGAGGTTGTTGAGAATATAAATCTTGTTGATAAGGCATATAACCATACATTTGATTCATCATCATTGGATATTGATAATTATTATATTGCATATAAAGTTGTTGTTGTTGTTGAGGCGTAAGTCCTGCTTGTTGCATTTGAGGAGGTATGAATTGATTAGGATTATGCGGAGGAAATTGTTGATGATGATTATGATTATGATTTTGATTATGATGATGATTTTGGTGATGTTGTTGAAATTGATTATGAAAATTTGTATAACGAGGTGAAAAACTTACTGCATCTCCTTTAAAACGCAGTGAACCTCCATTTGAATTTGATGAAGATGCTGATGTAGTTGAAGACGGATTTCTCGAAGTTGTAGTTGTAGTTGTAGTTGATTGTGGTACTGACATGAATTTATTTTAGGAAAATGATGATTGATATTTATGTGAAGTGATATATTATAGGTCTCTTAATTAACTTTCTTTTGTTAGTTTTCTTTAAACATGAACATGAAAAATTTAATGGTCCAACAATAATAAATTTTTATTAATATTCTAAATAGATAATTTTTTTGATCAATTAATTATTGAAATAAAATTGAGTTTGTTGGCTAATGTACTTTGATAATTTGATTGATAATTATAATAATAAACAAAATAAAGACTAGATTATTGTTTTTAAATATATATTTGATTGTTTATTGTAAGTTAAAGTATAAGATATTTTGATAAATTTGTTAATTAATTAATAATTGAGATTAAATTTCTATTCCCAATAAAAAAAAAATGATCTAACAAATTTTTTCATTTTCTTCAATTTTTTTTTCTGAGTGAGTTTTTTCTCAACAGAGTTAAGTTTAGTCTTAAAGAAAAATTGGTTGGTTCAAAATCAATTTATTAACAAAGTAACATTCTACATAAACTTCACTGATGACTAAATGCTGTCTATTCGAAATAGATTGAGGACTTTATGAAACATCCCTAATCTCAGAGCAGACAAGTTTAAAACAAATATCTCTTAACTGAAAACCATTTGTACTATTTAAACTACAAACCAGGGTTATATAGTATGATCAATACACTAATTAAGTGACAACAATAAGGAATTGGTAATAATTGATTACATTTCAGTTTATATATGAGTTGCCATAATAAATTCTTTTGATTATTCTCATTAAATAAACGAATTTCGTCTTTTGATTTGTCAAGTATTGTAGATTTGTTACTTATTTTTGATTGATAATTTTTACAATCACAATACCAATTATGAAAATCAACTATAAATTGATCATTATTATCACAGGAGCTATGGGCCTTTTCCCCAATAGTAAAGGAAAGTCTAGCGTCAATTAATCGATCTACTTTTGATAATGGATTTTGAGTTACACTATGATCGAGTTTTTTCTTTTCGGGTTGTATTATTGAGTTAGACCTAAATAAATTATCAGCACAATCCAAATTCGTTAATTCCAATTCATCATCATTATTGATCCCTCTAAATACTAAATCAATTGCTTGTAAAAATTCATCAGAAAATAAAGCAAATAACAATAAGGATTTATTGTGATTGATAGAAAACTTTTTTTGATGGCATTTGACCCTTTCTGTTACTTTTAGCTTATTTAATTCACCACCTTCTTGATTGGATATCTCATCAATTGATTCATTTGTAATAATTTCTTCTAACAACTCTTTTAAATTTGAATCAATAACTTCTATTCTAGTTAATTCTGGATCATTTAAACTCATTCATTCATTTGTAAATATAATTTTATGGTTGTATAAATCCAAGTGCTTAAATTATATGCACAGAATTAAAGTAATATTTCAATAATAATACAACAAAAAAATAATAATAAATAATCAACATATAAAAATATTTAATAGTGTTTCAAATTTATTAGAGAGTAATTTACAACCAAGTTTTTATTCATCAATTTCAACCCATATAAATTTACTTTTTACATCTTTTATTCAAAGTAAACAACATAACTTTTTGTATCATAATATCATTATAGACCAATAGATTAATTAATGTTATCATGGATTGGTTACAACAGCTACCTCCAGATTTAAAGTCTCAAATAACTAATATAATAAATAATGATCAATCAACTCAACAAACTTTTAATCAATTATATGAATATTTCGAAACATCAAAACGTAGAAAAATAGCAAATGGTAATGGCAATAATAATAATGAAGAAGAAGATGATACAATAGAAGGAGGATATGAAGAATTAACACCATCATCATCAGTTCATCCAGATTCAATTATATTTGAAATTCAACAAATTTCATTTATGTCACCTTTAAGAAAAAAAATGAATTTAACTTTCCATTTAATAGAACAAGATAATCAAGCTATACCTGTATTATCAATAGTTAATCCAATTACAAATGCTCCTGAATTATCATTTATAAATTTATCACAAGCAATAAAATTATGTTTAGTTTTACCAGTATTGGGGAATTCAACTAATCCAACAAAAAAGGGAGTTTGTTATTTATGTTTTTGGATTCATGATTCTTATTATACTGATTTAAATGTTTCTAAAGATCCAATTATTTGTTTAATGTATTTAGATCAAATTAAAAAACAAATGATTAAAAATGGGAAATTACAAAGTAATATAGATACACAATTTGGAGATTTAACACAATATAAAAATGATGTTATATTAAATCCAGTACAAGAAAGAATTTTAGATTATTTTAAAAGACAATTTAAATTATGTGGTATAAATTTAATAAATTATTTACCTTGTGAAACAATTTTTAAAAATAAATTTTTATTAAATAAAGATTCAGCAGTTGCTTTAACAAGTGGTGAAAATACAACAAATCCATCTATAATAATAATCGAATGTCATAAAGGAGCAAGAGATGGTAATTTAATATTTTTAGAAAAAAATGAATATAATAATGCTTTTATGATATTTGCATTTAAAAAACCAATTTTAGTATTTCCTATGTCAAAAGTATTAAGAGCAAGTTATACAAATATAACAAAACATAATTTTAGTTTAAATGTTGTAGTATTAAATGATAGAAATGAAGAAAGACCAATTGAATATAGTATGATTGATGTTGCTTATTTTCAATTAATTGATGATTTTATTAAACGTCATGGTATAAGTGATGATTCTTATAATGAAGAAAATAAAGAAAAAGAAGGAACAAGTAATGCTAATGTTAATGATAATAATAATAATAACGCTGTTGCTTCTAATGGATCTACTGGGTTAAGTGCAATTGAAGTTACGAATGTTGAAGATGATGACGACGACGATGATGAAGATTTTCAAGGTGGTAATGAAGAAGATGGAAGTGATGTAGCAGAAGAATTTGATAGTGATGCAGAAGTAAGTGGAGGAGAAGAAAATGGTCAAGAAGATGATGTATTTATAAAATCAAAAGAAGAATAAAAACCAGTAAAAATTTAGCGTATATAAATTATTCATTAATTAGCTATATAGAATTAACATAACTTATTCAATTAATAACCAAAAGTGTTTCTATCTATAAGGTTGACTATATTTATCAAATAATGTGAAAAATCTACCTCTTTTATTCGAACTAAATAATCTATCTTCATCATGTTCAATTCCTTCAACTATAGCATTTCTTTTAGATCTTTGTTCTCTTAATTGTGTCAATCTTCTAACTAACAATTCTCTATTTGATTGTATAGAAGGATCTATTATAAAATAATAAAATAATCCAGTTATTGTCATTGTTGATCCATATCCAATTAATTTTTGTGATAATTTTGGTGGTGATCCACTTAATCCTGTTTGAAATAATCTTATGGCTGCTCCTGATGTTAATGCAAATATGAAACCTCCTGTAGTTGGCATTTTTAAATATGTATGTGTTATATCTAGTGTAATGGGTGGTGAATGAGTAATTGAGTTATAGATGAATTAGGTTAGTTAATTACTATACTATGATTATTATATAATTTTTTCTATTGAAAATTTAATTGGTTTGCGAACTTCAATTTTTTTTTGTTTCATTAGACTTACAATTGAATACTGTTTGTATCAATACAACAAAACTTACAAGGCTCACTGATGGGAATTTAGATGTTACATAGTTTTCAGTGAATTTAAGGTATCACATCTAAGTTCTGTCATAAGCAAATGAAGAGCTTCCTCCGTTGACCTAAAGCTGTAATGGCTACACCTGGAATGGAGTAGTTTAGCTGATTTATTCATGAGTCTTTTACTCTAAAGCACTAGCTTTCCCTAACCCAGTTAATTATTTTCAAGACAATTAATTGGAGTATGTTCAATTTGGTTGTAGTTCTTACATTCTTATATTGAGCGGAATCAAAGAATTTGAAAATTTCAAAATTCCGCTTTTAAATTTTGCAACAATTAAGTTTTTCAAGATTAGATCCACAATTTAAAAGACTAATTCACTTGACAAACAAAGTTACTACTCACAATGGCCATTATAAACTTCTTCAAAGGTCATCCTTCCACCAACCTACTTCCATCAAAAACTATAGCAGATACATATTCCAAAGTATTAGTAAATAATTCAGATTATTTGGAGTATGATAATGATCCAAATAATCAACATCCATTAGCTTATGGTACAGATCCAGGAAATTTAGAGATTAGACAAACCATATCAGATTGGGTAAACTCTAAATACCAATCAAACTATTTGAATGCAGAATTGATAAACCTAACTGCTGGTGCTTCATATGGAGTAGCTAATGTTTTAGCATCAACTACATTACCTTCTATTACTAAAAAAGCCTTTATTGTAACTCCAACTTATTTTTTAATAAATAGTTCATTTGTTGATGTGGGGTTAGGTGATGATTTAATTGCAATAAATGAAACAGCAGGTGAAGAATATGATATAGATTTGGTCAAATTGAAGAAAGAATTGAAAAAATTTGGTAAAGAAGATCAAACTGAGGTGAATATTATTAAAAATGATCCAAGAGGTGAAAGAAAGGTTTATCAATTTGTGTTATATTTAGTCCCTACTTTTTCAAACCCTGGAGGTATAACATATTCAGTCAAAACCAGAAAGAAATTGATTGATTTAGCAAGAAAGTATGATTTGTTAATTATAAGTGATGATGTTTATGAATATTTAGATTATGCAAATACAGAGACAATTACCAAGCCAATTCCAAAATTGAATCAATTAGATCAAGAAACAATAACAAATAAATATGGAAATACTATATCAAATGCAACATTCTCAAAAATCATAGCACCTGGATTAAGAGTAGGTTGGCAAGAATCAGCTACTTCTCATTTAGTTAAACAATTAAGTATAACAGGAGCAAACAAATCTGGAGGTACACCATCACAATTATCTACTTTTATAGTAAATGATCTCATAAAAACAGGTCAATTAGATGAGATAATACTAAAGTTCAAAAAAATTTACAAAGAAAGAGCCCAAACACTTAAAGAATCCGTTAAAAAATATTTACCAAAAGGTACAAAAGTATATGGTGGAGATGGCGGATATTTCCTTTGGGTTGAATTGCCTAATTTTGTAGATAATGAAAAAGTTATTAAAGAAGTATCTAAAAAGAATGTGATATTAGCAAGTGGTGAACATTTTGAAGTATTAGGAGAATCAAATAAACAAAATTGGGGTGATCATTGTATAAGGTTATGTATTAGTTTTTTATCATCTTCAGAAATTGAAAAGGGAATTAAATTATGGGGAGAAACTATTGATGAAGTTAGTAATTAAAACAACAATTGAAATTATTTTATTTAGACATTTAAAAATATAAAATGCATTTAATATCTAAAAGTTTTATTTCTTTCTTTTAAATATCTATTTTTTATTGATTTTTCTTATAATTATCAGTACAGATCTTGGTGTATATTGTTTGGTTATATTCTCATAAATTATCGACAATGCAAAACTTTTTCATCATTAAGAAAAAATCAATTTAAAACAAAAATACAAAAGTAGATGAGGTGTAATGATTGATTGAACATACTGTTAGTTATGTAGTCAACTAAATGACAACATTTGGAATAATATTTGATGTAAAGAAAAAGATATTTTGATATTAAAAATTTTTCTCACTTGTAAATTTTGTATACAGATCTCAATTTAATAAATGTAATCTTTGACTTCACATAAATTAAAAAGTGAGAAAAGTAAAACTGAAGTTTGAAATTTGAGTTAGGCCGTTATTAATGATCATTTGGAGAGTTGATTAGAAAACTTCATTTCAACTTTTCAACATCAATAAATTATCCAAGTAACTGTTTTAACTATCAAAAGTAAAATATACTGCACAATTTGCTGCAAATTTTAATTAAACTAAAATTTAATGACCTTTGATTTAAATAGTACAGACTAAACTAAATAACAATGTGAACAAATACATAAATTAGCATAAGCAATGTATATATAGTATAGACCCTATATAAGATTCCTTAAACTTGTGTAGTCAATTAATGATTGATTGATAATTTGCAACCAAATAATTATGTAAAGAAAATTTAAACGACAATAATAATTCTAAACGATCAATATAAAAAGAAATGACTATAAATTGCTACCAATTAATTCTCGTATATTAGAAAATATCACAAAATTTATTTTATTTAAATAATATTAAATAAGATCAATTTATTAATAGATCAAAACAGGGCAATCATATATTTAATTAAACCGTCAATTCCTTTGCCTACTATTTGTGAAAAGGTTTCATTATACTAATTAATTAATGGCCAATACGGAATCATTTGAGGTTGAAACAGATGATTGGATTACTGATTCATTACCATTAAATGAAGAAGAAGCAGAAATACCTCCACCAATACCGCCAAAAGAAATTACATCATCAATATTTTTGCAACAACAACAACAACAACAACAAAATTCACAACCTCAATTATCAAAGAAATTAAGAAAAAATGAAAACGATAATATACTGAAGAATCAAACTAATGATATATTACAAAAATTAAAACAATCTGAAGATTCTTCAAGTATTAGATCATCAATTCAATTATCTACAACATTTCAAAAAACTCCTTTAAATCCATTAACTACAAAAGAAGATGCAAGTTCAGTTGTATCAAAAGATTCAAATAATGGTAATAATATGAATGGTAGTAACAATAATAGTGAAAGTGAAAATGATAAACAACCAAAATTTCTTAAAAATTTACAAGAATTTGATGCAAATAATCAATTACAAAAAAGCAATAGTAATAATAGTAATACAGAACTACAACCATCATTAGATGAAGTCAAATTAGCATCTCCCAAAATTATAACTTATAGAAAATCAAAAAGAACTTCAAGTGATGTAACTTTTGATTCAATTGGATCAACTATACCAACAACTCCACCCCCATCAAGTAAATATGATACAAGATTATATTCAGATGAATTTTATAAAGATTCAAAATACAGATTAGCGATAATGAAAAGAAATATAGAATTTCATCAATTATTTAAATCATTAGATTTAACTGATAGATTATTAGATGATTTTTCATGTGCATTAAGTAGAGAAATTCTTTTACAAGGTAGAACTTATATTAGTGAAAGTTATATATGTTTTAATTCAAATTTATTAGGTTGGGTTACAAATTTAGTTTTAAAATTTGAGGATATTATAAAATTTGAAAAAAGATCAACTGCAGGTTTATTTCCAAACGGTATTAGTATTGAAACAGAGGATGGTTCAGTACATACTTTTGCAAGCTTTTTATCTAGAGATCAAACTTATGATTTAATGATAACGGTATGGAAGGGTAAAACAGGTAGAGTCAATCAAGAAAATCAACCAAGAATAAGTGAAGATCAAGCAAATCAAGCATTACAAGCCATAACGGAAAACAATAACGGCCAATCACCAAGAATACAAAACTATATAATGTCATTAGATGGGGATGATGACGCAGTACTGAAAATAGAAGAAGAGGATGAAGAAGAAGGAGATTTATCAGATGAAGAAGAAGAAGATGAAGAAGATCATATTGATGAAAATGAGGATGTTGAATCACTTCGGAATGGAGACGCATTAACACCAACTAAAACACTATCCAAAATTGTAAAATTAAAACCTGAAAGTAAATATTCGAATAAAGGACCAGATACTCATTCACCAACAACTGCAAAATATACAAAATTCCCACAAGAGATAGAATTAATAGAGGAAAACATACAAGCACCAGTGGGTATAGTATTCAATATATTATTTGGAACACATGATGAATTTCAAAAGAATTTCTTGCTAAGTCACGATGGACTGGAAATATCAGAATTTGTCGAATTTAGACCTTCATATGATGATCCAACAGTACTAGCTAGAGAATATACATATAGAAGAAGTTTAGGTTATTCAATAGGTCCTAAATCAACTAGATGTGAAGTCACAGAAACTATTGAACATTTAAATTTTGCTGATTACATTGTAGTTACAACAACAACTCAAACTCCTGATGTACCTTCAGGTTCTGTATTTCAAGTTAAAACTAGATATGTTTTCACATGGGGAGATAATAATTCGACAAATTTATTAATTAGTCATTATGTTGATTGGAAAGGGAAATCATGGATGAAATCAGTAATTGAAAAACTGTCCCTAAGTGGTTCAACTACAATTGTAAATGAATTAATAAAAGAATTAAAAGATGAAATTAGGAGAAATACTATAAGTGATACATTACTTAAATCTCCAAAAAAGAAGAAAGTCAAGATCATAGATGAAAAACAATCAAAACTATTAACTCCAACTACACAAAATACAGGCACAACCACAATAACCACAGAAATACTAAATATTCAAAAACTAGATATTTTAATAATCCTAGCAATAATTATAGTATTCTTACAATCATTAATACTATACGGTATATATATAAAGTAATGATTAACGAATTAACGAACTAAAAAATAAAAAACTATATACATTTTTAAAAAATACTCTATTTACATTATTATTGTTAACAAACTCTTAATCCATTAACTGGTCCAGTTTCTTCTTCAAATTCAAATTTTTCAACTATATCCATATTTTCAATCGTGTGAACTAAAATCTTATCACATTCTTCATTTAATTCAAATATAAATAATCCATAAATCACTCTTTCTAATTCTTTTCCATTGGTAGTTTCCGTAGTAGTTGTATCTTTTTTCAATCCAGTTAATAAAGTTTTAGTAATCTTACCTATTAATTTAGTTATATTTAAATTATTCAGATTAGAATTTAAATTATGATTATTAACAAATAAATTTTTAGTATCCTCATTTGACCAACTTCTTGATCCTAAATTAGCCTGAATAGTAGATTGATTTAATCCTAAATGTTCTGAACAATTAGGTAAACAAGTATTCCATCTAATATATATTTTAGTTGAATTTTTAAACATACAATTTGGATTTTGAGAGGTGCTGACTTTTATATTTGATATATGAATTTTAACTTTTGGTGATAATATTATTGATGTTATAAATAAAGTTATTGCTTTACATGTACTATAATAAGTTAAATGACCTTGTAATTTTGGTAAATAATTTTCATCAAATTGGGATGGACAAATACGTAAAAAGATTTGATTTGATATTATATCTTTTGATAAGTTATGTTCTAAAATATGAGGGATTTGTGATTTAAGAGTTTCTATTAGGTTTGATATATTGATTTTACGTTGTAATTCTAGTTTATCTTTTGGTGATATATCATTGACATTTTTGATTGGTGATGATTTTTTGAAATTTAAATAAGTTGTCGGACGTGGTGATCTTTGTACGATTACTTTAAGAGTGTTATTTGGTTTGCATGGTTTTTGAAGTGGATTAATTTGTGAGGGGAATGGGATGATTTGTTTTGGTTGTTGATGATGTAGATTAATTAATGGTATGGAACTATGATGTAAATGTAAGCCTAAATTCCTTGATTGTGGTATTCTAGACATTCAATTGATTCAATTGAGACTATATCTTAACCTTTGTGTATATTTCGTAATTGTTAATTATATATTGATGAGTTGGTGTAATTTGCAGTTCTACAATTTAAGATTTAAGATTTGAAGTTACTAGATTAATATTTTGTATATAGAAGGAGACTGCATATAAATAGATTGGGTACAATTTCTACACAACAAAATTCAAGTTAAGAATGAAACATTAAAAATACATTAATACAAAATAAATTATAAAGTCTAACTATTGTTTAAATACTTTCTAATATTCTAACTATGATTTATACTATGATTAAGTTCATTAGTAGTAGAAGGTTGATGTTGATACTCTTCAATATAAACACATCTTTTCTGTAAATCTTTTGTAAGTACATGTTCACTTAACCAATCACTAGCAACAAATCTTGTTCCACAAGCCATACAAGCACCAGGTATTGGGAGTTTATCACCTAAAGTATTTGCATTTTTACCTTTAGGATCATCAAATTTAAAATGCAGATGTAATAAATGTTTCTTATAATCATAAGGTCGATTGAAATTTTGTGTTTTATGATTACACATATGTTTTGGATAAACACATTGAAATCTACCTATTTCATTATGGATTCTCATATGACGTGTTAAATCTCTACTTATGTATTTATCACATATTGGACAAACTGCACCTTTTGCTGCTCTTTTTTTAGTTTTTGGGGTAGTTGTTGTTGTTGATTGTTGATCAAACTTTTCTGACGTTGCACTGTTTACTGAATGATTTGATTTTATCTTTTGTAGATTTGAAAACTTATTTTCATTATCGTCTTCTGGATTTATATATTGAGATACCGTATATTGATCAAAGTCAGGATTTAAGTCATCTTCATCGAATGAATGATAATCATCATTTTGAATTGAAGTAGTTTGATCATGTTGGTTTACTGTATCAAAAACATCAAAATTCAAAGGTGTGAATGAAGTGTTTTGTTGATGTTGATGTTGCTGTTGTGGTGGTGGTTGATGTTGTTGATGTTGTTGTGGTTGATGTTGTTGATGTTGTGATTGTGGTTGATTTTCATCAAATTCAGGTAATTGAAATTGTAAAGGATCATTTTGTAAATAAGCTTCAAATGTTTGATTAAATTGATTAATATTATTATTATTCCCACCTTCAGTAATAGCAGGTGAAAAAAATCCACCACCAGGTAATGATTCATTTTTAGGAGTATGATCTAGTTCAAAATAACTTTGAACTCCTATCGGTGGTTCAACTGATGGAGTTAAATTAAAAGCTGGTATATTATTTTGAGTATGATTATCATTTAAATCCATTTCCTTTTTAAGGTCATAATCCTCATGATTTGCTGGTGTAAAAGATAATTTAGAAATTCCAATTGGTCCACCTGATGGGGTTCTATTCCAATAATCTGTACCTGAATCTGATTGTGATGAAGAGATCATTCTGTTTAACATAGTTGGTTTTTTATTTACCCCATCTAACTTCAAATAAAAACCTGGCTTCTTCCTCGGTCTTCCTCTTTTCAATTTCATTTTTGGTTCAAAAGTTTGTTGTTGTTGTTGTTGTTGTACATGAGGCTGTTGTTGCTGCGATATATGAGGTTTTGATGAATCAAAAAGTGTTTGTTGATCACTTGAAAAATTTGGTACATCATTTAAATTCTGATTGTTATGATTGTGGTTGTGTGCTGAGCCTTGCTCATGTTGATGTTGGTTATAATTTTGAGCATAATGAGAATGATTATATTGTGGCTGATTCAGTGTATTTTTCTGGTGGTTGTAATTTTGATGCAGTTGCGGCTGATTTGATTGATGTAGACTATTTTGATGATCTTGGGGTATATTGTGATGGTGTTGTGGATTTTGTTGTTGATTTTGATTTAGATACTGAGGATTTTGCGAATACTGATTTGAATAATGCTGTTGTTGAGGTTGCGGTTTATAATGATTCTGTTGTAAATACTGGTTCATATATTGAGGCTGACGGAATTCCGACTCATTGAAAGACTGTTGATTATAATTATTTTCATCAAATTCGTTATTTTGTAAATTTGAGTTCAGATCAATTGAATTGGGTTTTCCTTCATTTATAATATCATTATCTTGAGTATATCTATATTCATTTTGATTATGTTGATTATTATTAGTATCTAAAGTAGAATTTTGATCAAAATAATGCAAATCTTCGTGATTTTGCATAATTTGTTGAATTTCTTCTTCTATTGTATTATTAGTATAATAAGTTTCTATTCTTGATGATGGTACAGAAATTGCTCCTCTATCAGTGAAATATCCATTATTAGTTTGGAGATGATTATTATTACCTTGTCTATTATTATTGGATTGTTTAAAATCTATAAAATCTGGTAATAACTGTGATTGATTATAATCATTAAATTGTTGCATTGTACTTGAATTATTTTTTGATTGTAAAGCTTGATTTGTTTTATTATAATTATTGAATAATGATTTAGTTAATTGAGCATGATAATTTGCAGATTTGCCAAAATATGATGAATTATTATCTTTATTATTGGTATTTGAAGAATTTGAAGTTGAAGTTGTGGAACTTTTGGAGTGACCTAACTCATTTGAAGCCATTTTTTAAAATCATAAAACTTTGGGTATATATATATATATAATAAACTATGATGTAATTCTTTTTAAGTGATATAACCGAGAATTTTGATTGATTTCTTATTGAAATATGTACTTAGTCTTGAATATCTTGTTAAACATTCAATTATATTGTAAATTTCATATAATAACAATTTGAAAATTGAATCTTGTGTGTTAAAAATAAAATCTAAGAAAAAAATTAAAAATCTCACTCTTTTTTTTTTTTTTTCTCTCTCACACTTTCTTATAAATTTATTCTCTTTAATTATATAATATTTTAAAATATTATTAATAAAAATTATGTCAATTTTTTATATTTAAGAATTATAACAGACGTTTAATAATTAAATGAATAATAATAATAGTTTTTTTGAAGTAAATAGTATTAGCCTAATTATTAACAAATTTAGTATAATCTACTTCAAACATTTAAACGGATAATTTTTAAAACATTTTTAATATGGTAGCTATTAGTTGAAAATTGAGATGTATCAAATTTTAATAGCAATCAATATTTAAAAAATTTAAAAGTTAGTTAAAATCTTTCTGCTTAAGAGAGATCTTCTCTTATTGAGTAATATACTTCAATTTCTTGAAATATTATCTAATATTGTATATACCTTTAACGTAAAAGTGATTTAATGTAAGTTTATGTATGATTTCATTAAGATTCAAAGTAAATGACATCATATATCCTTATATTCTACTCCGTTAGACAATTTTGTCTTATGATCAAAATACATAGGCTTTGATATGTTTGAAGAATTGAAAAATCTCAATCTTCAAAGATATAAGTGATCCCGGTAAAAGCCATAAATTTAATAATGTTTTAATTACTAAAAAAAATCAATCTTAAACAATTTTAAAAATAGTTACAAAAATTAATTTAAAGATACGAGAGAAAAATTAAAAATCTTTAAAAACTTTAAAATTTAATTCTGAAACATTTACACGCCTAATTAAACCCTTTATTAAAAGTTTAATTTTATTCAATCAAGTTTATGAACACCAACAAACTAATTAAGTCTGTAGAGATTAATTTAATAGTCTCAAGTTCTGCGGCAATATAGTGGAAAGTTCCAATAAAGGTTATAATTATCAGGTGAAGGTGATAAACTAAAAATTTGAGGGCTGACAACAATCTTAATGTAAGTAATGCTTTAAATTTAAGCAAATGAATGAATAAATGCGAGCTCAACGTGAGACACATTTAAACAACATCTAGTCGTCACATAAATAGAGACATTAAACCTGAAATATTTAAATTCTTATGCAAGTATATTTCCTAGCCTCTTATCTAAAACACAAGTAATTTATTTCCTAAAATTGATTCGACAACAAATTAAGGTTTAAGCTTTTAGAACTCCCTTAATTTTTGAAAATGATAAAATGGACTAAATTATAGGATCAATTGCATTATAAACCAAATTTTCTACAGTTAATTTATGGTGAAAGAAAATTGGTAGTATGGCAAAATTTAATGACTTACCAGGAGAGTTGATTGAAAAGATTATTCTTGAACTCGAGGCTCAAGATATAGTTAAAATCCCAAAAACTATTCGACAACAGTTTTATTACCATATTAGTTTGAAAATAGTCTTGAAGTTGTTAGACAGCATCGAGAAAATAGATATAATAAAAAGAAATTATAGGATATTTATCAATTTTGGTCAAGGAAATGTGATTTTGAGTGACAATTATTTCGTCATTGACCACAACCAATTGCTTCAATTGAAATACACTCCACCAGAATTCAAATCATTATTTCAATATTTCCAAATCTGGCCAGGGAAAACATCAACTAGGAAAGATTGGCAAATTTATTTATACAGCTATCCATTTTGCATAAAATTTTTGTATATGCATTCAAGGAAAGGGGTCCATTTATTTTGTTTGAAATCTTTGACGATTGCCAAAAAATGGAATTTTTATAACAAATTAAATCACCTGTTTATTACAGATTTTTTGTCAAAGATTCCATATTCATCTTTTAAACGCCATAATATGATTTGCAGATTTACTGAGAAATTACATTTAGCAGAGTTATTGATGATACCATCTACTTTACAAATGTTTACTTCCATAACGGAAGGGAAGTTTAACCCAGCGATTTTGAAAATTACTGTAGTAAACGATAAAACAATTGACATTCTACCTGTTGATATCATTTGCATCAAAGAATTTCCTAGCTTAGTGGTTTTTGAATTGTATTTTTTAGGAGAAGAAACTAGTGTCAATTCAGCCCAAAGATTGATTAAGAAACTTGGCCCCGATATTAGAAGGGTTACCATAGAGATTTCCATATTAGATATAGCCGAGCTAACAAAAGCGATAAATCGTCTAAATTTTCTAAAAGTTCGAACTACCGTTAAGGTTCAAGGTAAAGATAGAATTGGTGCAATACGGGAAAGTAAGATAAATTTGAGAGGTAAAATTCGAGATAATAATTACTCAATTCATTGATTGTTGCATTATCAAAGCCGTGTATAATTTTTGATATATATACATTCCATCAATTATTAATAATAAACATGAAACCTTTGGTTTGGAAGTACAATGTACACGTAAATGTAGTCAAAGCAGTAGAGAAATTTACTAAGACTTATGTTATTACCCCTCAAAAATCAACCCCCCCTGAATTACAAATCTGAAACAATCAATAATAGTATTCCATATTCTTTAACGCAATAAACTGTCATGACGAATGCAAGTAGATCTCAATGAGAGGACAATTGGTTTGCTTGGAGACGAGAACAAAATATTAACGTAACTTCGCAATCGTCTATATGAACTTAGGTTTGACTTTATTAGCTATTTATGAAATTCTTGCAATTTCTTAAAAGCTTAAATCCATTTCAAGGATCAGATTTTTTTTTCAATTCACATTGTCATCAGTATACACAAAAAAGAAACAAGCTGAGTCAATGACAAAATTTAGTGATTTACCCTTGGAATTACTTGAAAAGATTTTAAACGAATTAGATGAATGGGATTTATATTATACTCCGGCAAATATTAGACATCAATTGTTTTTACATCATGAATATAGAGACAACTATGCGCTATTTGCATCAATACGAGTTACGTGATTTGCAAAAGAGGTGGTATAAGATTTATGTCAATTTTGGCTACAACGATCTTGATTTTGGTGATAATTATTGTATTATTGATTATCAGCAGTTACCTCGGTTGAGAGGTTATTCCCACAAATTTGATTCACTTTTCCAGTATTTTCAAGTTTGGCCAGGACGTAAATTTGCAAAAGCACAATGGCAAGCATTTTTATACAGATATCCATATTGTATCCAAATATATGTACGAACGATCAATAACGGGGGTAAAATTAACTAGTGTGAGTTCCTTGGAATTTTTGGAGGAATGGGATATTCATAATAGCCAAGACCAAGTAATAACTGAGTATTTGTCTAAGAATTTACCCTCATCTTTCAATCATCATAATCAGATATATTTAGTCAGCATTTTGTACTCAGCAGAATTATACATGACACCGACTGCATTGGAAAAATTTACAACGACTGCAACGACCAATTTTAATCCAACATTTTTAAAAATTCATATAATTGATGACAAACAACTTGATATATTTCCTGTTGAATTTATTAGTACTGAAACATTTAAACGCTTGATTGGTTTTGAATTGTATTCTGTAACCCAACCAATAGATACAGTAGAGCAGTTAATTCAAATTCTTGGCGACCAAATCAGAAGGATTACACTTTTTGTTCCAGAACTAAATTTAGAGCACTTGAGTACAGCTATCAACAAATTAAATTACTTATGTGTTAAAAGTACTTTTGGAGCAAATTATTTCGAGCTGGAGCAATGGAAAGAAGTTGCAGAAACATTAAAAGTCAAAGTTGCTCTTAATAAATGTATTTCACAACTTGATTAATTTTTAATTATTCATTATTTTCAATCACTAATTCAAACTATTATTTTAAAGCTGAACTTAGGGGTTTTTTATTCTTAATCAAAAAAAAAAAAAAAATAGGATACGTTGATTTTTTATGTCAATTGCAAAACGCTTTAAAACCAGCTCAAATTAATATATAGAGTGAATTATCATTGTATACTAACAATATATGGAGATATGCTAAAAATGCTACTTTATAGATCTTTCGTAATTCCCAGTTTTAGTCTGTAATTTCTAATTACCAAAGTGAGATTTTCTTGCAACTTTCATGTATTTTAATTGAAATCAAAAGTTCCGAAGTCAAAATGCTCTAACTTTATTAAAGCTATGTATGCAAAGTTACTTTTTTACTTGACATTAATCTAATTAATTTTGTAGTTTCACACACAATTTTTCTAAATTAAAGTTTTACACGAGAATTTATTATCTGAATATTTAACTGTGTTGTTAATTAATCTCAATTACAAGTGTTTCAGATATTTCTCATTCTTTATTACTCAATTAGGAGTTTACAATGAAAGGGGCTAATTTTATACTTTGAGGTATGAAAATATTTCAACATGATAAAATTCACACTTAATGGAACAAATTTAAAATAATGAATTGAATCATAATCGCAAACTCTTAAGATTGACAAACTCAATACTAGGATCAACTAACTCAATTTTTTGTGGGGTTTTCAATGTGAGTGGTTATAAGGTCACGTGCTCGTTTTGCTCGTCTAGCGTTTTTTTTTTTTTTTGCAACCAAAAGTGACCTGTAACAAAACAAATGCCAAATTCACTTCATTACCCCCCGTAATGAGCTTGACTATACCTATAAACCAAACGCATAAAGATCAAATTATACTTATTTGCTCTATTAAACCTATCAGTAGAAACTGATATAAATGGTTCCTCTTATATGAATTTTTTTCTCATAATTCTAGAAACTTACGAATCGCGTATTATTTATTGAATTCTAAATTTTAATCGATAATTCATACTTACCACTTACAAACAGCCATTAATTCGTAACTAGTCTTTATCGAATTTGGCCACCAACATTACATCAATAAATTCAATACAAATTCACTATCACTTTTCAAATACTTATTCACATAAATCAAGAACATCTTTAGCCTCCCGTTAATTTAATTTAATGTATATTCCATCAAAATCAAATCAACTCTAACAATGAAAAACAAAAAGATGAAAGACAAGGTACCCATCACTACCATCATTGAACAATTGTCAAGTTTCACCAATTCAATGAAAAACAGAAGATTTACAACTAAATCAAAAATGAAAGATTTAAACCTACCACATCACCAGATGGCAGATCTTGATTCATTAGCAGCAGATGAAACCTTGTATATATTTGCAAAGAATGTGGGAAGTAAAAAAAAATTGGATTTTAATAATATCTTCGAAAATAATTATATATCATGTCTTCAAGAGTTGTCAAATAAATCAAGAAAAGCAATTTCAAGAGTTGTCCAATTTAGCAGTAACTATCTATTATTCAATGCTGGAAGATGCTGCATTGTCATAAATACAAAATTAATCAGTTCCAAAATTGAGAAATTAAATGAAATCACAAATCAATTCACCAATTCCAAATCAAAAACCAGATGTGTAGATCTAGAATTAAAAATTTTTGATTATGTAATTAAAGTTGTCAATAGTTATTATGATACAGTATTTTGTGATCAAAAATTAACTCAATTAAAAGAAACAACAAAAAATTTAGAGCATTACAAAGGCAATATCATATTTGCTGCTGATTTAAATTTCAATACAACGACTATTGCAAACAATGATGAAGATAATTATCAGTATAGGTATTCAAAAGTTTTGAAAAAATTTGTGGATGATCATAAGTTAATTCCAATAACAGGTATTTGTAAAAATGTATTAGCAACAAACTTTGGTGCATCAACTGCTATTCCAGATGTTTTGTATGTTTCAGAAGGGTTGGTGAAACTACTTAATTTTGCTGAAGTAATGTTCGACGGACATTCAAGTCATGCATATCAAAGATTTGGTATTTCAAATAATACTTCCAATATAAAATTAATTGATTATTCCAGCAATGTTCAAAATAGCAAACTTTTATATGACAGAAACATGGTAAGTGGAAAAAAGATTCAACTGGAAAAACTTATGAAGCATTATAAAAAGAAAATTAGAAAAGCTGATGGGTTAGTCAAGAAGCAGCTTGAAGCCAAGTTGGATATTGCTACCCAGAATTATGAAAAAGCATCTGCAAAAAAAGATGACTTAACTAATCAATTAAAAACTGAGGACTTAAGTTTAAAATATGAAATGAATGGATCAGCAAAGCAAGAGTTGAGTAGGAATTTAGAATATGATAATATAACTATGTTTGGATTTGATCACAAAAAATTAGAGGAAATTAAAGTCGATTCAGTTGATGACACAGCTTCATATACAACATTATTAGATCCGAAAGGTCGTAAAAGAGCAAAAATGGTTGAAGATGAAGATGATGATGAAGATATTGAAATCATACACACTCCGAGATCTAAGAAAAGAAGAAAAAACAATTTGTTGTTAGATGATGATGATAGTGATGGAGAAAGTGATGATGAAGATAGTGGTTACAAACCACTCCCATTTTGTATTGTGAATTATATTACCAAAAGAACTAGTCAAGAAGTTAACATGATAGGCTCCACCAGGTTCGCTAATGTTTTGAAGGATTTAGAAAATGTGGATCCAACCGCTAAGACATATAAGCTAACTACTCAAAGATTGTATTGGTTATTACATAAATTAAAATTATCAGATAATATTGATTTTGACGAAGATAATTATGAATTTACATTTAAGGATGAGTTTATTAAGAAAAAAATGGTTAAAAACTTTGAGAATGAAATCATTGGCGAATTGGGTGATTGTGTTTATATATCAGTGGATATTGCATTAGCTTATAATAAATTTGGATCAAATTATAGTAAAATCTCATCTTCATTAAATTCCAAATACAAAACAAACATATTCAAAGCAGATTACATTTTTAAACACTTGAAGGTTTTGATTAGAAAAGAGATGTTGGTTCCAAGAGATCAATCGTTAAATCAAAATGAGGTTTTAATGAATGATGCTGAAGTCATGTTTAGTAGAAGTTTTATTGAGGACTCAATTATTAATATTGGTGATACAAATGATGATTACAAAAAGATTTTGGATTTACATACAATGGAAAGTCAAAAAAGTATTATTTTTCCTGTTTATTTAGACTCCATGAATTACAAATTGGAGGAAGTATTACCAACTAGAGCTAATTTGGGAGAAGGAAACCAAAGTTCAAGTGATGAGCAATATCAATTGCACAAAAGTATAGTGTCATATGCGAATGCACAAATTTTGAATGGTGCTGAGCCAGATTCATACAAATGGGAAGATTATATGGCGCCCTTTGATTTATCAGTGTCCAAATTAAGGCATATATGGGGAAGACTTAAACATATTTATTATAAATTTAATGGCTTGTGTTTTGTTGAACTTTCGAGAACGGAAATCAAGGATAGTTATGATGCTAAAGTTCATGACACTAGTGGAACTTTGAGATGGAATGAATCTGATGAATTGGTTTTGTTAAAAGTTGCTAAAGAATTTACGCTAGATGATGGTCAAGCAGATTTAGAACTAATTCAGCAAATTTTTTTTCCAAAAAGAAAGCTAGAGTTTTTGCAAGGGAAGTTAGATGAAAGTGTAAATGAAAGTGTAAATGGAGAAAGTATGAGATTGACATGGGATCGATCAGAAGAGGTAATCCTATACAACGCTACTCTCGAATTGACTTTGAGATATGGATTTCCCGATTTTCAGTTAGTTAAAAATACTTATTTTCCAGAAAGAAGTATTGATTCATTACGGCAGAAATATACCAGTTTTTTTGAAACACCGGGTGACATAGGAGAAGATGAAGGTGCAGTTATATTTGAAACGATGATTTTGTTTACAGCAAATGAAAATAATGTGAATTTTGTTAAAAATCAAACAATCTATTCTTTCATTCAAAAAAAATTACAAGACAAATTTGGAAAACTCAGAAAGGTTCAAACAATAAAATGCTGGTGGGAAGAATTTGGCCAACCAAATTTTGTTAGCGATAAATAAATAGCTTTGAAAAATGCAGGAAATTACTGGCATAAATTATTCTTTTACGTTCATAAACTCTTGTTGATAGTAGCATCGAATTTTCGGTTATGTATTTCGCTTCATGGAATGAAAATCGATCCTTACTCTTTCTGAAATTTGTAGAATTAAAAAAAAAAGAGTGGAAGTTAAAGTATAAAAAATTAATATTATTAGTTTGGAATTTATCAATCTAATTTTGCAACTTTATATACATTCTTTATGCATCCATTTATTTCCAATAATTTAATTAAATCTTCTTCTTTCTATATCAATCTCAAAGTAAAGCACCATGATCAAAATTCACAAATCGGGATTTCAATCACCTTTAGTCAACCAGCATCACCTTCCACATTAATTTTGCACCAACTCAAGAATTATATGAATACTTGCCAAAACAATGCGACCTCATGGTACTGACTAAACTGAAATTTCATTCTTTAAACAAAGATGGTAAATTTGCATCCAAAAATCTTTTGATATAATGATTGTGCTCAACCCCGACACTTTCAAAGACACTTTGATCATACTTATCAAAAACTTGAGCAATTTCCAGATCTTGGATTTTTAAAACATCGTTTATGGAGCTTGTAAAATGTTTCAACTCATCTTCTCTACTAAAAACTGGAATATTGCTCCCATATGCCATGTTAAGAATCTGGACAAAATAATTGTAAGCTGTTATAATACATTCGTCATCCGATGATTGGCTACTGGCAAATATTTTTCCAACAAATTGAATGTTTAAATAATAATCTAAATTTTTACTATCATCATAATGATCAACTTCGCTAATCAACACTAAAAATTTTTTCCAAATTCCAATATTCCTCATTCGATTTAAGTACTTTAAATTGAGGATTAATTTTAAAACTTCAACGTTCACCAAGCAATCATTATTAAATTTTTCATACACCAGCTTGACATTGGGAGTTTTGAATGATTTATTATGGATGTGGTATTTACCTAACAAATTAAAATCAAATACACAGTTCTCATTTAAAATATACAGTGGATCCAATTGATCAACATCCCTATTAAAATTTATTTGTTGTCCAATGTTTTTCAGATAAGCAACTGCAAAATATTCTTTCATGTGTCCAACTGCAGCTCTATATTGTTTATCGATATCCATAACTGATTTTCCTTCTCTGGCTTCAATTATTCTTTTGTAGTAGGCTTCGTCTATGGAAAATTTTTGATTAATATTGAAATTTGGTTGCGAAAGCATTGCAATTAATATTTGTCTGTATAGGTTTAAACTTCTAATTCTTTGATAATATGACTGTTGGAACAATTTCTGGAGAACTTGATGAACAAGAATTTCTTTCTGAAATTTTTCAAATATATCTGTTTGTTCCTTAGTGAATAAGTTGGTATTATAAATAGTGTATTTTCCTATAAAGGACTCCTTGAACTCTAAATTAGGTGTGCCCAAATAATAACCCTCAGATGGAACAGGAAGTCGAGACATGGTGGCTCTTAGGACATCAGGGTTGGTTGTTGATGTTGAATGTGGTTGTAAAAACAAGTAACGTATATATTTTTTTTATCTTTTATAATATTTTTTGTAAATCAACGCTCGTTTCAATTTCACAAAACATTTAATATAAGTTTGAAATTAACGAAGAGATATTACAAATCAAAAATTGAACGAACAATTAAGTATATTTGAATAGAAATATAAAATTATAAAAAAGCAATTAAGTAGCAATAAACTTAAATTCAAGCGCACAACTTAGATAGTTGAATTCTGACCAATACCGGATTAATCGAACCCTTATAAGAATTGAAAAATAAAAAATTAACTCCATCACCTTAACCACCTCAATTTCTCATTCCACTTATAATGAGATCCAAAACTTCTTGTTTTTTAAAATCCAAAATTGCTTTGATTTCTTCAATCATTTTTAGTTTTACATCAATTGAGATTTGCAATTTTTCAATACCCATTTCATATTTTTTACTGGTAACCAAATAAACTTTATCAAGTAATTGTGAAAATCTAATCAATTTGTTATTTTGAATTGGATCATCTCTTGGTTCATTTGAATTTGATTGATTAACTGAAGCGAAATTTGATCTTTTTCTGACTGGCAATTCGACATCACTTCCAACACGTTTTAAATTTTTATTGGCTCTGACATTAGTATTGACTGAAATTTCCCTTAATGGTGCTCTTTTTTGAGTTTTGATGTTGTTGTAAGTCATGTTGAAAACGTTTTCTAATTGACCAATGGATATTTTAGCTCTAACTTGACTTGATACAATGGCATTGTTTTTCCAATTCTTTTTAACATATTCAATATTAACATCTAAATTTTTTTCAATATCAAAATCAAGGTTATGACCCATTAACTCCAAAATTTGTCTCCAACATGAAATGTATCTTCCTTTATCTTTAATTTCATAAATCATTTTTTTGACCATAACTTTGTTTAAACATTCATCTTCAAATTTTTTAAAAATTTCTTGTGTTTTGATGGATTTCTTCTTCTTATCTTTTTCAGGACATAACAAACATCTACTAACCAATGCTCTACTCAAATTCAAATTTGGATCCGAAATCCGGTAAACATCAATTTCATCAATTTCATTTTCTTCGGTATAAGCCAATTCATAAAACCCTTTGAGTTGATCAATAACTCTTGATATAAAGTCTTTTTCTTTATTTGATGATGGTGGTGATGCTTTATGTTCTTTGTAATATTCTTCTTTGATAAAATCTTCATCAAGAAAAAGATTTTTGTCACTGGAAAAATCATTATGTTTCATCATGGTTTCCAATATAAATTTCCAATGTTGTACCAAACTTCTTTTGTATTTTATATTGAATTCTATGATCTGTGTTACAATTGATTTCACATTTAATATATCACGATTGAATCTATCGTATTCATCTCTAATTGTGTCGCTTTTGCAATCTCCTCTATAAATTGAGTAAAAGCTTTTATCATCATATTTAAGATTTTCCAATAAAAAGTATTTCTCTGACATTCTTCACGGAAATGTAACGGATAAAGTTGCTGAAAACTTGACTAATGAGGCATATGTATCCGATGGCAAAAGTTTGAAAATATTTTTACTTTTTACCCAACGTAAATGATTTTTTGACTGATTTACACTACTTAAAATACTATTATAAATTTTCAATCTACTAACATAAATTCAAATTAAACTGACCAAATTAACCTACAATCAAGATACTACAAAGTACATCTATCTAGATTTTTTGGAGTAAAAAAGTGGCCTTACCGCTACTCACACCAACAGTACAACCATCTTTACCATTACCATTATAAGAACCATTTTCATAAACACAAGAACCACTAACAATTGAATTACTATCAGCAGCAACAATTTTAACATTGAAATTTAATGGACTATAATTATTTGGATTTGGAATTAATGATAAGTAAGCAATACCATTAGCATAACCAGCACCGAAATTCAATGGAGCCCAATTACCAACACCTGAACCTGGTTCACCCCATAAACAACCATCTTGATATGAAACACCTGCATTGTTTACATAATATTGAGCTGAAGTTGAACCACCTCTCCAAGTGTAATAAGTATGTTGATCAACAACTGTTAAAACATTTGATCCTCCACCATTAACAACTGTTGGAATAACCATATTTTCAGTACCTGGATAATCAGTTCTACAAATAGCAACTGAATCACTAATTTCACTTACAACATTAGCTTTATCAATACCCCATTCACATAAGTAGTTTGATCTTTGATTGGTTTTATACAATTTACCACCTCTACAAATTAAACCACCAACTGAAACACCATTAGCTGGTTGAGCATCTGGCCATTGAGTTTTTGACATACCACTTTGACAAGCGTATGAACAATAAGAACCTTCTTTACAAGAACCACCAGTTGAAGTATCAGTATTATAAATACCTGACCAACCACCAAATCCTAATTGATCTAATGCAATAACACCTTGACCTACTGGGAAATGATCACATGAATAAACACCATCTTGGAATTCTTGAGTTGGATTTTGGAAATTTTGTAAATCTCCATTAATACCATTTGATGAACCTGATGTAGGTTGAGATGGAGCTACAGTACCTTTAGATTGAGCAACACTTGGTTGTGGTTGATTAGTTAATGAATCATTTTGAATAATATTAGTAGTTGATGAAACATTAGTAGCAGTTGAACTAGATTGTTCTTGTTCAGCAGTTGATTCAGTTGAAGTGACTGGCTCTAAAGTAGTAACTGGATTACCATTTGAGTCAACAGTAACAGTAACATAAGCATAATCGTAAACAATTGCTCTTTTATGTTTATGATGACCATGGAATACGGCATCTTGACAATCAACATCTTTTTTTTGGTTTTGATGTTTAACAGCGGGAGCAGCTAATGAACTAGTAATAAAAGCTAAAATAACAGCTTTTGAAAATCTCATTTCTTAAAGATTAAAAGATTGTAATTTAATTGAGAACTTAAGGTATAAAATAAATGAATGAATTTTATTATTGATTAAATTGAATGAATGAATGAATGACAATATTGTAATATTAACTTGAAACTTAGGAATTATAAAAAAAATTTTATTAAAGGAATGACTTAAGGTTAGTTAGTATTATAATTATTTTTGAATAATCAATTAAAAGATTGTGAAGTTGAATTTGAAATTAAAGTTGATAGAAGAAAAGGAGTGTTGATATAAAAATTTTTTGGAAAAATAAAAATAATTATTGAAAGGAAATAAATTTATTGTATTTTTTGTTTATTTTTTTGAAGCTTTAATAGTTAAAAATAAAATTGAATGATAATTTTAAATTCTTGTTACATTGTTGAAATATAATAAAGGGTTATTATTTTTTACCTAGTGTTTTGAAATTGTGTTATAAATTAAATTATTAAACTCTAAAACAGAATTCGTTTCAAATTAAAAAAATAATTTATTATTATTAAATCGCGACTTTGTGTTTTGAAAATCCCAATATTTTTTTTTTTTTTGGTGACGAGTTTCAAATGCACTACCAATTAGAAATAGCAAATTTCCTGTATATAGCATAATTGTATACCCAGAATTTTGATTTATTTAGTAATTTTATAGCTGGCTTTAAATTTATAATTTATTATTATATTTTTAGATTAAAGTTTTTGTATGCTAATTGAATGGCTTTTTGGTTTTGCAAGCTTCAAGCTTTTATTATTATTATTCTGATTTTAAACTGTTATTGGCTAATACTTTAACTATTGAACCACTATGTAATATTTTTGAATTTTTTATATTGATTTCTAAATTAAAATTGAAAGATCGTCACTATCTGTCGTCAATTCAATTCTTCAATCTTTTTTTTTCTTCAATTCAACGTAGAAACATATACATACCTTTAGTTAATACTTGTTTTGTAAAAGAATTAAAAAATTTGTTAAACGAATGACTAGAAGTGAGTAGTTGGAATAGTTTCTCTTTTGAAGTAGATCTGAATCAGATTTTAAATCGTATTATATAAATCAAAATAACAGAAAAAAGAAATAATAATGATTTGATTCGGATTTCAATCAAATATATATATACAACGGGAGTCAATGAATTGATGATATATTCTTACATGTTAAAAATTTAATCAAGTAATATAATTAATTACATCATCTTCGTATTCTATTATTTATGCTGGTAATTTAGAATTTAAATTATATTCTTAATTCTTATTGTTAATTGTTTTCGTATTAAATGAAACTTTTTCTAAATCTCGCACCGTTTAATTTTTTTTTTTGCTGGTTGAAATTTAGTAAGCAGTTGGTAGTGCTGCCAAATTTAATACTTTTTTTATATACAGTTCACATAGTTTACATATTTTTACATTATAATAAATTATTTTAAATAATTAATTATCAGAATTGGTCCACTCCATCAACAAATCTGAATAAAATTAGTTACTCCATGAATATTATATTTGATTAAACCTTTTAGACTCGATTGGTGTCTTGTCAAATAGTTCTAGATCTTTTGATGATTTTGATACCATCAATTTATTGGTTCATAGGCAATTATGGTCGTCAACTCTTAATTTTGTGAGAAAATAAATAATTTTTGTAGTCGTCATTAGAATACTGAAACTTGCTATTGACGAAAAGCTTGTTTCATTAGTCGAAAAACATATGAATATTAAATTAAGTAAAAACTTAATTCCTACTAACTTCACTAGACAACGTTGTTTCGTGATATAATTTAAGTTTTAAAATTTCAATTACGGACGAATTTAGAAAATGACGATACAAACAAAAACAAAATAAAATTTCGTTATAAAACAGAATATATGTACTTTCATGTAAGTTTCAGTGGTGTTTTAATAGATCTAAAAAGATCTAGGGTTCTAGATCTCATAACCGAAATTTGTAGATTCAATTCACTTTCTCCTAAGTTTCTAGGACCAACACAACTACGAAAATTGCTTTTTGGAGAGAGATTATCTCTATTACTTAGTATTTAAGTTTTTACCAAAGTGGTACACTGCAAACAAGGTTAAGAAACTTTTTTAAATTCTCTCAAAAAAGTTAAGTTTAAAAAAAAAATTTCAAGATTTTATTAAGGTTCCCCAAAAATTTTATAATTTCCAGCGTAAATATTCAACTTTATTGATAATTCTTTTGATGTTTGTAGTTTAGATTCACAGATTGATAATAATGTTTCAATCAAATTTAATCGACGATTGTAACTTTCAAAACCAACGTACTACCGAAGTACCGTTAACCTTTATTATACTTATCTGACAAATTTCGTAATCACGTGAATCACTATCAATGTTCTGAGATATAAAAAAATACGACAATCGGACTAGTAAGAACATTTTACATTAATAATTTTCTTTATACTAAATAGTAACTAGCAGATTACAAACATAAAGTTGAAAAAAGTAATTCTGAAAATTGAGTAATAACGTAAGTGAATCCAAATTCTAATTCTTGTTTAATCTGGTATCATTGGTCATCGAAATCTGACTAAATCACTAGCCATTTAGTTTTCCCAAAATTAGAACAATTAACATCAAATTAAAAAGCCACTAACGGGATTAATGAGCAAAGAAGATCTATCAACAAAAATAATCCTACCCCTGAAAAATCATACGATTTTTTTAAAAAAATTCACTTAGTAAATTACCTAAATTTCTAAATGGAAAATCCCGATTTCTGCATTACTTATCACATTCTACTTTTTCGCCTCGAAAAACAAAGAGACGCAAAGTATATTTGAATCGTTTGTGAAACGTTTTCTACAAATTTAGTTTATGATTGAAAATCTTACGCTAAAGCTCTTTACATTACACAAGTGTTCTTTTTTTCAATAAACAAGTTGTTCAAATTATGTGACTGTTAAATTAGATATTCAATATGGAAGTTTTACTTTCTCTTTTTTTGGTTCAGCCTTGTTATCAATTTCACATCTTGTGGCGAAGTAAATTTTTTCCTTTTTCGTTTTCATATGAGGAAATAGGTCAAAATTAAGATTATCGTAAACGCTTCAATTTAGCACAAAGCATAGAAAAATTTAATGAATTAGCCTAAACTTGAACTAAAAAATTAAGCAGATCACACAACAATAATAGTCAAATTTTTAGTTCACATATCATATGACACAAAGGCTCTTGTTTTTTAAGGTTTTTGTTTAAACGCAGTGTAGAACCTCTTTCTATCTTTTCAATAGTTTACCAGTCATAAACGCCTGTGAAGATAGCAAATTCATTGTTTTTAGGCAAAAGTTAAAGGACTATTGATGTTTAGCTCCTTGGAAATTTTTTTAGCCATATCATATTTTTAAAAAGTTAAATATTTTTTAGTTTATGCAATATTTAAGGTTTTTGATAGATGTGATACCTGAGACTTTGTTCGACTGCAAAATCAAAATTAGTCTTTATGCAGAAATCTACAGTACAATCCAATTGCTAATGATCTGTAGATGGCAAATGCTAATTAAAACCACCATAACTATTACTCAAAAAGAAGAAATTTATTAATAAATGTGGCGAATTATATTCGAAAAGATTGAACGTGATTGTTTTTTTCCCCAAAAAAAAAACAAAAGAATATAAATGAAAAACAGCGGACCGTAGTGAAGAATCAAAATGATGACTTAGACCGATGATAGAAAAAGAAGGTTTAGTTAATAAAGATTATGTCAATTGAGCTAGCTCATTTTCCTTGCATTGTGTAAAAATTATCCGCTAAATATTATATATGTTGTATGTTTTAAATTAAAATATTAATACGCTTTGTGTAATCAGTTTTTTGCTGCTGTGTATAAACAATTTGATTTTTTGATTTATAATTCAAACATGACGTGAAAAATTGAGCCATAGAAATGCTAAGATCAACTTTACGGTTTCGTCGATGCTCGATCCACAATAAGACTTTAAAATTTTGTTTAAAAAAGGATTTTCCTGGCTTAGTTTTTCTCAGCAAAAAACTATTTGAAGAAAAGTTGGAGGAAAAGAACAAGTACGTTTGATCTTGAATCTATAAGGCATTTAATTCAGACTGATTTTGTACGATTTAAACTGCGACAAAATTGAATTAAAGTTTGTGATAATTCGTTTCAATTTGTGTTATACATGTATTGTGGTTCTCAAAATATTCTCAAATTGGTTTAACAATTTAATGAACCCACAACAAAACTATAAGATACTTCCGCCTATTACCTTACCGAGTTGAAACTTTGTCTAATCTATACTATTCAAATAAAGTTGTGTATTCGTGATAACTCCAAATTAATCCGCTATCCTATGCACATGTACAAACTCAGTATATGTACGAGGTAATAAAAGGTTGAGAGTATAAGACCCTGATTCATGAAAGATTCAATAAAAATTTTTTAACAAAAATACTATATAGATGTTTTAAACAATTTAAAGTATCTAGAATAAATAAAGATATCATAACCATCTTACATACAGTAGTACTTCTTCTTTAGGTGAGTTTTACGTTCGCGGAACATAAATTTCTTTCGTTTCTTTTTTTCCGTACATTTTAGTTAAGTGGGACCAAAAAGAAATAAACTTTGCTCTTGAAACTTGCTTTAAATGATATTTTTTTTTTGATTTACGATTCAAAGGATAGAGACTTGCCAAAAAATCGAAGTTTTCAAATTTGGAAAGAAATAGGAACCAAAAGCTACGAAATATTCGAAAATACACTAAAATAACCACAGAACGTATCAAAAAGATGTAGCAAATTGAATCAAATGAAATTCATTTTGTATTCGCCTCTCAAAAAATAGGGTGTAAAATCAAATATTCAATTATTTTGAGGTGATACTATGCCTTAGTAAAGCACAAAAATTTAACTTGAAATTTCTGGAAGGAAATGTAAACAACAAGATATTTGTTCAAATTTGGTGGTAAACAAAAATTACAACAAAATTGAGGTCACAAGATTAATTATTGAATTCATACATCAGATCGGAAAATTTAATGCTTTAAGTGGCAGTATCTTCACCAAATTTTGAGATCTCAGACATACTCATTTGATTTTTATATCACGCTAAAGCAAAGAGGAATAAAAAATTAATCTTTTTCTTCCGAATTTTTTTTTTTCTTTTTTTTTTTTTATTTTTGTCAATTTATTTTTCAATTTGTTTTGAAACAAAGGAACATTATTTTTTATATTACTGAAACTCGAAACAAGAAATATCTCCGCTAACAAATTATTATGAAACTTGCTTACCAACGATTTTTATATCTAACATTTTGATTATTTATTCTAGGGTATCAATTCTACTTTTCATTGACCTCTTGATTGATTTTATTTGTGTGATTTTTATATTGAATATTTTAGCGGAATTCTATTAAAGGTGTACAAAAGCTGCTTAATTAAGTTAATCTACATATCCTTATGTGTTAAAATTCTTTTCTTTTTTTACCATAACTTTCTCTCGAATGAAAAAATGATCGGCTTTGTAAAGAAACCTGTTCTATATATAATCATTTAACACATTTTGCATCAACCTTCGATACTCTAATCTACCTTGGATTATGATCAGTACAAATCTTCTTTTGTGTTAAATAATATCTCAAAATTTGTTCTATTTTATAAAACTTACATATTATTTATTTACTTCTAACTAAAAATTATTCAATTATTTAAGTTTAATTATATTATAAAAATTTATCTAATTCCTTGTAATATTATTTTGCATGTACGTTTTTTTGAGATCCAATTGACTTAAGACCTCATCAACTACCGCTTACTGTGTTTCAGATATTTTTTTAAACAACTAAATCAATCAATTCTCACTTAGAAATCTACTACATCTTGAGATTTTCGTTATACCAGAATTAAATCTTTTTTTATTTTTGATTATCATTAAAGTACAAACTAAAGCGGGAATTGAAGGTTTTTTCAGTCAATCCAAAGCACTTGAATCACATACTTAAGAATCGAAATAATTGAAGACAAATTTACACGCTAGATCTTATGGGTTATCAATAACAATAAACATTTGACAGAAGTGAAAGAAATTTAAATTTAAACAATACAATAGAAGTTGTGCATCAAAAGTTAAAAGATAGAAGAGTTTCACAATTATCCTTTATTCCATAGAACTAGTAATAATTTCAAAGAAAACATCAAGGATTAGTTTACCACGTTATTCAATTGGAGTAGTTTTGCAGAGGTTGGACATATCATGGATAATAAAGATAATGATAATCATTACAAATTTTTACAGCGACAGGATCAATTGCAACAACCAAATCAATTATCACTGCAACTGCAACCACCTCAAAGTAAAATTCCACAAACCTTGCAACCTCAGAATCAACAATATCAACCTCAACTTCAACTCACGAATAATATAAATGTACCATATTATCAGGCTTTCTCATATCAACAACAATATCAATTTCAACCACCAGTTCATCAATTTCTTTCACCTCAACCAGAAACTCAATCACGCCAGAGATCTAGAAATGATTCTTTGGGGACAAACACATCATCAAACGATTCAACCACCAACATATCAGATCCACAGCTTAACAGAACGCATAACAACTATCATAGATCGAGTCAAACTCAGTATTTTTTACCAGCTTTTCATCAAACCACTTACCAAACTCAACCTTACGTTCAAAATCAAAATCAGAGTCAAATGTTTCAACATCCACAACAATTACCCTCTCAAAATATTAATGATTCTCAGACATCAAATCTTATTGAAAATAACAAACAACAAATCCCATCAATAAGCCAGTTCAGTGATACAAATAATCAGATTCAATATCAAATGCCACATCAATCCCAACAATTGCAACCATATCCACCACCAACGCAACTACAACCACAACCAATAGACATACAGCAGCATTCTCTGCAATATCAAGTTCCACCACCACCCTTTCAACCTCAATTATATCAGCAGTTGCCGAAACAGTCACTACTACCTCACCAACAAACCGAATCAGTTTCATACCAATCACAACCAACGTTACAACAATATCAAACTTCAAGTTTATTACCAACAAGATTACAATTACCACAAAATATAGATTTGAATCAGTATCCCGATATGACTACATTAATAAATTCAAATACACACATGATTTTACCACAAGTTGAAAGTCATTTTGTTGATTTTAAAAAATGTTCAATATGTGGTAAAAAAATTACAAGAGATATGTCTAGACATATGAGAACTCATCAATTTGAAAGTAGATTTAATTGTAAATTCCCCAAAAATCAATGTAATCACAAACTGGGGAAATTCAATAGACCTTATGATTTTAAGAAACATTTATTAAACAGACATTTTATATTTGATGATCCATCTATAAAAAAATTACATAATTTAAATGATAAAATTAATCATTTTGGAACTTGTCCTTGTGGTATGAGATTTTTGGCAAATGATTGGTTAAATCTACATATTTTAACACCAGATTTGAACTTAAGATGTACTTATATTGAAGATTAATTAAACCAAAAAGTTCTATTTTTAAACTTGCAGAAACTTAACATATTCCAAGGTGCACAGGTGTCAACTAATTATGTAAATGAATGTTTTAACTAAGTCGGTTATGAAAATTTTTAACTAAAAAAAAGTTTATTTTATTTAACTTTGTGGCAAATTCAAAATTCAATTTTTAGTTAAACAAAAAAAAAAAAAAAAAAATAGAAAAAAAGGAAAAATAAAAGATCATCGTTTGTGAAAAAAATATTCAGTCTTGCTCAATTAGTCAAGCAATGAATGATCAATTACACATTCTCTACTGAAACTAAATTCAAAAATCAAATCAAGATTTACAAAATTTTCAATTTCAATTAACAGTTTGAGGTAAAAATTTAAAATTACGGAAATTTCAGGATAGAGTTTGAAATATGTACGTGGGAATAATTTCCTTCTCGTTAGCTGCATGACTGGTTCTTTTTTTCGTAACTCCTTTAGATGCATAGAGGTTACATCCATTTTTCAAATAAAACTTACACATTATCAATTCTTTGGTTCTCAATAAAATTATTATCAAAATTTCATATTCAATTTCATATTCAAAACATCATATTTTCATAGCATTTCTGTATTATTAACACCAAAAGTTACTATATAATTAATCATTTTGCATTTATTTATTTTTCAAGATAATTTTAATACATTCATAAACTTAATATTTTTAATGTTTTATATACATTTCAACCTCTACAATTTTTATTGTAAATATTGCTGTAGAACCTTTTGTCCATTTTCGTTTATACAATTCAAATGCATTAAATGGTGCCAAAAATAAACATGTAAAGTATTGAAGAAAGAAAAAATCTTGAAAAACATTTACGCTTCAAAATTCATCTGTTATTTTAACAGCAGATACATTGTCTCCAGGTTCGACGAGAAACGGATAAATTCGAGTAAGTTCAAATCAAGGTTTCAAACCATGCTACCTTAAAATGTGATATGCATTATGTCAATTGACCGAAGGATATTAAGTGCAAATGGTTATGTATACAAATATTTTACAGCATTTTGTTTGTGTAATGTAAATGTTTTTGTGCTGATTTATTTATTTCGTAAAGAAACAATCAGTATTCTGATTGTCAAAGATTGATTGTTCACTGGTTATCTCCGTTGAGATAAGGTATCAATATCTCTGGCTACATAATCAAACTCAATCAGCGCAATTTGTATATCTTTAACCGTCACATCGCCAATTTTTTATTATCAATTATTGTTATTTCTTGTGAAACTAAATGTCCAAAGTTCGTCAAAACTTACCAACTACTTCCAAGACTCGCGAATAATTACGGTATGACAAAACGACTGAAATAGAGGAGCTTATACGTAAAATGGTAAATTAATTGAAACCATAATTATGAATTAGTTTACTATAAATTTAACATATTTTTTGCAACAAAATTATATATATTAGAAATCCTAGCTACCAAACATTACTAATTTCGCAACCTGTCAGAAAGAGTTAACATTCTCATTGTCAAGTATATCAAGAATCTACTCTATTGTGTGAGCTTTAATCAATGATCCTTAGATGATAATTTTTACCACGAACTTTGTCTTTCATAAGTTGTTTATTTACTCTTCTTCTAATCAGACCTTTCTCTCCATAACTTTCCATCTTAGTCGTTATCCATAAGTAGTTTAATTGCTTGTAATTCAATGACAGCAAAAGATTATGGACATTTAATTTAGGTATCGATATTGTTATTCTTTTCGTATTTTCACCAAGAGTATCAATTAAGTCTCTTTCCGAATCAATTTTTGTATCTTTACCCAACAATTCAAGTTCAAAGGCTACTAAATTTTCAAATTGATGATCACTAACATCATCAATAGGTAATCTTTTGGTTTTTCCATCATAGACTATTCTTAAATTCAAAAAAGTAGGATCAAAATTAGAGACTATCAGTTGATTTGCGAAATTTCTTAATGACGATGCAAGTAATAATATTTTACCTCTGTAAATGGATTGCAAAAAGTTATCGAATTTGAAGTCCACAAAATATCCAATTCTATCTTTTAAATTCTGAATTACTTTGGAATTGTATTCTCTGCTTGCGTTCTCAAATATATCATCCTCCTTTTCCAAGGTTTCCAAATCCGAAATGGTTGCATTTCTTCTGCCCGAGCTATTAAATCTGAAGCAAAAAGGATATGTGAATAAATAAAAATACCACAACTCTCTGACTTGCGCATTTTCACACCAAATTTCAAGATAGTCTATGAGATCTAGACAAAGATTCAAGCTCTTTCTCGATATCAACCTCTCATGATCAGCTAAAAAGAAATTACAATCAAAATCAAATCTTTTAGGAGCTCCAGAATTCACAAATATTCTATATTTATGATCATACAATTTCTTAGATTCGTGCTTTATGATTAAAGTTAAAGTGGTATCAATATTGACATGATAATACCATTGGTGTCTTAGTGCTTGAGGAATATTGTCAAAATGATCTAATTTTAACAAAATCTTCTCGATTAATTCTATTGGTAAATTATTGAAAGCTATCATTGTAATAAGCTTGTCTGTTTTGTAACTGATCATAAACTACTTATCCCTAAAATTTTGTTTGTCACATATTTTAGCAGGTACAAAGAATTGAACGAAGTTTAAACTTTTAAGTAGAAAATAAGAGAAGTTTATTTAAAGAATGGAAAGTTTTTAATATTTCCAATGTTAGGACGTTTCATTTAACTGATTTTTGAATGGGATTAAATTCTAGCTGGGAAATACGCCTTCAAAAAGTGTTCCTTGATTCCAAATGGTTCGGAAGTTAAAACTCAAATAGATTAGTTTCAGAAAAACAAACCCATACAAAAGTGCTCACAAAACTTTCTATTTTATTTAATTAAGACATAACTCTTGCACCGAAACTTGAGGTAGTGTACTCAAATCCTTATTTCTCAAATTTAGGTACAACAAAGCAAGCTATCTTAAACGTCTTAGTTAACGATCAACATTCTACAATGGCCTCTTTCTACTTTTTTACTATAAATTTTTCATTAAGCTTTCTCAAGTCCGGAATTTATTTACTTTTACTAATCTAATACTGCTGCCTCACTTTAACTTTTTCAAATTTGTTTTAATATTTTGTAATTTATTTTATATTTTTTAGCTATTCTATTTTTCACTGAGTTTTAATTTAAATTTTGTACCATTTAATAAATTGTTTACTTATTTTCATACGTTCAAGATGTTTCAGATTATTTTTGCGTGTTTCTTGAATAATTTTCGCGTTATATTGTGAATAGGAAACTTTTTAAACCGAAGGTAAATGTATAAACTTCACCATTAACAGACTCAATCTTGTTAATCAAAATTAATCAAAATTTTGCAATCATAAGTCACAAATTACCACAAAGTTCAAACCAATTTAAAAATCAATTAAAATTGATAATTAAAGATAAAATTTTGAATTTAATTGTCAAGAATTTTGCTCAGAATAATTTGCAATTTTACCGGCTAGTCTTTACTATTTGCTCACTGTTGTAAATTCATATCTAATTGGTTATTCGAAATTTACTCACTCATTTATCAAAAAGATCTGATTGTTATTTACAATAAAATTTTTAATTAAATTACTTCTCCATTAATCGGTATTATTTACTTAATAAAGTAAGTGAAAATTTGCGCATTCACTAAAATCAAAAGCCTCATAAAAACTGCCTAATTTGAACTCTGATTTATATTTTTTCAATCAACAAAGCCGCACTACTTACTTAATTTATACATTGGAAATATGCTCAATAATAAAAAATATTTTATTGAGCAAATTTTAAATTATCAAATAAAGAATTAAGATAGAAGTTACAAAAAAATGAATTAATTAATCAAATCATATTCATATGAATGAGATTTATATTATAGAAATCAAATTATGAAACAATTTATATAAAAACTTACTCATATTACTTTCGTTTCTTTATACCAAATATAACTAGAGCAAATTTCATTATATTTCTTTTAGACTTCAATAAGTTTCTTTTCAATTCAAAATTAACATCAGTCTATTCAATTTAAATTTTATAAATAAGTCTTAAAATTCCCTAGATCTTAAATTTTGCATTCATATTAGATCATTAGATTATAGCATATCAATTAAATTAGCATAACAACTAAAATAAATATTCTCCCTTTACAAAATGAATTATAAAAGACATGCAGGACATGATGATTCTGGTTCTTCAACAATGGATATGGGATCAATGATAATGACTTCAACAATGGATATGATTATGGCAACTACTACTGCTACTTCAAATAATACTAGTGATATGAGTGGGATGGATCATGGTAGTATGAAAATGGGAATGCATATGTGGTTTACAACAGAATATAAAGATTATCCAGTTATATTTAAAAATCTTTCAGCAAATAATGGTGGTGGAGCATTTGGTATATTTGTTTTATTATTTTTTGCTGCATTTTTTGCAAGATTTCTAGAATTTATTCGTAATTATTTAGAAGAAGTTGTTTGGAATAATTCAAAATATGAAGAATTTGAAAATGGAGTTGTTGGACATTCTCCTACTTTACCTTTGAGTGGTCAAAATAAAAATACTATAACTGATGAAAGTATAGATAAAAATTTAACTCATGATGAAAATGATTCTGAAATAAATTCTCATGAATCAACCACCACTAACCAGAATAGATGTTCTAAAAAATCAAATATATCAACTGCAAGTACTATAATGAGAGATGTTATAAGATTAATACTTTGCATTATACCTGATTTATTTGCTTATACTTTGATGTTGGCTGCTATGACTTATACCTTGGTTTATTTCTTTGCTGTTGTTATTGGATCTGGTGTTGGAAGATTTGTTAGTGAAAGATTAATGGAAAGATTTAGAATTAAAAGAAAACCACAAATGTTTACTTGTTGCTAAAGAAAAAGAGTACATAGAATTTTAATATACTAATAACTAATAAAAAAATGAAGTAGTCAATTCATAATTTTTTGTTGTTATGAAATCTATAAATTTTCATATAATAATTCTTTTAATCTATATTCTTCATTAGCTTCATCAATTTCTTGCCAATTACCAATAAATTCATCACCTCTTATAATACCAGGTAATGTTTTACCATTTGATTGTCTTTTCCATATTTTTTTAGCTTCTTCATCTGTACCTAAATCTCTATATTCAAATTTTATATTATTGGCTTGTAAAATTGTTGCTAATCTATTTGTTCTTGGCATAATTTGCATACCTCCTGCTAATGATGTAAATAAATAAATTGGTAATGATTCAAGATGTTTACGAATTTCTTCTGGTGATATATCTAAATCATCTAAATTATCTTCGTTAGTGGTGGTGGTGGTAGTAGATTTAGCATTTTTTTCAGCTGATTCTTGTTGAGCTTGTTCATCTTTTGGAATTTTACCTTCTGATTCTTGTTTAGCTTCTTTCTTGATATGCTTTGCACCTTCTGCTTCTTCTTTTTCTTGTTTTTCTAATTCAGCTGGACCATCAACATCACCAGATGATTGAATTAAAGTTTCTTCAGGATCTACTAATGCTTGATTTGGTTCTAATTTTTTAACATTTTCAGGTTCTTTTGTTTCATGATCTTCTTTCGTAACCGATTTAATTTCTTCTTCTCCACCTTCAATTAATGTTGACTTATTTTTTTCAGCAGATTCTAATTCTGCTTCTTCATCTTTTGGTAATTTACCTTTTTTTTCTTCTTCGGCTTCTTCTTTATTTTCTTTTGCACCTTCTTTTTCATCTTCTTCTAATTCATTTAATTCTTCTGGTCCATCTGCATTATCAGCACCTTCTAATAATACTGGTTTATCACTTGGTTTTTCTAATTTATCTGATTCATCTGGTATTTTATTAGTTGGTTCTTGTTTTTCCTCCTTCTTCAATGGACTTTCTCCAGATTTTTCAATTTTTTCGTTAGCTTCTTCTTTTGCTTCTTTATTTCCTGTGCTTATACCCTCTTTTTCTAATTCACTTTCATCTACTCTTTCATATGGATCATCACTAGTTAATGCACCTTCTACTTTTAATGGTTCTGGATCAGCGTCATCTTTTTCATTTCCATCGGATTTTGCTTTCTTTGCATCTTCATCGATTAAATTTTCATAAGTTTCTGTAGATTTGGTAGAAGAATTATCTGCAGGTTCGGAAGTTTCTGACTTTGTTTGTGGTGACGTTTTTGAAACTGGCTCAGAAATTTCAGATTTTGCTGATTTTGATTCTGAAACACTTTTCTCATTTTCTTTTGGTTCTTTTATTTCCGGCACGGATTTCTCTTTCTCATCATCTTTTCTTTCATCTTCTTCAGTTAATGGTAAAAAATTAGAATTAGTATCACCATGCAAGACTTCTTCAACCATTGTATCCAATTGTTCAATCGATGCATAAGGATCATCAGTGACTAATGCACCTTCTTCAACTAAAGTATCAACGTTTGCATCATTTTTTTCATCCATTGGTGTTGGATGTCTTGCCCTTGATCTTGATCTTGAGATAGATCTTAAATAATTTGTAGAGGAGATAGATCTTGATGAATATAAATTATTTGATGGTTCAAATTCAGTATGTGGTGAATCAACTTCAAAATTTGTATAATCTCCAGTTGTTACTAATGATGGGTCACGTGTGACGGGATTCGATTCATAATCACTTATAAATGCTGGATTCTTATCTTTTGCTTCTTGTTCTGCTTTTTTAGCTTCTGCTATAGCTATAGATTCTCCCATTGTCGGTCTTGATTGTCTAGAACGTCTATCATCATCTTCTTCTGCTTCAGCTAATTGTTTATCTTCTGCTGAAAATTCAGGTGGTAGTTCATATTTTTCCGGTTCATCACCATGAATGTTTTTATATGAATCACCTCTTGCTAAATGAGTTTTTGTTTTATTTGCATTAGTTGATGATCTTGAACTTGAACGTTCACCAGCTCTTGATGATGGATTTGCTGATCTTGATCTTGATCTTGGTCTATCAGTGAAAAAAGTTGGAGTATGAATATGACCTTCAGATCTTTGTTGTTGAGCAGCTGACATTTGAGTTTGTGGTTTATATGGTGAAGTTTTGGAACCTTCTTTAAATGAAGAAGTTGATCTTGGTAGTTTTTCGAGATCATAAGACTTTACATGACTTAATAAATCTTGATGACTTTTGATATCTTGATCAATTTGATATTCTGACAAATCCGGAGTTGAATAATCTTCTTGTTTATAAAATGAAGAAGCTGCATTTTTAGGAGTTTCTGGAAGATCAATTGATGTTGGTTTTGTAATTTTGGCTTCGGTAGAATCTTCCTTTTTTGGTTGTTCTTTGCCTTCTAAATCATTAGCTCTTTCAATTGATCCTTGTTCCTTTTTTGGATCCTCATTTTCTTTCGATATATATTTAGCATCAGTTTTAACTGAACCATCACTATCTAAATACTTTTCAAAATCCTCTTCAGAATTTAATAAAGCACCTTCCCCAATTAAATCATCTAATGAGGCTGCAATTGCTGGATTCAATTTACTTAATTTACTTTTAGTGTTTTTGGATTTATATTTTTCAGGGTGAATATAATTTCTATGTGGAGAATCATCAGCAGATCTAATTGATGATCCAACTAATGAAGGAGATTCTGATCTTTCGGCGGTTGCCAATCTATCTTCGTAATCCATTATGAGTTATTCTTTGAGAATTTAAAAAAGTGGTTGTCAATAATTGAGTGATTTAAATAAAATCGTTACGTACTTAATTTTTTTGATAACGTTTCAAGTGTCGAACGATCAAAAAAAAAAAAGAACGAGTGACTCAAATCTGGACTCACTGTTGCTATTAACTCAATCTCTTTGCAATTGACCCGACTAGTATATATTCAGGTTGATTTGAAATAGTTGGAGAGGCTGTAGTACAAATAATGTACGTTTCTCAGAGTAAATGCGTAGCAACTAGTTCAAACAATTCAAGTTCATAACATAATTGGGGTAGCAATATCCGGTTGAACAAATTGTTCTTTTACTTCGAGAAAAGAGAATGACCAGAAAGCTAGAAAATTATTAGACGTTATTTTGTTTCCATAAAGGCGATTCCTAGAAGTTCGTACGCCTTTTATACATAAAGGTTACATTTAGATTACATTCAAATTTTAATTGATTGGACGAGAAACAATTAATACCCCAGATTTCGTGATAAGGTACATCTCAATAAAATTTCGAGTATAAATATTTAATAAATGTGCCTTATCTCAAGTACAAAATACCTGGAAGCAGTAAAGTAGATGATTAATTAGTATTTTGTATGTATTCAATGATCACTTCAAATTGAGCAAGTCTCTACAAAATTAAATTTTTTTGCAACACTACAAGCGTTGATTTTTAAAATGGTATAAAGCCAACCCTAAGATCATAATTCCAAGTCATAAAATGCAAGTAGGAAAATCTTAAGAGTTCCCATAACCTCGATTTAAAATCTACAAGTAGTTTGGATTATCCCTATTCATCCGAAATGTTTCAATTACAATACAGAATGAAAATTTTAAAAAGTAGTAATCCCAATAAAAAGTCACTATAAACTATTCACTTTAAAAAACTTTTCAGAAAAGAAATATATCTATTGAATAGTTTTACAATTTTTGGGAAAATTATTGTCTAACACCAGAAAATCTTAGAAGCTAGTCAAGTAGGTAGTCTTCACTTAATAGTTAACAATATACGTACAATTGTATGATATAGAATAAATTCTAAATTTACGATTCTATTATCAGTTCACGATTGCAACTAGTAAAAGAGATGAAATTTTGAATACACTATTTCGTTACACCAAAGTCTAATTGTCCTCGGGTATCAAAATCAATTTGGTCTCTCTCAAAGTACGAATATAATCCAATAGAAAGGAACATCATTACGAACATAATTATATGAATATAGGATTGAATAACTTTGAATTTTGAAAAAAAAGTCTAACGATCTATAGGCGCTTTTTTATATGCATAAATTCAAATCTCAAATTATTCATAGAGATTACCAAAAATAAAAAATTATTGACTTCAACTTCAAAATTCCCTTAAACAATTGAATGAATTAAAGATCAACATCTTTTCTAATTAAACCCTATTTTTAATTCATTGATCATTCAAAATGGTTAGTTAACTTAATTCAATGTCTTAATTTCGGTTTAATAATAATATAGTGTGTAATAAAACTCAAATTTGTAATTTCTAGCACGTTCGCCACTAAAAAAAATTTATTTATAAATACATATTGATATAAAAATATTAAATCAAGTACTATTTATAAAATCATTAAAAACAACTATACATAACGACAATTAACAATGCCTAGACAAAGAAGATCAGCTCCAGCTCCAAGACAACAAACAAGATCAGCACATACAGCAGCAGCACCATCATCATATGGTCAACAACATCATTCGTCATATCCAGCAGCTCATCCACAAACACAACAAAGACAACCAGGATTATTTGGACAAATGGCATCAACAGCTGCTGGTGTTGCAGTAGGTTCAACTATTGGTCATACTTTAGGTGCTGGTATAACTGGAATGTTTGGTGGTAGATCCGAAGCTCCAGTAGAACAACAACATCAACAACAAGATTTAACTCAATATCAACAACAACAATCATATGTTGGTCAACAAGAACAAACAAGACAATGTGATGTTGATGCAAGAAATTTTACTAGATGTTTAGAAGAAAATGATGGTAATATGCAAACTTGTGGTTATTATTTACAACAATTAAAAGCTTGTCAAGAAGCTTCAAGACAATATTAAGAAATAAAAATTATATTTATATAGGTTTCATGTTAATAGTAAAATTAAAATTATATTATTTATAAACTAATCAAAATTTATTTATTAAAAAACAAAACAACTAAATAACAACTTAAAGTCTATTTATTTCTTTGATGATTTAGTAGTTGATGAATAATACCAATAACCACCACCACCTAAACCTAATAAAGCTAATATTCCATAAATTCCAGTATTAGAATTTTCAGTTGATTGTGATTGACCTTCATTATGTAAATTATCATGTTCAATATCTTCAACAATTGGAGATTGTTTATCAACTTTTTCAGTTTTATGATCAATTTCATTTTCACCTAAATTTATTACATTTGCATTGTTAATATTTGGATTTATTGAAGATTGTAAATATTGATCATGATTTTGAGATTTTTTTGATTTCTTAACTTTTGTAGTATTTAAAGATGAATCAATTGGACTACTACCTTTATCTTCATGATATTCAGGTTCTGCACCAACATGTTCACCACCATGTAATACAGCTGCATTATTTGCTTCAACTTTTATACTTGAATTTGATTCTTTATTAAATAATTCTCTTTCTACTTTTTTAACTTTTTCTTGTGCTATATCTTGTTTAACTGCTTCTTTAGAAATAGGTGGAACTTTTGGTTCTGAAGTTTTAGGAATAAAATCATATTTAAATTCCCATTCATTTATTGATGTTTGTGATGGTAATCTAAAAGAATCAATTGTTGATTGATCTCCTTTTGCATATCTTTTAGCAGTATTTGATAAGCATCTTTTATTTATTTGATATACGGATTTAATTGATTGTTTAAACATTTTTAATTTAAATAGTTTAAGTCAATTGATTAGATAATTTTATTAAACAATTGATGAACTTGATTAATTTTAAGTCGTTGAGAAAATTAATTATTGTAATACTAGAGGATGAATGTGAAATTTCTTAAATATTAAATTTATAATTGCAATGTAGTTGGTAGCGTCGATTTCTCAATTGTTAAGTAAAGTTAAAAAGTGGGGAGTAAAATAGAAATTAAATTCCGATCTTATCTTTGAAAAATAAAGTTATAATATTTCAATTTCAAACATTAAATTACGTCAAATTAAAATACTTCTTTTTTATAAATACTAGTACTTCTATTATTTTCAGTTTATTAATTACTAATTAATGCAATTCTATTAAATATCACATCTTTGCATTGGGATTATCATTATGAAGATTAAATGAACCAGATCTACTTAATAAATCTTCAAGGTATAAAGAGGGAGGTCTTAATGTAGTCTGAACACTTGAATTTCCATTACCAATACTGGATTGATTTAAATCACTTTCTCCAACTGATGTTATTGTATTTGAATCTAAATATGGACCTAATGGACCTAATGGTTTGAACAACAGTCCAACTGATGAATTATTATTTTGTAAATATATTGATGACGTATTATTGTTTAATTGTAATGATTTATATTCTAAACTTGGATTTAAAAACATTGATTTTCTAAATTGTTGTTTATCACTTAATAAATGAGATTGTAATGATTTACCTTGTTGTGAACTTGTTGATGAAGAATCTATAAATGATGTAGTTCTTGATCTTATAGGAAATGAATAATTTGATGATAATTCATTAAAATTATTAAATGTATTTGTTGAATAATAAATCTCTTTTTCCAATTGTGCTTTCGATGAATAGATATAATGAGTTATTATTCGATATAGTATTATTCCTAATGATATTGCTCCTAATATTGACCCTACTATTATAAATACTAAATTCAGTGGCAAGTTAGATACATTTATATAAGGATTTATTTGATTCTTCGGTATAGATGTTATTGATAAACTTGGCTCTGATGATAATCTAGGTAATGAAGGCATTGAAGTTGTAGTTGTGGGTGAATCATCTCTTTTAATATATGAAGATAGTATGGTGGACATTTGATGATGATGATGATGATGATGTAAATGATTCATTTCGAATCTAAAAATTTAATGATGTAACAGAAATATACTTGAGCAGTTTTAAAGTTAAAAAATTACTTCAATGACGATCAATAGAAGATTATAGTTTAATAATATAGTCCTAATCATTATCATTTTAGGGTCTATAATTAAATTGAAATTTACGGGAAACTTTAAGACGTGTTGTTAATATTATTGTTCTAACTTTTTGTACCATCGATTCGATGTAGAATAGATAATGTTTGTATCTATTGTTCTAAAAAAACACGAATTAAGACTTGACATAAATCCTAAATTGTTTATAAGTATTAATTTATTGTGCATTTAGTAGATAAATTTCAAATTATTAAATCTAAGATTTTCAAAATAGAAGGTTTCAAGTTAAAGGTTTGTGTAATTTGATTTTTTTGTTATGATACTAATTAATAAATCTTACATATTAATTAGTTTTCTTTATAAACGCGTCTTAATATATTAATATTAACGTGTTTTGTTATTGGGTTATAACATGCATTTTATTTCAAAGGAGATCTTAACTTGTATTAAGAAAGAGTAGCAACTATAACTCTGAAAGTAAAAAAGCAGATGGTTTGAGCGTACGGCAAAGAAATAGAAATCAATTAAACAAGTTTATAAATATTTTATTAAAATTTTATTAGAATTTAATAATTTAATAAATAATATAGTATAATTATAAATATGTTAGTTATTTAATTTTTTTCATTTCAATTCATTTCATCATTTAGAATCTCCAATTTTCATCAACAGATTCAATAGCCCATTTAAATTTATCTCTTAAAGTTTTTGTAAATAATTTTTCAATTGGAACATCAAATTTTTTAGAAAACATAACAGTTAATCTTGGATCTATATAATTCATTTTTGATGTACCTAAAGAAACTTCTGAATTATCTTCTTTATCTTTTAGGGATAAATTTGTTGATATTATTCTATTTTCTATTGTTTCTATTTGAGTTTTTAATTTATCAATTGTTATTTTTGATGAAATTTCAAATTTTCCAGTTTTTAATTCTTTTTTATATTCTTTTGATAATTCCTCAATTTTATCTAATTTATCTTTTATATCTGTTTTTTTTAATAATGGTTTTTTTTCAATTTTTAATTTTTCATTATCTCTTTCTAATTTTTTTAATGCTTGTTCTTTTTGTCTTTCAATTATTGATTCATGAATTAATTGAATATCTTCTTTTGTTAAATCATCGATTTCTTCAAAATATTTTGGATCTTTCTTTTTTAATTTTGGTTCTAATTGTATAATCATTTTTTTCAATCTTATTTTTTGCCATAAAAATTCTTTTAATTTATCATTAATCTTTTGTATTGTATTTCCATGAGTTTTACTAACTGTACGTTGATGATTACATAATATAGCAACTGTTCTATTTGCTGCATTAAATTTAACTACTTTTTCAGCTACGGTACCTTCGTTCGTAATTAAATCTAATTGATCTTGCATTGTTTTGGAAGCATTATAAGTACGAAATACTTTTGCAGTTAATCCTTTCATATAATTTTGTAATTGTTTATTGACCATTGATGGATTAATTCGATCAAATAAATCATCACCTGGTTGTTTGGGGGATTTTTTAAAAATTCTTAAATTTTTGAAAACTTGATCTGTAACTTCAACTTCTTGATAAAATCTTATTGAATCTTTACCTAAGAAATCAAATATAACTTTATTTGGTTTTTTCAAAGTTATATGTTCAAATCTTAATGAACAACAACCAACTGTATCAGCTTCATCATCCCCCTTTTCACCACCAGCTCTTAAAGCATAAACATCAATTAAATACATTGCAGTTGCCATTTGACGATCCTGCATTTTTTCTGATTTTAACATTTTAGTATAATCTTTTCTAATAGCATCAACATGATGTCTTAATTGTCTTGCAGTTTCAAATTTTTTAAAATCTGATTGACCTTTAATTGATGAATTTGCTGCAAATCTAACATATTTAAAAGAATCTGCAATATTTTCTTTCCACATAGCTAACCAAGTAACTTCATTATCATGTCTTACTTCAGCCCATTTATGACCTTCTGGTGGTGATGGTACAGGTACATTTGCACTTAAATTTAATGTAACTTGTTCTGGTAATACTCTTCTTTTTAATTTACCTGTTTTAGGATGTGCACCACGACCTCTAAATAATCCAGGAGGTTCAATTCTAAAATTTCCAACTAATTCTTTTCTACCATTTAATAAACAAGTCTTGAAAGGTTCTTCAATTCTTTCTTTTTCTTCTTTGATTCTTTTCTTTTCATCTTTTGACATTGCTTTTTTCTCATCTCTTTGTTTTTCAAAATATGAATGCATTTTAGTAAAATCTAATTTCTCAAAATTTGTAATTTTTATTTCACCTAATCCTCCACATTCTTTAATAACTTGTTTAAAATCTTGAAAGAAATTCTTTTGGAAAACTGGGTTTTTAGCATGATCAGTTTCAATCATTGCACCATAAAATCCAGCTACTTCTTCTGCTTCCAATGGTAAATTTACTGGTTTTCCATCATAATATAATTTCACATAAGAAGGTAATGGTTCATAAGCTGGTGGAAACATAACACCATTGTGCTCTAGTGAAGTCCATTTAATTTCTCCATCATGTTCATCTTGTGCTTCCCACCATTTATATCCTTCATCTTCTTCTTCATCTTCCCCTTCCGCTGTGTCCCTATCTGTTGCTGGTGTTTTCTCTTTCTTTGGTTTAACTTCTTTCTTAGGTTTAGTTTCCTTCTTAATTTTTGATTCCTTCTTTGGTTTTACTTCCTTTTTAGGTTTTGTTACTTTAGATGATGATTCCTTTTTTGATTTTGGTTTTGGTTTTGATTTTGATTCTTTTTTAATTGCTGATCCATTAGTTTTTGCCTTTTTGGATAATGGTACATCATCATCATATTCTTCATCTGAATCAATTGAATTTTTTTTCCTTTTAGTTGATTGATTTAATGGGGTATCTTCATCTGAATCATCTGAGTCATTTGTAGTTGGAGTAGTTGATGGTGAGTTCGATTCCCTCGAAGATTTTGATGATTGTAATTGTGATAATGACAATTCTTCTTCTGAATCTGAAGAACTCATGATTGAAGTTTTAAATTATTTTGGTGAATAAGCTTCTCTTGAAATTAAAAATGAATGTTGTGGTAGACTCTTTGATTGATTCTGTAGAGTAATAAGTAATAAATATGTAATTATTCAAATAATATAAATTTTCAATTGTTGTTAATTGTAAAATGAATAAATTGATGGTTGTAAAAAAGATTCTTGTATATTATAAAAATTTAACGTGTATTATTTTTTCTCTCTCTAAAATTTATTAATTATTGTATTTCAGATTTAGTTTTGTATTTACGAGAAAGATTTAAGAGTTTCAACAAATGCATTTTTATTCGGATTGTTTATTTGAATCAAGAACGATAAGAACTTGGTTTAATAATAGGTTTGATACACAATTTCCTGAATTAGTTATTTCTTACTGACATGTATAATGATTTGTTTCAAGTTGAAAGTATAAATAATCATCATATGTGTTTTACTTTTTCTTCTCACTTTCTGTTTAATTAGCTACAAGACCATAAACTACATTGACTTAACACAAATAAATCTTAAGTTTAAAGATACTATTTTTAACTTGACTTGCTTATAGTGTTTATAGTCAAACTCAGTCATGAGATGTACAAAAGCCTGGAACATTTAATGTGATTGATTGACTGCCATATATAAATAATATTGAAATGTATCTTCATTTGACTTGCCACTTCGCTATAAACTCTAATTCCGAGTGATAGAAGCCAACTCAAACATATATTCAATCAGAGGAAGTGATTTTTTCTGCAAATTCTAGAATTCATGAATAGAACTTCGTTCAAAATATTAAAGTGTTGCAAAAGTCCCATAAATAATTAGGCAAATATTAATAGAAGGTAGTTTCAAAATAGCTGTCAAAAATTATGGGAAATGTGACAATAAACCGTAACTCGAGGTCTTGAACAAAATTTTACGGTTATATTATAGTATAGTAGATCAAGATCCAAAATATTATATCTGTACCTTGATGCATATGTCTAATTGCAATGTAGTGTCATTCTGATTTTTCATCAATTGCTTGGAAATCTACAAAGTAAGATCTAGTTAGTGCAAGTTTTGTGAAGAATATTATAGATAGTTCCTGGCTGGTCATGGACAACAATTAACCCATCGCTTATTGTCCTTGATTATTGTCGAAAAATGTATATTGAAAATGTAAAATCATAATTGGAACAAGCGAAAAAAAAGTATTACTTTGAAATAATACTTATGAATCCCAGGTTATGATCCACAAATTAAGGCTAGGCATTTAGCTTATCAAATTTAAATTGATCTGCTACTGTAACATGATATATATGGTTATAGATTGAAAGAAATATAATCTTTACAAATATCTGAAGGTTACTAACCTATAAGATTAGATCATACTTAAGTTCAACAACTAAATCAAAAGCTAATTAAATTATAGTATTTAAGTTGTAACAGTAAGGCAAATTTAAATAAACTAAGAAAAGTAAAAAGAAATAAAGAAAAGAACTAAAAAATCTTGAAATGACGGCAATTGTAAAAAATTATTAATATATTTTCTTATTAATTAATGAATTAATTGAAAATTTAAGTGGCATTTAAATTTAAACTTATTTAATTCGCGATGAGATGCCTCTCTTCACTAAAATAGATTAAATGCCTTAGATTTATTAAAAGTTTGATCTAAACACTATATTATCTTCTTATCGATTAATGTTTCACTTCAATTACAACTTCTTGTGGGGTGTTAACTTGATTCATCTATTATTCAAACAACTTGTAACGTATAAAATATAAGCTTATTGTGGTTAAGTTTGTTATAATTGCTCATTTAACCTGGTACACATAAAATTACAATCGGATCATCCATCAAAAATTTGATAGAAAATTACAGTATACAAATAGAAATTAAATATAAGTCAAATGACATGAATCTTTAACTTGGTCCCCTTATCCCTAATTATAATATTTAAATTATAAAATTAAATAAATTGAATATTATATGTGTGATTAAGTTACACAAATATGCCAGGCAGTAAGAAAATTTCTTTTTTTCTTGTCAAAATTACTTCAAACATGCTACCAAGTTTTTTATCAATATAATTTTGCAATTCATATAATAGCCGCTCAATATCTTCTTTCAAATTAATTTTTTTAAAAATATTGTTGATTCTTGCTTCATTTCCAAAATTTCCATTAAAATGAGTGAATATCCAAATAAAGATAGTATACCAACAAATGAAAAAGTACTAAATGGAGAAGGTAGTAATAACTTTTCATCAACAGCAACACCACAAACATCACATTTTCAAACTATAAATCCTATTAATTCATTGAAATATGAAAATAAAGAAAAACAAACTGACTTTGTATCAAATGCTGATATTGATGAGAATTTATCAAATTTTGAACAAGAGAAGGTGCAAAGAGGTTTGAAGAGTAGACATATCTCAATGATTACTTTGGGAGGAACAATTGGAACTGGTTTGTTCATTAGTACTGGAAATATGATTAGTACTTCAGGACCAATACTAAGTTTGATATCCTTTGTATTTTTTACAACCATAGCTTGGAGTGTCACTGCTTCGCTTGGTGAAATGGCTACGTATGCGCCCCTTTCATCTTCGTTTACACAATTTGCTGCAAGATGGATAAGCAAGTCTAATGCTTCTGCGTTAGGCTATCTCTACTGGTTCTCCTGGCTGTTGACCTACGCGTTAGAGCTCTCAGTTGTTGGAGAAGTCATTGAATTTTGGACAGACGCAGTTCCTTTGGCAGCTTGGATATCAATTTTTTTTGTTATCATTCCTATTTTCAATTTTTTCCCAGTTAAATTTTATGGAGAATTTGAATTTTGGATAGCTTCAATTAAAGTAATCGCAGTTTTCGGATGGATTATTTATGCGCTTTGTATGGTATGTGGTGCTGGAAAGCAAGGTCCTGTTGGTTTCAGATATTGGAGGAACGGTTATGGTTGGGGTCCCTCAGATATGGTTTCTGATGTAGGAACATCAAGATTTTTAGGATGGGTGTCATCTTTAATTAGTGCTGCTTTTACTTTTCAAGGAACAGAATTAGTAGGTATCACTGCTGGAGAAGCTGATAATCCAAGAAGAGCTGTGCCAAGTGCTATCAGAAAGGTATTGTTTAGAGTATTAATATTTTATGTTTTGAGTATGTTCTTTATGGGTTTGTTAGTTCCATATAATGATCCTAGATTAAGTGGTGGATCATACACTTCAAATTCACCATTTATTGTTGCCATGATTAATTCTGGAACTAATGTATTACCTCATATTTTCAATGCTGTTATTTTAACTACTATTATATCAGCTGCTAATTCAAATGTTTATGTTGGTTCAAGAATTCTTTATGGTTTAGCTGAAGCAGGGGTAGGACCAAAATTTTTTATGAAAGTTAATCGTGGAGGTGTACCTTTTATATCAGTTATAATAACAGCTGCTTTTGGTGCTTTGGGTTATTTAGCAGTTTCAAAAAATGGTCAAAATGCTTTTAATTGGTTATTGAATATTACAGCAGCTGCAGGATTAATATGTTGGGGTTTTATTTCAGTAACACATATTAGATTCATAAAAGTTTTGAAAAGTAGAGGTATTAGCAGAGATTCATTACCATACAAAGCATCGTTAATGCCTTATGCTGCTATTTATGCATGTTTTTTTATTTTTTTGATTACACTTATTCAAGGATATGCTTCATTCGTCAATAGTTTTAGTGTTACTGATTTTTTTACTGCATATATTTCAGTTATTTTATTCGTGGTATTATGGATTGGCTTTCAAATTTACTTTCATGGGTTTAGTACTAAATGGGGTGATTATTTGATTCCATTAGATGATTGTGATATTGATACAGGAGTCAGAGAAATTGATGAATTGGAATATGAATATAAACCACCATCTAATTTATGGGAAAAATTTTGGGATTTTGTTGCGTAAATAGTACTTTTATACATGAATATAAACATTTTAAATGTTATAGACGTCATAATCTCTCATGCGAATAACAGCTTGAAGACTATAGTTCATAAATCTAAAGCTTTTTTACCATGCATAACATAGTTTATAACAGGCAGGATATACTACAATGTAAGAGAATATTTTTACATATAAAACAAGATCGATTTTCGTTTGCATTTACTTATACTTTGAAATTATGCTAGTCATTAATCTCTTCAATTGCCAGTTCCATTTTCATTAATCTCTTTAATTCTTTATATTTCGCTTGGCAAGCAGTAGGAGCTCTCCCTTCAAATCTAGCTGCCACCAAATTGAATTTAAGACCAGCAGACTTATCACTTATTTTATTTCTTAATTCAGCACGTTGAGCAAAACTTAAATTTTCTAATTCTTCATCGACTTGCTTAGCTACTTCTAAAAGATGTATTTCTTCAGCTGTTGTCCACCAAATTAATCTTTCTTTCTCTGGTTGATATATGAAAGTTCCATCTTCATCCTTACTCAAGATACCACTTATTTGCCAGCTTTCAAACATAGTAGATAATGATTTTCTAGTTTCTCCTGGAAAAAAAAAGGCAACAACAGCCCATCTACGTTTAATGATACCATTAGTTTTTTTAACTTGAAATAATGGATGATTAGCAAATTTTAATATGATTTGCAATAGTTCAGGAGAATATCTTCCTTCAACACGACTAGAAAATTTCCCGGGAATTGTTTGATTAGCAAAATTTATCATCTTTTGTACCTTCATTTCTTCTGCAAGTCTTCTGTTTTTTATTAACTCTTTACTTTTTTCCCTTTCCTGGATGAGATCTTTGAATGAATCTGTCAATTTACCATCATCTGCTATCCCGTTTTTTTCTCTGATGTAATTGTAAAAATTTCTAAGTTGCAATTTGCTGTATTGGCTATACTCATCTTTTAAAACTAATATATCCCATTTATTTAACAGATTTTCTACCTCCTTGTAGTGGTTTAAAAAATTTTTAGTAAATTCAACATCATAATGAATTTTTTGTTTAATGAAATTTGTAAATTCAAACTTTTTTGTAGCTTCTGAAAACTTAATGACCTTATTTGCTTCGAGAGATTGATAAGCTCTCATCATTTGTCTCCTGGTCCATTGGGGGAAAATATTTAATATTTTTTGCCATTGGATAATAACACTTTCCACAATTTTCAAATTTTGATTGATGAAACTAACTAGCAAAGCATCAACACCTGAAATAAATTTGTCCTGTGGGATAAGTTTGACGGTTTCATATTTATTATTAAGTTGAGTAAGTAGTTTAGATTTAAATTGATTAGCTTTTAAAGTATTTGCTTTTATCAAATAATCTTGCAATTTATTGTATTTTTTGCTTCTTTGTGTTGCATTGGAAAAACTAAATTTCAGTTCATCATCTTCCTCTTCTTCCTCTTCCTCTTCCTCTTCTTCTTCTTCTTCTTCATCAACATCAACATCTCCAACGTTATCAATTTCAATACCATTATCAATATTCTTTTCATAATTTCCATTTTTACTTAACCTAAAATCATTATTCATTTGTATGAAAAAGTTAATTAAATCATAATCAGTTGATTGATCCTCATATTCTTCCAAATTTTTGATTAATGACATTTTATGTTCACCTATAGCATGAGTGGAGATTTTATCAAATTTTAGGCAATTTTCTGTGAAAAAAGGAAGGAGGTTTTTTGTAATGTAAAGGTGATCCAAACACTTATGTGATATACGATGGTAATTTGTGAAGTAATTCTTGTTATATGATTGTTCAAATAAATCCACCATGTCATTGTCTTCAAGTAATTTGTTTATCTGGACGGTGGTATTTTGATCAGTTGAGGTGATGGTACCTTCTATAGTTTTACCTGAATTAGCATCTGTTCCAATTATGATATATGGTAAACCTTTAATACATTCATTAAGTTTTGTTATAATTTGAGTCCTTAAACATGCATTGTTTGCTGGTAGATATAAACTAATCAACTTGATTTTTTTACCAGCTAAAGTATCATTATTCATAATAGAATTTTCAATTTGTTTAAAATTAATTGAAACATCAGCAATTCTTGTATTTAATGGTAATTGATCAAAATTTATTTTATTTGTGAATAAATTCTCATTGGACGAATTGGTATTAATATAAACTTGATCAGAAAATGGAGTAAAGTTGTCATTATCAAATTGTTGTGAAATTATTAAAGAATCAGTTAATTCATAAGGTGGTAATTTTTTTTGATTTAAAGCTAATGTTGTCGATCCATTCTTGGATCTAATGATTTGAACATCATCAGCATCATTTGAATTTTTTAATAGTTGCAATAAGTTGTTGTCTGTTGTTTCATGAATAAATGATAATCCTGTAAATAAAAAATTCAACTTGGGGTTACTTGATCTTCCACAATTCTTATTAAATATTGAATATGAAGGTGTATCATCACTATTTGGTTTTGAGTTTTTAAAAGTGGGGAACTTGAAATTTTTCATTTTATATTGTCCTGGTATTCTTGGTTCCTTTTTGACAACTAAATTTCTGAGTTTTGTATAATCTTTTTCAGATTTTGAATCATTTGTGTCTTCATGGATTGAAAATGGTAATTGTTGGGCTAACATTTTGTTTAATTTTGAAACATTTCTGGTTTTAGAAGTGGTTGAGTTTATTTCATTCGGTTGTAAAACATTTTCATCTTCATCAATTGAAAGAATGATCTTTTTCTTATCTTTTTTGTTCAATTTGTTGGATATTGGTTTTGCTGGTTTCAATTTATCTAATTGTGAAATATTTTCTTTATCATCAATTGCAGAAGCAGAAACTAATTCTTCATTTGAAGAATTATAATTATTATTTAAAACTAAGGTACGAGCAGCAGATAAAGTGTTTTGTTTTTTTTGAACTGCTGTATTAATTCCAAGTGATAAAATATTTGGATTTGAATTTGTTTTAACTTTTTTAAATTTCGGATAATTGATTATTTTTTTACCACTAATTCTTTCTTCTTCACTGTCACTATCTGTAACATAATCTTCATCTTTTGTTTCATCATCTAATACACCAAAGGGATTAGTAGTAGTTGTATTGATTATGTTTGTATTGACTGATTTGGGTTTTCTTAATCTTTTTCTTTTGTTAGCGCCAGTCCAACCTGAATGAGTTGTATCTTGGACTATTTCAATAGTATCATCATCTTCAATAGTTTTTGTAGTATTTTCTTCATCATCAATGATAATAGGATTAGTTGATGTTCCATCTTGAATGGCATTTTTGATTGAACCCCCACCTTGTGTAATAAAGTTTTTGATTTTCACCATCAGTTAAATGAAAAAAAAGATTGATTTGAATTGAACTAAAAGATGATTATATTAAAATACGGATACACTTCACTGAGTTATAAAGCAAATGATTTGGTGTGTAAATTACTTTGTATATCTTAAAATTTTTAATTTGGGAATGTAAAAAATATTATGTGTTTCAAAAAAAACGGGGAAAATCAAAATTCAAGATTACAATTCTTCAAAACTTACCAATTTTAAATCGAGTGCATAAAATAATCCCCAACCATTGTTTTGAATGTATCAAGTTTAACAGAGTAAAATTAAAACATGGAGTATGGTTTAGACATTAGACTTTTTGGGTAAAACTTATCTCTTTCAATGATGTTAGATCAATTGTTTCATCATTTGATTCAAGTTCTACGTCAAAATCAGCAGTTAGAAAGTATTTGCTGCTGAGGTTATTATCACTCACAAACAGTATGCTTCAATTGTCAAGTGGTAATTTTTCCTAACTGAGCTATAGCTAATTGTTTAAAGAAAAGGTTAATCATAAAATTTCAACAAAGAATTACTCTCCAAACTTGGTTTTACAACTCAAATTCGAAACATAAATAAAACTTTTTAGCGCATAACAATTGCAAGTGGACTTAAACAAAGATTGTGGGTTAAATAAATCGTGAAAATATCAAGTTTCTTATAGAATGGTTTGTTAGTGATCCAAGATGCAAAGTGAAAACAAATAAAATAAAAAAATAAAGATGTGTAATAAAAGTCAAATATGAAACAGGTATCATTCTTTCTGCGTATTGGTAGCATTACATTACTAATATTAGGTTTTAGGTTAGTTATTTTAAATTAATCTTTTAATTTTCAATGAATAAATTAAATTATAACCTTTTCAAATGAAGAAACAATTTAAAAAAAATCATCAACATAATTTTATATTTAAAATTCAAAAATTAAAGTTAAATGAATTAAAAAAAAAAATGTAAAAAATAATATTTTATCTCCTTAAATTTATTTTTTCTTTTAAATTTAATTAGTCTATATTAAATTTCTTTTTTTGCTCACCTAATAAAGTCGTCCACAATAAGTTTGTAATATGCTATGGGGTATAAATTTGATGGGAAAATCCTCAAGAAACGGTTATTTAATGCTGTCATATTTTTTTATTGCAAATGTGTGTGTTAATCTTTCTTTTTTAACCCCCACTAATTTAAACCTTGAGCTGTTCTAAATGAACCATATCTCATATGAAGTATATGAGTTTTTTTTTGGCTTTGATATACTATTATAATAACAAAGTTACACAAATATAAATATCCAGTAATTTAACATCTTGTGCATGGACAATCACATTAGTTAAGCATTACGGTCTGATTAGACCTTAATTGTTGAACGGCTGAAGTATATGGGAATTACGAGGGCACAAATTTGATATAATATCTTTGTTGTTGGAGTCTAGTCCATAGCATTTTCAAGATATCACTCACGGTGATATTTAATAATATAAAATTACTTTTAAATTTTAAGTTTTTCCATCCGGTGCCGACTGCAACAAATTTTTACAGAAAATTCTCTAGTTGTATGGTGAATTGTCAAAAACACGATGAAGTGTATATTGAACTATCTCACCCCTATGGTAAACCGTTTAGAGTATGTTTTTGTAGGACTCGGTGCCTGTTTGCATTAAACGAATTCTGGTGCGGCTTGATCCCTAATGTAAAAGTTCTCCATTTATTTTTAAAATATGATAATTTAGCTACAGCAATACTGAGAACACACTTACAAGAAGCAATAACACTAGCGTTATTTCGTGTAAAAATGAAGTTTAGTAGAGATCAAATAATGACTTTTCCGTGGTTTGAATTAAAAAATAAATGAATAAAAAAATTAGTCTAAGCAATAAGATCAAAAGAATCAAACCAGATGCCTCAAAGATCATAATACAGTCAAAGTAATGCATTAAGGAAATTGAAGATAGAAGCGAGAAGTATGATGGATTGTTCAAAGATATTTTAAAATCAAATGTCAATGTTGGATCTCCGAAAGCAACTGAAGGAAAAGACAAAACTCATCATGAAGTAGCATATCACTAGAATCAAGTTTTTGGAAATCATCAATGAATTCATCGGTGATATTGTTGTTAGCAATGGTAATTATGCTCCAGATGTTGACAATCAGGTAAATAATAATGATTCTAATAATTATTGTGACAATATTGTTGATAATATTGGTTAGGAAGTTCATTCTGTCTCAATAGCTGCTCCTAAATCAAACTCTAAGAATGCTGATAATTTAAGAGAAGTGAGTAGATGTGCTATGGATAGACTTTCAAACTCCAGGTTTCATATTTAAAAAATTATAATTTTTCTTAGTTAGTCATGGTGAATCGTTTATTTTTATCCGTTGCTTACAAGAAGAACAAGTTAGGCTTAAGGTTCTTTACCTTATTCTAAGGTCATCTTCAATTTTATAGAGTCATTTCGTATTAATTGAATATAGCTTTATTTGGCAAGGAAAGGCTAATGCTTTGATAAATGTTTGCTGTACGTTCATATGATGAAAGGAGAGACTTTATGCTGTGTCAAATCAAATTATTCTCGTCAAATGCTTAACTGCTCAAATCGTAGGGAATCAAGTGAAGTCTAGATGTAATTGTCCAACATTTGTAGTTTAGACATTTTAATGAATGTAGATCAATTTCTTCTTAATTCTTTTTGCTAAAATTGAATACCTCGTAGTTTAAATTTTGCAGCAAACAATTTGGTAGCTCATCTGAAACTTATGAAGTGTTTAAACTAAAAAACTGTAAGTTTATATTTTTTAAGAGTATATATTTAGGAATTATGTATTTAAATTACATTATTTTTATTGATTCATTAAATTACTTTGTATAAATATCATGTATATATTTATGTAACTATATCATCAATTTTTTTAATTAAATCATTATATTTTCCTTTATTAAACAGTGAACCATTACCATCAGCTAATTTTTCACTATATATCAATCTTGCTAAGTTATAATATTGAGATTTAGTAAAATTTAAAGTTTTTGATTTAATTTTGCTTAAAAGACTGAATTCATTTAATGCAAACATTTCAAAATATAATGTTGATTTATTAAAATCGATAAGTTCTGGTTTTGATGATAAACTTCTTAACATTTGTTGTAACGTTGATATATTTAATAAAATTCTTTTCACTCCATTAGCGTTTATTTTGTGAATTTTTGTTGAACCTTGAATTATTAAATCGTTTAAGAATTGACTGTACCCAATAAAAATACTTTCTTTATCATCTTCTTTTAATGTATTACCTAATTTATTATCAACATTGAAAACTTCTTGATTTAATGTTACAATATATGGATCAGCATCTCCTGGTTCAGTTGTTGGAACCCAATTCATAACATTAAATGATAAATTAATGTAGTACAATGCTTTACTTCTTAATTCATAACGTAATGCTAATAAAGTTTGATCTTTTATACTTTCAAAGCATGATATTACATCATCAAATTGAATCATCTTATCTGAATTTAAAGCTAGGCATATATTATGTTGAAGTATATCTGAAGAATTGGCAGTAAATTTCACTGTTGAACGACCATTTTCCAAAAATGACCAATTATACCTCATCTTATCTGAAGTTGATATAACCACTGATTTATTCTGTTCATCATCGTATACACTACGATTTGATTGTTTTTTGATTAGGATTAACCATGATAATATCCAAGTAGTGGTTAACAATAAATACACAACTTGTGAAAAAGTTTGTTCATCCAACAAATCATCTTTATTGAGCACCAAATCTTGAAATTCTTGTAGCAACATTCCACTTTCAGAAGCTATAAATTTTGGTAAATCTGATTGTAATTCAACTAATGAATGGTCTAAAATAATAGTACCACTAATTTCAGTAAGTGTATGCATTTTCATCCATTTACTTATTTTAAGTATTGGTCTATGAGACCCACTACCTTCATTTGATAATAAATCTTGAAACAATTTTTGATATTCAGTTGCAAAATTTTGTAATATTTGTAAAACAGAATTTGATATATCTGCTCTATAAGTCATCGACGTGTTAAACATTAAACAAAGTTCAAGAAATAATTTTTTAAAGTTAAATGCATTTTCATATACCGTGAAATTAGAATTAAATTTACCCATGGTTGTTTCACTTAATATTTGTAGCTCAGTATCTTGATTTAATGAGAGTAAATCAAGTTTCAATCCAGATGGTTCATTTGGTTTCAGATCAAATGCATATGATCCACCAACTTTATCTCCAAATACCACATCTATTGTTTCTTTAAAATATGTCATAAAATTAGATCTCATAAATTCATTGAAAAAATCAATAGCAATATGATTTGATGTGTTGTTACTAAAATTTGAAAAAATTCTGGTGGTACCTTCAATAAAAATTAAAAATGACTCTAAAATGATTCTCATGTTAAGTAAATTTTTAGGAACTAAAACTTCAATTTCAGTACTAAATGCTTCATCTTCAAAATAAGGTGTTCTCATATTTAAAACTTCTTTATTGTCATCATCATCTAGGTGGAAACCAGGGAAAATATCAACTAATGATTCTGAAAATTCTTGCGCTGATTTAGTTGAACCCCAATCAACATTTTCAAACTCAAATAATTTGTTTTGACGTGAAATCTTTTTACTTTGATCTATTGGATCAAGTATTTTATTGGATTTATCATCATGAATATAATTTAATATTAAATTTTTCACCTCTAGTTTTGTACTTTCCCATACTCGCATAAGACCTTCGGTATTTACATGTGGCTTTTTCGAATGAGTTTCATCTTGTTCAATTAGTGATACTATTTGACTGATGACTTTATGTTTTTGGATTGTCATTAAAGATTTAACAACCACGGACCCAAAAAGCTCTTGTAAAATTATAACTGCTGAATCATTGAAACTATGGCGACCAATGATATCAAATAAGGACTCTGTTTCTAGATATTGAATTTTTGACAATTTAGATAATGCATGACCATTTCTCGATTTAACTGCTTCTGTAGTTCTTGATATCAAGTCATTTATTTCCAGATGATTTGATTCAATCAAAGTGTTAACTACTTGACTTAATCTACCTAATTTTGATGCTGTCAACAAAAGCATGTAAATGTAGTAAAATGATTCATTATTTGGATTCAGGGTACTATCTAATAATATTTTGTAGTCAATTGATCCATCGTTACTTATGCTACGTTTATGCAATCTTGGTAATTGATTTGAAATAAATGATTTCACTGGAGTTGTCAAATAATCGACTGTTTCCGTTATATCCAAATTTGCTGAATTATGAACATATTGTTCTAAATTTTCCAGTTTTAATAATGCAATAAATGATGCTAAAAAGGGACTATTTGAAGTCATAAGTGCTTGCCAAGATGAAACACCAGCACTATTAACAGATCTACTGTTTTTCATATATATTTCATTCTGTAATTCATCAACTATCATATCATATAACTTATTCGATTGTTGTTCCAAATAAATTTTTATGGTATTCATTGCAGGTAATGACCATAAACTATATTTTTCAGCTAATTTATAACCTTTTGCTATAACGTCATAAATTTCATGGATCTTTTTTTCAGTAATCAATTGATCAATTTCCTCAGGTATTTTATTCAATTCAGTCATAGCATCTAGGATATCAATCAGTTCTGAATATCTTGCAGAAGTTTCTGACAACTCTGCTAATACTGCACTTCTATCAGAAAGTTCTTTATGTGTTGAGTCCAAAAATGTTTTAATGACTTCTGAATCTTGTTGTGATTGATTTAAAGTAGATAATAGCATATGATATGATCCAATACTATTATTAAACAATTCATAATGATCTTTCACTACACTTCTTAACGCCTTTTCAGTTGAATTTTTCATTCTTTGAAATTCTTTTAATCGATGAGCCATTCCGACTGAAGAATCATCTAAAAGTGATATTGCAAATTCAATTGGATTTGCATCATTTTCTAGTATTCGTGGCCAATCGTATTTTATAGTGTTGTGTATTTCTTTTAATGCATAAATTGAGTTTTCTTTAGCCTGAATTTTATGTTCATGTTGTGGTATAGTAAACGATAGTCTTCTCGATGACATTAATATATAGTTGTTGAAAGTGATAGTAGTTGTAGGGCCTATTGGTAATTATGTTACAAAATTGGTTTTTTCTATCTCGTTTGGTCAAGAATCCGTTGAAAATTATTATTATCTTTTGACAACAAAAATTCCTAATAGTAACAGAGTTAATTAAAGATATTGAACTAGAAGATTTGGAAAAATAAAGGACCAACTTTGAGCTGCTCTATCAAGTTTTAACATTTCATGTTAATATACACGTGAGAATACAGATTTGAAACGAGTGATTTCTGAAGGGGATACAATAAACTTTAGGCATTGTGGTTCAAATGATCAAACTACAATGATTATCTTCCTACTTCATCATTTGATAGGCATAGCCTTATCAAACGGTAGTCTGTTCTTGTAAATTTGACTTCTTGATCGAATTTGTATGTAAATTTTAATAATGTACAACATTGAGCACAATAATAATAATTATACGATACGCGTATCGAGTATTAAATAAAAAATTATTTATAGGTTATAAATAATTAAAATAGCATACACATACAACAACCAGATATCATACGCTCATTACATATTCAATCGTTTACATACATGGTTTTAACTGATACAGTTCAAGTATCATAGATATCAAAAAACCAAGATGAGGAAAAAAATCCCACTATCAGAAATTGAAAATTCATCTACTACGTCTACACCGACTAATGACAGAATTTTTATAAATAAACCTCCAACAAACTCACAGATTAAAACTCAAAGAGCAGCCCACGTGAATAATGATTCTCGCATACTACCTCAGCAATCAAACTCTTTTCCAGTGGCTGTCCAATCGTCATCTTTACAATCAGGTAATCAAATTTATAATCGTTCATCACCAATCACAAATTTAAACGGATCAACTAATTCGTCTCATCAATTTAATAATAATTTCCAACCAACTACGGGAACTTTCATACCGCAGCAACCACCACCACAAAATCATTTCATTTCATCATCACCCAATAATCTTCCACGTCAAAATCCATATCGACAAAATATACCACCACACTATAATCCAAACTTTAATACTTTCAATCAAACCCCTCCTCATATACCAGTTCAGAATCGAACAGACACAAGCACACAGCGAGTAACTGTCTTCAACAACTATTCATCTCCATCTACAGCTAACTTGTCCCAAAATAATAGTCAAACAGTGACAACTATAAATTTAGCAAATGGTCAAAATCAAAATATTAGTATAAATATCGTCAGCAATAGCTCACCCAATATTAATATTCGAAGTTCATCAAGTCAACAATTATTTGTCAATGACAGTTCACCTTCTTTTCCTCAAATGGGAACTTTTAGATCATCTCCATCAAATACGAATAGATATCCAAGATCTAACCAAGATTTGTCGAATGGACAAAGAGTTTATAATAATTCTACTATAATGAGTAGTAGTCCACTTTCGAATTCCGTTGTCAATAGACCTATACAAAATAGAGCTCAAATTACCAATGCTCCAAATAGGAGAACGAATACTGCACCTGCAACCAATATGGCTCATATTGATCAATCAACAGCCCTTCAGCACCGACTTCAACACCTACCTCAACTTCTACCTCAACACCTACCTCAACAACCAACTCAACAACCAACTCAACTACCAACTCAACAACCAACTCAACAACCAACTCAACAACCATCAAAACTAAGTATACCTATAGAAAATCCAACTAATGCATTAATTAGATCAGCCTCAGAGAAAACTAATGAATTATTGACTACTTCAAGACCTTCAACCACGTCAACTAATCCCGTTGTTATTGAATTATCTGACGACGAAGAAGAAGAAAAAATGAAAGATCTTGAGCTCGAGTATAAAAGAAGATTGAACAGTATAAAGAAAGGTGGCAGAGATCAAGCGATACCAACTGCTACTGGATTACTGCAAGATATTTCAGTCATAGTTTTAGATAGTGATGACGAAGAAGAACAATCACCAACAGTCAAGAATTCACAAAAATCGAGAATACTACCTATTTCTTCACCAATACAGCCACAAATACCTAAGAAATTTGATTCAGATCCAATATCGAATTCGTCATTTTCTTTTCTGAAGCCAGTCGAAAATGAACCACACGAAAGTTCGCAAAAATTAAAAGAACTACCTAAATTGCCAGAATTTGTAAATTGGTTAAGCTCTGACGATGAAGATGATACAGCACCAAAAAAATCAACCGTTCCAGCAAGACCAACAATCAACAAAAACTTACTAACCGCCAATCAGCCATCTGTTCAAACCTCAAAACCCAAAAAAAATGATTTACAACCAGTCAGAAGAGCAAATTCAACAATAAGTGAATCAATTCCACGACCAACAACCACTATCAATTTACAACCAGTGAAGAGAGCGAATACTACTCAAGCTAGTGAGACTACTTCTTCTCAACCTAAAAAAGCTAAAAGAAGTAAAACTGATTATTTGATTGCAGAGTTACCTAAGATTGATAATCATGAATTTACATCAAAAGATTTACAAGAAGCTAATAGAGTTACCAGAAAGAAAGAAGAACTTCATAGTGAAATGGAACTTTGGTTTAATGCTGCATTCAGAGAGTTATTTAAAGATCATATGGAAGAGTTCAAACTGACAACAAATGAATCCAAATTTGAATTACCAATTATATATTGGAAAAGAAATGTTAAAGCTGAATATATTAAAGAGAAGGATTATTTCATTCCATGTACACCGAAAAAGGTTGTTCAAAAAACTTTTGTCATTTATTATACTGCTGACGAATTTATCGGTAAACTAGTAGATAAATCTTTAAAAGAAGATGTTAACAAAGCTGAAAGATTGATGTATGAAGAAGCAACGAATAAGTACCATATAATTGTAATGGTTGAATGTTATGATCAATTAATAAACAAAATTAAAGCGTTCAAGCAAAGACAATTTAGATCTCAAGTATTACTGGGCATGAATGCTGATGAACAAAACAAAAGAAGAAAAGCAGATGATCAATTATCTCAATGTCCAGAACCTAGCGAAATTGAAAAAATGGTTAATAGAATTCAACTAGATTTAAAGATAAATATCTTTACAACAAGATCACGTCAAGAATCTTTAATGTGGTTGAACTCATTCACATATACCATTGCATCTTCATTATATGATAAATATGAAAGAAATGAAAAACTAGCTAACTTAGGGATCGTTAAATCAGGAAGTGATACAAAAGCTACATTTATACAATCAATACAACAATTCACAAGAATGACGCAACAAAAAGCTGAAATCTTGTATTTTTCTCATAAATCAATGCATCAAGTATATACAAAACTAAGAACTGATGGTAGTATAGGTAAAGATCTTGCTGGTAGGAATATTGTACCCCCAACTGTTGATAATGCAATGCTTAATTTTTTTACATCAGATGACCCAAATAAAGCAATAAATTAGAGATAAAAAGTAATGTAAAAATCTAATATATATATGTATATTTTGGTGTTAGTCTATTTCTTTTTAGTAGCTTCTTTTGCCCCATTCAAATCATCGATATTTAATTTATCACTTAACCCTTCAACAACTTGAATACCTCTATCAACTTCATAAGTTTCTTCTAATGAAAACTCATATTTTAAACGATGTAATTCAGAAATTATATTTAATGATTTATCAACTAAATTAGTATTTGAATCTAAATTCAAGACTGAAGCTAAATAATGAATTAATTTTATGTCTTTAAATTGTTTTTCTAAATTATCATCTAAACCATTACTTAAAATTGATGAAATTAATGATAAAATTCTTAAATCTACTTTTTGATCTTTAGAATCTAATTTTATTAAATTCCAACCTTTTAATTTTTCAAATTCTTGAAAACCTGGTTTATAATTTCTAATGTATGAAGATATAGCATAAAGTGATTTTAATTGTAATGGTTGATTTTTTGGTGATTCTGCTATTTTAATTAAACTTTCCAATCCTCCATTAGTTTTATCAAAATCTTCTTGTGATTTTGGATTATTTTGTACAGCAGTTCCAATAATTCCAGAAACTATAATTCTTAAATCATCTGGAACATCAGAATTTAATAATTTAACTAATTCAGGCCATAATCCTAAATTTCCAATATTATTAGCATTATCTAAATTTTCAATTAACATTTCGAAATTTTCTAAAGCTATTACTTTATCTTTTTCTTCAACTTTTGGATTAGTTGCAACTTGTATACTTTCTTTCATTAATGTTGCTTCATCTGGTCCACCAAACAATTTATTTAAAGCATCTTGATCTGGTTCTCCGAGTTTTTTTAAACCTTCTTTATCTCCTGATTGTTGTAAAATAGACCAAGCTAATAATTTGTCCATTTTATTTTTTATACGTTTACGAAATGATGGTATGATGGAATTGAGTGGAAATGAATTAAAACTTTGATTTAAATGTCCTAATTTGTGAATTGAAAAATGATGATTGGATTTTAGGTATTAAATTGAGTATTTATACGATAATTGTATAAAGTTATTATATATGAGGGGCTAATCAATTAAGTATTTTGCTTAATTTCCAGAAGTTTCTTAAAAATTGTATACAATAATCCTAACAATAAAAGAATTGTTGCACATTTCCATGTGTCGCAAATATTTTTTTCAAAAACAGTGTCGTATTTTAAATGTTTTTGACAATAAACAATTTTAGTTAATTCAAATCCTGCACAATGATTATTTTGGTACTTTTTTAATTTTCAGAAAAGGTTTCATATTTTTTTTCACCCTCTGACAACTTTTAAATCCAAAGCAAAGTCTAAAAAAGAACTTGATAATTGTATGTAGTTATAACTGGTGTTTTCTATTTTATTAATATGTTGAATACAATACTAGAGCATTAATAACCATTCAGATTTATGATTGGACTAGCGGAATTTTGAAACCCGGGGTAACTCTTAAAATTAAAACCTTAATAGTTTTTCGACAACAAGAAATAAACTGAGAATATGGAGTCGACTCCAAAAATTAAGTTCCTCAAAGCATAGGTACCGCATCAAGTTTACTGTAATTCTTCAAATAACTCCGTACACTACATAGTGGTCTTGAAACGTCATATATTCTTGCTCAAAATATGTAATCAAATAAAAATCATATGATTGGTAGCATGTGAGTTTCAACAATTTTCTCTCAACTCTCCCCCGTTTCAAATATTTATAAAAAGCAATTGAAATTTACCCTTTTTGATTTTCTTGATCTAACTTTTCAATTGATTCAATTATATCTCAATTGTTTAAAACTATCAAAAAATTTTAATTTCATAATGTCATTATCAAATAAATTATCAGTTAAAGATTTAGATCTTACTGGAAAAAGAGTATTTATTAGAGTTGATTTTAATGTACCATTAGATGGTAAAACTATTACAAATAATCAAAGAATTGTTGCAGCATTACCAACTATTAAATATGTTGAAGAACAAAAACCAAAAGCTATCATATTAGCTTCTCATTTAGGTAGACCAAATGGTGAAAAAAATGATAAATATTCCTTAAAACCAGTTGCAACTGAATTAGAAAAATTATTAGGTAAAAAAGTTAATTTCTTAAATGATTGTGTTGGACCAGAAGTTGAAAAAGAAGTTAATTCTGCAAAAGATGGTGAAATCTTTTTATTAGAGAATTTACGTTTCCATATTGAAGAAGAAGGATCATCAAAAGATAAAGATGGTAAAAAGACAAAAGCTGATCCAGAAGCTGTTAAAAAATTTAGAAGTGAATTAAGTTCATTAGCTGATGTATATATTAATGATGCTTTTGGTACTGCTCATAGAGCTCATTCATCAATGGTTGGTATTGATGTTCCACAAAAGGCTGCTGGTTTTTTAATGTCAAAAGAATTAGAATATTTTGCAAAAGCTTTAGAAAATCCAAAAAGACCATTTTTAGCTATATTAGGTGGTGCCAAAGTTTCAGATAAAATTAAATTAATTGATAATTTATTAGATAAAGTTGATTTATTAATTATTGGTGGTGGTATGGCTTTTACTTTTAAAAAAGTATTAGATAATATGCCAATTGGTAATTCACTTTATGATGAAGATGGAGCAAAAGATGTTAAAGATTTAGTTGCAAAAGCTAAAAAAAATAATGTTGAAATTATTTTACCAGTTGATTTTATAACTGGTGATAAATTTGATAAAGATGCTAAAGTTGGTGAAGCAGATGATAAAGAAGGTATTCCAGAAAATTGGATGGGTCTTGATTGTGGTCCAAAATCAAGAAAATTATTTGATGATGCTGTTGCAAAAGCTAAAACTATTGTTTGGAATGGTCCACCAGGTGTTTTTGAATTTGATAATTTTGCAGGTGGTACTAAAAATTTATTAGATGCTGCTGTAAAATCTGCTGAAAATGGTAATATTGTTATAATTGGTGGTGGTGATACTGCTACTGTTGCTAAAAAATATGGTGTTGTTGATAAATTATCACATGTTTCTACTGGTGGTGGTGCATCTTTGGAATTATTAGAAGGTAAAGAATTACCAGGTGTTGCTGCTCTTTCTAATAAAAATTAAGAGAATAAATATTAGTCTATAGTTTCAAAAAAAAATATAACACTTTATTTTAATTAAAAATTTCTAATTTCTATTACTAAATAAATATCTAATATTTTATCTATAATTTTGCTTTACCAGCACAAATTAAATTCCAATCATCATCAGTTAATTCAACATATTTATCACCATTAAGCCAATAAATTAATTCATCACCAGAATCTCCCTTTGGTAATTTTTGTTTTTTAAATTGATTTTTTGGAACTTTATGATTATGAGAAGCTTCAATTGTACCAATTTTAATAAAACATGGTTGAGCATAAGAAGGTAATGAAGTTTTAACATGAGATCTTATTTTTTTCAAAATATCATCATGTTCTAAATCTGGTTTAGCTTCAATTACTGCAAAACATGCTCTACCTTCATGATTTGGAACTTTTACACCAACAACAACTGATTGTAATATAGCGTGTGAACCCATTAATTCATTTTCAACTTCTGTTGCTGAAACGTTTTCTGATTTCCAACGGAATGTATCACCTAATCTATCAACAAAATATAATAATTGATCTTCATCCATTTTTAATAAATCTCCACTTCTATACCATGCATCTCCTTTTTTAAAAACATCAAATATTATTTTACCTTCTGTTGCCTTTTTATTACCATAATAACCTTGGAATGATTTACTAACATCTTGAGGATTCATAATTCTCATTAATAATTCACCTGGTTGATTATAAGCAGCTTCTTCATAAAATCCAGTGACAGGATTTTTCCACATTTCATTTTCATCTTCTGGATCCATTTTAACTAATTTTTGTTGAGTATTTAATAATAAATTTATTAATGATCCATATTTTCTACATGCACCTTTACCAAATTCTCCATATTGTAAATTTGTTGTTGCAATTGGTGATTCAGTTGCTGCATAAAATTCTCCAACTCCATCAATATGAAATCTTTCTTTAAATTCTGTCCAAATATCACGACGTAAACCATTACCATAAGCAATTTTAACATTATGTTTATCATGATCTGGATGTGGTGGAGAATTTAATAAATAACGACAAACTTCACCAACATATTGAATATGAGTAGCACCAACTAATCTTGCTTGAGTCCAAAATGAAGTTGCTGAAAATTTTTGAGAAACTGATACACAACCACCAACTAATAAAGTAGGACAAACTCCCAACATAGCAGCAGTTGAATGATATAATGGCATAGCAGTTAAAACATTTGATCCTTTTTCAACTTTCATAATATAACCAAAAAATACAGAAGCCATAAAAGCTTTTCTCCATGACATAATACCAGCTTTTGGTAAACCTGTAGTACCTGAAGTATAAATTAAAGCACAAGCAGAAGAATCAGTATCTTCTGGTCTTCTTGTTTCATCTTTTGCTCTATATTTTGGAGTTGATTTTGATTGTATTCTATCAAATAAATTAAATTCATCAAGATAATGTAATTTAACATTTGGTAATTCTTCATGTATTTTATCTTCAGTATCTTTTATTGGACCAGAACAATCTGGATCAATGAAAACTTGTGAAACATTAGCAATATTAAGACAATGAACTAATGGTTTTCCTTGAGTATTAAAATTTAAAAAAGCTGGTAATGCACCAATATTCCATAAAGCTAACCATAATACTAAAAATAATGGTTTATTCATACAATCAACCCCAATAGTTTGTGAAGAAGTAACACCATATTCATTTTTTAAAATATATGATAATCTTAATACCATATCATATAATTCTTTATAAGTATATTCTTCAACTTGAAATTGATTATCATAAATTTTGAAACCATCACCATCAATTTCAAGTGGTGGAGCATTTGCAATTGGTCTTGGAAATGATAAAGCTTTTAAATCTTTATGTTTTTTACATGAATCTTCGAAATAATACCAATATGATGCTTTACCTCTTGAAGCTTTCCATAAATATGGTAATGCATTTGTAACAACTTTAGTAGCTAATGCAACATCATCTTTAATTAAATATTTTGCTTCTAATAATTGACTACCAAGTATAGCAGCAGCAGCTATTTCAAGTCCTGACATTTTTTATATAATTTGAATTTTAGTTTAGTTTTTGAATAGTTATAATTAATTCTAAAAATTTTGTATTTGAATAAGTTTTAAATTAATGAAAATATTTGAATTTGAATATTATTAAAATTTTTGAAATTTTATCTTGTGATAATTTGATAAGATCGGTATTATAATTTTATTTTATTTCTTGATTCGAAACACTGTTTCTTTGAATAATTATTATGTATTAATTGTATGCTTTCTTCTATAATGTGTAATAATTCAAAAGAAGAATAATATAAATGGAAGTAAATATTGCTGTTGTAAAATAAAAAATAAATAGAAGTAAAAGAAACGTTGATAATTTTATATAATCTTCAATTATTTAGTACAAAAGAAAAAGAGAAATTGAATAAAAAAATATTTTCTGATTTTGCGGAGAACACAACAAAATATTTAAATTGAGGTACAAAGTAATAATCAATAATAATCATAGTACTACAGGATTTAAACAGGATTTAATATTTTAGAATAATTAATTATTTCTTATTTAAGCATATGGTATTAAATGTTACTTTGTAATTTAATATATTTAATTTCATATGAAACCAACTCTTTTTTTGAATTTTATTAGTTAAATTGGTAGATTATATTCCAAATAACATCTTCTTTATATATTCGATGACATTCCATTATAGTTGATCAGATTTAATGACTTTATGATGGCAAAAGATTATTGTAGATTTCGCATTTTGATGTTATAATAATAATTTTTATATATGATTTTTAATAACCGAGTATAAATAATTTTTTTTTTTTCTGATGTATTATTTCGGTTGAAATTTATTCTATTTCATTTGGTAGTTCTTCAATAGTTATTTTCTTTTGCATCTTAATTAATATATAAACTAATTATTTATTTTTTTGCAACTACAAATATCTATTGACCATTTGATAAATATCCAATTTGCCATGAATTATATTCATTTAATTCATTAATTTCATTTGATTTTGTATCTTCAAATTGATCAATTTCTTCTTCTTCTCTTTCTTCATCTTCTTCATTTTCATTACTTTCAATTACTTCTTCTTTTATTAAATCCAAAGTATTATTATTACTAATTTTTTCTTTTAATAATTCATCTTTTGATTGAGATGGAGTAGAATTTAATTTTTTATATGGTGTAAAAAATTTCTCAGCATATTCTGTTGATAATGGTATTGCATCAGAAAGTACTTGGTTTTCAACACTTGCATATTCATCATTTGAGGAAGTTAAATTCCAAGATTGTGATGAAATTTTTGAATTCATTCTATTTTTAATATTAATATTAGTTTTATCCTTTTTATTATTATCATCAAGATTAAATTCACTATTGTCAATTAAAATTTTATAAATCTCATTAGCCTTTTTATATATTAAACTTGATGGTAAATGTTGTTGTAAATCATATTGAATAATTTTTTCAAATTCAAAATTATTTAAATTATTAAGGTATTCATTCATACAACATTTTTTATGTTTCAAAATTAATATTTTAATCATTTCATAAAAAAATATTTTTAATTTTTCTTGATTATTTGAAACATCTATTGCTTTAATTAACATTGGTAAATAATGAATATAATCATTACACAAACTATGTTTTATGAAATCTTTTAAAACTATACATAATTTAATCTCATTTTCTTTAAGAAATTTGATAGTAGTTAATGATTTTATACCCAAATATAAATTACATAAAATTCTAAAAATTAAAAATTTATTTTGAATAGTTGGTTTTGATAAATTCCATTTTATAAATTGTTGTTTTATGATTTTACATTTTGAATCTGAATCCTGATATTTCGCATGAGACCAACAATACATTAAAAAAAATTCAATTATAAGTAATTGTAACCAATTATTACATAATGTAAATAATTCAAATATAATACATGAATCAATTAATTCTTCAATAAATTCATTGAAACTAGTTAAAAATATGTTGGGATTATCAAATACTAAATCATGTTTACCAATTGAAGATAATTGTAATAAACCAAAAATTTTCGTAAATTTATCATTTGATTCAAATAATGTAATTCTAATTTCTTCAATTTTATTACATGCTTGCCATGCATTTGAAAATCTTAATTTTGGAATTATAATTGAACAATTTAATAATTGAGATACTTGAATCTTTTGCATACCTAAAGTTATTAAATTTTGAAAATCAATTGAATTCAATTGAGGTTGATTTGATTTCATTAATTCTTCAATAGTAAATTTATTATTATAGTAATGATCTTTACTAATAATGGTTGGGTTATTAAAATTTTTTCTATATTTTGTAATTGATTTTTCACTAAATCCACTTATTTTATTTGATTTTTCAGTTTCTTGTTGTTGTTGTGATTGTTGTTGTTGATTAGAACTTGATCCACCATTTAAACTCATTGCATTACTAGTTAATTTATATTTTTGAAAATTCCAATTATTTGATTTAAATTTATTATTTAATTTATTTTGAATTGGTTGCAAACCACCATTAATACCTCCAATATCTAAAAATTTTGTTAATCCAGTACCAGATTTTAAATTTTCAGCTTCTCCACAAGCTTGAATTACATTTTTTAAACTTTGAACTTCATCTTCTTTTCTTAATTGATTTTCACCAATTTTTTTTGGTGATTTCCAAGAAGAATCTAATTTTAAATTTTCAGTTGTTGCAACTTCATAATAACTTTGACGTGATTTAATTTTACGTTTAAAAGATAATTGATATTCTCTCATACCAAATGATAAAGCAGTTATTACAATTAATAACGCAATAAATGTCATTAGCAAATAAAAAGTTCTTGATATAATTGAATTATTAAAATTAATTGAATTTGAAGTAAAATAAAATGGTTGATGTTTATTATAATTATCTTGTAATCCTAATTTCAATCTTGCTTGATCATGATGATTATAAAGATATTTTGGTTCTTTTGCCGATAATTTAAAATCTCTTTTATGGTGTTTGTAATTTTGTAATTTTTGCCCTTCATTAAATAATTTTTGATAATGATTTATTTTTGTTTCAGAATTTTGGAGTGGAATGTTTGAGGGTAACATCATGGTAGTTGGTAAATCTGACTTTCAATTGATTGTCTCAATTGTTGTGAAAAAAAATTGAAATATAAAAATATTGATCAAAAATTTTGGTTGCCAAAATTTGTAATTTTACGCTGTTTACAATTTTTTGGCTGCTAAATTTAATTAAATATTTTTGTTATTTATAAAGTGATTTTTGTGTATTACTTATAATTGACTATGTATGTTGAGATGTAGTTTAAATAAGTATACTTCATAGCTATACTTCATTTCGATTTTCACTACAAAAAAGATTCAATTGGCACTGGACTAACGTCTTATAGCCTATGCACTACTTGAATCAAGTTATTACTAATGATAGTGTGTGATTTATAAAGTTGAAACATCTTATGCATGAGATCACTAAAAAATATTCAAGGTAAAAGCCGCGTGTCTAAGTATTAGTCTTTGTGACTAAAATTGTGAAATGAAAAATCTACTAATAAAAATTAATCTTATTGTAATCAGATCATTTTGAGTTATATACGGAGTATTTTGAATTTTTCACAAACACCTACAACCAAAAGAAGTTCAAGAAAGAAAAGATAGAGCATTTTCAGGATGTTCTCAAGGTCTGGATTTTATTTCACCAAAAATTCAACTGTTTTAACTTCTTTAGCTCGTCATCCATCATGTAAACCAAATATAATATGTAATAAAGTATCACAATCATCATCATTAACATCACAATTAAGACAATTTAAATTTAATAATTTTTTAAAATTCTTTGGATTGAAAAGATCATATTCTACAATTGCTTCATCCCCCATATCGACAAACCTAAAGAATTCAAGAATAAAAAATTCAAACTTTATAACACCACCAAAATCAGTCGGGTACTGGTTAATCGGTACATCAACATTAATATTTGGAATAGTTGTATTAGGTGGATTGACAAGATTGACAGAATCAGGATTATCTATAACTGAATGGAAACCGGTTACTGGTTCAATCCCACCATTGACTCAAGAAGATTGGATAGAAGAATTTAATAAATATAAGGATTCACCTGAATTTAAACAATTAAATTCTCATATAACATTAGAAGAATTTAAATTTATATTTTTTATGGAATGGTCACATAGATTAGTAGGTAGAGCCATTGGATTGTTTTTTATAGTGCCAGCTTTAGTGTTTTGGTCAAGAAATAAATTCAGTCCCAGATTAACTAAACGAATAATTGGTCTTAGTGGATTATTAGGATTACAAGGATTTATTGGTTGGTGGATGGTTAAATCTGGTTTAGATGAAGAAGAATTAAAAGATCGTAAATCCAAACCAACAGTTTCTCAATATAGATTAACTACTCATTTAGGTGCAGCTTTCTTAATGTACTTGGGTGTATTATACATCGCAATTGAGATCTTACAAGAGAATAAAATTATCAAGTCAATACGAAGTGGTAACCCGGAAAAGATTGCATTTGTTGAAAAATTAATAAATCAATTATCAAGCCCAGCAATTAAAAAATTTAGATACATGAGTTATGGATTATTAATATTAACTTTTATAACTGCAATGTCAGGAGGTATGGTTGCAGGATTAGATGCTGGATTAATTTATAATACATTTCCACACATGGGAGAAGATTGGATACCTTCAAAAAATGAATTAATGGATCCTGTATTTGCAAGACAAAAAGATGAATCAGATTTATGGTGGAGAAATCTTTTAGAAAATCCAACTACTGTTCAATTAATTCATCGTATAATGGCAACTACAACTTTTTTCACAATTTTAGCAGGTCATGTATATTGTAACAGAAATAAGAACATAGTCCCAAAATCAGCAAATAAAATGATGAAAATAATGATGGGTTTTTTAACATTACAAGTTACTTTAGGTATAACTACATTGATTTATTTAGTCCCCATTCCATTAGCAGCTGCTCATCAAGCTGGTGCTTTAGCTTTATTAACTACCTCATTGGCTTTTGTTGCAAGGTTAAGAAAACCAAGACCTGAATTTGTTTCTTATATTAATAAACTCATGAAAGATCAATTATTAAAACCAAAAAGAATAGTGTAAATAGATTTCTAAGAGTTCATGTAAATAGAATTTAAAACTAAAAAGTAATTTATTTTGTATATATATTAAAATATTTTGGGTTATTACCAAATTCGTTTACTTGACATTTCATATCTCATTACTTTTGATAACTCTTCCTCATCATCGTAGATATTCAGTATTGAAGCTCTTTTCTTTAAAATCTGATGGTTTCTTCTCTCTTCCACTGTTGGTGGGATTTTTTCATCTAAGTCATACAAGTGGATTCTTGTATTTGGATTTATTGTTGATGGTTCGGTATTCGGTAACCCTGGTAAAAAATTTAAATCTATTGATGATGTTGATAAATCTGGTATTTCTGAACTTAATGGTGATGATGTAATTTGCTCATTTGATAATTCCTGATGACTTTTCATTGACTCTTTCTGTTGATATTTATGTTTTGTTACTGATCTATTTGCTATCTTGAAAATAGCCAAAACCAAAATGATCCTGACTAAAATTAAAGTGAAAAAGCTGACTAGAATTAGACAGATACTTGTAATAATTGAATTTTGAACTATAAAAACTTGTTTCATATCATTTATAGTCATTCTCAAAAAACAAACAGATGCAGCTAATAAAGGTAATCCAATTCTTCTTGTTAATACAATATAATCAGAAAATTCATGATTTGAAAAATTACCATTACCGGAATTAATTTTAAAAACTTGTAAGAAATCCAAACATGAGATATACAAAAACTTTTTATAAATCTTGGAATTAATCTTATTAAATTTACAAATAAAGCAATGTTTTAACCAATCAACAAATATTTCAGATCCAATTACAATTACTCCAGGTCCAAAAATTGCACCTATCCAAATATTCCATTTTTTTAAACTTGTTGGAATTAATCCATCAACTGAAGTTAATTGTATTAAATTTCTAATTGCAATTATACTCAACATCATCAATAATTGGAATCTTTCAGACAAATCAGCCATTGTAATTTGAAATAAACCTTCTCTATCTAGCTTTTTGAATACTGAACTTTTTAATTCAGAAAATTGATTAGATAATAATAATGTTAATAATGCATTAGAATAAGAATTTGCTGCAACATTTAATGAGACTGCTTGATAAATTAAAATATATGAATGGAAAATTAAATAAATAATTGAAATTATATAAAATATCACAAATCTTAGATTTTCAACTGAGTTGGTTGTTGTAATTTTTATTTGAAATAGTATGTTAAGTAAATCTTGACCTATTGAAGAGCATAATTTTTCAGCAACCTCCAATACTCCAAACATTACATATAGTTTTATATCAGCTTGACCTCTCACATCATGATACATCTTGGAGATATCCAAGTTGCCATATACTAAAATAACTAATGAAATAAAAATTAAACTTAAACTTATCAAATCTTTTCTGATTGAATTTAAAATTTGAAATTGAGTTGATTTCGTAGTTGGATCTCTGACATAATTAAATATTGAAATCGATGAAACAATTAAAATTTTTAATGGAACTAATGTAAATAGCGTTAAAAATGAATTGAAACAAATTAATAGTCCAAAAATCATATACTTTTCCAAATATAATGGAATTTTGATCATATTAATTAACTCATCATATGAATGTTTATATAAATTATCTTCAGTAGCATCTACTGTATTTTTTGCTTGATATGGTGGGTTTTCAATTTTGGACTGAATAGATGGAAGATTTAGCTCCAATAGTAATAATTTATATAATGAAAAGCCCTTTCTTGGTTGACCACTATTAGTAGGTAAATGATTGAATAAATAATTCAAAACAGGATTACTTCTATTGCGATCCAATTGATCATAAATGCTAGATTTCTTTTCATTGTTGCTGTTTAGATTATCATGAATATGTGGATTGATTTTACCACTTGAACTATTCTTTCTACTTCTTGGTTTTAGTGCAGATTTGGTTGTAACTGTGAATTTTTTACTTGGATGAGCATTAGTATTATTGTTTGTATTCAGATGAAGCTTTTTATTATTGCTTGAAGATAATCTTTTTTTACCCATTGACTGGACTTCATTGATTAAGATATTTTATCTATATTATTTCATATATCAAATGACAATTTCGAAATCAATTTGTGGTGGTTGTCAAAATGATTTATTATAATTATGATTTTGTGTATTTAAATTAGAGATTCACAACAATTATTGTCGTGACTAAAATACTAATTTTAAGACGTTGCGTTATGCGTGTTTTACATGCCCCATTCCTTTGTCAATTATTTACAATCTCTTATCATATAAATTTAAGCTCTCTTAACTATTTCTTACAGTTCAGTCCAGCATTACAAGAATTGTAAGACGAGATCACTATTTAAATGTAAATCTTTTTCGTATATTTTTTGTCTTTTCACTCAATTGTAATTTTTGCCGATATAGTTCCATAAATTTTACGGATCTTGAATTTATATTTGATGATATGCTCTCTCTTTAAATAATGAAATTCAAGTGGTAGTAGTCATTTCAATTTAAGAGAAGTGAGTAGTATATAAATAATGATATCATTTTAACAATTTTCAATTTGCCCTTAATTTTTGAATACTCTTTTTCTTCTTTTTCTTTTACTTTTTCTTTTCTCTTTTTAAGTATATTTTAATCTTCATTCACTTATTAAATAATTTTGTACATGATTCATTTAGTTAATAATCAATTAAATTATTTTAAATCAAAACAACAACAACAAAATCAATTAAAACTACTATTACATTTAAGATTAAAAATTAAATAATATAAATAACAATTACTTTTGAAATATTAATTTTATACCACTTTTTTAATTATCACTTATAAAAATTCAATTGATAATTAACCCCTTAAGAAATTATTAACAATCTTACTTTTCACAATAAAGATTGTCAGTGTCCCTCGAATTTTGGATTTTTCACATACAAAATTATACTTGAAACGATTACAATTTTTTAAACATCTTCATTTAATACATCAAATAATTGATAAAAACTTACCAAATTAGCAAAATTATGGAATTATTAACCCTAGATTCATTTCTACCATATTTGAAACCATTTGAAGGTAAAGAATTATTATCACCACAAGAATCATTAAAAATTTCATTATTAATAACAGAACTATTAATTGATAATTATATAGATTTTAATTTACTCAAATTTTTGTCAAGATTTTTGACGGTGGAAAGTTATAATGATATAATTGAAGAAAGAAATATTGAACATAAATGTGGTTATTTCTTGTGTGATAATCAACCAAAACTGTTAGTTAGAAGATTGAGTTTAAATTCAAATGGTACTACTACTGCATCAATATCAGATACTGGAGCTTCTACAAGGTATCAAATATATAATCGAAAACCATCTATAATTTTACCAAATACTTATATGAGTCAATATTGTTGTAAAGAACATTATCAAGCAAGTATTTTCTACAAGAATCAATTAAGTTCAGAAGCACTATTTGCAAGAACAAATATTTTGATTATACCTCCATTTCAAGGAAATAAAACATGGTATGAAAATTCAATAACCTGTTTGGAAGAAGTTATAGCAAAACATAAAGAATTAAAACAACAAGGTAAATCAATGGCTGAAGTTATTGCATTAATGAATGGTCTTAATATGAATGAAGATGAAATAAATGATGAAACTAATCAACTAATAAAATTAATTGAAGATTTTGAAATTGTGGAAAAGGATACAGTGGACATGAATGGTAAACAAATTCATGAAGCTGTTATTGAAAGTAGTGAAGAAGAAGAAGAAGAAGAAAATGGTTCTGCTATGAATGCTAATAAGATTGAAGGTTATGTAACGACGGATAAAAGTTTCGGTGGTTATGTGGTGTAAGAATCAAAGATTTGAGATTTAATGATTTAATGATGAATAATGATTGATGACTACTCTATAAATACAAAATACCTATATTGCAATGTAGTAAATATATATATACAAGATATGTAAATATTTTCTAGTACTTAAAACTTCTTAGATAGTTTTGCCATGATTCCATTAATGTTCTTGTTAAGTTCATTGCCAAATTCAAAACTCTTAAATTTGTTAGCTTTCAAATAATCACCTAATTTTTTACCACGTCCAAATCTTTCTTCTATTGGAAACTTATTTAATGGTGGTAAATTATTTTTGAGTGATTCAGTATTTGGTGGTGATACAATTTCACTATGCTTGAAAACATTATCTCTCTTGAGTTGATTTAGCAACTCATCAAATCTTTTAATTTTCGAAATATATTCTTTATCAAATTGATCTTGTAACTTAGTTTGATGTTTACTTAAATCAATTTCTTTGGACTTCTTTAATATATCAATTAATTTTGATTCAATATAGACAGATACAATATCCAATTCAGAGCACCAATCAAATTCCGAAAGATCAATTTCCTCACTAGTGTCTTCACCTTTTGACCTTCTTTTCTCAATTTCACAAAACAACTCAAAAATTTCCTCACCCTCCGCCAATTTTTCATAATACTTTCTAGTTTTCATCAATTCATCATCACCAAACCCACGACATCCCTTTATCGAATAAGATCCATCTGGGTGTAAATTCTCTTCATTTAAATTCTCAGTAGTTTCCCAACATTTCCGAATTCTAAACCATTTAATTTGTTGTCTAATTAGATGAGCTAATTTTTTTCTATATTTGGCATCATGAAATGGGGTTTGTATAAAAGGCATGGATACTATTCCTGCATTCGTTTGTTTGGCTACTGCTTGATATGGACCTTTTTCATTTATGATTTTTGTTAATTTTTCTATCTCAAAATTGTTGATTTCATACTCCAAACCAGGGATGATTATTGATTCTATGTATTCTTTATCAAATGCTTCGTTTATTATCTTTTGTGTCAGACCTTTTATTATATGTTTTTGATCATAGTTGTCTCCTGATGTTACTAAAGTTTCTTCAGTGTATGGTAGGAGATGGGGGTTGGGGATCTTGCCATCGTATTGAAGTCGATTTAAGTATCTCAATATTAAAGATTGACCATGTGATTTTGCTTTCTCAAAACCTTTAGCTGTGTATTGATTAAATTCTAGTTCATTAGTTGGTGGTGATATTTCTTCTTTTCGACTTTTCCTTTTGGAGGAAGCCAAACTTTTTGCAGTACCTCTTAAATTGTCTATTGTTTTATCTTTCAACTCTTCAATGTTTTGTAAATATGAAGTTCTTCGTTGTTGCCATTTCCAATATTCTTCATGTTCTAGCTCTATGAAGTCTTGTAATGGTTGCCAATTTTTTGTTGAAATGGACTCTTCTAGTAATTCATTTAGTCGTATACCCTTGAGTAGTGCTTGAGTTATTAGGTATGGATTTGTATATCTTTTTGTAAAATTTACATATAATCCAACTTTTAGTTCTAGTGATATAATGTTGTTTTTAGGTAGTGTTGATTGTTTTTTTAATTGTATTGATTTTTGTAGTAGTTCTTTATATAGTTGACATATTGATCTTTGGTAATCTATTCTTTGCTTTAGTTCATTTACTGATCTTACTAAAGGATTTGTCATATCATTTTAGTTTTTGATAATTTGCAACAACTTTTAAAGTTGAAAAATAATTTATCAATTTAATTTACGCGGTTTTTCAGGTATTACTTTGCTGCAACAATAATTCAAAATCTGACAAAATGGTATGTCAACTCAATGATTAGATACAAAAAGAGAGCCTAGTCTGATACTAACTACTACTAGCCACCAAAAAAGAAAACAGTAGCAGATATAACAATCTTAAAACTAAAAAATGGTAAATTAACATACACATTAACATTAAAACAAATTACAATCACAACCATACAACAAGAATTAGCAAACGCAATAAACAACTCAGGTGGATTACAAACGAGCAGCATAAAAGAAGAACTTGACGAAGAAGAAGATATACCAGTACCCAAATCTGAATTTGACCAAGAAATTAAGCAAGAAGATGATGATATGTTAGATGAAGATAATATACCAGTCCCTAAATCAGAGTTTGAAATAAATGAAGAAATTGACTCGAACACAATCAAGGTAGAGGCAGAATCATTGAGGTTTGCATTTCCAAAAGATAATTCTTCACCGTATGATAATAAATGGATAGAATTAGATGATGAAAATTTTAGTGATATAGATTTTAAAGACTTTCAAATACTTGCGTTCGCTACTAATGAAGATGAAGAGTTTAATATTATTGAAGCTGTTGCTGTTGATGAATAGTAAAACTTTTATTATACAATATCAAGAACTAAAATAATTATATATAAAATATAAAGTGCAAAATGTACAATAAGTAATGAAATGCTATCAAGGATCCTCATTTCTTACCACTTATTTTTCTAATCCCACCTGAATTGACTCTTGTTGAATTTGGTGTGCCCAGATTTATTCTCGGTTTAACTGATCTTGATTTATTTATTTTCAATCCATTAGTTGGTGATCCATTTGATTGGTTATTTGGTGATGATGATAAAGTAGTACTTACTGTTCTTGTTGTTGTAGTGGTTGTAGTTTTAGTCAATTGAATAGGTTGTTGAGTATTAGCAGATATTGATCTTAATATTCTTCTTTCTGAATGTGGAGTAGTTTCTCTTGCTGGTGTAGATCTTATAATACCTTCCATTATATTTTCATCATCTGAGTTATTATTTATTACAATATCATCGTCTTCAACCTCTGGTTCTTCAATATATTTTCTTGGTTGGCCAGGTGATATCATTGGAACGGCTGTTTGTATTTTAGAAGCTAGTGCTCCACTTATCTTACGCCTTCTTATTGGTGTATTTGTGAACGATGAATCAAGTGCTGCGAATGATGAATTTATTGGTTGTGATTGCAGTTGCTGTAATTGTTGTAATTGTTGTTGCTGTTGTTCTTTTAAAGTTTTACGTTTTTGTTCTTTCATTCTTTGTTTGAATTCATCATATGAAGTTAAAGAAAATAATCCTCCTATAAATTCATCAGGTACATTATCTAATACCATTGTATATCTCCATTCTCTAAAATAATTTTGATTTAAATAAAGCCAATGTTGTTGTGGTCCAACTACCATTCCTGGTCTTATCATTCTCATATATGCTATACATTCATTTGCTGTGAAACCATGGGTATAAATTAAATGAGCACCTATTAAACATCCTGTTCTACCTAATCCTGCTTTACAATGTACTGCTATTTTACCACCTTTATTTATTACACATTCTGCTGCTCCAATAAATTTTTGAACATATTCCAAAGTTGGACAAGTACCATCATCGAAAATCATATCAATGTGTTGAATATTTCTTGATGTAAATTCTTTTGCATCATATAAATGAGAATTCAATCTAACAACTAATTGAACATTATTTTGTTGAAAATAGTTTAAAACTTTTTTAAATGGTTGATTCAATGTATTTGTTTTCTTGTTTTGTTGTGGTGATGCAAATGCAATAAAATCTTTTGAAATAACATTAAAATCTCCTTGGTCAACTCTTTCATATTGCTCATATTCTTCAAGATTAAAAGAAGTCAAATCAACCATATTTCTTTGTTTTGCTCTCCACATTCCATAAACAATATCTTGTATAGTGATTTCATAATCAGCATTGGAATAACCAGCATCTCTAAAACTTGCAAATGGAGGATCAAATTGTGCAATAGGTTGTAATACTTGATGAGGTGACCAAGATTGAACTAATATCATATAACAACACAAAAGACAAGCAGCATTAGTTCTTTGTTGAGGATTAGTTGAAGAATAAAATACAACACCTTTACCTTGATTTGAATCATCATTTAAAATATTATGTAAAACAACTGCAAATCTATATAAATTACTTATATTTAATGGTCCAAAATCCAAATGAAATGAATTATACGGTAAAGTATCTTCAACTGTAAAATAAACCAAATCTTTTGTATCTGATGGTACATAATCATAAGCTCCAAGATAAACTCTATCTATTAAAAAAAAAAAAAAACACGTTAGTAAAATAGTCTTTTTAAAGTGATCTATATAGTAGTTACATACTTTTTAAAAATTCAATTAATGGAACATTTATCTTATTTCTTGCCATGATATATTATATAGTTGATTGTGAATTATCTTCTTATTTCTAATGAATTGATCTTACTAAGTGATGGTAGTTGTTATGATTTAAATAATTATTTCAAATTAAAATCTCTCTCTCTATGTTTTTGTTTATATTTTTTTTTAATGTTATTGTTTAACTTAATTAGGAAATTATTGTAGTAGACACTACTTTTATTGATAATATTACATTTATCTAACTATCAATTAAAATTAGTATTGCTTTATCAGTAATATTGTTATTATTAGTTAGATCATGGTATGAAATGAATGAGTATCATACTTTCATGTAGCTTGTACTAACATCTTGTTATTTTAGTCATCAAATTTATATTCATTTTCATCAGATACTTTATCAAAATTAAAGAAATTTAGATTTCAAAGTGCAAGAGTTAATAACATACAGGCGTTAATATGTATGTATAAAATATAATATAGACTTATTGAATCATATACTAATTACAATCCCAGATACGATTGATAAAGATACATATGAAGTTAAAGAAGATGAAGATGTAGAAGAAAATCCATTAGATTCAATAGAGAGTTTGATAGAAGAATTACCAGATAATGGTCCAAGATATATAATATTATCATATCCAATAAAAACAAAAGATGGTAGATTACAAGCCCCATTAGTAATGTTATATTGGTTACCACCAACTACTCCAAATGATAAAAAAATGTTATTTGCTGGGGCTGTTGAGATATTTAGAGATAAAGCTGGGGTATCAAAGTATGTTTTATTCAGCCTTTTAAAGTAACGATGAACGAGTTTACTAACAAATATTCCCATAGATTAATTAAAATAACAGATGAAGAAGAATTTGAAGATTTAGAGTCTCAAATAATATGATAATATTACTTAGTAACAGCTACCAATTTTAATTCAGTCCGGGTAACTTAATACTTTGAAATAAACGAGGCATTGATACTGCATCTAATATATGTAAATTTAAATGAGTAGTGTAGATTAAACCAAAATTAATTTTTCACTTTTCTCTCTTTATTTTAGATTTGAAAAATTTTTATTACTACACTTTCAATACATTTCTTTTACTTTTCATCACCACATATATCAATCAAATAATAATCATTCATCATGGGTCGTATGCATTCAGCTGTATGTGATTAATTCCACTATATACTACTACAACATAATCGATTAAAGATGTTCATATATACAATTAATGAAATAATAACACTCAAAAAAATGTTACAAGAGTCTTGCTCAAAGTAAATGATTCATCTACGGTCGACATATGTACCAAGAATTGTTACTATATACGCTTTGAGTATTTGATAAACTTGAGCATTTTGTTATTTAATTTCATTTTTTGTTGAACAAAGGGAAACCTTTCTGAGACTAGATAGCTTTTTTTTCAATTTTTGCTCCAAGAATTAGGTAAACTACGGTTCCTATACTTGAAATTACTATGAAATTACAACTATCAATTAACAGTCAATGAAACAAATCCCTTCTTTTAAATGTCATGATTTTTGTTCAAAACTCTAAAACAAATTACTAACAGATTTCTTATACAGGGTAAAGGTATTTCCTCATCTGCCATTCCGTATTCAAGAAACGCTCCATCATGGTTCAAATTATCATCAGATGACGTTGTTGAACAAGTTATCAAGTACGCAAGAAAAGGTTTAACTCCATCATCAATTGGTGTTATTTTAAGAGATGCTCATGGTGTTTCACAAACTAAAGTTGTTACTGGTAACAAAATCTTAAGAATTTTAAAATCAAATGGTTTAGCTCCAGAAATTCCAGAAGATTTATACTTTTTAATTAAAAAAGCTGTTTCAGTTAGAAAACATTTAGAAAGAAATAGAAAAGATAAAGATTCTAAATTTAGATTAATTTTAATTGAATCAAGAATTCATAGATTAGCTAGATACTACAGAACTGTTTCTGTTTTACCACCAAATTGGAAATATGAATCAGCTACTGCTTCTGCTTTAGTTGCTTAAGTTTTTTCATTTTAAAATTGAATCAACAACAAAATTTTTTTATATATTTTTCTTGTATTTTTAGGTTTTCAATTAATTTAATGGATATTTCATATTTACACGGTCTTGAATAACGTATTGTAAAAGAAGTTGAGTTAGTGTTACTCTCAAGTAAGTTGTATTTATCAATCTCGTGAGAATTATCAAAATTATAGTATGTAAAAACGCGCACACATACAATTAAATTTTGCGAGTATCTTGATACAACCAAATTCGATCTACATCTACGACTATCTTCATCACATCTGTTATTTAATGGAGGCAATAACAGAACGTATATTCACAGAAACCTCCCTAGAGTCAACATCAAACGATGATCCATCATTATTAACAATAATACTAGACGTATCACCGAAAGGTTGGTTCAATTTAAGAAATCAAATAACATTACAAGATATTACAAAATCATTATTGGTATTTGTAAATAGTCATTTATCAATAAATAATTCAAATCAAGTTGCATTCATAGCTAGTTCGCCCTACAAATCCAAATTTTTATATCCTAACCCAAATCCTCAAATTATAAATTCCAAAATCTCCCAAGGGATGTATAGACAATTTAAAAATGTTGATGATGTTGTATTAGATGAATTAAATAAATTTATTGAAGAAACAAGTGAGAATTTACAAGATGAATCAAAAACTAAAAAGGCATCTTCAACAATAACAGGAGCTATTAGTATGGCTTTGACATACACAAATAGAATGTTAACACTAGATCAAAGTATCAACACTACAACAGCATCAGCAATTTCAACATCATCAACACTGAACTCATCAAACCAAACAAATTCTTCATCTGCAACCACAGCTCAATCTACAGTATCCATGAAGTCTAGAATTTTAATAATATCTTCAAATGATAATGACGATTTATTAAATTATATACCGTTAATGAATTGTATATTTACTGCACAAAAATTAAAAGTATCATTAGACATACTAAAATTGGGAAATAGAGACTCGTCATATTTACAACAAGCAAGTGACGCCACAAATGGTATATATCTAAAGATCCAAGACCCCAATGGAATAATTCAAGTTCTATCAACTGCATTCTTTGTCGAACCAAATCTTAGACCATACATAATCCTACCAACAAATTCTCAAGTCAACTATAAAGCAAGTTGCTTCCTCACTAAAAAACCAGTAGATTTAGGTTATGTGTGTTCAATATGTTTATGTATTATGAGTTATATCCCAAAAGAAAATAAATGTCCTGCTTGTTCAAGTGAATTTGATGAGAAAATTATAAAGCAATTGACTAAAGATCCTCAAGTTGTTGTAAATAAGAAGAAAAGAAAATTGGAAAACGGTAATGATAATAATGAAAGCTAGATTAAACTGCCTTGTTTATAATATTAAATGTATAATTTTCTGGATAATTATGTAACTTTATCAAATGATCTCTCCTATCATCGGAGGTACTAAATAACTCCAAACAAGTATTCTCCAAACACCTAAAAATAGACTCACCTCTTTCTCTTTTGAGTCTGGTGAAAGGATCATGATTCTCATTAATATGTAACTCCAAAAAATGATTCAGTGGAAATATTAAGTTACATGTTAAACATTCATATTCATGATAATTCATGATATGATCATTGAATAAAAATTCATCTGGTAATGATATATTGCAATAAGGACATTCTGTTGGCGTTTGGATTATATTACTGAAGATATTAATTGATTTATTTGATGGCTCCTCTTCATATTTCCTCTTACTCATATATTTGATTGTTGATGAATAGAACAATAGGGTTTGTATAGTTTGAACTAAAGCCACTAATAGATCTAAAAGAACAATACGTGTATGGAAAATCAGTATATGCAGGATAACATATCAAATTATAAGATAATGATTTTTTGAATTGATCTATTTGTCATCTCAAATTGTTTATGAGACCATTGGATATGTTATATGCAATGAGTTTGAGAACATCATCTAAAAGTGTTTGACTTCTAGAAGGTTTGATTTCTTAAAGGGTTTGACTTGAATTAAAATTGGATCTTAAATTCACAAGACTAAAAAATTAGCGCATGTAAAACGCAAATCGCTATCTTAAAAAATTGCAAAAAATTGCAATTCCAATAAATAGATAATTATTCACTAAATTATCACTATCAAAATGACTATAGACCACAGTATAGGCATGAGAATAGCCTACGAGCAAGCATTAAAATCATATAACGAAGGAGGAATACCCATCGGTGGATGTCTCATAAGAAAATCAGATGGAACTATCTTATCTCAAGGACATAATGAAAGAGTTCAAAAACAAAGTGCTACATTACATGGAGAAATCAGTGTTTTAGAAAAAGCAGGAAGATTACCAGCTAGTATTTATCAAGATTGTGTGTTATATACTACTTTATCACCTTGTCAAATGTGTTCAGGTAGTGTTTTGTTGTATAAGATTCCAACTGTTGTTAGTGGTGAAAATGAAAATTTTAAAGGACCTGAAGAGTATTTGAAATCTAATGGAGTTGAGTTTATTAATTTAGAGGATGAGAAATGTAAAGAGTTGATGAGTAAGTTTATAAAGGAAAAACCTGAGGTTTGGTTTGAAGATATTGGTGTATAATTGCTAAATACTTTCTAGATTTAAATTATCAATTATTTCTTCAATTTTGAGGTGCCTTTTATCAATTTCAATTAATTTACATTTGTAGTTTTGGATGTTTTCATTTTGAATAATTTTCTTACATTCTAATGTAGATACTTCAAAAATTAATGTCATTGATAATTTATTGATTTTGATTGATATTAATTGATTTTCATTATCTTTGGACAGTAATAATTTATTGGTTTGTTTTTCGATAACTTCCATTGAGTTTATCTCGTTGATTATGGACTTATGACCATTTGAATCAATTTGAATTTGGTATGACTTTAATAATATTTTAAATCTTAAATCCCATAATGTCAATATTCCTTCTTTTGTTGCAATTAATATCCAACTATTTTTGTTATTTCCTGTTATAAATGATGTTATCACTCCATAAGATAAGGGATTTTGTAAGACAAATAATTTATCCAAAGTAATCAAATCAAATACGTTTATTTTCAGTTGGTAATCAATTGCAAAGATATAATTATCATTATTCGACACATTTGTAAGTATTGATTCATTAAATATTTGACGTATCAAAACTGGTTTCAAGTATTTAACAATTTTCCTATTCTTGTTTCTACTAACATCAATTCTGAATACTCTTAAAATGCCATCTCTTGTTGTAACAATTATACACAATCTATTTTGTAAAAATGTTATAGTCGTAATTCTTGAATTTAATTTCAATAATTGTTCTGAATTTTTAGACCTGCTAATGGTATTTAATTTTGAAATATCCCACAATCTTAACATCCCATTTTCTGAACCTGTTACAAATAATTCTGAAGTAGGTGACATGGATAAACATGTGTATGGATCAATTTCTTCACTTGTTCTATGAATATTCAAGTCTTGTAATTGAGGAGTAAATTCAATTAGCTTTGCTTTTACGATTCTTCCAAACTCAGCAAAATCATTCAAAGTTGGAGTAAATGATAAATTTTGTAAATGTTTTATTATAAAAGGATTTTTGCCAACATAAGTATGAGTAAATTGACATGTTATAATTTTTGAATTTGTATTATCAATTTTGAATGTTTTACGTAAAGTATGAGGATTGTTAGCCCAAGATCTAGCTGGGACCGTACCATTACTTGATTCCATTTCACCAAATACATTGGCTTCTATAGTTTGTACTGAAGCAGTTACTTTTTCTAGACTTGGAAGTACTAATGAATTATGTAATTTTTCGAGACTTCTTAACGATACAGAATCCTCAGATTTAATGACGAATTGTTCATTTTTCAGTCCGTTTAGGGAAGTCATTTTTTCTGACTTGTATATAATATCTAAGAATTCATTTTTGGGTGGGATGATTATCAGCTCAAATGATGATGATGGTGATGGTGGTATTTTACTAACATGTTGAATATAATCTCTTAAAACAAAGATCTTCCATAATGATTTATCTTCAAATCCAATTGATTTCAATTTTAGTAACCATTGTTTATCTTCGGGACTCAATGGTGAAGTTTCTTTGTTTTTGTATGACACTGAACTAACTTTTGGCAAATAAACAGATTTCCCCATAGTATTTAATGATATAGCTTTTGTATTACTTTTGCCCTGCCAGAACAATGATTTATTTGTTGATTTTAAAGCCCATGTAATAGCAAGATCAAATATTTGTTTATTTAATTGTTTAGCTAAGCTTGGATATAATGAGGTCCAATTAATCTCAAATATGTCATATTGTAAAAAGCTTTTAATTAAAGGATAAAGGAAACAATATCTGTCAGCATCGTCTAAATTTTGACTAATTGATATAATCAAGTTTATAACAGACTGTCTAATCCACTCATTAGGATGAAGTAGCAAATAAATAGAATTTGATAATAATTCTGTATATATTTCCAATGCATTAAACTCCAATTTTGAGTTTATTAATTTTTGCAGAACAAATGCATTAAATATTTCAAGTACTTTTATTACAACGAATTGTTCTCCCTCACTTATAGTCTGAATTAATAAAGGTAATAAATATTGCTCAAATGATAAAACTCCAATAAACGGACCAATTTTCAAAACCGATGAAAGGAAAGCTAATCTCAAATTTGCATCTGGATCATTAAGGTATGATATTAGATGTGGTAAAATTATATCATTTGTTTTATCTTTACCAAAAAATTGACAAAGTGGTAAAATATTTTCAAGTAAGCTAATTTTGACTGATGATTCTGGATCTGTTAGCAACGATATAGTTATATCTTTAAATTTTTGATCTAATTGATCTTTTGTTAATTGAATTGTAGGTATGGGTATTTGAGTAGTGCTTGATACATTTGTATTAGTGAATGCTTTAGACATAGACCAAAACTTTTTGGCAACGGTAGCTAATGATGGTAAGCAAAGTGCAATAGTTGAACTTATTAGTATTTGTGATTGATAATTACTTTTAACTATTAGTAAATTATTGATTTTAGGTAATATATATTCTGGAAATAGCAATACATTAATCGGTGTGATATATGAACATGACATTACCAAGGAAGTAATTGAATATAATGCTAAGCAAACAACTTTTGCTGATGATTCATGTGGTGATTCTATGTATTCATCCAATAATGAACATAAGAATGGTAATGATCTATCTAGCTTGGCTTCGTCGTTAATCTGTTCGGATAGTGCTAGTACTAATACACAAAATTTTTGTTTTGACTCCACAAATCTCAAAGTCTTTAGCAATGAAGTAACCATATTGAGTACTACTAATGCTGAGTCATCAGTTTCTTTTTTAGGTTTAATTCTATAGTTATGTGGCATAGTTGGTAAATTCAATCTTATAGGTAGTATAGAGTCCACTTCTTTCGACTCAGCATAATTAAATTTGAGAGAATTACTGATTTCTCCAAAATGTTCATATACATATTGCAACTTGGAATCACTATCATCATGAGTATTAAAATTTTCCATGAATTCATAAAGAAAGGTATAAAAATATTCGGGAAAGCAAGAACCTTTATATTCTTCTAGTAATTCCCTTGCATTTGATCTATCACTTGGATTAACTTTTAATAATTTTTTTATAATTTCAATAATTTTAGGATTTTGAATACTTGATAAATCAGGAACATAATCATTTTTCATATATTTAAACAATTGAGATAATGTAAAAATAGGTTCACCATCAGTCCACAATTCAGCAATGACACACCCCAAACTAAACAAATCCATTTCATCAGTAACACTGTTCTTTAGGTTAAAAGTCCCATCATCATTAATATTCAGTACGTTCTTGGGGTTATCTTGACGATTATAAAATCTTTCTGGCGCTATATAACAAACTCTTCTATCTGAACTATCAAAATAAAACAAAAATTGATTTGGATTATCTTCTGGTAAATATGTTGGTTTTATTAAGCTTGCAAAATCTGATAATAATATCCAATTCCATGATGTTACTAATATATTTTCTAATCTTAAATCTCCATGATGAATATTTACAGAATGTAGTTCATTTATAATTTTAAGTAGTTGGAATGTGATTGATAATTTTTCAATTGGTTCTAAAAATGGTCTTAGTGATAATCTATCATATAAGTTAATTTTTGCCATTTCTCGAATCATATATCCAGCTCTATCAGTTTCAATTAATTTATACCCCGTCAAAATATTTTTATATGGATATAAAATTGAAGATTGTTTAACTAGTAGCTCCAATACATTTTGTAATTGAATTGTATAATTTGGTGTGGAAGGTTTTATCAATAATTTTATAATAACCAATTGACCTGTTGTCTTATCAATAGCTTTGATTGTTTTAAGGAATCTCGAATTATTTAGTATTTCAATATATTGATAGTTTTCTATTGCATCGATGTAGGACGATATAGCCACTGTTGGAGCAGATGGTGCCAATAAAGACAACCTCTGACCCATTTTTGCTAGGGTTTTGGTATTAGTTGGTTAAGTTCTCTAGAATTGATAATAATTAAATTGGTTGTCAATAAATAGACAATAATAATAAATTAATGATTTATTTTCTGAAACAAATTGAAACTACATTCAATTTTACAACCATCAAAATTTGAATGAACTCAGATAATGATGAAGATAATATAAAACCAGCATTGCCAATCGATGGTGTAGACGCTGATGTTTCAAACTACTTAAATTCAGTGCGATCAGAAGCCAAGTCATTGTCAATTATGTATCAAGATATTGTAAAGATACAAGATGAGGAAGTTGAGATGATACCTGAAGATGACGAATTGCTCAATGAGTGGTCCAACGGCTTATATGAGAAATTCATAAGCTTGAAAGAGAAAATTAAGAATTATCAAATAGAAACATCATCATATGATAAACAATACAACTTGAAATGGAAAGAATCATTTAAACAACCACCACCTGATATTGATTATTTCATCTATGCATTAAACAGAAAAATTTGTTTTGACATACTAGTCTTTTTAACAGATTGGATAACATTATCAACAACTGCTACAACAAGTCAATGGATATGGAAGATCTTTTTAAAGTTGGATAATTTCATAGAAGCTAATGAATGTTCAATATTAAGAGATTTGGCTAATAAAGCAATTTTGAGAAAACAGCAATTGTTAGAAATTGGTAAATCAGCTAATTCTACTTCTAAATTTACTTATGATATGATTATTACTATAGTTGGTAAATATTATGGTCAAACTGATCTATTGAGTAGTTTATAGTAAATGATAATTTATCTATAGCTTTTGTGTATTGAATTATTTTTATTACTAGTCTATAATTTTGGTACGATTTTTTCAACACTTACTAACAACCCCATAATCAAAAAAAACTTATTCAGAAACTCCACCAAAAAATGGCACCAAAAGCAAGAGAAGAGTTAGTAGTACCATATAGACATGTTCCAGCAAAAGCAAGAAAAGATGCGGGAAGTTTAATATCACAATCATTACCAATGGCTGCAATGTTTATGAAAAATAAAATGTTATCATGGGCAGCATTATTTTTATCAATACAAACTTATTTAAATGAACCAATTAATAAAGTAGAAGAAGATGGATCACAACCTCCATTGTTAAAGGTTGTATTTGCTTTAGTCGCGGTATTAACCTGTTATATTGATATTATTTTCCCACAAACCAATCCCTCAATAAAAAAGGCAGCTGATGTTGCAACTGAAATTACTTCAACTATTGTATCTACTGCTACTTCATAAACTTGAAATGACTAGACTTTTTGAAATTTCATTAAATTTAAATTTATACAAATAATAAATATAATTCTATGTACTATATATTACAACACTATCTAATCCAATATACGAGCCAATTAATTTTTTAGATTCATGATCCCATTTTAAATCACATAATCCAACAGATGGTTGTTTTTCTTCTTCTGTTTCTTCTTTTATTTCCGGTGTATAAGTTGCTAAACATTTGATATATGATTTATCTTGATTTGTATAATTCTCAAAATTTAAATCCCAAATTGAAATTTTACCATAATCATCACCAACAGCTAACAATTTACCGTTTGGTGAAACTGATGAATTGAATACTAACATATCTCTATCCTGATCAAATACCTTATCTTTGAAAATTTCACAAGATTTTAAAGCTTCTCCAGATTCTCCATCCCATATATTTAATATACCTTCCATTGAAATTGATAATAAATAATTCTTGTCAACATAAGGTAACCAGTTCAATTCTATTATTGGTGAGCTATGTATTTTATTAGATTCTGTTTTTATATTTAAGTCCAAACTTGGTTGAGTTGATGAACTATTCCATATTCTTATTTGATAATCAAAATCTGAACAAGTAGCTAGTAGTTTTGATACAGGGTTTAATTTCATCAATGTTATATTATTCAGATGACCAACTAAAGTTCCAATATATTGAAATTCAAAATTTTTACCAGAAGGTGGTTTTTTAATGTCATATAATTTTATATCATGATTTAAAGAAGAACTGATTGCAAATTTATCATCACCTAACCAACATGCAGTCAGTATTGCATTAGTTGAATCATTTTCATTTTCATTTTTTATTTGCCGTACTAAAGACAAAGTTAATCCATCCCATATTGTAATTTGATTTTCACTATCTATTGTAACAACAAATTTACCCAGTTGACTCCATAAAATATTTGTTATAATATTTGTTTTAACTTGATTTAATTCTTCCATTGTATTTGCTATATTTTTCAATCTTCCATCAGGTGACCAAGCTCGCAATTCTCCAAATGCTCCTGCTGTAATTAATAAATTCCCCATTGGTGACCATGATACAAAATTTATTTCGTTTTTAATATTTAATAAACTTGGATGTGATATTTCTACTGATTCAACTAGTTGGCCATCTTTTATTGCTGTTATTATTGCATTTCCATCTGATTTCCCATATGCAAATGCTTCACTTGATGGATGCCAGTCACATGTTAGACTTGGTGGGAACGTTATTTCAGGTACAATGGTTTTAACTTCTAGTGGTTCTTCAGTCGGTATATCATCCATTTTGACATCTTCTTCTTCTTTCTCCTCTTTATGTATTTCATTTTCATGCTCATTTACATTATTTCCATTTTCTTTAATTTGATATTTTAAATTTGAATCTTCTAAATCTTTTTGTACTAATGCTCCTAGTAGAGTATAATCATTATCATTTTTAGCTTCAGTTTCTGCTATAGTATATAGTATGCCCTTTTGAACTAAATCTATTAGACATCCTGGTTCTATTTTGTCTATTATTTCATCATTTAAATTATTTTCATATTTCAGACATTGTGATTGTCTATCAAATGTATATGCTGTTAAATCATAACCAGTTTCTTGAAAATATCGCCATATTAGGTAATTTAGTTCTTTACTCGTTAGTGACATTTATTATAAAAGCGATCGTGGGAAATGATGAATTGGTGAATGGTATTTTGTTGTAAAATTAATTTATAAAGTGGTAAGTATATATTTAACAAGTATTTTCATTTATTAGTAAACTGTTTCATGTTTTTATTTTTTCGCTGGTTAATAAATTTTTTTATTTTTTAATATTTATTTTTAGTACTAAAGATACTTAAAAGAGGTCGATCATTGAGATGAAAATACCAATAGCACTAGTTAATAAGATTTGTATAACACTAAACCGTCTATGGGCCGCGAATCTGGTTTTACGTTGAAAGATACTGGTCTTTGACATTGAATTTTGATTACATAACGTTTACTAAACAATTATTCTTCCAAATTTAAATTTTCTATCAATTCCATCGTAGTTTTAACCTTAGAACTCTCTGACTTGTGTTTATTATATATTTTATTTATCAATTATTGATTTAGTCTCCAGCTTACACCAACATCAAGTTTGAAAATATGAAAGCCAAAGTTTTGTGGAAAAATGCTACCAAACTCCCCTCGTAAATTTTTAGTTAAACTTGTTACTTTATAATTACAGATATCCATGATCAACTAGCTTTTCAAATTAAATAAATCAATTCAATTGAATCAAATTCAATGGAGAAACTAAGAAATAGGAAAAGTAGAGCAGTATGGCAGAATAAATCAGAAAGTGTTAACCCTTATGCAAATGCAAATTTAAATCTAGGTAGAACAGAGACCAATAGAAGTTATGTCAATTTCAATAATATACAACAACAACAACAAAATCAACAACAATCAGATTTTTTAAATCCAAATCAAATTTATTCAAATAATCAATATAATAACAGTAATAATAGTCTACTACGTGTGCCAACTTCAGATGCAGCAAGAAATAATAGAAGGATGAGTATTCATCAAGCAGCTCAACAACAAAGAAAATCATCATATGCTGAGAACAAATTTGATACTTCAAATGCTCCACCATTGCCCAGATTAGATTCTAAACCTTTAACTATTGAACAAAAAATCATAAATGAATTAGGCCAGGGGTCAGCTGCTGAAGTTGATGATTATTATAAATCTTTAGTTAAACAAAAACAATTGATTGATCGAGACATAAAAGAAAATATAAATCAGAATCAAAAGAATATATTGGAATTAACTAAAGACCTAAAAGAGACTAAAGAGGAATTGGATAATATGAGAACTACCACTAAAGATATGTTTGAATTATTTGATGAAGTTAAAGATTCTGCAGATAGAAGATTAAAGTTAGAATATGATACCCCTCAACAACAACAACAGCAACAGCAACAACAACAAAGACAAAGACAAAATAACAGTAAAGATCGATCATCTATCTTAGTTCTAGAAAAAATGTGGGCAAAAGAATTACAATCATTATTTAAACATGTTGATGGAGCTTCAAAATTTATACAACCAATTCCTGGTAGACATGTATTAGCCGAGAGTGGAAGATGGCATGAAGTTAATCCAGGGACTTGGAAACCAAATAATGCAGGTCATTTATTTATTCTAAATGATGTGATCTTGATAGCTACTAAAAGAATAGTTGATTCATCAGGTGGTAAATCTAATAGGTTACAAGCTATACAATGTTTCCCACTAACTCATGTTACATTAACTCAAATCAAACCACCCAAAGATGATTCATTGTATTTTATCAACATCAAAACTAAATCCTTGAGTTATGTTTATCTGACTGATAGATATGATCATTTAATAAAAGTAACTGAAGCTTTCAACAAGGGGAAAAACGATATGGTACATAATCAAAGAATAATAAATGGATCAAGAAATTCAGAAGATGCAAATGAATCCAAAGATGAAAAACGACAACTTAGAGAAAGTATAAGAAATTCAGGCTCACATGAAGATGAGAAAAGAGTAAGTGGTGGTCATAAACGTAATTCAAGTGAATTTTTATTACATGATATAAGTGCAAAAGTTCATTCAAGAAATAGATCACATGATTTTGGTAAGACTACAAATCTAACACCTAAAAAGTCACAATTTTTCAACGAAATCAAACAATTGGAAGATAAATTAGATGAAGTTGATATTGATATTTCACATAATGAAATTCCTGATGCTGTTTCTTTATTAATTCACATTGAGAAAAAATTACTTAAGATAGAAAATTATGTAAAGACTTTAGACTTTGATGAACTTTTATTACTTGATGTATCCAAAATCAAGATATTTAATAGAAAAGAAGATATAATTAAAAATTTATTATTTGATTTACAAAATAATATTTCAAAATTAAAACAACATGAAATTGAATTGATAATGATAGTATTTGATAAATTAGATCAATTAGAAACAGGAGTTCAATCATACCTTGAATCTACCTCATTATATTTATCCAAAACAGTCTCAAAATTAATAGTTGGTCTACAAGGTTCAACAAAAGTTGACGTTATAAATTACTTATCCAATTTAATGGTAATAAACGTATCAATAGTTAAAAGAACAGTGTTAACATATAATGAAAAAATAGAAAAAATATTAAATAAAAGTGATTCAAATTATATTGATTCTTCAGGATTAATAGATTGGTGTATAGAAGAATTTCAAAAATTATTTAAACAAATTAAAAAACATTTATATGGAACTTTATTAATTTTTAATGGATCAGATTATCAAATTAAAGATGAAATCTTATATGAAGAATTTAAAAGAGTTGTAAATTTACAACTTGATGAATTAAAAATAGTTGGTTTAAATGTTGATTATATATTTGCACCAATTTTAAATCTCAAATAAATTAAAATAAATAATAAGTTTCTATATAATAATTTTATAATTTTTCATACAATTTCATTAAATCATAATGCTCTCTAAAATACCCACCTTTTTTCTTCAAATATAACAATATTAAACTTGCAACAGTTAATATCCCAGTTAATATACTAAATAATATCCCAGCTCCAATAGCTTTTAATAAAGGTTCAACAATAAATGTAGCTATAGCAGCCAAGATTTGACGAATTAAATTATTTAATGCTACTCCAGTTGCACCTTTACCAGGTAAAGTATCTACCAAATAAGTTACAGTTGCTCCAATGACTAACATCGATGCAAATCCACACAATGAAGTACCTATTAATGGTACTATCCAAAATTCTCCATATCTTATAGTCCAACCGAAAATTAAACATGCCATTGGGTATAAAATAATAGCTAATACAATATTCCATGAAATACGAGATTCAGGTATTAATTCACCATGTTTTTCAGCGTATTTATTTAATAATCTATCATTCCATCTCCCACCAATCATTGATGCTGCTAAATATGTAATTGAATTTGGAATATACATTAATCCTACAATGACTTGTGAAAAATTATAAGGTGGCCGAGCGTATTGATATGAAATAGTCATATTAAAAAAATAAATAACTGCAAATGATATACCCGAATACATTATTACCAATATTACTGGTGGATGTTTTAATAATATAATTGAATGTAATGGTCGTATGAATAAATCATAACTTGTTGTTTTGTATTGTGACCATTTATTTTCTTTAATTGTAGGATGTTCTGAAATATGTGATGTAGTTTTACGAATTTCTCCAGTAACGTAATCTTGTTGTAATCTACGTGAATAAGTTGATCTATTTGTTGTTAATCTTGATAATGTAGGCATAACAGGATCCACAATGGGACCTTCATCATCACCATCTTCTATATATGAATTAACTGATCTTGCACTAGATCGTCTACTTAAATTAGTTGCAACTCTTTGTAAAGTTTCATCATTTAATTGTTGTGGTGGTTCATGTGCATGTTGTTGATCACTTGAATCAGAATCAAATTTTTCTTTCTCATCATCTTGAGTTTGTTGTTCTTGTTGTTGCATAAGATTCCTTATAGCGTTAATATTATCAACTTTCCTTAAAGTTTCAGGTAACAAAAAAGTCATTGATATTAGATTACAACATGCAAAAATCATTAATAACCATTGAGTTGCTCTCCAACCCCATGCTTGTGATACTGCACCTCCTAAAATGGGAGCTAAAAATGGTCCCATTAAAGGACCTAAATAATACCATCCCATTGCTACTCCTCTATCTTGTGGTGCAAATAAATCTGCTATTGTACCTGCCCCCACAGCTTGTACTGATGCTGATGATCCACCTTGTAGTACTCTCAATACGATTAATGCAGAAATATTTGGCGCTAATGCTGTTCCAATAGAAAACCCAACAAATAATACAAAACTTATTATATAAACTGATCTTCTACCGTATCTTTCACTAAATGATGACCACCAAAGTGGGAATATACCTAATGATAATAAATATATACCAACAGATACATTAACTTCACTTCCTGTTGTATGTAATTTTTTAACTATATCATCTATAGCAGGTAACATAATAGAAGTACCCATTGGACCAGTTATAGAAGCAAATGCAATTAAAAATACAATTAAATATTTAATCCTGGGTGAATAATCTCTTGCATCATAATATTCAGGTACTAAAACTAAAGAAGCTAATAATCCTCTTTTTTCAGGTCTTGGAACTATTAAAGTTTTTTTAGAACTTGTAGTTAATGAAGTTTGTTGTCTTTGTAAATTTTCTTTTTCTTGTTGTTTTTGTAAATTTTCAAATGATGTTATACTTTTTTCTAAATCACTTAAGGGTCCTAATATTTGATTATTTGGCAGATGTTGAGAAGAATGACTACTTTTTGAGTGGTTGTGATGTATAGGGTTTACTTGATGTTGCTTATGATTATGATGTATTGAACCTTCTTCTGAAGATGCTAATGATGCTATTGATGTTGAATCTGGTAAATCTATTGGATCATTTACTGAACTAATAACTATTGGTGGCTCTATATGATGGTGATGGTGATGTTCATTTTCATTATTATTATTATTATGGTTGTTGTTCTCATTTTGGTTATGATTATGTATATGATTATTATTTGACATTTGTTGTAAAAATTAGCGCAAATTCTATAAATTTGTTATATAATGACATATAAAAATTTGAAAAATTAATATAAATGAAAATGTAATGATATGAATGATATAAATGATAATGATCTCTAATTATATAAAACTAATTCTTGTGTTATAAATATTGTTAATTATCATGGAATACTTTAAAGATCTATTAATTCTTTCAAAACTGGTGGGGTTATAAGGAAAAAAAAAAAAACGTAATATATTTTGATATATAATTTAGCCTCTTGATATTTTGTGTTAAATTATTCTATAATTATATGTATCACAAGATTGACTTGAATTGAAAATTATTAAATACTTCAGAAGAAGAAGAAGTTAATATGAATTAAATATTTGTTAATGAATATTTCAATTTAAATTAGTTTAAATCCTTTGAAAACTTTGCAAAGATTATGTCATATATATAATAATAACTTCTTCAATCTATTATTCTTATTGTTTTAAAATTTAAATCTACTAATCAATTTTTATTATGTAATCGGTATTATAATGTTAGATAGTAATATTAATAAGATTATAATAAATCCGATTTGGCGCTAACAATTAATACATTTTATTAATATTTTGCAATTAAAATTCTAATTCTTCATAAACAACAAACGAAAACAATTTCTTAAATAAAGTGATTAAAAAAGAGTATGTGCAAGTATTAATTGTAGTAATCATCTTTAATTTTTGCAATATATAACTTATACAATTATATATAATTAAATTAAATTATTTATATATTTATATATATAGTTTCAAAAATCAAGTGAATCCAGGCAAAATAATTCCTAAAATTATCATACCAATTGCAAAAAACATAATCAAAGGAATCCATACTTCTATATCTTTATAACTTATTGAATGATCTGTTGGAGTTCGTTGTACATTATTTTTTTGAATAATTTTACCATTTTCAAGATCTTTTTCATCTTTAAATGTATTATTATTAACTAAATAGCAAGTTTCATCTGTCAAAATTTGATTATTAAATTCTTGGTTATCAAAATCTTGATTAACTATAGATTCATAAGGTGGTAAATAATCCGGTGGGCTTTTTTGATGAGATTCTTCTGGCTTTGTTACTTCATCGTTATAAAATTCGTCTAATAACTCTGGTATTTGATCTCTTAAAGGTATACTTTTATCAATATTTGAGTTATTAACCATCTCCTTATAGAGATCATAATGAGATTTATCGTGTTGATATGAGAAGCTTGGAAACTTATATATCATCTACATATATGTTAATTTGCAATAATTTAAGGAAAGCTTTAATCATTTTCTAGTACCTATTCATAATATGTTCAGTGGAAATACATGTACTTGCATAAGTTTAAACAACATTCTAATGAATTTTTATTGAAATATTACTGAAGATGAACTTCTTTAATACTTTAAAATCTTTGTTAGAGATCTTCAGATTTAGATTTATTAGGAAATTCGAAAATCTAGAGATCTAACTTTATTAGAACGGACTTAAAATTATAATGTGGATGAAGTTTTTGCAACTTTTTGTTTTAAATTTAAAATGGACAGTTTCAGACCTTTAAAATTCATTTTACCAATAAAATAGCTCAACAGAATCTTATACTGTATGCAAAGAATTGTTCATATATTTAAACGAAGTATTAATTTTGGTCGATAATTGAATTGAAATGGACTTAATTTCCAAGTTTCTTTCAATACAGTGGCTTAAAAGTAAATTAATGTAAACTACTAACAATAGGTTTTCATCAATTTTTTAAAAATAAATTGTCAATTTCGTTCTTTAAGTTCTAAATAATAATAGAAAAAAGGTGATATCGTCTTTATGAATAAATTGGGTCAATTTATGGAGTTTAGAAATTTGTTTAGTCTTTTTCTTGTGATAAGTTTATGTCATTTTTTCTCAGTATTATTATTATTATTACTCCATGTTTAACAATTTAATTATTATTAGATATTTAAATAATTTAATTCAAGTAAAGAGAGAAAAATCTATTTAACTAAAAATTTTAAATCTTAAATTAAATCATAACTGGTCTACATTATCTCTTTGTCTTACACTAAATCTTATTAAGTAATAGATGTGTGATTGTAATTGTATATAAATTAAATGACTTGAAATTAATGAATTATTTAAAAAGCCAACAAATATTTAAAAGTTAATTATTACACAAAATCATTTGCCTTCTTTAGTATCATTTATTTATAGTAAAATTATATTTACAACCAAACATTTTAACAATTTTATCAATTACAACAACGAATTTGTTCCATATCTTATTCATTTTCATAATCAATTATTACGAATTAGAATTATTTACAAAACTCAAATTGAATCAAGTGTCTGATCTCATAACTTAATGATAGATTCAAACTGAAAAAAATGAGTTTTAGACATCTTTTACCAGTTGTTGTTATTAGAACAGCTATCATTATACCCTTATTTATAATTGGATGTTTATCAATAGTATTTACTCAATTGTGTGGTATATATATATTTGGAACTAACATAATTCATAAACAATCGATAATAAATAAAACTAAAACTCATTTCTTGATTTTATTAGGTTGGATAACATCAATTGTAAATCCATGTAAAATTTCAATAACTTTAAATAAAAATTCAGTACCTAACTCACAACAATATAAAGTAGATGAATCACAAAACATACATACTATGTTACAGCCAAATTCCATATTAATATCAAATCATCAAATTTATACTGATTGGTTATTTCTTTGGTTTTTAACTTATACTTCCAAAATGAGTGATTTTGTATTTATTATATTAAAAGATTTATCCAAAATACCAGTATTGGGATATGGAATGAAAAATTTTAACTTTTTATTTTTATCAAGAAAATGGGAGAAAGATAAAATTATATTGACTAATCAATTATTAGAAATTGATGCAAATGCAAGAGGTAAAGGGCCAGCAAATGGATATAAATTATTAACTTCAACCGAAAAGTCTATTAAAAAGTGGCCGCTGGGTAAAGATTCAACTAAAATTTGGCCATATGAATTAATTTTATTTCCAGAAGGTACTGTCCCATCAGATAGAACAACTAAAAAATCAGCAGAATATGTATTATCAAAAGGTTTACCACCTTTAAAACATGTATTATTACCAAGAGTTAGAGGATTATATTTAGCATTACAAAAATTAAGAGGATCAATTGAAATAGTATATGATATTACTACTGCATATTCAGGTTTAAAAGAAAATGAATATGGTGAAATTTTATTTTCATTAAAACGATTTTATTTGAAAGGTTATGGACCCCCAGTTATAAATTATTATATAAAAGGTTTTAAAATTGAAGATATTCCATTAGGGGATGAATACGTTGATGATATAGATGACATCTCCTCGGAAAATTTACAAAAATTTGAAGATTGGTTATTAAAAATTTGGTATGAAAAGGATAAATTAATGGATAATTTTTACAAAACTGGTCAATGGGGAATTGACCCACAAAATTCAAAACATATAATTGGAGATTTTAAAATGAAAAATTCATTTGAAATTTTTAAACCATTTTTATTAATTTGCAGTGCTATTTTAATTTTGTATTCATTAATTAGATTAATTATTAGCTTTACTTTATAGAAAACGATAAATTAAAATTTGTTCTAGATTTAAATCTTTTTTTTTTCGGTTTTGCTTGATGTTGTAGATCAATTTTGAAACGTTATAGCCACTTTAGTTGCACGTTTATATTTAACTCATTAGTTGTTTTAAATCTAATTTGGTAAAAAAATATGTGTTTCATTAAACGATTTGTTTCAGAATTTTTTGTTGACTATGAGTTTTGTGTAACATGGATTCGTACTAAAAAAATTATTATTTTTAGAATTTGTTTCAAGATAACAGTCTAGATTTGTCCAAATATAAATAAAATGCCAAATCTATCTAGAACCTTTAGCTTTTTCAGTTTTTTTGAAACTTATCAATCATCATCAAAATGTTTGTTTTATCAAAGTCAATAATCTTATTAACAATAATCCTTCAATTCATATCAACAGTCTTGTTAGCATTTTTATTATTGGGTTGTATAGATTCATCATCAAATTACTCCAACGTTTATCTTATCAACTACAAATTTAATTCATCATCTTCATTATATCAACACCTAACTCTAAATTCAAATTCCACCACTACACTAAGTGATATTTCTGTTAAAATTGGGTATTTAGGAGTTTGTTTATCTATTGATAATGATTTAAAATGTACTACTTATAAAACATTAGATTCTATACCTTCATATACTTTAACTTTTTTATCAAATCAATTTAATTTATTAAATATTGCTCAAATTTTTAAAGATATAGTTCATCCACATTTATTAATGTCATCAATAATTTTAACTTTATTATGTTTATTAATCTTATGCTACATATTATTACCGTTACCTGGACGTTTGGTGGTGAATAAATTTGGCTTACTTGTTAGTTTTTTAAATATGATGCTTTGGGGGTTAGGTGCTATGCTTCAAGTTCAATCATGTAAATCTGCAACTAAATTATTACAAGAATCAAGTTTTGGTTTAGTTATGAGTTCTAATGGTAGTAGAGCTGAAATTATGACTTGGGTTGCTTTTAGTTTTATTTCTGTTGTGTTTTTGTGTATGGTTTTGCTGAATTGGATTGATTTTAGAACTAAACGTGTTGCTAATGGTGGTAAAGTTTGATTTTTATTAAGTTATGGTTTTTTTATATATTGTTCACGTTTCATAATTTTCTTTAGTTCAGTTTTAATTTGAAACCAAATTTTTAAAATTTACAAAATTTATCAACTTCAGTAAACTTAATATTTTATTAATGCTTAATCAAGTAGCCCTTATGATTGCAGCTGTACAGCTTGTTATCATCTTAGTGTGATCAATGGACTTATTGTCAACAATATTCGAATAAAAATGTGATTGTCACGCGTATATCACATGACTTTTGAAAAATTTGGTAAAATCGATTTCCTGTATTCTCTTTTGTTTTAACTTTTTTTATAATTTGGTTGTAAACAAATAGTTTAAAATTATATTAATCGTATAAATCAAATACATCGAACATCACCTATATAAAGACTAGGAGGTATCATCGCTCAACCTCTAATATGTCTTATACCGCACAACTTGACGCGTTTGTGTCGAGACTCAATGAAAGTGGTGATGATTATATAACAAAACATTCAATACTATCAGAATTACTAGATACAATAGAATCATTTAATGGAGCAGCAGAATATGAATACTTCCTCAAGAATCTAATACCGAAATTTATCAAAGAACTTGAAGAAGTTCCAATCTCGTTTAATTCTACAAGTCCTGAACATAAATTAAGAAATAGTATATTGGAAATTATACATAGATCAATTATGAATGAAACGTTCCAACCATTTGCAGAACAAATCTTGGATGCATTAACTAAAATACTAGTTGAAGAAAATGAAGATAATGGAGTATTATGTATGAAGATAATAACAAGTTTACATAAAACTTACAAGGCAAATTTATCAGAAAAAGTAACACCATTTATCGAAGTTATGGAAAAAATTTATGATAATATGGATGAAACTGTTAAGGAAGTTTTCGTTGAAGATTCTTCAATAGACGAAGAAGATAAAGAAATGTCACCTTTCAATGATGAAACTCCTTCGAAAACTTTAAGAAAAGCTATGTATTCATTCAAAACATTAGCTGAATGTCCAATAACTATGGTTTCACTTTATTCATCCTACAAACCATTAGCTGCAACTTCAATACCCCAGTTTTTACCTAAAATCATTCATATTTTACAATTACAAGTAGAACAACAAAAATTATACCATGAAGAATCAGAAAATAAAATAGTTACTTCAGTATCACCAAATATTAAAAATAGACAAGCATATAGTGATTTCATATTGGGACAAGTTAAAGCAGCATCATTTTTAGCATATGTATTCATAAGAGGTTATGCTAGTCAATTTATGAAACCAGAAGAAAGTCAATGTGTACCTGATGTAATACTTCGATTATTACAAGATTGTCCTGCTGAATTATCAGTTGCAAGAAAAGAATTATTACATGCTACAAGACATATATTATCAACTCCCTTCAGAACACAATTCATACCCAAATTAGAATTATTGTTTGATGAAAAAATTTTGATTGGTGATGGTTTAACTTCATTTGAAACTTTAAGACCTTTAGCATATTCAACAGTAGCTGATTTTATTCATAATGTAAGAAATGAATTGACACCACCACAAATATGGTCTACTGTAAACATTTATTGTGGATTATTAAAAGATGATACATTAGCATTAACTGTACAAATAATGAGTGCAAAATTATTATTAAATTTAGTTGAAAAAATTATGAAATTACCTAATAAATTGGAAGGTAGGCAATTGTTTTTAATTATTATTGATTCATATGCTAAGAGATTTGAAAGTTTAAATCGTAAATATAATTTCATCATAGCAAAACATAATGAATATGAAAAGAAGAAATTAGTGAAAGAAAAAGAATCCAAAAAGGCAATAGAAAGATATTCATCCAAAAAACATCCAATTCAAGAAGAAGAAAAAGCTGATGAAGTTAATGATGAAATGGATCTAGATAAAGAAGAAGCAAAAGAAGAAGCAGATCCAAAAGTTGACGACGAATTAGGACTAAATATCTTCAATATTGACTCATATTCACCAATAGCTACAGTTCCAATTGCAACTAATACAGATGTGTTAAAAGATGCAAGGTATCTATTCAGAACTTTAATGACATTTCTTAAATCAGTAATATTTGGATTAAAAAATTGTAATCCACCCGTACCACCTCAACCTCAACCAGATCAACAACAACAACAAGTCAATTATGATAAATGGAATGATTCTGCAAAATTAACATCAGTAGAAGAAGTCAATATTTTAAGAGCATTATTTAGAGGAGGTATAAGTTGTCTACGATTCTTTTCAGTTTCAAAACCAAAACCGATTGTATCACAAAAGACTTTTGATTTTTCAACTGGTGGTCCAAATTTACCTATAACTTCATCAAAAGATGAAAAAGATTTAATGGAAATATTTGCAACTATTTTTATACACATAGATCCGGCTTCATTTAATGAAATTGTTAGTTCAGAATTACCTTTTATGTTTGAATCAATGTTGGACAATGCAGCTTTACTACATTTACCTCAATTTTTCTTAGCTAGTGAAGTTACATCAGCAAATTTTTCAAGTATATTGATATCATTTTTGAAAAGTAAATTGGATCAATTAGGTAATGCAGATTTAATCAAGTCAAATATTTTGATCAGATTGTTCAAGTTATGTTTTATGTCTGTCAATCTTTTTCCAACTACAAATGAAGCTGTATTATTACCTCATTTAAACTATCTAATATTAGAATCATTGAAATTGGGAACTAAAGCTGAAGAACCAATCGTATATTCATACTTAGTCAGGATTTTATTCAGAAGTATAAGTGGTGGAAGATTCGAAAATTTATACAAAGAGATTATGCCAATATTACCAGTACTTTTGGAAAATTTAAATAAAATGATTGCAAATGCAAGAAGACCATATGAAAGAGATATATATGTTGAATTATGTTTAACTGTTCCTGTAAGATTATCAGTTTTAGTACCTCATTTGAGTTACCTAACTCGTCCCTTAGTTTATGCACTAAATGGTTCACAAGAATTAGTAAGTCAAGGTTTACGTACTTTTGAACTATGTGTTGATAATTTAACAGCTGAATATTTTGATCCAATGATAGAACCAGTAATTGATGATATAATGGCAGCATTATGGAAACATTTAGAACCTGTTCCATATCATCATCAACATAGTCATACTGCTATTAGAATTTTGGGTAAATTAGGTGGTAGAAATCATAAACAAATTAAACCATGTGATAATTTACAAACTCAATCTGATATTGATCAAGAAATTAAAGCATTAGTACAAATATACGGTCTTAATGATAAAGTCCCAGTATCTGTGACTCCGGGTGTTGAATCAGCAATAAAATTATTAGATGATCCGAGACTAAAAATTCATTATAGAATTAGTGCATTCAAATACCTTGCAAGTATATTAAAATTATTCATTAATACAAATCCTATTCCAGAAAATTTTGTTCAATATGCGCAAGAAAGTGTTGAATTTTTAAAACTACAAGATAAAGAAGTTGATATAAAACTAAATCCACTGGATATAAAAGATGTTGAAAAATTAGATCGTCAACAACAATTATTCGCAAAATTATTAGAAATGTTATTTTTTTCAGTATCAATTCCAGAATTAAAAGATGAAGCCACTGAATTAATTGATGGATTAACTATTCATTTTACATTGTTACATCTTACTACATCAGTTATTGAAAAAGTTAAAAAAGAACGTAAATTTTCAGTCAATGATAATGAAGGTAAAGCATATATTAGTGAAAATGCATTTTTAAGTGCTATCACATATGCTTTAAGTTTTTGGGATAAAGACGTTAGAGAAAAAGGTATAGATACAATCAAAAAGATATATGAAACCACCGTGACTTTATTTGGATCAGAAGAAAGTGCTTTGCATTCATTAATTTTCAGATCAATGTTCTATAAATTCACTCATTGTTGTTATAATGAATATTATCATACAAAATTAGGTGGTGTAATTGGTCTTAAAACAATGTTTCATGATTTAAGAATAGCTCCAAATTGGTTTTATAAAAGACAGTTTGAGTTAGCAAGATCCATTTTTTTCATACTAAGGGATACTCCAGAAACTGCTCCATTTGAGGTACGTGAATCCGCTAAAGTTTTGTTATTAGATCTACTAAAAACTTGTAATAATGATTTAACTAAAGAGACAGTTATGGAAAAACCTTTCCAAACTTTGGTAGGTGCATTAGTATATGATTTAGCAAGTCCAACTCCAATGGTTAGAGAAGTTGCACAAGAATGTTTAAAAGTTTTGTCGGATGTTACTTCAGTACCTATTGCATCAATTATTGGTCCATGTAAACATTTACTATTAACTCCAATATTTGGTAAACCTTTGAGAGCTTTGCCTTTCCCTATGCAAATTGGTAATATTGATGCAATTACATTTTGTTTAGCATTACCAGATACATTTTTAAGTTTCAATGAAGAATTGAATAGATTATTATTGGAAGCTTTAGCATTAGTTGATGCTGATGATGATTCATTAGCAAATGTTCATCGTTTAAGTGAATACAGAACTTCAAAACAATTAATTGAACTTCGTGTTGTTTGTATTAAATTATTATCATTAGCATTATCAAAACCTGATTTTTCAATTGGTACCTTAGCTGAAGCTAGAATCAGAATTTTGGGTGTCTTTTTCAAGGCATTATGTAATAAATCAACAGAAATTATTAATGCTGCTCATCAAGGTTTAGCATCAAGTTTACAAGAAAATGCAAAGTTACCAAAAGAATTATTACAAAACGGTTTACGTCCAATGTTGATGAATTTATCAGATCATAAAAAATTAACAGTATCAGGATTAGAAGCCTTAGCTAGATTATTAGAGTTATTGATTTCATATTTTAGAGTTGAAATTGGTAGAAAACTACTAGATCATTTAATGGCTTGGGCTCAAATAAATACATTAAGACAAATTGCTGGTCAAAATCTTGATAATAATCATACTGTTCAAATTGTTATGGCTATTTTAAATATTTTCCATTTACTACCGGCTAAAGCTTATACATTTATGGAAGAAATTATAAATACTTTACAATATTTAGAAGGTCATTTAGATCGTCATCAAGATTCTCCTTTTAGAAAACCAATTTCAAAATTCCTTAATAGATTTGCAGAAAACTGTGTTGAGTATTTGATAAAAAATTTCAAAAATCGTAAATTAGGAAATATGCTTGCATCAATTGCGGGAATGGATGGTTGTGAAAATATTCGTAAAACAGCAGAAGAGAAATTTTCAGTATTAATCGATGAAGTTAAAAATGAAACTGATCCAGAAGTTAAAGTTGTTAAATTTGCAAATATTATTGATTTAACTGATGCCATAGCTAAATACGATAAAGAATGGTTCAATGGTCAAAAGGATTTATTAATTACATTATCCGAATTTTTAGAAGATGCTCATGAAATAAGTACTGCTCCTGTTTTATCCGCAGCTCATTTTCAAAATGATCAAGCTATTATCAAATTACAACATCTTGCTGTTGATTTTGTCAAAAATAACGAAAAAGAATTTGATTTGATCTTTGTCATTATCAACCGTCTTTGTAAATTGAAATATAAAATATCAAATGAATTAGAAGATTTCATATTTAATGATATTGTTTCAACAGATAATCTTGAATTAAAGAAATTGTATTTAAATAAGTCTGTTGAATTCATCAGTGATTCAGAACCATGCTTAAAATCAAAAATACTTATCTTGAAGAAAGTTTTCAATCCTATTTTTATTTACGAATCAGTCAAAAATAATGATGTGTCAAAATTATTTGAAGGTGTTACATGGGTAGATACTTTTGATCAAAATGTTTGGAAATCTACAAATGACATTATCACAAATCATACTTCTGGTGCAATGGACAGTTATAGATATGCACTTTTGGAAGTTACTGCATTATTATTAAAATTAGCGCCATCGCACATAAATGACTTACGTAAAGATATAATCAAATTCAGTTGGAATTACATTAGATTAGATGACAACATCACCAAACAAGTTGCATATGTTACAACATCATACTTCATATCAGCTTACGATACACCAGGAAAATTAGCAACACAAGTATTTGTCGCATTGTTACGAACACATCAAACTGATTCAAGACATTTAGTAAGACAAGCCTTAGATATACTAGCTCCGGTAATGTCAGATAGAATGAAAGATGTTGATTCTTGGTTAAAATGGCCTCGTCGTATCATATCAGAAGATGGATTTAATGTAACTCAAGTTTTAAATGTTTATCAATTCATTATTCAACATCCTGACTTATTTTTTGTTGCGAGAGAACATTTTGTTTCTAATATTATTACTGCTATGGGTAAATTAACCATATTGGCAAATCCAGCTATAGAAAATCAAGTGTTGGCAATTGAATTGGCAGAATTGATTTTATATTGGGAAAGAAAAGCTAAAGACTTGAAAAAAGATGAAGAAAAAGATGGAAAAATTGAAGAAGTGCAAGAAGCAGTTGATGGAGAAACTAAAGAGGAAATCGAAGGTGCTGAAGCAAAAGAAGATGGTGAAGTTGAAGGTGAAGAATCTAAAGAAGAAACTAAAGAATCAGAAGAACCAGCTGACGAAGCTATGGAGGAAGCTGACTCCAAACCTGAAATTGAAGTTCAAGATGATGTTAAAGTTGAAAGTGATTTTACTACTTCACCAAATTATACAATTCCATTTGGTCAAAGAGAAGCTTGTGTTACATTTTTAATCAGATATGTTTGTATTAGTCCTCAAAGAGCTTCTGAAAGTGAATTAGGTCAAAAGGCATTAGGTATATTATATGATTTATTAAGTCCTGAACATTGGCCAGAAGTTACAGTTAAATTAAGCTTTTTTGAAAAATTTTTATTATCAAATGACTTAAACTCAAATAATTTATTGGGTTATTGTTTAAATGCATTGGAAGTATTAGGCGTTGTTTTGGAATGGAAAAATTCAGAATGGATTGTTTCTAATTTATCATATTTACAAAAACTACTTGAAAAATGTATTAAATCTGATAATCATGATATTCAAGAAATTTTACAAAGAGTTTTGTGTACTATATTAGAAGCAATTAATCAACAAAAGAAGTCAGAGGATGAAGAAGAAGAAGAGGATGATGTTAAAGAATTTATCAATTTATTGACTACATCAGTATCCGAAGATTTAGGTGATATGCCATCATTTGCAGCAGGTGTTACTTTATCTTGGACATTAGCTCAATATAGACCAGCAACATTGGATCCTTTGTTACCTACTATTATGAAAACATTCAGTAAGTTATGTAAAGATCATATTACAATCACTCATCAGGGAGCTCAATCAAAAGATAATACAAATGCAGAATTTGAAGCTAAAATGACAACTAAATTATTAGAAAAAATATTGAATTTATGTTCAATGAGAATTTCAAATTTAGGTGATCAAAGACGTATATTTTTATCATTATTGGCTCAATTAATTGAAAGAAGTTTGGATAAAGATACACTTGAAAAAATAATTAAAATCGTCAAAAATTGGGTCTTTTCAAGAACTGATTTATTCCCAACAACAAAAGAAAAAGCAGCTATATTATCTAAAATGATGGTTTTTGAAGTAAGAGGTGAACCTACGTTATCAAAAGAATTTTATCAAATTGTCGTTGATATTTTTGAAGATGATTCTTTTAGTTGTACTGAATTGACTGTTCGTATGGAACAACCATTTATGGTAGGTACAAGATCTACTGATGTTTCTATAAGAACTAAATTATTGTCAATTTTAAATAATAGTTTGGAAAAAGATATTTCCAAAAGATTGTATTATGTTATAAGAGAACAAAACTGGGAGTATTTGGCTGATTATCCATGGTTAAATCAGGCTTTACAAATTATATTTGGTGCTTTTAATTTCGACAATAAGATTGAATTTGTCGCTGATGAAAACAAATTAGCTCCAATTGAAACTATTGAACTTCCAAAATTTACATCTGATGATGATAAGATGGAAGTTGATTCAAATGAAAAATTGGACGAAGTGTTGAAAGTTCATTCTGAATTTTTGAACAAAATAGGTGAATTAAAAGCTGGTGATGTTTTTGAACCTCTAATTGATATGTTTTATCAAAGTAGTGAATCAATTCATAAAACTTGGTCTACAATATTCCCAATTGTTTTTAAATCTATACCAAGATCAGAACATTTAGATTTTACAAGGTTTTTGGTCATATTATTATCTAAAGAATATCACACTCGTCAAATTGACATGAGACCAAACGTTATTCAATCTTTATTAGAAGGTATTGCAAAATGCTATGATTTACAGTTACCGCCTTTCGCAATTGAATGTTTGGCTGCTAATTATGGAGCTTGGTCTCAAGGTTTACAATTACTAGAACAAATAAATGAAGAATCAATTAATGCTAATGCTGACGTCCGTGAAGTTGTTCAAGATGCTTTAACAAAACTTTATGCAACATTGAAAGAAGATGATATGTTCTATGGTATATGGAGGAGAAGAGCTAAATATACTGAAACAATTAGTGCATTATCATATGAACAAATGGGACTTTGGGATAAAGCTCAACAATTATATGAAACAGCTCAAATCAAAGCTAGAAGTGGTGCATTACCATATGGTGAATCTGAATATGCATTGTGGGAAGATCATTGGATCTTGTGTTCTGAAAAACTTCAACATTGGGATATTTTAACTGATTTAGCAAGACATGAAGGATTTTCAGATTTATTATTAGAATGTGGTTGGAGAGTTGCTGATTGGTATAATGATAGAGAAACCTTAGATCAAACCGTTAAAAATGTTATGGATGTACCAACTCCACGTCGTCAAGTATTTGAAACTTTTTTATGTTTACAAGGTTATGGACAAGAAAAAGAAACGTTACAAGACCTTTCCAAGTTATGTGATGAAGGTATTCAATTAGCATTAAGAAAATGGCATGGATTACCTAAAAGATTCACAAATGCGCATATTCCTTTGTTGCATACTTTCCAACAATATGTTGAATTTATGGAAGCTAGTCAAGTTTATGCAAGTTTGGTTAGTACAAATGCTCAAAACTTGGATGTTAAATCACAAGAACTTAAAAGAGTATTACAAGTTTGGCGTGAAAGATTACCAAACATTTGGGATGATATAAATATTTGGAATGATTTAGTTACATGGCGTCAACATGCGTTCCAGGTTATTAATAAAGTCTATATGCCATTCATTCCTGTACTTCAACAATCAAGTTCTGGAAGTAATGCTAATTCATATGCTTATCGTGGATTCCATGAAATTGCTTGGGTTATAAATAGATTTGCTCATGTTGCAAGAAAGCATAATATGCCAGAAGTTTGTATTAAAGAATTAACAAGAATATATCAATTGCCAAATATAGAAATTCAAGAAGCATTTTTGAAATTAAAAGAACAAGTTAAATGCCATTATCAAAATCCAAATGAATTAAATACTGGTCTCGATGTGATTAGTAACACCAATTTGGTTTATTTTGCAACTCAACAAAAAGCTGAATTCTTCACTTTGAAAGGTATGTTTTTGAACAAATTAAATCAAAAAGATGAAGCTAATAAAGCATTCGCAACTTCAGTTCAAATTGACTTAAATTTACCAAAAGCTTGGGCTGAATGGGGTATGTTTAATGATCGAAGATTTAAAGAAAATCCTAATGATATGGTTTATGCAAATAATGCAATAAGTTGTTATTTACAAGCGGCTGGTTTATACAAAAATGGTAAAACTAGAAAATTATTAGCAAGAATCTTATGGTTGATTAGTTTAGATGATGGTTCAGGTACATTAGCGCAAGCATTTGAAAATTTTAGAGGCGAAGTACCAGTTTGGTATTGGATTACTTTTATCCCTCAATTATTGACTTCGTTGTCTCAAAGAGAGGCTAAATTAGCTAAACAAATTTTGGTAAGAATAGCTAAAAGTTATCCACAAGCATTGCATTTCCAATTAAGAACTACCCGTGAAGATTTTGCTGCTCAACAACGCCAAGCTATTGAAATGGCTCGTCAACAAGCTGCTGCTGCCGCTGCTAACAATAACAATAACAACAATGGCAATAATAGTGCAGCAAATGGAACTTCTGAGAATGGTAAAAATGAACAACAAAATGGTCATCAACCACAACAATCACCACCGCAAATCACTATTCCAAATTCAGTTCGTCAACCTTTGGAACATGTGGAAGAAATCATGGCTATTTTAAAAACTGCATACCCATTATTAGCTTTATCATTAGAATCATTAGTTGATCAAATTAATCAGAGATTCAAATGTACTGCAGATGAAGATGCTTATAGATTAGGTGTTGCTTTATTGAATGATGGAGTTCAATATTTAAATAGATTAGGAAATCCAAAAGATGATGCAAAATTACCACCAGTCACTGAAGCTAATATAACAAGATTTGCAGAAACTGTTTTACCAAAACAAATAAGAGCAGAATTTGAACAAGATTTAGTATTTTCAAAACCCAATTTGGAAACATATATCACAAAATTAAGAAAATGGAGAGACAGATTAGAAGATAAATTAGATAGAAGATTTACAAAAGTCAATTTGGAAAATTTATGTCCTCATTTAAGTGAATTTCATCATCAAAAATTTGAAGAAATTGAAATACCAGGTCAATATTTATTAAATAAAGATAATAATAGTCATTTTGTTAAAATTGAAAGATTTTTACCAACAATCGATTTAGATCGTGGTACAAATGCTTGTTATAAGAGATTAAGAATTAGAGGTCATGATGGTAGTCTTCATACTTTTGCAGTTCAATTTCCAGCTGCTCGTCATTGTAGAAGAGAAGAATCAGTTTTTCAGTTATTTAGAATTTTCAATGATAATATTTCAAGAAAAGTTGAAACAAGAAGAAGAAATATTCAATTTACTTTACCAATTGCAGTTCCTTTGTCTCCACATATTAGAATTGTTAATGATGATACAAGAGATATTACATTACAAAAAATTTATGAAGATTTTTGTAGAAAGAATGGTAAAAGTAGAGATGAACCATTTATTTATACAGTTGAAAAATTGAGAGCAGCATTTGATCAAAGATTACCAAAACCCGATTTAGCAAGTATTAGAGTTGAAATATTAAGTGCTATACAAACTTTATTAGTTCCATCAACAGTATTGAAAAATTATTTCCTTAACCTTTATCCAAGCTTTGATAATTTCTGGTTATTTAGAAAACAATTTACTTCACAATATGCATCATTTATTTTTACAACTTATATGATGTGTGTAAATGCAAGACAACCACAAAAGATTCATGTTAACAAAGGATCAGGTAATGTTTGGACTTCAGACATGTTACCATGTAAAATGCCAAATAGAACAGATTCAAATCAAAAACCACAACCAATATTTGTTAATGCTGAACAAGTACCATTTAGATTAACTCCAAACATCCAAAAATTAATTGGAGACAATGGATTAGAAGGAATATTAGCAGTATATGTATTATGTATTGCAAGAGCATTATTGGAACCAGAATCTGATTTAGAACAATATTTGACTTTGTTCGTTAGAGATGAAGTTATTAATTGGGTTTCTCAAACGCCGGAAAATAATTTAAGAGATGTTGTTAAATCAAATGTTGAAAGTATCATTAAAAGAGTAATGACTATGGGTCATATATCATCTGGTTTAGGAGTTGCCACTCAAAATGTTTTAGAATTAATTTCACAAGCTGTTAATCCAAGAAACTTAGCAGCTGCTGATACTTTATGGATGGCTTACTTTTAATCAAGATGTAAAACTCTAGGGTAGAAAAAATTATGTATTATGTATGTTTATTAGAGGAAAAAGTTAATGTATTATTATTATGAAAAATATTTACTCTGTAATTGGGTAAATCTCTCCATTGATTCAGTACTTAAAGTGAACTTCTTGAACTTTTCTTTATTTTGTTTCAAAATTCTTCTGTCAACTTTACTTGCAATATATTCTAAAGCCTTTTCACAAATTACAACCAAGCAAAATACTGAGACGGTTGCTAAAATTGAAAATATCATTGCAATAATATTAAATGTATTGATATATAACTCCACATTGTTTTTGATAATAATCACATGATTTTTCTTCTCAACTTGAAACATTTTACCGACTCTTAAACTTTGAACTACGGTGATTATATTTAAAATTAATCCAATCAATTCTAAAATAAATGAACAAAACAAACAACGTAATGAAAGTAAAGTTGGAATCGTACTTGAGCATAACGGAAGAATTGATGCATTAATACCAAACTAAAAAAAAATTAGTATCTACGATAAGTGTCATGTTTCGTAATTACACATACCATAATTAAAATGTATATACTTGAAACTAAACACATTGCAGGCCGATTCTCAATATCTTCTAATGGAACACAAGCATATATCAAAATATACTGAATCAACAAAATTGAAAAATATGTACGAAATAAATTTTTAAACATTGATAAATTATAAATACTTGAAATATTTTCAATTATCGTATTATTATTCCCAACATTAATCCTTTGACCTTCTTGTATTGGTGGATCAAATAATACATTATGAGCCATTTTTGGTATTTACTAGTGTGACATGAATATGAGAATGAAAGTTTGATATTCTTTTGATGATTCGAAATCATGGAAAAATACTATGGAAATCTGACTTTCATTTATCTTGGACTTTTGCATAACAAATATCAGTGATCTAATCTAAATATAAATCTAGTGTTTACTTTTTTTGTCAAATCTTGATAAAAAAATTTTTCTTATTATTTCTGTATAGGAATTGAAGGAATTGGAGGTTTCCAAGGATCGTTTTCTCTATTGGATACTAAATTTTGATAAACTTGTCTTTCCAATTTTGGAAAAATTTTATTACTTAATTCAACACCTTCGTTAATCCAACAACTCCAACTACCCATTGTATTGGCCATTAAAACATCTGTGAATAATCTATCACCAATAACTAAAATTTCATTTGAATTTATATTTAATTTTTTAAAATACGACAAAATTTCTTCATAACATCCTGGCTTTTTGATTGAATGTCTTAATACAGTAACTCCTGTTTTTTGTTCTAGTATTTGAGCTTGTTCGTGATTTATGTCATCATTTGTACCTGCAGAATTACTCACTATCAATAATTGATTAGCTGGGTATGTATCCTTTAATTTTTGCCAAGTTTGCTAAGTTATTGTTAGTATCATAACACAATAAAAATAAAGCAAATTGTGAAACATACCTCATATTGGGGCCAAACTTTATCATCGTGATCTTTGGCAAAACAATTATCCTTATCTAAAACGATACCTTTTATTTTAACATCATCATGACCTGGAATTTTGAAAGGTATACTCAATTGATCAAATGACTTTACTGTGAGATGCGGCAAGCATAATCCAGGGTTATATAATAATCTTGAGGCATTTAATGTAGCACTAAGGTTAAATAATTGCATTAAATTCTACTATCTTTGATCGTGATAATGTTATTGAAAAAAAAAATTAGTTGTGATAGTAGAATTTGAAAATTTGCAACATAATCTGCCTTAGAATTAAACACAAATTACAACCACCTGCATTATTCAAATGTCCGCAGATACAAATGCGACTATCAATAAAGAACCTAAGAGGTCAAGGGTTAGTCGAGGTGGGAAATCAGCGTCAACACCGAGGAGAGGTGGTTATAGAAATAAAGATGATGTGACAAAAAATCAACAACAATATGAAGAAGAAGAAGAAGAAATACCCGAAGGTCAACAATGTGTTATATGTGCAGAGAGAATAGAATTTGCAGCGTTAACTCCTTGTAATCATACAACTTGTCATAAATGTACATTTCGTCAACGAGCTTTATATGAAAAGAACAATTGTCTAATATGTAGAAGTGAAAATGATACAGTCATAATTACAGAAGATTTAAATAAAGATTATGAAGAGTTTGACGATAAGAGCAACCTATTATTTGACGAAAAATATAGGATTTATTTCACCCAAGATTACGTTTTGAAAGATACCTTAAATTTATTATCAAATCAGTGTTCAATTTGTAAGGAAATATTTAATAGCTTCAAAGAATTAAGTGACCATGCTAAGGAGAAACATGGAAAATATTACTGTTTAATCTGTTCTAGATACAAAAAGGCATTTAAGATAGAGTTACCATTGTATACATATAAATTGTTACAGAAGCATCAATCACAGGGAGATGAAGATGGATTTACTGGACATCCTGAATGTAAACATTGTTATGGAAAACGATTCTACTCAGAAGATGAATTAAATATTCACATAAGGGATAAACACGAAAGATGTCACATATGTGATCAAACCAACCCCAAAAATGCAGATTACTACAAAAATTATGATTCATTATATCAACATTTTACGAAATCACATTATGTATGTACAGTTGCATCATGTGTTGAAAAAAGATTTGTTGTGTTTAGAGATGATTTAGATTTGACAGCTCATATGTTAAAAGAACATGGAGGATTAAGTAATGGTCAAAGAATAGTTATAGGATCTAATTCTCATTATCATCACTCTCAAAACAACAATAACAATGGAAATGGTCATTTCAGTCAATTATCAACTTTCAATAACTCCAGATGGTTGAGTTCAAATGATGATCAAGATGAAGATCAGCAATCTCCTGAAATCAAGAAGAAAAGATTTGAAGAAAGAGCAAAGCATTATTTAAATTATGATCAGCTGAAATTCAATGAATTCATGAAAGTTAATGAACAATTTAAATCCAAAAAGATTAACGCAAAAGAGTTATTAATGTATTATAAACAAAACTTATTCCAATCACAATCATTGGAAGAACTAAATTTTTTGGTTAAAGAATTCTCAGAATTTTTCAATAAAAACAACGACCTCAGTAAAGATTTGATATCAATATTAATTCAAGAAAACGAAGAAAATCCAAGTGAACAATTCCCAATACTTGGAGGTAAGTCAAATGCAAATTCTTTTTCAAGTGGTGAAAATTGGGTGAATGGAGAATCATCAACTGGTACATCAATGGATAAATTTCCACCTTTGAAAAAACCAACAAAAGTCAACTACATAAACCCAAATAATCAACCAACACGTTACACTACAGTATTGAAAAAGAAACCAACAGCAACCAAAAAGCAAAGTTTTCCAATGTTATCAAGCTTAAGTCCACCATACATTCCAAATTATCTTGATAACAACAACGTCCTAAAAACTTCAAAATCAGACATTACATTAAATTCATTAAACTCATCATCGTCATCATCAATGCAAAGGAACGGTTCATCTGCATCACTAGCATCTAATTCCAAAAATATAGACGATAATAAATTTCCAGCATTACAAAGAAAATCAAACAAAAAGATTATACCAAGAGTTAATGAGGTAAAAGTTAGTGATCCAAACCTTTGGGGTAAAGAGTCCAACAATTCAGTCACATTCACTAATGATTCTTCATCAAATGACATTGACATAATTGATAAAAGGAAACAAAAATTAAAAAAGAAACAAGATAGATTATTATGGCAAGTTTAATGAGTTAACGACAAAAGGAACTTTTATATATAGGCCTGTACTTTTTCACTTCATAAAAAAGACGATATTTTTTTGATTAAAACAGCGTTGTATGTATAAACCTCAGTTATAGCAATTCAGACCAAAAGAAATAATTGATCTACAGCTAAACCAGCAGTAAAGTTGTATTCTTTTTTGATAAGATATCGACTCCTATTTATACTACCGATTGGTAACGTAATATATTTTGTGGGATTGATGTAGCATACTGGCTGTATTATTCGCACATTCTAATTAGATGTTTCAAACCCAATTTAAACTTTTATTCTTTTGCAAAATCGTAACCAGAATTTTAAATTTAAAGCAAAAGAAGCAAGACACGAAAACACGAGGATGTTAGACGTTATTTTTTTTTTATAATTATACTATTTAATAGACGCAACTGTTCTGACGAAGCAAAATAAGAAATATTCAATTTGGTCAATTGAGCTTCAGGACTTCCGAACAAAACTTTCCTCACAACTTTGTTTCAAAATAGTGAAGTCCTCTTCGAAAGTAATTCAGTTGATTCGTAAATATATGAAAGTTAAGAAATACTTACTGTAAATATAGCTCAGATGATGATACAAAAGCGCTAAAATACTTAAATATTACTGTGGATAAGCTTACTAAAATTAATTTTCTCACGAAAATTTCATAAATTTGCTATTTTACAACCGAATGGTTCCGAAATCTTTCTTGTAAGGTTTCACATAATTAATCAAGTTGTAAATTTCTCAGAGCAACAACAGTGAGACTAACTACAAATTACTGAATAAACTCTATCTTAAGGTTTTATAAGCATTAGATTCATTGAAAAAATAGCTGAGCATAACTACATGATAGTAAAGAGGAATTATAATCAAGAACGCAATTATTGTATATTATTTACTTGCAAATGTAATTTTATAATCATCTTACTAATTTTTTAATTATAGTATATTGTACATGTTAGTAGACTTGACATATTAACTTTAATTTTTCTTATTGTCCTATCGGCTTATTTGGAGAAAATTTTAATACTTTGTACTTAATGCTTTAATTAAAACAGTTTAAAAATAGAATTTAATTTAACCGTATATTCTTTTCACTAATCTAAACAAGTTGAATAGAGTATTTTTAGTTAGAAATCGGAATTTAATTGAAGTATTCTATTGTTAAATAATAACTGAAAAATGGAATTAATGGAATATTCTATCTTTTTCATCTCGAAAGCAAATTTAAACTTTTAATGTATAGAGACATTGATGATAACAGTATGGCTTTAACATTAAGCTTTTGTCCTCTACATTTTTAAAAATAATTATTAATCATCATTTAAGTCAAATGACTCTCGATTCATGAGACTGTAATTTTTTTTGTATGAGTACTTTTGAAGGAAAAGTCTTCAAAGATAATCATGAATTTCTGGGCTACTTTGATAAACGTCTTGTTGGTTGATTCATGTACTAGTTCTATTTTTTTCCGTTACATTACATTTTAATAAAATTTACTTATTTTTTTCATGACTATTTTAATGGTTTGAAAATTTATTAATATTGCCGAATATATAAACATTACACTAAAATCAATAATGTGTAACTATTTAGGTTAGTAAGACATATATTTATATATAAGAAGTTGTCAATCGCTTGTTTTTTAATTGAATACTTATTCACAACTCATACTAACTTTCATTTCAACTCGTCACTTGTTTATTTCATTCCATTTTCTTCGTTTCGTATACTCATTCTCAAATTTTAAAATCTTCAAACAAGCAAAACCTTATTTCAAGATTACCACTTAAGCTTTTACTTGTAATAATTTGCAACACTTTAATTATTTAAAAAAATTTTATTTACAACACTTTCAAATTTTCAGAATAAACATTCATTTTCAATCAATAATATAATGTCAACTGAAACAAGAACATTAAATATTAATTCGATTTCATTACCAATTCCATTAACTCCAACACCACCATTAGAACCTGCATCAACTAAAACTCAAACAACCAAAGAACCAGAAGAAGAACAATTATTATCAAAATGTATATATGCAGATGACCCAATCACAGAATTTAATAAATCATACTCACAAATCTTGCTAGAAAAACAACAAAACCATAAAAAGAACCACAATTATTTATCATACAAACTCAATCAATTATACTATCAATATATTTATTCAACTCCAATAGCAATCTTATCACTTGGTGAAACTATATGGTTTAACCTTGTTGTATTACTGTTGATTGTTGTAACTAGTTATTATATCTGCTGGATTTTACCACAAATGATGTTGAACGGTTTTGAAAAATTTTACTATTATTTAACCGGTTATTCCTTCAAATTTTCAAACATAATCATGGGCAGTGGTGATAGTAACTCAAGCGTTTTAAAATTTTTGAATTCTTTGTTGTTTTTGAATTTGAAAAATAATGCATCAAGTTTATTTTTAAATAACAACTATAATAATGATGGCGTTGAATTTTTAAGAAATGTCCAATGATTTATGAGCTTGGGCCAAATCCTTGAGTTCGAGGTTGATATGATGCTATGACTGGTGTTTAAATTTATGTATTTGCTTTCCTTCTACTAATTTGATTTAATATATACGAGATTTTCAACTTAAACCGAAAGCATGTTAGTAGAACCCAAGAATTATAGATCTTTGAAGACACAATCACAATCTAATACAATATAAAACTTTTTAATCTCAGATTCCTAGTTTGATATCAAGTTGCTAGTTAATTGCTGGTAATTACATTTAACGCTGACTGTTTTAAATCAAATCTATTTCTAAATCTCAATCAGATATCAAATGCATATTCCATGTTTCGAATTTAACAATAATTGGGCAATTATAAATCATATCCTGTCAAACCTAAAGTTGGGTATTGATATCAAACGATATCAAGTTAAACTATCTATGGCACTAATGAAATGGAATCCAATTGCCATTTTTTAATTTTTTGCAACTTCAAATTTATCTCCAAATTGTTTCATATTCTGCTACCACCTTACTACAATATTTTGCAGCTTTATTTACGCAAATTTAAAGTATCAAAATATTTTCTATATTTTTCTCCTTTGTATTTAATCAAAAACAATAAGCAATTATTTATTCAAGTAAACTCAGTTCATCCAGATGACAAATGCAATTGCATTTGGATGAACAAATCCATGCTAGCTCTAATTAGATGAACCGTATCAAAAGTTGAACTAAGGTCAACTATCCATCTTTTTCAGACAACGTGCCCATTCACAGTCAAGTATCTCAAGTTCCAAAGTTAAAAAGGTTTGTCAATCAATTATCCAAAACACCAAATAAATCACTTGTTTCACTTCAGTGTCTATTTCAAATCATAGTCCAGTCAGTTAGTTAAGTTTGTCTCCAAAGGTTGGTTTTCCAAGTTTGATAAAATCATTAATTTGTCCATCGGGTCGGAAAACGTCTCAGGTAGTCAACTCAGATAAATTCCATACTTATATGGGTGAAATGTATCACAAATATTTCTCAATCGATAATGAAAACTAAAATTTTAAAGTTAGTAGAATAAATAAATAAATAATTCTACATTAGTATGGATAAATGCTGGTGATCAAATGACGAATAAATTTTATGAATCTTCTTTGTAAAAAAGATTTCATTTTCTTTTTAATATATACTCAATGGCAAAGTTTTTGGTATGCTAATCTTTAGTTGCAAAATATTATTGTGAAGTAATATTGTATATAATAGCACATTCCAGTAATTCCCTAATAAGTAAATATAGTGCGGCGCGATAAAGTGTTGTCTAAAATTGAATCGATTTGAATTTTACAACCACTTTTTGGATCCTGAAGAATCGCTAGATCAAACAACTTATATAACATGATAAAACAAAGACTGACTATAATAAATTACGCATTGAATCATGATGACGTTATAAAACACTTAAATCAAACAACTTTAATATTGAAGTCAGCTAGTTCAGACAAACCATTACTTGTTGAAAATAAATTTACAATACCATTTAATAAAAAGTTACAACATATAAATCAACTAAGAATTCAATCTAAATTTAATGAAGAGTCGAACAATTTGAATGAAAGTATCAATGAATTTTTCCCGTTTGAATTTACATCAGGTATAAATATTTATGTTGAACCAAGAAACAAAATTAATAATGATGATAATGTTGAATTTTTCAAGGAATTGAAGGAAATAACACATGAATTTATTGGGCTAGAAATTGGAGAAGAGCAATGGGTAAATCATGTAGACTCGTTGTATTATTATGACTTATCACCTTCAATTTTAAGATTGGAAAGTCCAGGTGGTAATAAAGAATACTGGTACGATAACAAAACTTTTGATTTAATATACAAAAACAACGTCAAAGAAAATCAAATAACATTACGTCAAATATTCACCTCAAATGAATTGGATTATAACTTAAAATTAACGGAGTACAAAGAAATCGGTATATTTTTAAAAGATTCAAAGGTTTCAACTTCAAAAGATGACCTTGTTCTTAGTGGATTAAGAGTTATTCTAGATGGGCAAAGTGAGACTACTAAAGATGGAGAAGAAAGTGACAAGAATATGTATAAAACTATGTTTCATTTCAAGCCAAGACATAGATACTTGACTGAAGGCGAATATAAAACAAATTTGATAAATAATGGGTTACATCCAATTTTCAATACACAAATAAGTTTGCCGGAGTTGGAAGAAGATGAAGAAAAAAAATCATTTATAATTGATGATGATGTTATAAATTGTAACTCATTCATTTACTTAAATTTGAACAAGTCATTGATATTTGACAAATATCAGAATGTACCAATCAATACAACCTTATTAATTAGTAGTGGATTTCAAGACTTAGAATTACCAGAATACAAAATAGATCAATGGGGAAGAGAGCTTTTATTCAAATTAGATGACGACTTCAAAAATCAAAAAGATTTTAATTTAACATTACATTCAAGATATCAATTACCACAAAATAATAACACCTTACAAAATTCGTACACTAACATCATAAACTCAAAACCGAAATACTTCATTGCATGTAAAATTAAAGATTCAGAAATGTTATCGAAATCTCCATTCGATACAACTAGGCATAGTTCAATTGGAAACAACTATGAAAATTATTTCGCTAAAGATACTGTATTTTATCATCCTAGAGAATTGAATGCTGAAAAAAATTTACAAGTTTCAATTCCACATGGTATCACTACATTCAATAGAATTAATTCAATTACTACAATTACTTTAATTATTGGTATTTTGATTATTTTAACGAGTGTTGTTAAATATTTATTCAAATCATTTACATCTACAACTGAACATAAAACTAAAATAGTAAAAGTTGAGTAAATGGCTAAATTATCATTAATAGAATTGAAATAAATGCATTACTAAAATTTTAACCGAACAAATTCCAATCTTCAATAGTAAAACTTAAGCAAATTTCTTTAAAAAACTTAAACAGATCAATGACCAATTGGTCAACTTCATTCTTTGGGTTGATCAAATTAATTTCTTCAATTTTAAAATCCAGTTTGAGTGGTAAATTATATTGTATCAAAATATCAGTCTTCACTTTATTAATCCTAATTAAACAAATCAATATAATATTTAATTTTGATTGATTGTCTTCCGTTCTTTTAAACTCAGGTTTGAAAAAGACATAACTAAAAAATTTCTCACCAATAGTATCTTTAAATTCTTCAATTGGATAATTCTTTGTATTTGGCGGAGCAATATCTAGTAAATGTTCCTCAATTGCAGTATTATAATTAGTTGATTCAACTTGTTCTAGAATGTCAAAAATTAATGATTGATCGTATGATAATGTATTGTTGATCTCGTTTATAAATACTTCTTGAGTGTCAGGAATTTGTCTTATTTGAGATACGTCTATGAATGATGATGGAAGTTTATTTATCGTTATTGCACCTCCATATAACTCTGTTTTTGAGTTGTCTGCTGTCATTATTGGTTAATTTATATGAGTTGTAGATATGTAAGTATAGCTAGGGTTTTTATAGTGGAATTGATCTAAATTGGTAAATTGTTGTAGCTTTATCAAGTTGTTATTCAATGAGTTTCATGTCTTGAAGCAATTAATTTCAAATCTAGATATTAGTTGATTTTGTGTGATATTTGAAAATATTTTGTAAAATCCACAATATTCTGATCAAATCAACAACAAATTATTCACCGATCAATAACATCTTTGCTTCAATGATTCACGTCTAAGTCACTTGACTTATTATTGTACTTTGGATCAAAAAAAGATTCCTTAGATTTCGTCTTGTGCTTCATCACCGTAAAATTGTAAGTTATGTTTCACAAACTCTATTTTCTTGACACACAACAGATCTGCGACAAAGATGTCAAAAAACACGCGTCTTATCAAAACTATTCAATTAGGATTCGAAATATATAGACCTTAAGCAATTGGACTAATTTTTTAACGAGCTTTCAAATCATAGCTCAAAAGTTTTGTTAAAATTAAGTCCAAAATCTAGTTCGTTAATGAAATAATAATAATTAATACGTTAAATGAAAAAATAAAATATTAATTGATATATTATTTTTCAGATTTCTTAATCTTTAAATAATTTACGAAAAAATCAAAAATTTATTTTTAGAAAAAATTCCAAGTTTTTTTAATAATTACAAATTACAATTAAAAGAAGAAAAAAACCTTAATCTAATTAGGTTATAGATCTCAATACTAGTAGGTTAGATCTACTAAATCAAAATCTTACATACACATATTCAATAGAGAGAAAATGACGAAATATAATTCATCATCATCAAAATCTAAAAGAAAATTCATAATACCAATCATAATAATAATACTAATAATTATATCACTAACATTTTTCAATAAGATACCAGGTATAAATCCAGCACAAAATTTTCAAGATGTCATATCAACAAATTTACCAAATGATAAAATTTTAGGATTAAGTAATTTTCTTTCTAATGAAAATTCTAAAAATCAAGATGAATTATTAAATAAAATTGAAAAAATGAATAAAAAATGGTTTCAATTACAAGAACAAAAATTAGCAAAATTAGAAGAACAAAATAAATTAATATTAAAAGAATTACATGATTTAAAAACTCCAAATTCTCAATCTTCAATACGTGAAAAATTAATGTTTGCTTATTCATATAATCCAGATTCAAAATTCCCTGCATATATATGGCAAACTTGGAAACATGGATTAAATGATGAAAGATTTGATGAAAAATATAGAGAAGGAGAAACTCAATGGGCACAAAAAAATCCTGGTTTTGTACATGAAATTTTTAATGATGATACAACTCATACAATGATTAAATATTTATATAAACAAATTCCTGAAGTTATTGAAACTTTTGAAAATTTACCTGAAGTTATATTGAAAATGGATTTTTTTAAATATTTAATATTATTTGCAAAAGGTGGAGTTTATGCAGATATTGATACTTTTCCAATTCAACCTATACCAAATTGGACACCAGAAAATGTATCACCATTAGATATTGGAATGATAATTGCAATTGAAACAGATTCAAATTCACCTAATTGGAGACAAGATTCTGTAAAAAGATTGGAATTTGGACAATTTGTTATACAAGCAAAACCTGGTCATCCAATATTAAGAGAAATTATTGCAGAAATTATTGAAACTACTAGATTGAAAAAAATAGAAAGTATGTCTTCTTCAACTGATGGACAATTAAAACTTATTGGAAATACAAATCAAAAATCAAAACAAATAAGTCAATGGACTGGTTCAACTATATGGACAGAAGTTATTTTCAAATATTTTAATGATTATATTTTATCTTCTGTGTTTCAAAAAGTTACATGGAAAGCATTTCATGAGTTGACTACTCCAAAATTAGTTAGTGATATATTAGTATTGCCTGTTAATTCTTTTGCGTCTGATATTGATATTGAAAAAGATGGTGGTAAAAAGATTGATGATCATTTAGCTTTTGTAAAACATTATTCTGCTAAAATTTGGAAAAGTGTATAATAATATAGAATAGAATATATAATTATATTTATTAAGTCTTTCTAATTTCCAGATCTTCTACAATTCTGATGAATTAAATTAAATTTTTGTATATATATTTACATATTTATAAGATTCTATATAATGAATAATTACTTAAATTTTATTAAATTATAATTCATCTTTTTCTATTGGATTTTTAGTTGGTTTAGATAATGAAGTTTTTTTGATGGTACGAGTGATCTTTTTGGTTTTTGTTTTGATTTGATTTGATGTTGTTGTTTGGGTTGTAGTGGTTATAGTTGTTGTACTTTCAGTGGTTTCAGTTGAAGTTGAAGTTGTTGTAGTTTCCGGTTCTACAATTGGTGAATTAGTTGAGACTTCTTTAACTTCATCAATAACTGAATTACTTGATTCTTCTTTATTCTCATCAATCAGTGATGCTGATAATGATGAAGTAGGCTCAACAATACTTGGCTCATCTTTAGCTGGTTCTAATTCAGTTGTAGTTTCTGGCATTGCTTCTGTTGAAGGAGTTGATATTTCAACTAATGGACTTTCAAAAGTTTCAACTTCTAATTCAACTTCTTCTTCATTTAATGTTGGTTCATCTCTACCTGTGCCTGATACTTCAACCGTTATTTGTGATTCAATTGGGGTCGGTTCTTCTGGTGTATATTTTACTTCTTCTGTTTCTACATCGACTTGTATTGGTTCTTCGGTTGCTGCTGATGTTGAAGCAGTAGTTTGGCTTGGTTCTTCAGTACCTGTAGAAACTTCTAATGGAAGTTCAGCCTCGGTATCTACTTCAATTAATTCCTCACCACTAGCTTTAGGTTCTGATTCTTCAACAGCGTCTGAAGTAATTCCAATATTTTCAGTATCAGTGGTGGTTTCTTCCACAGCTGGTAAGTCTTCTTCTTGAGGTTCTTCAACTTCTTCAATCTCTTCAATTTCTTCAATGATTTCAACTTCATCTGAACTATAAGCATCATCAACATCTTGGTGTTGTTCATCATCATTACCATCTTCTTCAACGACTTCAATGATCTCTTCAACAACTTCGTCATCATCATCTTGTGGTGATGCATCACCAGTTGGTAAAATAGTTTCTTCTTCTAGTTCATTTGGTTTTAATTCAGTATTTGTATCATCTTCATACTTTTCAATTTTAGCGTCTTCGTAATTTGGAATATCTTTTGCTAAATTTTCTGACTCTTGCTTGTTTTTGTTGATCCTATCTTCTCTTTCTTTGGTAATTTCTTGATCTAATTGCTCTGAGTCAAGTGTTGAATTGTTTAAGATTTCTATTGGTTTGACAAGTTCTGGTTCTACTTCATCGAAGAAAGTTGGATCTGATGAAGCCTCCGCTGATGTGGCTGCTTTAAATTCCTCCTCTTTGTTTTTATTGTTTATAATTCTATCTTCTCTTTCCTTTGTGATTTCTTTATCTAATTGTTCTTCATTTGCTGTTAGATTATTTAAGATCTCAATTGGTTTTTCTAATTCTGGTTCAACTTCATTAAAAGTAGTAGGATCAGCTGAAATTTGTTCAGTAGCTGATGATATGTATTCTTTAGATAAACTTGATAATTTTGAACTAATAATACTTTTTGGAGATTCAACAATTGATGAATAAATGTTGGTGGATGAATCAGTCGATAAGATTGAAGTAGTTAATTTAACTTGATCTAATGTAGCACTATCAAATTCAGCATTTGTTAATTTATCAAAATTTTTAGTAACTTCCAGTACAATATCATTTAAAGTATTTTTAAAATCTTGTTCATGATTAGCTTTACCAAATTTTTCAATATACACTTCCAAAGCTTTTGATCCATATTTTTTACCATACTCTTCAGCAACATCATATGCTACTTTCCCATAATTTTCAGCATAATTATATGCTACTTTACCGTAATTTCCAGCATAATCATACAAGATTTTCCCATATTCCAAACCATACTCTCTATAATTTTCAGTATAATTCATTAGATCGTTAAATTTCCCAGCTTCATGGAATTTTTGTAATCCAAATGCAATAAATATCATTAATACAATAGTAAATAAATATTGAACTAAAGTTCCTATAACTCCAAATGCAGAAAAGGATTTTTTAGATAAATATTTTGGTGGGATTCTTATAACATTTAAAATATTAGCTGCACTCCCCGTGGCTAATTTAGTACCATTTGGTGAGAAACTAACACATGTTATAGCGAAAGGATGTAATTTTTTAAAAGTTTTGATGATTTTTAAATTTGTTAATTGTAATAAAGTTAATGATAAATCATTACCTGCAACAGCAATTAAACCTTGAGAATTCGATAAATCTAAAGCCACGATGTTATTAAATTTACTGGAGATTAATTGTTCTTTAGTAATTTTTCCATTTGATAAATTGTATTTAAATAAATATGCACCTTTGTTTTTAAAAGTTGCTGAAACTAAAAGTTCTGAGTCATTGATTAATTTTATTTTTGATAATTTGTAATCTGCTAGTTTTTTCTCAGATATTATTGAGTTAGTTTCAGTTGAATAAGTGACTATTGAACTTGATGTAATATAATATAATTTACATCCATCTTTATTAAATTCAAAATCTTTAATTTCATTATTGGTTTTATATTTAAATTTTAATTCCAATGTAATTGGATTGAAAAAATATAAAGTTGAAGGTAATTTTGAAGTCATTATACAACCAATTGAATTATTTGATGCTAATTTAATAATTTTAGGATATTCATCAGAATCTCCATCTAATTCTTCTTCAAATTGTGCAGCATCTTCAAATATTAAATGTTCTTCATCATTATATTTATATTTACGAACATTATTATTAATATTCATTGATTTAATTAATTGTGAACTTTGATTACATCCAACTAAGATTTGATATTCTGATGAATTACCAATATTATCAATTGAATTTGATGTTTTAACAAAATCTAAAGTTTGTGGAGAATCTTCATTTGAAGGTAATTGAATTTCTCTAAATTTTTGTATAATTCTATTTTGTTCATTTGTTTTAAAACTACATTTTAATGCTGTAATTTTATTTGGTATACCATTTGAACCTTCTCCACCCCCTCCAATTACTAATACTGTTTTATTATTTATAAATTTAGCTCCAAAGATTGGATATCCTAAATCAATTGATGATTGCTCTTTTACCATTTGTATTGTGGTTGTATTAATGATTAAATGGCAACTAAATTATTATATATAAGAGATTCAAAAAGAAAACACGAATACCTAACTATCTAAAGAAAGAGAATTGTAAAGATGTTGTCATAAGATTTGGGAATTGTCGCAAACTAAAGTTTCCTGACAATAAGTTCATTTATTAACTTTACTTCAATAAATGATTCTATTACTATTCTCTATTCTCTATTATCATTTAAGTAATCATACATTTTAAATGATCACAATTCTACTAAAGTATTAAGTATCTTAAATACTATCACTTAAGCTAGAAATAGAACGTGGAGAAACCTGTGCAAAGACAAAAGTAAAACTTGAAGAATCCTGTGTAAAGCCTAAAATTGAACTTAATACCACCAATATAGTAGTATATAGCCAGATGTTCAAAATAATAACAACTAAAGTTATTTCTAGTTTAAATAGAATTCTGAATTTGCCATCATAGTAATATTATTATTTTTCCGCTTTACAAGTGATGGTGATATAAAAATAGATTTATTAAATTTAAGCAAAATGCTAAGTCTCGGATAATACAAAAAATAATAAAATATTATATTAAAGATAAACTAGATGTTTAAATAATTAATAGATCATTCTAAATAAGTAGAAGTTATAACATATACAATAATAGATAATCATATAAAAATAGAATGATAAGTATAATATACTTTATCATAATAAATGCATTATCAAGAATACTACTAATAAATCAATCACAATCATCATCACATCCACAACAACAAAAGATTCTACTACCTAATTCAAACCCAGAACAACTTAACTTACAACTAAAGCATATATTTCATCATGGAATAGGGAATGATGACTACAAAATTCATAAACGATTAGATATAACTAATGAATATTTACAAAAACATAAAGAATATTTTATAAATTTATCAAATGAAATAAGTACACAACAAGAAGATGATGATTTACACGATTGGCCATCGATATATAAACATGAAAATCCATTTACAATAAAATTACCATTTAAATCCACTGATTCCATTTCAAAAAGACTTAAATATAGAAACGAACCAAATTTTATAGAATCATATTTAGATTATTCAAGATCAATAAATGGTAACCCCACATTATTAAATAAAATAGATTTAGAATGGATAGATGATGATATAACTGTCCCTAATATTACAGATAGAGATACAGTAATCACTTTAGCAACTATATCATCAAATTCATATGTACGTTTTCCCAAAGATGATGAAGAAAAAAAAAAATCAGATTGGATAGATGTTGGAGGTTGGGAACCAAATGATACTGATGATAATATAAATTTTGGATGGGAGAAAATAGGAATGAGAGGTCACGTATTTGTTAGTAGTGATAATAAGACAGTTGTTATTGGAATAAAAGGAACTTCTGGAGCTGGATTACCAGGTGGTGGAAGTGATGAAACTGCAGGAGTTGATAAAATTAATGATAATTTATTATTTTCATGTTGTTGTGCTAGAGTTGGATATATGTGGACAACAGTATGTGATTGTTATGAAAAAGCATATACATGTAATCAAGATTGTCTTGAAAAAGAATTAAGAAGAAAAGATAGATTTTATCAAGCTGCTTTAGATATTTATAAAAATGTAACAAAATTATATTCACCAGAAACACATGAAATTTGGGTTACGGGTCATTCATTAGGTGGAGCAATGGCATCTTTATTAGGTAGAACTTATGGATTACCAGTAGTTGCATATGAAGCACCAGGAGAAATGTTAGCAACAAAAAGATTACATTTACCTCAACCACCAGGATTACCAAAACATATGGAAAATATATGGCATTTTGGAAATACTGCTGATCCAATTTATATGGGAGTATGTAATGGAGCATCAAGTTCATGTTCATTAGCTGGTTATGCAATGGAAACTGCTTGTCATACTGGATATCAATGTGTTTATGATGTTGTTGGTGATAAAGGTTGGAGGGTTAATTTATTAAATCATAGAATTCATACAGTTATTGATGATATTATATTAACTTATAATGAAACTGCAAAATGTGTTGAACAACCTCCTTGTAGAGATTGTTTTAATTGGAGATTTGTAAGTCATATAGATGATTAAATAAAAATACATCATGATTTTTTGCATTTTAATAGTAATTTTTTAAAATTAATTAGTGTAGGCAGCATTTGTTTGAAGATCCTCGTAGACAATTTAACAATTGTATTGAGATCTTAAGTTCAAAACAAGATCATAGATCTAATTTGAAAAATTTAACTTCGTACAAAAAAGAAACAAATAATAGTAAGAGATTTTGTGGAGAAACCGCCCAATATAAATAATAAGGAAGAAGAAAATCAACCATTAACCTTTCAAATGTCATTTTACAAGTTGTAAGCAATAATTGAATGTATAATGTTAAAAATAAAAGGGGAAGCAAGAGTAAAGTGAAAAATCAGACTAAAAAATTAAACAATTTGGGTTTTGATACATGCTAATCATCTATTTTTATATATTGAAATTTTTAGTTTAAATTAACGAGATCAGCCTCTTTTGATAAAATTTTATATTTAGATTCAATACTAGAATAAAGTTCAAAGAATGGAGATGAAAGCCTAAGTTTGATGTAAGTAATTAAAATTGTCATTTTTTTAATCGAATGGCTGTGTTGATTATAAGATCACAATATTTCGAGAGAGATCCAAAATTTTACGAAATCATTTGAATCATCAAAAAATTAAATAATTAAGAACTTCTCCTTTTTTTAATGCCCCAAATTAAAGAAAAAAGAAATTTTTAATTGATTTAATATAATAGTATGAATCAATTTAATTAAATGGAAGACCAATATTAAATATGAGACCATTTGATTGAAGTAAAGCCTCTCTTCATTTTTTATAATTGCTATTACTTTCGAGTTTTTGTTTAATTTAATGCATAAAAATACTAGTTGTAAGAGACTGCCTCACTAAAATTTAAAAATTACTTAATTAGTAACCCAAACTTCTTCTTTCTGTTATTAATTGTACCTAATTTAGATTTTGTGTAATTTAGAAGAACTATATAGTCTAATTATTATAATAAGGAAAATAAGAAAAATTCGAATGACATAATAGAGAATAATTGAAGGGTAGATAGTAGGCGTATTAAGTAGAGCACTTAAATATATACTTTATGATGTTCAGTGAATGGTGTTAGTAAAGCCAATCTCTAGCCTATTTTCCAGAACGAGTTTTCTCGTATAATAAACAACTTAATTAAGTTGCAAAATTAACTAAAAGATCGAAAAAAGTAAACAAATACACAAAACAGATAAATTTTCAATAAAATAGAAATATAAAAAATTAGGTCGAGTTGACTAAAACCAAATTATACATGAAATTTAATGAGACTTTTAAACATAATTAACAATTTAACATATATCATTTCAAAATTTCAATGTAAAAATCCGAATTTAATAATTGTTACATTTCTCTTTGTTGTATTAATTTAAAAAGTAAATTTCAGATGGTCTTTTTTTTTATTCTTCATCAAAAATAAAAGCTTCTTTTTCAATTTTAATCATCTAACTTTAATATTTTATTATTTTTATTGAAATTTTAAATTTTTATAATTTTTTTTATAATCCCTTTTTTATCTACAAAAGATTATCATTCATTTACCTATTACTTTTTCATATTCAATTGATAGGTTAATAATATCTATATATCATCTAGTTAGACCAACCTTAGAATGAAAGTAATATCAACATTTTTTAATTTATTTTTTTTAGCAGGTGCTATATTATTATTAATATTTACAGTATTATCAGGTTCATCAAAACATACACCATTAAATAAATTTTATTGGTTAGAAGCAGATACTAGATCTATACCAAATGCTCCTGCTTCAAGATCTGCTTGGACTTTTTGGGGTGTTTGTGATAAAAATGATTTTGGTAATTGTTTATTAGGACCAGCTTATCCTTTATCACCAGTTGATAATTTTGATACAACTAATAATATACCTGAAAAATTTAAAAGTCAACAATCTACATTTTATTATTTAAGTAGATTTGCTTTTGCTTTTTGTTTAATTGCATTAGGTTTTGCAGGTTTAGCTTTTATTATTGATTTATTAGGATTTTGTTTTGTTGTTATTGATAAAATTGTTATATTTTTAGTTACTATTGCATTATTCTTTATGGCTGGATTTGCTTCATTCCAAACTGCTGTTGTTGTATTAGCTAAACAAGCATTCCATTCAGATGATAGATCGGCTAGTATTGGTGTTAAATCAATGGCTATTATGTGGGCATCATTTGCATGTTTATTAATTTGTTGGGTTATTACTTTAAGTGCTAATATTGTAAATAGTTATAAAAAACATATGAAAAGAGTTAATGGTGAAAAAGGAGGTAATCAATTACAACATCCACAACAACATCAACAACAAGGCTCAGCTGGAATTACAAGAGATGATTCTTCTTTTACAAGAGCTAAAAATGTTGATGATGAAAATGTAAATGGTGGTGGTATTAGATTTTTTAAAATTAAAAGAAATCAAAAAGTAACTGATGAAGATTCTGTTTAAATTAAAGGATAACTTAGAATTTAAACTAAAATCAAAGGAAGACAATAAAATACTAATTCCAATAGACAATGTCATACTTTTGATACCAATAAAGTTCAAGCATTATAAGACGTTCCAATTGACATTACAACAATAAGCACTAATTTAATTTTTAAAATACGTTACCATTTTTAATCCAATTTTTTATATATCATAATATTAGATTATCAATCTTTATTATATATTTGTGTATTAATAAAATTTATTAATTTTTAATTAAAAAAAAGAAACAAAATCTTTACTAGTCTTTATTTAAATTTCGTATCTTTTTTGAATATTAGACCACTTGAGATCTCAAGCACTTACTTTGGTAATTTAAATTCTAAAATTGATTGTTTACGTTTTTCGAGTTTTCGTGTCGCAAATATTTCTTTGTCTAAAAACCAAAATTCATGTCGTTTCTATTGACAGCCGAACCACCATAGTTTATTGTTATGAGTAAACAAATCATTTGCATCTATTGACTACACTTTCATTTTGTTCTAAATCTATAATCAATTCATTCAACTTTGGACTCGTAGTCATTTGTTCTCGACATTTTGAGCTCTTTTGAAAATTCATCCCTAAATATGAAAATTCATTTAATTTTGCAACAAAAATATCTTAAATTTTGTGAACAGCTTTTTAAGTTATTAAAAAGCTGATTTAATCATAAAGGATGAAGAGTATCTATATCATATGTTAACTGTTAGTAAAGTAGTTCATCTAATCCTACACTCTACATTAATTCAATAATCTGTAAAACAGATTCTGCCCTTGCGGAAAATAAAACTTCCTTCAACCTATATATATAAGACTAGCATATAACAAAACATCCTGTAATCCGCAATTATTAGGAGAATATAATAAATTAATTGAGATATTATTAAATATTAAATTGAATAAATCATAATATTAGGGTTTTTTATCGAACACGTTAAATTGATTATTATAATTCTGTTGAAATAAAAAATTAATTGGACTATTATATAAAATATGTGTAGAAAAATTCTTTTAGATACATTTGAAATAAATCATCGTATAATTTAATCGTATTTTTCAGCCTTTTTACTCCTCTTTTTACTAAAACTTAACTAATAATAGATAATGTAGGGTTAAATTTTAAATTTAAAGTTAACTTTCATCTTAACAAGGTTTTAGTTGTATAAGGTCAAATTAGTAAGCTTAGAAACGAAAATATTGTAAAACAAATGAATAAATGAATTCAATTATAATAATCTCAGAAAATATGTATTATTATTTATTAATTTATATAAAAATAAAATTTAAGTATAGTATATTAATCATAGCTGGTTAAATATTTAATGTTTTAAATTTTTCTGCTGGTTTCAAAATATATAATATTTTATACATTTAAAAATAAATATAATATCAACCTATTCTATTCACAAAACTCATCTATAAATCAATTGATCAATTTGATCTAAAAATAATAAAATAGATAGGTACGAATTGGATCAATTGATAATATTGGAATTTAGTTAACAAGTATAAATTTGTTTTAACTAAATTTAGTTAATAATAATTATTAAAGAGAATTTAAAGTTTTATAATAATATTCTAATATTTATAAATAATTCTTATAATAATAATAATTACACAATTTTAGCAACCAAATTTATTAAATTATATTTATTCATTTCAACAAACATCAACCAACAACAACCATTCATATCAAAGTATTATTTAATACCCAATGGTGATGGGTAGTACAGATAAACTACTATATAATTTATGTATAGTAGTAATTTATTGGATATGTTTTTGGTATATTATATATTTTATTACTGGTTTCCATTTAACAACTATAACAATAAATAATGGTATATCATTTAATGGAATTACTTTTAAAACTTCAAATAGATTAATAAAAATTAAATCATTAAGGTTTAGATTATGGGGAAATACTAAAATGACAATTATTGATGATTTATATATAAAATTATACCCATCTATTTCAAAAAATCAAAAATCAAAACTGTCAAATCTGTCATTTTTTAATATTGATGATGAAGATAATATTACTATATATCCAAAAAATTTTATAAAAAAGTTTTTCGTTAGTTTATTAATACGGCATTTCCCATTATTAGATTTAGAATTAAGAAATACAACAATAATATCAGCATCAAATTATAAAACAACCATATCATACGTCAAATTTAATCAACAATCAAGGAAAAGTAGTAGAAATACTAATAATATAAAATTTAAAACTTCATTATTTATAACTAATTTAAATCATCAAATTTTAGAAAAAATACGACCTGCTTCATTAACTTCATTTAGAATAGAATTTAAAATACTGATAAATTATAAAAATGGATCATTAGATGATTTAAAAACCAAAATTAATATATCAGAAAGTAATATATCGGTTTTTAATGCAATTAAATATTACCTTATACGTGAGGAAAATAAATCTGAATCATCATCAACACCATCAACATCATCACAATCATCACCACCAAAATCTAAATCCAATTTAACAATAGATAAAATATTAAAAATTGCACATCGTTTAATCAATGACATAAGTATACATATTGAAAATTCCAAAATTTCAGAAATTCCTTTTGTTTTAATTGATGATAATATGTCAATTGAAGAATACTATAAAGAAGATAGACCAAAAACTTCTTTGGAGTTGATTACTAAATCAGTTTCATTTAATATATCAAGAATGTGGCCAGATGCAGCTGGATTTGAAGCAAGTTTCAACCCAAAAATAGATCTTCCATTCCATATAACTTTATCAGTTCAATTATTCAAAATGTTTTTTATAAAAAGAATTATATTACCTAGTGGAGTTGATGGACAAGATTCTGATGAAATCTTAAATATGCCAAATAATTCATTGACTTTTAAATCAAATCTTGTAAGTCAATTAGCACAATCAAGAGGGTTTGAAAATTGTGTAATGGAATTATATTTCTCAGCAAGTTCACCCATATTCGATGTTAATTCAAGACAAATGAGTGCCATACTATATAATGTAGTACTACTAAAGAAATGGTCAAGATTACAAAAATTAAGAAAGCAAGGTTCTCAGGAAGAACAAAATTTAAAACAAAATGATACAGATGATTTAAAAGTTGAATCATTAAAAGCAAGAGTATGGAAATATATAAATGAACATTATCCAAATTTAGATATGAAATTAGTTGTTGAACAACCAAAATTCATACTAAGACATGATGGTAAACATACTCAATTATTAAATTTTTCATATTCCTTATTAAATTTTAATTTATCTACAACTGAATCAAGAGATTATTTAGCAGATTTAGAAGTTTTGTATCCTACTATCAACTATCACGAAAAATCAAGTATTGAATCCAAAAAATTTAACAATAAAATAAGGAAAAAGGATATTGCCAAATTGGATCACTTTAATGTCAAATTAGATATCTTTAAAAACTTAACAGTCAATACAACAATAGAATTGAACAAAATAATGGTAAACCTAACAAGTTTAGAAATTTTCCAAGGCGTACATTGGTTATTACTAGACGTTACCAAATTGGCAGAAACTGATTTTTCAATAGGTAGAATTAATAATACATTTAATGAAGAATTAAAACAATTAAAATTTGAAAAAGAAGGTAGAATTCCAACAAAATCAATGGAAGAAAAATTGTTTAAATATTTACCATCTTATATTAATCAAGTTGAATTAAAATTTACTAATTTAGATTTAACTATTGGCGCAAGATCTGTCTTAATTCCAAAAAGCGATTTATTTGAATCTAATTTGAATGATTTTGATCAAAATCATGATTTAAGAAAAATAATTATTAAGTTAGAATTATTGAAAATATTAATTTTGAATAATGATAATCCTCAATTAGATGATACTTCGTCTGCATCACTGGAAACTTTAACTTCTTTGGTGGATACTGAATATTGGTCTATTACAAATACATTGGAAAATTTACAATTGTTAATGCCTGATGATCATAGTTCAAAACATTCAAAGACAAAACCATTTATAGAATTCCCTAAAATTGAAATGAAAATGGATTCAATTTGTAATTTTCATGGAAAAAACCAGCTTTTATTTGCTGCCGAAATCGGTCAGCTAAACATCAACTATAACAGATTCAAATTATTTACATTAATTGGCTCCATTTATTTGATCAGGGAATTCATCATTGCTCCTATCAAATTAATCAAATCAAAAATCAAAAAGGAATTAAACAAATTCGAACAGCCAAGACAAAAACAATCATTCAACATTCTAGATTTCTTATTATTAAACATCACGTTATCAGACGTAAACTGTTTTTTGCAATTGTCGAAAGAGTTTAAATTAAAGTTACAATTATCAGATTTAGAATTCGATGTACAAAATAAAATTGCAAAAGTATCATTATTTTTCATTAGATTATTAGCTATATCACCAACAATTGAAAATAAATGGTGTAGATTAGTTTGTGTTGATTCATTAAATTTATATGCTCCATTACACAAACACCCTAAAATTGATATTCATTCAGATGCAATAAGATTAATTCAGCCTCATAAATTTATTGTATATGAATTATTTGATAACATTTCCATATCTTTAAAATTAGCAAAACATTTAGTTAAATTGTTGAATGCTGATGATTCTAAAGAAGGTTCAAATGTTGTACATCCTCATCAACAACAACCAATTCCGTTACCACATATATCAGTCAAATCAAATCACTTAAAATTTGTAATGGAAGATGATCCATTTGAATCTGAATTAAATATGATTTATCAATTAGGTAGAATTGAACAAAAGAAAAGACTTGAATTATATTCCCTTTTTGAAACCAAAGAAAGTCAATTACCTGATGATAAACTTTATTTTAAAAGGCTTGATCATTTAAATACCACAATATCAGAATCATGGATTAGGAAAGTTTCAATTTATCGTGAAAAATTAAGACGTGAAGTTGCAGATCATAAAACATATCTTTTTGGTAATGAATGTAAATTTGATTCTGATTATAATACAGATGTTGTTGCTTATCCATATCATGCACCATTATTAAATATAACAATGGAAGGATTTGATTTAAAAGTAAGTCAGCCAGATTTTGGATTAGATCATGTAGCTGATTTCATATATGATGTAGGACAAGGTGTTCCAAAAGATACAAAGTATTCTGTAATGATACCTGCACAATTAGATTTAAAAGTTATTGAAATGAGAATGCATTTAAGAGATTATCCATTACCTATATTATATTCACCAAGAAGTAAAAAAGGTAATGCAAGTTTAATTTTACGTGGTCCTTTAGTTATATCAGAACAATTTGTAACTGAAGATGAACATATTAGGAAATTAGATATTCCATTAATTCCAGGTGGTGAATCACCATTTGATTCATTAATTGTTGAAAAAACATTATCTAGTATTAAATTATACACTAGCTTAGATTGTAAATTTGATTCAGATTACCCAACAAGAATTGTTTGGGGAACCTCATATAACTTTGGAATTCAACAATTTATGCTTAATTTTGATCAATTTTCAAAACCTCCAGTTGATCCTTCAGAAAAATTGGGATTTTGGGATAAATTGAAATATATTTTACATGGTTCGTGTACTATTAAAACTAGAAAAAGTTTAGAAGTTGGGTTTAAAGGATCTAGAGATCCTTACGATTTATTAGGTACTGCAACTGGATTTGTATTATCTTTTAAAGATAACGTTATTTGGAGAATTAACAAGAATGATGATTCGAGAGAATTTTTTGATATTACTGCAGAATCAGTCTCATGGTATATTCCAAATTATTTAGGTGGGCCATTATTAGCATGGACAAGAAATAGTTTAGATTCAGTTTTTTTACCAGATTCTCCACATTTTATAAGTTCTTGTTTTGCTTATTATCTTGAAGATTCTCAAACAAGACCTGATTTCGATTATATGAAGAAAGTATTTGCAAAAGATACAATTGAGTTAAGTGGTGGTATAAGTTATAAAGTTGGATTTTTATTACAACGTAAAGTTGATGGTAAAAGAGTTGAAGAATTTAAACCACATTATGATGTTCAATTAATGAATCCTAAATTTTGTAAAGATGGTCATGATTCTTATGCTGGTTTTAGAAGTGAATATATGCATATGGCAATTTCATTAACTGCTGATAGAGAAAATACATACAATACAATACATTTAAGTCCAGGAGCTTTTGAACAATTTTTCGCTTGGTGGAAATTATTTGCAAGTAATATGATGTTACCTATAAGAAAAGGTCCATTATTTGGAGAAAGTAAAAAATCAGTTAAATTTTCTCAACATTTATTTACAAATAAATTTTCATTTTATTTGAAATCATTGTTTTTGTCACATATTTATAGAGATGAAATTGTTGATGTTGATGATGATAGAATTGAATGTGTTGGATTAAGAGCTAAAATTGATGAATTCTCAGTTGATTTACATCAAAGGAAAGAACCAGTTACTTTATATCATGAAGAACTTTCAAAAAGTACGAAAGCGATGAAGATGATCTTTAATGTTGGCGAAGTAACATTATCAGGTATTGATATGAGAGCTGTTCATTCAAGTTTTACTCAAAATTTATATTCACATAACAAAAAGAATTACAATGATGAAAAAGATTCAACGTATGATATTTATTTTGATAACGATCGTCGTTGGTTTGATATTCAAGATTATGAAGAAGCATTCTTACCTTCTGTTAGATATTGTCCAAGAAAAGTCAGAATTTATCCATTAATGTATTCTCATAGATTTTCTTATGAAAGAGATACTGATCAAGATGCTTCACAAAATTCAAAAGATGATCAATTTGGTAATGAAGATATTCATAATTGTAGAATTAAAGATAAAGATCCTTCACAAGTTCGTATTGATATTTTAACTGATAGATTAAGGTCATTACAACAAATTAAAAATAAAGGAAAAGATTTAATGGATAGAATTGAATTCATTACAAAAGAAATTGAAGGTGTTAAAAAGGATAAACGTATCATATATCAAAGAACTTCAACAATGGCATCAGTTCAAAAACATGATGAACATTTCCATAATAAATTTACTTGGTTAAGTATGCTATTGAAATGGAACGTTAATTGTCGTAACTTAGTATTAAAATATATTCATTTTGTTCAATTAAAAGCAAATATGAGGAAATATTTATCACATGAATCAATATCAATGTTGGAAAAAATAATTGAAAAAACTGAAAAAGCAATGAATCAAGATGATCCTTCAAGTATTTCCGAATCATTAAGTAGAATATCAACCGCTCAAAATGAATCAGGCACCTCGGAATTATCGGCAAAACAAAGATTAGTTAAATTTGATAAAATCTTAAAAGAATTACAAGGATCAGAAGAATTATCAGAAGATTATCTTATTGAAGTTATATCACCACAGATACAATTACAAAGTGAAGATGCACCAGATTCAGTAGTTATTGTTTCAGCTCCTTCAATAAGTGGTAAAATTGTATCTCTTTTAGACACTAAAGAAACTGCAAACCCTGACGTTATAGAGAAAAGATATGGTGTTATATTAAAAGAAGCTAGTGTATTTGTTTTAAATAAGAGTTCATTATCTCCATTGATCACAGTTAGAAATCCATATGGTGCAAAATCAAATTGGCCACCTTGGTTAGGACCAGAAGTTACTCAAAATGGTAAATGGGCAGGTGAAGATCATTTATTAATTCAAAATTTATCTGTAATGACATTATTTTATGATACTGAAATTAATTTAAACAATAATCAAGTTGATGAGGCACCAAAAAGATTAAGAATAGATACTCCATCAATTGTTTTAACATCTACATCATCACAATATTTTACACTATATGTTATAATCGTTAGTCTTTTGTTTTATAGTGAACCAATGAGTAAAGTTATTAAAGAAAAAATTGAAAAAATGAAATTTTCAATAGATTCTGATGATTTAGTGGGTATGACAGATAAAGTTAAAAATATGCAATCGTATTATCGAACTTTAAAATTCATGAATTCAAATTATTCATTCCGTAAAAAGCACTTGTCAAATGAAGAATTAAATAATTATTTGTTATTAAATTTAGAAAGTGGAGAAATTGCAAGTGATATTTATTTATTTTTGAAAACTGTATTTAGTGGTGATTTTTTCGATGATGATTCAAATAATCCACAAATTTCTTGGTTAATTAAAGCTGATGAATTTATATTACATATCTTAGAAGATGATAGAACTCCAATTTTAGATATTGCATTAGCCAAAGGAGTTTATAGAAGAAAAGAATATGAAAGTGGATCTAATTTTAATAAAATACAAATAGGAATGATGCAAGGTTTTAATTTAATTCAAAATGCAAGATTTCCTGATTTTATAAATCCAATAGATGTTGCAAAAATTGATGACAATTTAATAGATCTTTCATGGACAATGAATAGATCTGTGGGTGGAATAAAAGTAGTTGAAGATATGCAAGTTAATTCATTACCATTAAATATTAAAATTGATGAAATCACAGGTGAAAAATTAATGGATTTTATTTTCCAAACTGATTCAACAAAAGATTTAAAAAACTCAAAAGTCATGAGTTTTACAAATAGTTCAGAAGCAAAAGAAAAAGAATTAGAGGATCCAAAAGATGATGATGAATTTGGTTTAGTTCCAGAAACTGAAGGTGCCAATAAATCTATAAATTTTGAAGAACATCTGAAAAAGCAGAAAGATACTGAAACAGGATCAAGTAATAATACAAGTAATAAAAATAAACGTAGTTTAACAAAATTATCAGGTTTAAAATCAACAATATCAGATGAAGAAAATGAAGATGATGAACAAGTCAATAAGATGATAGAAAGATCTAAAAAATATTTTTCAATAATATCATTAGTTGTTAAATCAATAACTTTACAAATAACAATAAAATTAAATAAAGGGTATAAAAGAATATTAAATGTTCATGATTTCACAATAAACCTTCCACAAATAGAATTAAATAATCAAATTATGTCATTTATTGACCTTACGAATTTAATGAAAAAATTAATAATAAAAACTTTATTATCTCATATTGGAAAATTATTATCTAATAAATTACAATCACATAAATATAACACACTAACAAATTCGGAAAATAAATCATCACAATTAAGACCAGTTAAAAAATATGAAAAATTTATCCCCATAAAAGAATTAACTATTGTTAAAACTATTACAAATAATTTATAGAGCGTTTTTTAAAATATTTAGCATAATGTATTATTAATATTTATTAATTTTTATTAAATTAAATAAATGTAAAATTTCTATAATTTCTGAAAAATTAAGTATTCATCAAAATTGGTGCATTCTAAAAATTCTATTGCTCTTCACCTTGACGAAAGTTTACTCAAAGTATTATTGCAGATTGTAAGTAATTCAAGATCTTAAAAGCTAGTACATATCCCGTTAAATCTATAATACATAAACGTAGAATACCAAGTGTTTCATTAAAATAAAAAACAATCCTCGCATACCAATACATTAGCTTTCCCAAATCAATTATGATTGGAAATGATGATTATTGGAGGTAGTAACATCAAAAGAATTCAAAATTTTTCAAAATCCCAAATTAATTGAATATACTCTATAAATGATACTTTATCCCAATAAAAATAAATTCACACATGTTGTTTCTTAAATTCATTCCCACCACCTTGTTTATTCTTCTTCCTTTTCTTATTTCTATCATCACTACCTTCTCCATTATTATAATCATCATCATAAAATTCCCCTCTCATTAATGAACTTTGATCATTTATAGCTAAATCAATAACATTAAACCCAGGTATACCATTGATAGGAGTTTTATCAAACTTTAACGCTTTATTTAGTAAAGTCAAATCTAATTCAGGAATATTTGGTTTTTGTGAAAGTAATGGATCACGTAATGATTGGAATAAATCAATTTGTTGTTGTTTTGATATGGGTTGAGGTATTGAATGTTTTCCTGGTAAATCTTGGATGTGAGCTTTATAAGATTTTCGCAATTTAACATTTTTGGACCCATCGGGATTTGTTCTTGAGAGTGATTGTGCTAGGTCTAATAGTTGATATTGATGTAGTAGATTTTTTAATGGAGTTGGATTTGATGGTTTATATACTTTTTTGAAAAAGTTAGTAAAAAGTCTTTATAATTGTGGATGGTTAGATGGGAAACTCAATTAAGTTACTTACTTTTTGTTTGGTCTATTAGATAGAAATTATCTAGTGAGTTTGGTTCTTCTTTTGACATTTTATGAAAATTGGTTGTCAATTGGTAATTGGTTTGGTGATAATCTAAATCTCTTTTTTAAGATCTCTATTTTTATATAATTTTGTTTCACAATATATTACTATATTACGCACAAAAATAAACTTAATAAAGATTAATTAAATTATGAATAAATAAAATTATATTAAATTTCTATAAAATTATATTAAAAGTTATATCAAATTATATCAAATTACAAATAAAACCAGATTAAATTTTCAAATATACCCCATAAAATAAAAGTAAAAAAACATAAATTAAATTAAAAAATACCAATTTTTAGTATTGAACTTCCTTATTTCTTTTCTCTTTTTTCTTTTGTTTATAAACACAATTGTTTTCTACCACTATTTGCAACATTACTAATATTATGATCATGGTTCTTTATATGACAAGAATCACTGTTATCACCATCATCTTCACAATTTTCACAAATTTCTAAATTTTTAAACCATGGATCATCAAATAACATATCTAAATCATATCTCTTTTGTGTTGAAGGATCACATAATTTCCATGCAATTCGAGATGCTCCAGAACTTTCGAATTTTGCAGCTAATTTAAATTCAGATCCTGGACCTTTATTAATACCTTTATTATTTTTAAAATTTTGATGATCTGTACAGTATCTTTTATGATTAAAAGAATAATCTCTATAACCATGATCTTGTGGTGATGCTTGTTGAAATGGTACACCAGAATAAATCATACAAAATAATAACATACCTAATCCCCAACAATCTGCTTTAAACATATCATATGCAAAATTTTTTATTTCTGCATGGGATTTTTCCTTGAGTATCATAACTTCTGGTGGAGAATAAGGTGGTGATCCAACATAACTTGTTGATAATTTTATTGGTGAATTAAAATCTCCTGGAATTTCATGTTGATAATCACTTACTCCAAAATCACATAATTTACAACATCCACGAGAATCAATTAATACATTTTCAGGTTTTATATCTCTATGAGCAATATCTTGATCATGAATATATTTTAATCCTTTACTTATTTGTTTAAAAAAACAATATTTTTCCACAAGAGACAGTTTTTTCCAACCTGATCTTATAATCATTGAAAATAAATCTCCATTATTACAATATTCCATAATCATTCCCCAACCTCTTGTTAAATTAGCTTGTGATGAAATTCTTAATATCCCCAAAACATTAACAACATGTTTACTTCCAGTTAATTTTTTATGAATTATATATTCTTTTGAAACTCTTTTATAAAATTCTTCATCAGTTTCTTTACTTAATAAAGTAAATTTTTTTAATGCATATAATTGTTTTTTATTATTATGAGAATTTATAATTCTAACATCTGATGATCCACCATCACCTAATTTTTTATTTGATACATCTATATCATAATCATCTAATAAATTAATTTTTTCTTCTTGCATATCTAATGGTAAATAATCATTTGGATTTGCAACAGGATTAGATAAAATTCTTTCACCATCATTAACACCAGATAAATAAAAACTTGTCAGTTTAGGTTGTTCTTGACTTGGAGTTTTATTCATTCCATAAGGATTATATACAATTTTTTCATGATTTGTTGAAATAGATAATTGGGATTGATTAGTTGGAATTCTTGTATTTCTTAATTGTTGTTTTGCAGCATTTCTTAAATCTAATTGTGACATATGATTAAAAGTTTCAGCTTTTGTTAATTTTTTATGTGGTGTTGAATTATTTAGACTTGTATTGTTGTTGTTGCTATTGTTATTATTATTGACATTATTACCATTATGATTTAATTCTGAATTTGCTCTATTTCTATTATTTTTAAAAGTTGCATTTAATGAAGATATTGAATTATTTGAATTATTTGAATTATTTGGTGAATTTATATTTGAATTCATATTTATAGGATTTGTATTTCTTCTTCTTAAAGAAAATGAAGATTGAGATCTTTTTGGTGGAGTTATATTATTGTCATTTGTAATTGGAGAATTTACTTGAGCTTGGTTATTATTTTGAGGATGATGATTATTATTATTAATATGTGATGAATGAAATAATTTTGATAACCCAATATGAGATGAAGATGAATTTGATGAAGAATTAGTATCTGATGGTGTAATATTATTATTATTAGTAGTAGTAGTATCTTTTTTAAATAAATTTTTTAACCCATGATGATGATGTTGTTGTTGCAGATGAGGAAGTATTTTGTTATTATGTTCTTTTAGTAATGTCATTTTAAAATTAGTTGCAGAATAGATTTAAATTAAATAAAACTCAATAAATGAGTTAAGTATATTTAATAAAAATAATTTATGTATACTGAATATATCTTTAATATTGACTATAGTAGTTGAATATAAACTGAATTTTGATTGTAATAATTCTATATAATTTGATATTATTATAATACTAATATTATAATACTAATATTCTAATAGATTAATAATAAATTATTGAAAATCTTTCTTTCTCTCTTTCTATCTTTCCTTCTCTCTCTCTCTCTCTCTCTTATAATAAATTAAATATTTTATTATTTATTATTAATAAAGTAGAGATCTCTTTGATTAAAAATTATTTTTTATTCAAAACTTATTGAATATTCAATGAACAATTAATAATAATAAGAGATATATTAATAGATAGAATAATCTAAAGGATATATATAAATAAATAAACGAATATAAATAAACAAATTAAAAAAAGATACATCAATCGAATCGAATATAAAATTAATTTAACAACTCCATTTAATTCAACAATTTAAAATTTAAATAAATAAATATAAAATTTAATATGCATAAAAATTAATCCGATTACATCATTTGAATTTGAGAGAATGACTTCTTTCAAATAGGAGATTAAAGAAGGGCCTTTCTTTACTTTAGAAATTCATTCCATTAAATTTACATTAATCAAGTATAAAAGAGTTTTGTTGAATTCGGATAATTACCATTAATTTGAGTTGAATAATTAATTGAAAAACAAATGAGATTGAATATATAAATTCTTCTCTATGTTAAAATTTATTAATTTCTATTTATTATTTGTTATCTTTGCTATTTCTCATAAATTTATTATATATAATATTAAAAATTATTAATTTATTGTTTCAATGTTAAAAGAATTGTTCCTTTTTTCAATTCATTACTTTACAACGAATATACGAAATAACATTTAAGGACATAGATTTTACTATAATTATTATTATTATTTTAAAGTATAAAAAATTATGGGGTTTATAATAAATCAATTAATTATTATTCTCTAATTAGTTTTAAAATTTCAATTAAAATTTAGAAGTACAAAAAAATTATCAAAATTTTTTTTATTTTGTAAAATTATTAAACTTTTCACAAATTAAAAATAAAAAGGGTTTTCTACTAAATTAAGTAAATAGATCCGTTTATTTTAATGTTTTGTATTATTTTCTTTGAGATCAATCAAGATTTAATTAATTGATTTAAGTAGTAGATCTTCTTCAAAGAAGATTTCATTATTTGAAGGGTGATTTTGATCTGATATCTTTCTTTATATCACATTATATATTTGATTTATTTATGTTAAAGATCATACGTTTCTCTCTCTTTCATGTATTCGTATAAAATATATTACAATTTTATAACCAATCATACATCTTTAATGTGTCCCCCTATAACAAAGATGAAATTGAACTTTATTATTTTAATCGTACCAATAATTTACAATTATCATCTCAATATAATATAGGAAAACGTTGTTATGTTGTAAATTAAAATATATTTTTGATATTTTAAAACTAATATTTTAAATTACTACATAGTACTAAATTTTTATTTAGTACTATAAAGAACCCTCGTGGTAAAATGAACATAAATTTACGGAACAATTATAGAATAAAAACATCACCTTACAATAAGTCTAGTAGTAGTACTTATTTATTTCTTTTTCTTATACCTACGCTTACGCATAAACTTCATTTAATTATTGAATATTACGGATAGTTTCTATTCAACTTACAAACAATTGATCCTTGATTAAATTATTCAATTTTAACGGATATTTGTATATATACAGATAGAAATTTTGTAAAAGAATTAGCTCTATCTAAATTTAATTTTTAACTTTGTAAAATTAAAGTTTTTTCTTGGTAAAGGTGTTTGTTTTAAATCTTTTTAAAAGTTTTTTGGAGGTTTTTTTTTTTTTGCAATTTTTAAAAAATTTATTTTATTTATTTTTACCCCTTTATTTTTTTATTTACATTTTAAAGAATGTTCGATTACAAAGATATATTACAAAGAATAAAGATCTTTAAATTATGATCATTTTAATACAATTTTTGGTTTCGGGTAATTTATAAGATATGGATATCGGATCTTGACTAAGCTTTTTAAAAGGAGTATCAAAACGTTGTTTTACTTAAATTTACACAAAACATTAGTAGATCATGTGTATATATTTTATGTAAAACTGACATTTAGAGTTTAATTGATACTACCATTATGAGTAATGTAAATTGTAGAGTTTCAACTGGGTGTATGATAAGGGTAAGATTGCAGTCATTTATTTGCTAGTTAACTAGGTAAGTTCTCTTATGAGATACAATAAAACATTAATTGATAATAGTGAAATGCACTAGAAGTGAAGAATTTATTAGTGTTCGAGTGGCTTCATCGTAAGTGTTTACACTTAATCAATAATCACTAGTGTTTAGTAGATAAATAGTTCTGAGTTGATTTTGTGAGCAGGTATAAATCTGAAACTTTATAATGCATTTTATAGGCTTTTTTAGGTACTTTAATTATTTCGAAAAAAAAAAAAAAAAAAATNTAATGCATTTTATAGGCTTTTTTAGGTACTTTAATTATTTCGAAAAAAAAAAAAAAAAAATTATATATATGCATAGATGCAAGTGCTTACAACATTTTAATCTTTGATATATCTCATTCACGAGCAAATAGAAAATTGAATCCTTATTGCATCGAAATCTTCACTCCAATAAGAATTATCATGAAGATATCTTCTATTCAAGTCTACAATAATAATGAGGGCATTGTCATGTATTTTATGTCTGATTTAATATTTCAAGACATCAGAATTTAAATTTTATTTTATTTTTATTTTATTATTTTTTCTATTGTATGTACTTAGTAAGACTGAAAAATTTTCAAATATTAAAACAAAAAAATTACTAAACCAATAAAAGTTATAAAAAAACTAAACAACTACTCAAGCAAATATGTCAAAAAAGGGAAACAAGAAATCTGTAAAGATGGACTTAGGTTCATTTTTAACAGATGAAAGTTTCGGTGGTACTTCTTGGGCAGATGAAGAAGTTGATATGAGTTCTATTGGAGTATCAATAGATAAACCATCAAGTAATGCATCAACTTCATATACTACTAATACTTCAATGGATTCAAACAATGAAGGTGGATATGAAAGAAGAGAACGTAAAGAATTTCCAATCCCGGATAATCCACCTTTTAAAGCAAGAATATCAAATTTACCATGGGAATTTGGAGAAACTGATTTAATTCGATTTTTTGAAGATCGTATGCAAAATAAAGAAATTATTCAAGATATAAAATTACCAATTGATAGAGAAACTAATAGATTAAGAGGATATGGTTTTATTACTTTTAAATCAAAAGAATTATTAGAAGAATCATTAAATTTAACATTATCTGAATTTCAAGGTAGAAAAATTTTTGTAAATGTTGCACCACCAAGAGATGAAGATTCAAATTTTGGAAGATCATCAGGTAATAGAGTAGAATTGGATTGGGGTGCAGCAAGATCATCAACTAGTCAATTACCACCAAGAGATGATAAATTTTCAAGAGATAGATCAGAAAGAGGTGAGAGACCAGAAAGAAGAAGAAAAGAAGAACCAAGTTTAGATTGGGAATCAGCAAGATCAACTACAAGTAGTTTACCACCAAGAGAAGATAAATATCCACCAAGAGAAGATAGAGGAGATAGACCACCAAGAAGAAGAAAAGAAGAATCAAATTTAGATTGGGGAGCAGCAAGATCAACCACCAGTCAATTACCACCAAGAGAAGATAAATATTCACCAAGAGAAGATAGAGGAGATAAATTCCAAAGAAGAAATAGAAATGAAACATCATCACCAACATCAGCCTCAAAAGAACAAGATTTTGATTGGAATAGAGGTCAATCATTACCACAAAAACAAAGATCAATTTCTGCATCATCAAAACCAAAAGAAGATAATTTAGATTGGTCATCAGCAAGATCAACCACTACAACATTACCACCAAGAGAAAGATCAAATAGAAGAAATAATAATAGTCAAAATAAACCAGAATCTTTAACATCATCTACATCATCATCAAAAGAAGATTTTGATTGGAGTAGAGGACAATCATTACCACAAAGAACTCCAAGATCAAAACCACAACAACCAAAAGAATCTAAAAAGGAAGAAGATTCAAAACAAAGAGGTCCACAAGCTTCTCAATTTAGTGTATTATCTATAGACGATGATGAAGAAGAAGAAGAAGAAGAAGAAGATGCAGAAGAGGAACAAAAAGAATAGTAAATAGGTTTTATAGAGTTTTAGTTCAGTAAGTTTATATTTACAAAAAACAGAATAAGATATTTAATTGTATTATTTAGGATAAGATAATATATTTGTAGTATCTTATGAATTCCTCTGCATAACTTGATGCGAATTGTCTTATGAGGTGCTCTGAAACAATCAAAGCACCCAAAAATCCAATTTGATAAATAGGATAATTAATTAAGTCGAACATGGAATAGAGTTAATGAGAGACCTAGACCTAGTTGTGGAACGATTTGAGCATGAATATTCTCTTTATAGAGTGATGGACTGTTGTATTGCTTCCGGATTCAGTTGTCCTCAGCTGATTAATAATTCCAATTTTGAATAACATAAATTTACAAAATTGAATAACATGAAATCTACGGGTAATGATTCTTTTCAAAAATGACTTATTTATATTGAAAAATTTTTAAAAGTTATACATTTAACCTTGAATATTAATTCTTGCTTTAGCATTAGTAACTTTAATACCAATTTTTTTAGCTTTACCAACAATTTCAATTCTATTTTTAGCAGAAACATTATGAGCAATTTGAGCAGCATATTGATTTTGTTGCATAATTAAAACATCTAAATCTTTTAAATTTTTAACAACAAAAGTTTTTAATCCTGATGGTGATTGAAATTTATATTTTTTATTTGTTCCATAACCAATATTTGGTTGTGGAATAGTACCTCTAAATCTTCTTCTTACACATGAATCAATACCTTTTTGTTTTCTCCAATTTTCTGATACTCTATGATATCTATCTGAATGATGTCTTTTAAATTTTTTAGTATATTTTCTTTCAATACCGGCCACTAATTTATGTTAGTATATTGATTCCAATAAATTGTAGAAGTTATATAACATCAGTAGGTGATTAACTGATTACTTATAATATTATTTATAGAACCATTTGAACATACTCTTGTTGTATAGTATTTGTTAAATTAATGAAGAAAGTATTTGAAAAAAATTTACACTTCACAATTTTAATTAACAAAATGAAAGGTGAAAAAAATAAAAAAAAGAGAAAGTAAAAAAAAAAAAAAAAAATTTTTCAAAATGTTAATATTCACACGACTAATTGATGTTTCTAAATTATTAATTATATGCAGTAATGACATTTCTTTCTTCATTGTTGTCGCGACATGTTTTGTTACAAATGTTTCATGAAACTTTTATATCAATATCATATTCAAAGTTATACGTCTAATTTCAGATAAACTGAGCTCCAATAACGGTACAACTTAAAATACTAGGGCTCTAGAAGTCCAGCAAAGAGCGATTCTCTTTACAAAGAAAATAGTTGCAAAATTATTTATGACCACAAAAGAGATGATAATTACGCAAATATAAAGTGTAATATACTTTCCTGAAACATGTCATTAATATTATATATTATGTAATTAAATTAGTTTTGTTATAGAATAGACTAGCCAGTAATCTATTTCTTTATACTCTATTTTCAACAGATTCCCGAGTTTCTTCAGTTTGTGGTTGTGAAACTTGTTGCGTTTGAGTTTCAATTCGATCTTGATTATGTTCAGTTTCTTGTTGTTCTTGTTGTGGTTGAGTTTGTTGTGGATTATCTCTTCTATATTTTTTGATGATATCCATTACAGCCCAATTATATAAATCTTGTTGACTAATACCAAATATTTTCCACATTAATTTTTTTAAAAATCTACCATATTTCTTTTTGGAAATTTGTTTACCTCTTTCATCTAAGTTAAGGTGTGAATAATTTGAATCATTTAAAAGAATTCTTACTCTTTCTCCAATAGGAATTAAATCTTGTAAAAGTGCTTGTACTGCTGGATCATTTCTTATTTCATCTAAATCTAAACTTTGATCACTATCAATTTGATTTAAATCATTTATTAAATCATTATCATCATTTTCATTATTATTATCGTTGTTATTGTTATCTGTTTGATAATCTTTTTTAAATCTATAATCTCTTTTACACATTGGACAACAAGCTCTTCTTTTAGTAAGCCAAGGATCTAAACAAATTGAATGAAATACATGACCACAAATTAATCCACGAACCAATTCATCTTCTTCAATTATTTCTAAACATATTGCACAAGAACCAGAATCAAAATGTAAACTATGATCATCATTATTTGATTTACTACAATCCGTTATATCTTGTTCTGTATACATTATATTGTTATTAGTTTTTATATTTTTTAATTCAATTTCTTGATCATTTTCTTCTCTTGCAGTATATAATGAATTTATTGATTCATCATTTATATCTTGTGGTTGTTGTATTTGTACAGGTTCTTCTTCTAATATCCCATCTCGATGTTCAACATCTCTTTCTTTACCACCTTCTAACCAATCCAAATAAGTCTTTTTCGGAAATAATTTTTCAACTTCAACTTCAGTTAATTTTTTCATTTTTTTTCTTCTCCTTCTATTTCTTCTTTGTCTATTTCTATCTCTTAAATTTAAAGTTTGTTCCATAATTTCACCTCTACTTATTTGTTCTTGAATTTCATTAGAATTAAAAATATGAGCAAATGCATGTTCATTTATACTTCCAATCCCACCACCATTAAAACTTCTTCTATTTATAGGTATAACTGTTATTCCATATTTTGATCTAACAAAATATCTTATTGTAAAGAAAATAAATAAAAATCCAATAAATACTCCAACCGCTAAAGCAACAAAAAATAAAATTGAAGATGGTGTATTTCCAATAAATGAATAAGTATTCCCACTTGTTGATGATGATTGGGATTGAGATTGTGAAGTATTAGTTGACCAAGAATTTAATGATCTTGTTAATTGAGGCTGATCAGTTGGTTGATTAAAACTACCACTGGGAGAAAATTGATCCGGCATAAAACTAGTCTGTGATGCGATAGGATTACTCGCCATTTTACTGTTGACGTATTTTGTTCTCTTTCTTTGGTGGTTGATAAAATTCAAGTGATCATATAAAGTATTTAACGTTTCTTGATAAAATTTAATAGATTCAATTATTAATTTTTTTATTCTCCACGATTCAAATTTCATTTTTTTGACTTGATTTAAAGTTTTATAGATTCTTTCAATACATAAAGTGGCTATACAGATTAGTTTAGTAGAGTGAAATGTAGAGATAATATTGGAGATTTGATGTTTAAATCTTTTGTAGATTTTGATCAATACTTCGTTAGTTTTCAATTTATAGAAGGAAAAAGATTAGAACAAAGTCCGGTATAATGTTACACAATAAACAGCCCTATTATACTATACGATAAATTTTAAGGAACTAATGGAAAATTATAATGTTCATGCAATCCAAAATCATATTCTGATTTATCTCTACAGTCTATGAACTAAACAGTTTGAGCAACTTCTTAATACCAACTAAGCTAAATCCAATCAATTTTGCTTCAGCTTTTCATTGAAGTAAATTATCTCTGCAATTGTCGAAAATTCAAAAAAAAATTTAGGGACTTTGGAGTCGTTTGCAACCAAATTCTTATTTTTAAAAAAATTCAATCAAGATCAACAACTTATTGAAGTAATCGTTATCGTGAAGTCAGAACTTAACTATTCAGCAACTGAACATCGCTTGCAACTTCTCAAGGAATATCTTTGCAATCGTATTTGCAATGACTATTCTTTTACTCAAAAAAGTACTTGAATTGAGGCAAATTAATCGTAATTCAAATAGGTGTATAAATTGTTTAAATTTGACTATCATCTAAAATGTTATACAGATTTTGTAAAGCCACTCACGATCTACTTTCTAATATCTTTTAACCATTTAATCTTCTACAAGCTAAACTAGTATCTAATATATTATTACATATCAAATAATTTTAGGAGTATATAAATACAAAACACCCCAACATCAATATATTCAAGATTGCTTACTTTTCTCACAAATTTCAACGACACACAAAAACCATAAAAAAATCAACGACATCTCCAACTAAAAAAAAAAAGTTCAAAATAACAAAAAGAAAAATTTTTCATTTATAGAAATAGAGATTTCTTCACCACTTTTATATTATTTCTTTTTATAATTTAAGTTTTACTTCTTATTTTAAACAAATAAATTAAATTAGATTATTAATACATTATGGCTGAAGAAGATGTATGTTTAGTTCATTAATTAATATGATGTTAATCATATGGATCAGGGTAGAATCATTTGATGGCAAAGGATCAATTCGATTAAATCAACAATTAATAGGGAATTCAACGATTTTATAAAAATGAGGTATCTCAAAGCAAATAAAACAAATCAAATTGTTTAGATTAGTTGCATAAGCGATAGGGAATTCAAGAATTCAATTTGTTTGGTTGATTTAACAGTATTGATGGGGGATAGTTCATTTTGCAATTTTTTTGATCAATTTTCTAATCAACTTTTTATAGTTAAGCATCACAAGATCAAACCCTCCAAAAATAAAATTTATTGAGAATTTTTACTAACAATCATATTTCAATAGCATACTTTCGAAACAGCTGATGCTGGTGCTGCCTTAACCTTCCCAATGCAATGTTCAGCATTAAGAAAAAATGGTCATGTTGTTATTAAAGGTAGACCATGTAAAATTGTTGATATGTCAACTTCTAAAACTGGTAAGCATGGTCATGCTAAAGTTCATTTAGTTGCTATTGATATTTTCACTGGTAAAAAATTAGAAGATTTATCACCATCAACTCATAATATGGAAGTTCCAAATGTTAGAAGACAAGAATATCAATTATTAGATATTGATGATGGATTTTTATCATTAATGACTCCAGATGGTGATACTAAAGATGATGTTAAAGTTCCAGAAGGTGAATTAGGTGATAAAATTCAAACTGAATTTGATGAAGGTAAAGATTTAATTATTTCAATTATTAGTGCTATGGGTGAAGAAGCTGCTATTTCATACAAAGATGCTCCAAAAGCTTAAATTTAATTGTAAATTTTAGTTTTTGAAAATATATATATATTTAAATTTTATAATATAATTGTTAATAGCTTTCTTTTTTGTTACTGCTACTACAAATTGGAAGAATAGAGAAATATATACGTAGAAAGTTGATAATAATAATAATATAACATTTTTATTTATTAATAATAATACATTTTTTTTACTATAAAAACTTTAAATTAAGCAGTTTTTATTGATTTTTCATCAGATTCATCTTTTACACCAACATCTTCTAATTTTGAATGATTTATATTTTGTAGCAATGGAGCCCATGAATCTAAAAGTTCTTTACAATGTTGATGAAGTTTAAAACTTTGTTCCAATTCTAATGATTGATCTTTTAATATTGCTCGTAATACCTTGTGTATCTTAGTATCTCTTAATAATTCTTGAGTAACTGGGAAAGTTTTTAGTCTATGTAATATTAATCTTGCCATTGATAATTCATCAGCAGTTGGTGAAGATTCCTTTTTGGTTTCAGTGGTGGTTGAAGTTCTTTGAATTAATGAACGTTGTAGTTTAATTCTACAAAAATACAATTGTTGATATTTATCTTCTTCTTTTGATGGTGGTTGAGATTCTTCTTTCACAATTGATTTGGAATCTATATCATCTTCTAATTTTGGTTTCTTGGTTATTTTTTCTGAAGTTAATGGTGATCTTTTTCTAGTCGGTGGTGATAATTCTATTGATGATTCTTTAGCAGGAGTTGAATCTTTAAGTTTTGGTTTTGGTTTTAATGCTGGTTTCGGTACTGGTTTTGATTTTACTGGTTTAGACGTTTCTTCTTCTTTTTCTTCTTGTTTAACTTCTTCTTGTTCTTCTTCATCTTCTTCTTCATCTTCTTCTTCTTCTTCTTCTTCTTCTTCGTTATCTTCATCATCACTTAATTCTTGGAATATCGTAATAAAATCATCAAAATCTAAATTTTCTGCAGCAATATTAGCTTCAGATATATCAGCAGTACCAGTTTTAGGTCTTAATCTTTTTTTCAAAAATTTTAAATCTTTGAATTTTTCAATATTTGTAGTTGGAGTTGATTTTGATTTATTTGATTTCTTCGTTGTTGAACCACCACTTATAATAGGTCCATCTGTAAATTTTCTTAAACCTTTTTCCGTTGCCCAATAAAAATCACCATCAGGAATGAATATAACACAATATGGAGTGTTTTTCTTTTTAGATTTCTTAACTTGTTTTGGTATATATTCATCTGGTGTTATAAAACCTGGCCACCATGGATAACTTGCCATTTTGGAATACACTTTTTCTTTGTCCTTATATGGCCCAGTTGTTGATGATTTTGAAGCCATTTTGATATATTAATTTCAACGCGATGGATTGATTTTACTCTCTTTTTATTGATTGATTTATAAGGTTATTATTAATATTTTATGATTCAATTGATATTTTTGAAATATTATAATTAAAATTGGAAATATGAAATTTGTCGTTATTTTAATTTCATTTGTTTTTTGGATTTGTTTTTTTTTGTTCGTTCACAATTTTTATAAATGCATAATAAATATATTTGTTTTTTATATTATTGAAAACAATGTAACTTATATTAAATTAATGTTAAAACTGACCATTTCAGTAAAATTTGAAGAAACTCTGGAGGCATTATAAACTTGATGACCAGCCTATAATTCGAGCTCTTGAAACTAACAAAATGATCAAGTACTTTAAGTAATTGTGTCACCTATTTTTAGTATGAGGTTTAGGAGCAACCACTTAAGAGTAAGAAAATTTTCAAAACAAACGATTTAAGTTTTTTTTTTCAAGAGACCAAATCTCATATGTAAAGTTTTGTTTATACTAGACTTTAATGAAGGAACTAATTCATTGATGTTAGCACAATCTCTCAGGTCCTCGAATGCTAAGTAGATTAACTTACTTCTAGCATGGGAAAAATAATACACAAAATTGATGTTTGATTGTTTGAATTTATTTGCTATTTATTTGAAATTAACAATTTAATTTGCAGCTAAAATTAAAATAGAACCATTCAATTTTTGATATTGACTGAGTTAAGTGTTTGATGTGCTAGATAAGACCGATAAGTAGTTGAAGTGGAATTACTAATCAACTTAATAAGAATGATGCAAAAAATAACAATTTTGACCATTTTGATATGAATTTTAGACAAAGCCTTCCAGCATGAAATGCATCTACTGCTTCTCTTCAGTTTACTAAGATCAAGCTCAACTATTCCAAGCTGTATTGACCGTAAGTTCAATAAAATTATTCACTAGTAGCACATACCACAAACTTACATACTTGCAACAAAATTTGATAGAAATGTTATGGAAGTTACTTGAAAAATCAATAAATCTACCTGACTTCTATCAACTCTCAATTGAGTTTTATGTTTTATGATGGTGAAGTACGTACCATCTTAATGTCCTTCGATATACCCCCGTCTAAATTAAAATTTATTATTAATTTATTTTGTGACCTTAATTTTAAATTTTATTAAAAAAAGTAAATCAAATTTTTTTATTTTTTTTCTTACGAATTTTTTGTTTCACTTTTTTGGCAACAAGTTTATCTTTTAGAATTATAAATAATTAATTTACAATACTTCTTCATTCATCGTTTAAAGAACATTTACAATTAAATATATCATCTCGGAGCCCTCATAGGCTTATCACACATATCACTATCTACTAAGACTAATAACAAATTCGATTAATTTACCCCATTTTAATACGTTGCAGCCAAATAATACAAAATGGATCATTCAAATGTTACAACATTTAAAAGACCCAAAGAAATTCCAACGAGAGAACAACTAGCGGCGATATTCCACCCACCAACAAAGAAGAGAAGAATTGCATCAACACCATCACAAACCAAAACGTCAACAGATCCTTCTTCAGCATTATTAAATTCAGTTCCACCAAATATTATTCCAATAATTCATCCACCATCAATAACTTCTGATTTTTTCACTGATGTTACAACGGATTTAAGTAATAAAAGGATATTAAATCAAGTTCAAGGTATAATAAAGAAATTCCCACCTCCAATTCCGCCAATACCACCAAATCAATCTGATGATGAATATTTAAGTGAAGATGAAAAAGGTGGTATAATGATACCATTTATATACCCGCCACCACCTGTTATAGATATAGACAAATTGCCGTTCTCATTGGCTTCATTCAAGAAAAAATTCGAGGAGAAAAGAAGAGATTTAAAAGCAAAAGACAATAAAACAGACGAGGAGGATGAAGATGATGACGAAAAAGAAGATGAAAAAGACGATAATGAAGATGATTCGTACGATCTAGAAGCAAATGAGATTTCAACACTACAACATACTGATGGGCAGAAATCCTCACACAAATTTTATGTTCAAGCACCACCATTACCTTTCCCTCCTAAAAATTATATGTCATATCCATTATTAGCAGAAAAATCAGCATTAGTACCGGAAGAAGTATTTGCATCATTTTTAGAAGCAAATGAAGAGATACCCAGAGTTGATATGGTATTAGCAAGTGCAGCAGGCTCATTATTTGATTTAAGAAAAGAAGCAATAGATGAAGGATTAACTATAGAAGATTTTGAAATAATGACTAAAAAATTACATCAAATTGAAGAAGATATACTGGCTGATGAAAGTGATAATTCGACAAAACAACATAAATTGGATGAAAGAATGAAGTATTATCAAAAAATAGATACAAAAATTTATGAAGATCCTTATAAATCACAATGGACAGAAGTAAAACAAAATCAATTACATAGGGATCCAAAATATGATTTGATAAATAGTAAGATAAGTAATATTAAAGGAATAACTAAAAGACCAACATACGAAAATCCTTATTCATATCCACGTAATGTGGACTATACATTTGCAAGAATTAATAAAATATCAACAGCAACAAAGGACGTAGCATCAGCAAATGGAAATTTAAAAGAAAGAAGAAGAAAAGCTTTGCGAGAACAAGTAGAGAATTTAGAAGAATATGAATATCAAAATCGAAATAAAATCTACAATGCTCAGAAATTTGAATTATTAAGAAGATTAAATAATCTAAAATCATCAAAAATCAAATTCTTGAATTCTACTATAAAAGATGAAGAATTGGACAATAGAAATAAAGATTTGGAGATTGAAAGAGACTACGAGTTAGTCAAATTGAAAATTTTTGAGAAATATGAGTTATTGAAAAATTCACTATTGTTCTATGAAGATTCCAACAAGATTTACAAGAGTTTAAATTCACTTTTGATTAAAAAACTAGAAAAGTTGAAGAATTTTTTTGAATATCAGAGGGACGTTTTTGAAAAATTAATTGAAGAACCTGAAAAAGATGAAGAAGAGGATGAGTTAGCTATATTTGATATTGCAAGTAAGGAATCATCAAAATTATTTAATGGAATTTCAAGTGATGCGGCTGGTGAACCTGAAGAAGATGAACCAGGTGTTAGTTCAACTGATTCAGTTATTAACAAATTATTGAATTCATCATCATCGAACCATCCACTAGTTCATGATTTTATGCCATTAATAAGTAAAGAAGAATTTGATATAATAACAAGCGATGTGCCAAAGAATTTAAAACCATCAACCAACATAAAAACTTCAAGAAAACATCAAATATTTGCAGGTTCAATATATGATAAAATGATGACTTCTGGATCCGATACGAATACGAGTGACACCAATAAAAACAATGGTCAACCTGAAAAACCAGCACCAAAAAGAAGAGGAAGAAGAACAATTGCACCACAACAACCAAATAATGGAACTATAAGTGGTTCAGATAGAAATGGAACTTCTTTAGTACTTGGTGGTGGTACATCAACAACAACAATACCTTCAATTGATAGATCAAATAATTTAGATACAAAATATTCAGAAGCTGCATTGTTAGCTAAAATAAATAAACAGTTTTATGGACCACAAATGGCAAGAAGTGATGAAATGGCAAAAGATTTAGAATTAATGGGTATCAAAACCAAATGGCCAATAAAGTAATTACATTAGTTATTTTAACATTATTTCTGTTTTTTTTTAAAAAACTATTAAATAATAATAATACAAAATTTCAACAAAACTAAAAAAACAATAAAGAAAATTACTATAAAAAAGTAGTTGTAGTTAAGATTGATTAGACAGAATAGTTATGATTGTCTGATACATATTTTTTTGGTAATGGATACTTCTCTCAAAATAAACAACCCCCACAAAATTACCTATGGTGGTGATTGTTTAATATTCTTCAAATTGTGAATATAAAGCAATTAATACATTTACTCCACCTAAAACATAAGGTAAAGTACCTAAAGTTGAAGCAAAAGTATGATACAATCCTAAATTAATCAATAAATTATTTATAATACCAGAAACCCAACTATTATAAGTTGCAAATTCAATCAATACACTGTTACCAATAAAATAATAAACTAAAATTTTAGCAATAGCAAAAATAAAAGGATCAAAAGAATAAATTCTAAATAAATATTCATCATCTTCAATTTCAATAACTCTTGAAGTAAAATTTATAAAATATGATATAATTGATGGTAAAATTATTGCAGAAATTATCCAAAATAATCCAGTAATTAAAGATTTATATTCAAATAATCCAGTTAATTCAACTGATGGGAAAGTTGATTCTGATAAATATGGTAAATTATCATGAAAAAATTGATGAATTAATTTATTTTTATTTAATGGAACAATTGTTGTAAAATTATATAAAAAAATTGAAAATTCTAAAATTAATTCTAAAAAATTTAATGTTACAGTTGAACTTAATTGATCTCTTAATTTTTCACTTGTTTCTAAATATGTTATACCAACAGAATCAGTAAATTCATAAAATTTATCAATTGCATCTTCACTTTTAGCAATAATTGGATCCAAAATATATTCTTTTAAATTTAATGGTGGTGGTGCTTGATAATCTTTATCTTCATCTTCATCTTCTTCAACTAATTCTTCTTCAATAATTAATTCTTCTTCTTCGTCATCATCATCATCTTCATCACTATCATCTTCTTCATCATCATCTTCATCTTCATCTGCTACTCCTTCAACAACTGTAATTTCTTCTTCATCAACTGGTCCAGAAACTAATCCAGCATCATTCAAATATTTTAAAACATTTGATTTTAAAGAAGGATTTGATGTAATATATTGATCTAATTTTTCAATTAATACTTTTTTATTATCTTTTGCAGTTGTACGAATTCCAACTTTCTTTAAAACATTACTTAAATCACTTTTTTTAAATTTATTAAAATCCGACATTTTTTTTTAACGATTGAAGGTTGAAATTGAAAATTTTCTCTTATATGAATAAACTCAATTGGTTTTAAATCTTATAAATGTAATTGATTAAATCTACTTTAAAAAAGAAAGTAAAAGAAAGAAATCTTTTTTTCTTTTTGTAATATTTTTAAAGATTTGTTTTGGTTTTAATTTCAAATTGTGAAATTTAGCAAAAAAAAAATATTTATAAAGAGAGAAGGGAAATGGATCTCAATTTATGTTATGACCCAATTTAATTTGATCTTATTACTGAAAAATCCGTTCTCCACTCCATAAAAATACATCAAAGTTTGCTATAAACATAGTTCAGTATATTATATTTAATGTAGAGAGATGTTGGAACTCAATTGGTTTTAGTTCATGAGTTATTGATGATATCTTATCACTGATAGCTGGTTAATAATTACATTTTTTTTTGCAACTATAAATTGCTATAATCAGTACTTTACTACCATTTTGATTTAATTTTTAACTCGAACTTTTTATATACGAATATGACATAAATTGTACAAATTGGTTGAGAATTAGAATTTGGTTCCCAACGTTTTTTTACATCTCTTCGACCCATCCTCACTAAAATACAAATAAGTTTGTTGTGGTTTCATCTTTAAATTATTATTTTCAATTTAAGTATGTTTATTATTTTTTTTTACAAAAAAGGAAAGTACTGTGGTTTAATGTTATTTTATTAACCAAATTTAGAAAACTCAATATAAAATACTTCAATTTATTTATTTCCCCAGTATTCATTGGGGTTGTTTCAAGTTTTCATCATAAGTCACGTAAATTTCATTGATTTTCTTAATTAAATGAAGTTTTAATCTATGATGATTGTAAATTAAATTGGTATATGAATATTATATTTTTGTAAACAAACAAATGCTACCAAATACTTATGTATGATTTTTTAATTTCTTGATCTCTCTCTTTATTTTACTAATAATAATAAATAATAATAAATAATAATATTATCTCATATATTAATTTTATTTTTACAACCAATTTTAATTTTATCATTCATTTACAATATCAAATACTACATACAAAGATATAATTTACATATTCATAATATTACCAATGATAATATAGCTATAATAATCAACTCAATAAATCTCTAAATTATAATGATAAATCGACTATTAAAAAAGTCAAATTTAAGATCATATCTACCCTCAAGATCATTTCATAATGTAAATAGAATACGACAGCAGCAATCACTCCAAAATTTTAATGAAGAACCAAGAATAAATCAAATTGGTATACAATATCTATCAAATCAACTACATAATAAATTATTCCCCACTACAAAAACAACTGATTATTTAAAACCTAAAAACCCTGAACTACTAGAGATTTCCAAAAAGCATCTAAAAGAGAATGAATTATTAGGTAAAAAGACTCAAATTACTGAACCAATAAATATCAATCATCTACCTGATCTAGTTGGTAAATCTTTAGATGAACATTTTTATAAATTAGGACAAAAATCATCAGAACCTTATTTCTCAATGGCAAAAAATTTCTTAGATGAGAAAAAGAAATTACCTGTACCACCTAAAAATTGGATATTTCAATCAGGATGGACTAGATATACAAATGATAAAGAACCAGAGCTAGTCTCATTTCCATTAGAAGATGAATTAGTATTTGATGTAGAAGTACTTTACAAAATTGAAAAATTTCCAGTAATGGCAACTTGTGCATCTGAAAAAGCATGGTATGGTTGGGTTTCTCCTGCATTAATTGATGTTAAACAAAAGAAAAAGAATAAAATTGATTACAACCACCTAATACCTATGAATTGTTCAAAACAACCAAAATTGATTATTGGATATAATGTAAGTTATGATCGTGCAAGAATACTAGAAGAGTACAACATTAAACCTTCTAAAGCATTCTATTTAGATGGTATGTCATTACATGTAGCAACTAGTGGAATATGTTCAAGACAAAGACCAATGTGGCAAAAATTTAATAAATCTAAAAAAGCAGCACCAGAAGAAGAAGTTATTGATGAAGATGCTATAATTGTTTCAAATCCAAATGATGTTTCAGTAGAAGAAGATCCCTGGTTACTAACAGGATCACCAAATTCATTAGCTAATGTTGCTAAATTTCATTGTAATATTGATTTAGATAAATCTGATAGAGAATATTTTGCATCTGAAGATCCAAAAGTTATAGTGGAGAATTTTCAAATGTTAATGAGTTATTGTGCAAAAGATGTTGATGCTACTTTCAAAGTCACTCAACATTTGTTTCCAGAATTTTTCCAAAAAGTACCACATCCTGTTTCATTTGCTGCATTAAAACATTTAGGTTCATTGATATTACCAACAACCAAAAAATGGGAAAAGTACATTGATTCTGCCGAATTATGTTATGATGAAAATAGATCAGATGTCACTGAAACCCTAGAGAAATTAGCTAATGATTTAATTGTACATATTGAAACAAAATCTAAACCACCAAAATATCAAAAGGATCCGTGGTTAAATCAATTAAACTGGAAATTAAAAGAAGGTAGATTAAGGAAAGACGGAACTCCTTATAAAAATAGTGCTTATTTGACTGGTTATCCTGAATGGTATAGAGAGTTATGGGGGTCTGTTGCACCAGCTGGTACTCAAATGACCTTAACTTTAAAAACTAGAATCACACCATTATTATTAAAATTAAAATGGGAAGGTTATCCTTTATTCTGGGTTAATTCCGAGGGTTGGTGTTTTAAAGTTCCATTTAATGAAGACACAATTGAAGATTTAACAAACAGAAACTACAAGAAAGCAAAATTAACGCCTGAAGAAATTGATTTACATCATGATCTTCTAACAGAAAAAGGAAAATCATATATACTTTTCAAAGTACCTCATCCAGATGGTCCAAATAGAAGATGTACTTTAGTATTATCAAAAAATTATATGCGATATTTTGAAGATGGTACATTAACGTCAGAATATGATTATGCTCAAAAGATTTTAAAATTAAATAGTGAAGCTTCATATTGGATGGGTAACAGAACTAGAATTATGGATCAGTTTGTTGTATACAATGATGAGAAAAAGAATAAATTTTTCGAAACCAAAAAGGAATCCCAAAATCATAAAAATGTTGGTTTAATTATTCCAAATTTAGCTTCAATGGGAACAATTACCAGAAGAGCAACTGAAAATACTTGGTTAACTGCATCAAATGCTAAGAAGAATAGAATTGGATCAGAATTAAAATCATTGATTGAAGCTCCTAAAGGATATTGTTTTGTTGGTGCAGATGTTGATTCTGAAGAATTATGGATAGCTTCATTAGTTGGTGATTCAATGTTTGAGATTCATGGAGGTTCAGCTTTAGGTTGGATGACATTAGAAGGTGAAAAATCTCAGAAAACAGATTTACATTCTAAAACTGCACAAATTTTACAAATATCAAGAAATGATGCAAAAATTTTCAATTATGGTAGAATTTATGGTGCTGGAGTTAAATTTGCAAGTAGATTATTAAAACAATGTAATCCAAGTATTAGTGAAGAAGAAGCTGATAAAATTGCAAGAAAATTATATGAGAAAACCAAAGGTAATGTTCAAGTTTCAAGAATATTGAAAAATTCACAAAAGTTTTACTACGGTGGTAGTGAATCAATAGTTTTCAACGCCTTAGAATCAATTGCTAAAGAACCGGAACCAAAAACTCCTGTGCTTGGAGCGTCAATAACAGATGCATTAAATGCCAAGAACTTAAATAAAAACACTTATATGACAAGTAGAATCAATTGGACAATTCAAAGTTCAGGAGTTGATTATTTACATTTATTAATTATATCAATGGAATATTTAATTGAAAAATATGGTATTGAAGCAAGATTAGCAATAACAGTACATGATGAGCTTAGATATTTAGTTAAGGAAAAAGATAAATATTTAGCATGTTTATTATTACAAATTAGTAATTTATGGACAAGAGCAATGTTTTGTGAACAACTAGGTATATTAGAAGTTCCACAATCTTGTGCATTTTTTTCAGAAGTTGATATTGATAAAGTTTTAAGAAAAGAAGTCAATTTGGATTGTATCACACCATCACATCCACAACCTATTCCACCTGGTGAATCATTAAATATTCAACAATTATTAGACAAGACAGAAAATGGCGAAATATTAAATTGTAAACCTAAACCATTAACTTTAAGAACAACAAAATATCAATCAAGAACTCCAATTATACACGATTTAAATAAAAGTTTAAGTACTAATGCTAAAATTGCCAAACTCAAATTACAAACATCTGCAGATAAAGATGAATGGAAAATTAATTTAAGAAATTTTTCAAAATTCTTAAATATAAATGAAGATGAAATCATGAAGGAGGTACATAAGAATGATAAGAAATATAAGTCTTCGAAGCTGAAAAAAATGATTGAAGAGTATGATTTAGAATCAAAACCAAAAGTTCAGTATAAGAAGAAACAAAAGAAGAGAGTCACCAAGAAATCAAAATCTGATGAAGAGAAAATAGTTTATGAAAAAGATTCAGATTATTCATTACCTCCATATGAAGAAAATATTGAACAAATTAAAGATTTTGAAATACTATCACCGCCTCAACCACCAGCAACACAACCACAATCTTCATCACATTCATCTTCATCAACTCAACCACCACCAACAACATCAGTATCACCAGAAGCATCATCAATAAATAAAAAATTTGTATTTGATGCAACTTCTAACTCATCATTATATCAAAATAAGTTGTCAATAAGTCATAGCCATAATCATCATCATAATCGTCATTATCATACGTCACTTCAAAAAAGTTTGAACAAGAATTTTTTACAAAATCAACAACCTCAAACATTTAGATTCTCAATAGTCAAACCTGAATTAGATAAATTAATGGTTTATTCTAATTCAAAATCTCCATCGTTAACAACTACAACTACATCAACTACATTATATGAATATTTGAATATTGATCGACGACGACGACGACGACGGCACTACTTTTAATATTAATGAATTTTGATGAATTGGGAAGGATTATAAAATTAGTTTTTTAATGATTAATATTTTTGTTTCATGTTGTTTATTTAATTACTTTAATGACTTATGAATGATAGATAATTATAGAATTTTAATACTTTTTTTTTGATTTTTTTGGATATTTATATTTGGATTTTTTACATTCTTTGAATTTGCATTATAACCAGATAACACTGTCACCATTATTGCTAATTGATCAACATTTTGTTCACTGATTCAATCAGATCAGAAAGACTTTCATTTACATAAATTTGTGTTAATACAACTACAAATTAAGTCTCAGAATGTTCAACAATTAATTGATTACTATTGCTTTGCTAATGCTAGTAAAAAAATTAAAGGTTACTTAATGTAACTCTTTAAATATTAGACAAATGTGTTTTATATATAATATATAAGTATGTACGAATTTTAATGTAAGAATATCTAAATTTATTTACAAAACTTTTTCAAATCTTGATCTTTATTAAAAATTTTAAATCTCACACGAGCTAAGTTTCAGGTACTTGTAATCCATTATGAAGTACATCACATTAATCTTTTAATAGTGATATCATATCTGAAAAAAAAAATTGATGAGTAAAATTAAACCGAAATGAAAAAAAAGTTAATCCGGTGATAAATCAAACTAAATCAAGTGGTACAAACGGAAAAAATATATACCCATCGGTTATAAAAAAAAATTGCAAAATTTTTCAAATTTTTAAATCTTTGAATAATTTTGTAAATACTGAAATTAATTTGCCTTAATTAGGATGTAAAACCAATTTCGTAACTTTTGGAAAGGTATACAAATCAATCAACAATTGAATTTGACGTGTAAAGGATTTTTCAGTTTAAAAAGTGTTGAAGTAAGACGTTTGAAAATTTGCCAATTAGCTTGTCTGTTTCTTTTTCTTGACGGATAGAACTTTTGACATACAAATATTGCAGTACAGCTTATTCTCCTAGTTTAACTATTTTTTAGTGGGAGTTTATTCCGTCAAACGTCAAACGGCTAAACGTACTATCTTATTACCACCAAACAAAATAAAAACAAAAAATTTTTCAAAAAAAATAAATCGTACCGAATGAACCACAAAACTTTTTCGCACTATTTCTTCAAACCAAATTTTTATATTTTAGACCGTCTTAGCCGTTGCTAATGGTTTTTTTTTTTTTTTCATGTTGTTTAAAGTTTTGTTTCAGTGTTTACGATTTGAATTGGAATGGGTAATCGGGTTTAAAATTTTGATCAAGTACATGAAGTAGATTAGTTATTGAAGATAGGTCAACGTATGGTAATTACGGCTAATTGATATCTATTATCTCGTCAATAACTAATAGCATTAGTCCAATCTAGATGAAAAATTTTAAAATTAAGCCCTTTATTAAATTATTGTTTTGTATGTAGATTATCTTTTTTTTATTTTAGTGCTTTATTTCAAATAAATTTAATTGGTCAAATTTCGGAGATTATTAAAGTTATATAGAAACAAAAGTTTATTTGACACCCAAAGCACTATATTACATTAGAAGTTATTAACAGTAACGATACAGCGAAAATCTTGAGAGAAAGGCCCGTAATATAGAATAGAATGTTGAACTGAAAACAAGTAATTAATAAGTTAATCAATACTGCTAAATCATGTTAAATAAAGTAAGTAACATAAATTAAGCGGCTTCTACAGATGATATGAACTTGATATATAATAAATTTGTAGTAAAACATCTCAACGATGTTTAACAGATTTTGTGTATTCAAAGCTTAGTTGATCAATGTTTAAATTGAGGTAATTTATCAACAAATAAAAAATTATTTGAAAAAAAAAATTAAAAAGAATTATATACAGTACTACTAAAAAATCACTCAATATACAAAATTTATTAACTATTACTACTATCTTAAAATAATAGTATTATTATTATTCATTATTCATTATTATTATTAATATTGCCAAATTTCTTATAAATTTTTATCAACAATTATTTTATAAATTTTTTATTTTACTTCTTTTTCTTTTTCTTCTCCTCTTTCTTTTATTCTTTCAATCTTAAAGACAATCCAATTCACTAGTATTTAACAATGTTTCCAGCTGGTGTTATTTTAGTTTTTTGTTTAATTTTTGTTGCAGCTTGTTTAATTCTTGGTCTTTTAATTCATAAAAAGATTAAATCAAAAAAATCTAATCAAAGATTTTAAAGTGAATTGAATTATTAGCTCCAATTAAAGATGACTAATTGATTTTTTATCAATTATCAACAAGTTAAACAGGTTGTCTACAACAACTACTACTTTTTTTATATCAAATTTATTTAATACTTAATTATTAATATGTGTTTTTTTCACCAATTTTTAATATTGATATCCAATTATTAATCTTTTTTTATTTTATCAAAATCCTATAATACTACAATTTTTTACTACATTTTCATCAATTGTGTGTGTCAACCATGTTTTTATATTCATCAAGAGAAAGAGTTTTTTTATTTTTCATCAATTTTCTAAAATTTTATAAATATTATTATCAACAATCAAGAAGAAAATTAATCTTTCATTTTTAACGTTTATAAATATATTATCATGAATTAATGATTGGGGAATCATTTATTTATCATTAAATATATTTTTTTTTATCAACTACAAAAGAAGCTACTTTGGGGAAAGTTAGTTTTTTTATCATCAATAAATTAAGTTATATCAGTCCTTTTTTTTTTTATCGAAAAAGTCAAAATTTATCAACATCAACTTTTTTTAATTATTCAATCACGTTCATTTAATTTTTTTAATTACCAAATTATTTAATATTAATATTTTACAATTTAAATCAAGAAGTTTAATTTATAATTATTTTTTTTATCCTTACAGAATTAGATTTTTATTCAGTTTTTTTATTCACATTTATCAAAGTTTTTAATTAAAGAATTGGGGAATTCTTTTATTTAAGCTTAATACTTGGGATTCTTAGCTGTTTACTAAACTAGTTTTTATTTACATTATATTATATATTATACTTAATTACAAAAATTTACAAAAAGCCTAAAAAACAACCAGCTAATATGCTACTTGTAGATATGAACCAACTCTGAATTATCATATATCGTTCATTTATTTAATTTAGTTCTATTTGTTATTAATTTTTAATCTTTGTTTTTGTTTTTTAGGTTTGCTAATACATTAATTAATTAGTATGTACATATTCTTAAATATGCAAAATAGGTTCAAAACCAGCTGGATTCTACGTTAATTTCTAGAAATGATGAAAATGCGAAGATCGTCAAAAAAAAAAAGGATTAGAGATGAGATAAATAAAGCGAAAGAATTTGAGATTTGATACGACGAGATTTGAGATTTTATTGATTTAGGGAGATCTTTTAAGTCATATTTTAATTGGAGTTTGTCTCGTATATAAAGCTTCTAAATTTGTGATTGAAATAGTTCTGAACCGTGAAATTAATTTGTGAAAAGTTCACGTTACATTTCAATTTTTGAATCAGAATTTGTATATATTGTACTTTTAACTACCAAATCTTAGCTAGTTCTGTAGGTTAATTAAATACGTAAAAAGCTTAATTGTGTTTCATTATTACTCCTTTTTGAAATTTTCTTCGCTTAGATCATCTATTTCTAAACTTCTACAATATGGTTATACCAAGTCTAAGTATAAGTCTTACTTAAAGAAAAACTAGAATTTTACCGTTATGTAGTAAAATTTCACTTGTACCATATGGAGAGAAAAATTGAACTACAACGCAGGACATCGACTACCGAAGTCGCCTCACGAAGTTTCAGAAATATTCAACATCTGTTGCAAAAATAAAAATTATATTCCCCTCTTTTGTAAAAATCTTATTAAGATTAAAAATCTAAGTCATAACGTCATAGATTTTTTCAGAACGTTTTCTCCATTTCGGAGTATAGAGTATTGAGATATAATAAATTATTATTTTTTACTTCATCAGTAATTAATCTGAGCCGAAGAACGGATTAGAGGATTAGAAGTCAATTCTCATTAGAGATGTATATTCAAACTCGATTTTTGTCATATGTGAAGGAGATCACTAACTTTTGTTAAAGCTTGTAATTAGTGGAGCGACTTGGTCTATAACGAAAGTAGAGCATTGTCATATATACTTTGCACCTCTTGCTTTCTTGATTGTCTCATTTTTTATATCATTAGACATTTCATGGACATCACAAGCTCAATTATACTCCTAATAAGTCGAATTAAAATTTTCATAAATTCATGCTTTCTCAAAAAATGATTTAATACAAATTTTAGTCCAAATTTTTCAATATTTTTCATTAGTACTTTATCTTGCATATTAACTACTATTAATTTTAGGTCTTCATATATGATCTAACACGCAACATTCCTTTCGTCCATGGGTCCAAAATTAGTCCTCAAAACATATAGATCAAGTAAGTTCAATTGATAATACAATTTACAAATTTGGTCGGTACAGTAGTATCTTTCGAATAAATTCTCGAACTGAACAAAACCCCGTACTCTATATTTAATGCAGATCAACTTAAAAGTTGTATATGCCATAGTTTACACAATAAAAAAAAAGAAATTTTATTTTCAAAAATTTTTCAAATGTGCAGCAAATAGAAACAGAATAACAGAATTAACAACATCTCATAGCTATTACAACTCTAACCAATTGACACATTATAGAGAATCAAACTTGAAGGAATTTTCAGAATATAGTATTACGAGAAATTGGAAAAATTTAAATGTTACAGAGAACTAGAAGCCAAGACACAATTACTACATTAATAAATAAAGATTATTATTTTCAAAATCCCATTCCTATTAGATCAAATGAAAGTAATTCTACTCAATTATTAACTTCTGCGATTACACATATAAACCAAGAATACCAAGAGGACGAAGATGATATTGAAGATGAAGAACAAGATGAAGATACATCATCAGATTTTAATTCATTATATTCACAAGATACTTTAATAACCCCACAAATTTCAATATTCAATAATAGATCGTTATCAGATTTTAGATATTATAAAGAAATACCAATAACATCACCAACTAAATTACAATCAAACATAAACTTATATAAATCACAATCATCAATATTTGATAATTCATACCCCATTTTAACTAAATCATCAAAAATTTTCAATATACTTAAAATCTCATCATTTATGGAAATTGAAAACTTCAATACTCAAACAAATAAAAAACAAATATTTTGTAAAATCGAATTTAAAATTTATTCAAATCATTTAACTTATTACATTTTAAAATTCCCAACATTAAATCAAACAATATATCTATTAAATAACAACTCAAATACACCAAGCGTAGATTTCAAAATTCAGCAAGGACATTTCAGAATAACGGGTATAACTGGTACCTCATCAGCTACAAGATCATCCAATCAAAACATATCTATACATTTAATGGATCCATCAAATACTGAAAATCTTTTAACGCACAACCTAAATACAGACTCACGTGGAAAATTACAAATAAACAACAAACTATCAAATTTAATTCAATGTCAAAAACGTAAAGAAATAAATGAAATAATGAAGAGCTCAAAAAAATTATTAAATTTCCCCATTGCTCAATATATAGATTCTAATGACATAAAACTAAGACCAATAGAATCATCTGAAGACTCAAAACATACTCAAAGTTGTATACAACATGGATATTTGAAAATGTATGATCATTTATCTAATGAGGATTTTGTTAGTGATGAGATGTTGATGATTTGTTGTATATTATTGGTTTTAAGGGAACAAGAACTTAAGAAATATAAAGGTGATAAGAATCCCGTAATGATATAGAGTACATTAGTAATTAATGTACATTTTTAAAACTCTACCGTTGGGGCCTGATTTGTAGTTCCTTGTTTCTCACAACAAATCAAAGATCATGAATCTTTCAATTTTTTAAAGTGTAAAAACCCCACTTCATAAAGTCTAGCAAAATAAAGTGGAACTTGAGAATTATGCTAATAAATCAGATATTCCCCTACCTCATCTTTGATTGTTCTCACCAACAATAGAATAATGGTTTTAAATGCTCATTATACATAATTTGAGTAAAGTTTGCATATAGTATTTTTATTTGAAAAATCAAAATTTTGACAATTTGCAATTGTTAAAATTAATAATTTATTATTTTAGATTCGAGACAAGTTTTGTGTAAATTATTGAAACAATTTTTTAAACAATAGAATTAGAATAATATATAAACGAAAGAATGTCTATTAGTCTACGAAGATTTTTCAGCTAAATCAATGATTTCTATTGTTTTGAGTTCTCTCATCCAGTTCAAGAATTTGATTGGTTTGCAACGCAAAGTTCTTCTTTGTTGCCAGATAAAACTCTTACTTTAAGAAAGAAGTCCATATTTCCAATACTCCAAACTATTAATTTGGACAAATGGAAGACTTTCAAATTTCCGATTATTAATAACAGATTTAGGGTGATGACAGAGTTAAGTCGATTAAATGAATTTTGAATTCACGTTATATTTTGTAAATTTACTCTGTGCTTTTCGGAATACTCAAATTTTTAAGTTATGAGCTATTTCGATGGGTACGGTTCGACAGTTTGATTTTGTTCCACACTAATAGAGAGTAAATTAAAAGAAGGCATTAATTTCAGAGTTTCATTTTGTTGCTTTTATAACTACTTTTGGATCTGAATGGTCAAACTGTTTGCATCAATAAACTTCACAACATAAAGTACATAAGTACATAAGACTATGCATTTAAATTACCAAGGCCATGATGAAGTGTCACTTTCAATGACCTATACTACGAGTTTAGATAACGATTATTCTGCAGATTTAGGCTAACTAACTTTTGTTGGAATATAACCCCACTTTAGAATCACATGAAAATTTATTTGAAGTCGAGTAATTCAAATATGAAATATAATATTTTATTATTTTTGTAGTTTTACTATTAAATATGGATTTTGTGTAACAGATTAAAACTATTCTTAGAACAATAGAAAATTTATTATATAAGATTGTAAGGTTCCAAATTTTCTAAACACTTTTGAAATTAGAAAGTACCTCTGTTGTTTTTTCACTGATTTTTATTTGGAATGATTGATTTTGGAAATATCAGTATATTTTTCGAAATGAAAGTCGTAATATTCAGATGTGTTTTGTTAGTTTTTAATAAAAGAAAGACCATAAACGGAAAGTAATAATTATTTTTATTTCATGAACAAACCAAAATAACATTGAACTTTATGATTGTTTTACCTAATTGAACAAAATTTTTGTTTTGATTGGTTTATTGAACACTTTCATCATATTTTTTCATAAAAGATTTGTTAAAAGAATCATACTCGAATACTTATATACATTCTCTGTTCAATTCATCTCTGTACCTTTCGGAATACTCAAAATTTTAAGTTATGACTTATCTCGATTGGTACGGTTTCACTGTTCGTTTTTCGTTCCACAGCAATAGAGAGTAGACTAAAAAATATGTTCGGTTTATAGTTTCAGTTTGTTGCTTTTACAACAATTTTGGCTCCGAATGGTCATATTGTTTACACCGATCAACAACAAACTGTCCAATTTTATTCAGTTCAATGTCAAAAACGTAAAGAAATAAACGAAATAATGAAATTTTCCAAAAAATTATTAATTATCCCCATTGCTCATTATATGGATTCTAATGATAGAAAATTAAGACCAACTGAATCATCTGAAGATTCAAAACATACTCAAAGTTGTATACAACATGACATGGATGTTTGAAAATGCATGATTGTTTATCTACTGAAGATTTTGTTAGCATGAGATGATGATGATTTGTTGTATATTGTTGGTTTTAAGGGAACTAGAAAATATAAAGGTGACAAGAATCCCGTAATGATATAGAGTACGGAAGTAATTTATACACACGATATCTAGCGCTGGAAGCCTTAGTTGTAGCTTTTCGTTTCTCACAACCAATCGATGATTGTGGATATTTCATCTCTTTTAAAGAGTAAAAATTATACCTCATAAAGTCTGGCAAAATAAAGTGGAACTTAAAAATTTATGCTAATAAAACCATTCACTTATTCCCATATCTCGTCTTTAATTGATATCGCCAACCATAATAGTACTAATTTCAAATACTCATTATCAATTTGTCGAATAAATTTTGCATTTAACGTTTATATTTGATTATTCAAATAAAATTAGCAGTCATTAAATTAATAATTTATTAATTTAGATTCGAGACAAGTTTTGTGTAATTTATTGAAACATTTTTTTCAACAATAGAATTAAAAAGAATATATATACGCTAAAAATTGTCTATTAGTTTATGAAAATTTTTCAAGTAAAGCATTATGTTTTTTTGTGTTAAAATCATTTAATGTGTAGTTGTTGGTCAGTTCATTAGATCGTTTTTGGCATCCACGTCGTAGTTTAGCTTTAAGAAGACATCTGTATTCTTAAAACTCCAAACTGTTGTTTTGAACAAATGGAAGACTCTTACGTTTTTGATTGATCAAAATTTTTCTAAGGGGTTCTATTTGTTTTTATGAATTTTAAATTAACTTTTTATTTTTTGTAAATTTACTCTGTGCTTTTCGGAATACTCAAATTTTTAAGTTATGAGCTATTTCGATGGGTACGGTTCGTCCTCTGATTATACTGAAAGTAAGGCTAAGAGAATGAAACTGAGTTGTTGCGTTCATCTTCTTCTATTAAAACCGGAATGCTTTTTACGATCAACTCTAAGTTGTACTGTCTTAGCAACTGTCCAAAATCTGAATACTTATGATAGTAAAATAGTATGCTTTAGTAATCCATTTGACAATTATTATGACAAAATTCGAACTTTATCGTTTTGAAAACATTACTACATTTTGTTGGCAAATTTCCCCACTTCTATTCACATGTGAATTGATTGTCGAATAAATTAAAACATATATTATTTAATTTTTTACAGCTGATTTTAAGTTTTGTGTAGCAAATTGAAACAATTTTTTGAACAATAGATCTATTTCAATTGAATCAATAGAGTCTCATCTTATTGTTAATATTCAATGGCTACAAAAATTTAGTCCAAAGTCAATCGGAGGTGATTGTCTTCCACCTAGAGGACCTGCATACTATATCTTATATAGTTTAAGTAATTTTAATGTATGTTGATTTAAGAAAAAAAAAAATAGAAAAATTAATATATAAGAAACTAGAGGTAACCTTTGTTGTTTTGCCTCACTGATTTTTTTTGCTAAATATTCCAATTAAATTTTCTAGTCTTATCGAATTTATTGCTGTTTTTGATGTGAAAGAAATAGTTTATGGATCAATCTTGACAGGGATCTAATTTGAGAAAGACCATCAACGTAAAGTGTTTACTACTTTATTTTATGAATAAATCAAAAGAACATTGAATTTTATGATTGTTTTAAATGATTGAAATAAAGTTTACTTTTGATTGATATTTCGAACAATTTTCAGCGTTTCCATTCATAAGAATTTTGTTGAAACAGTCATACTCAAATACTTTTATACATTCTCTGTTCAATTCATCTCTGTACTTTTCGGAATACTCAAACTTATAAGTTATGAATTATCTCGATGGGTACGGTTTCACTGTTCGTTTTTCGCTCCACACCAATAGGGAGTAGACTAAAAAATTTCTTCAGTTTCATTTTCTACTTTTATAATAATTTTGGCTCCGAATGGTCAAACTGTTTGCATCAATCAACAACAAACTTTCCAACTTAGTTCAATGTCAAAAAAGTAAAGAAATAAACGAAATAATGAAAGATTCCAAAAAATTAATAAATTTCCCCATTGCTCAATACATACTAGATTGTAATGATATAAAATTAAGACCCAAGAATTATCTGAAGACTCTGCACATAATCAAAGTTGCATACAACGTGGAAACTTGGAAATACATGATTACTTTGGTAAAAATTCAGTTAGTGATGAGATGTTGATGATTTGTTGTATATTATTGGTTTTGAGGGAACAAGAGATTAAGAAATATAAGGAGATAAAAATCCCGTCATGGTATAGAGTAGAAAAGTAATCAATATACATTTTTAGGGATCTACCGTTGGAATCTTAACTTGTAATTTTTAGTTTCTCACAAAAAATCGAAGAATGTGAATAAAATCAATTTTTTAAGGTGTAAATCATTTACTTCATGAATCTGGCAAAATGAAGTGGACTTACGAAATCATGCTAATAAAACCATTCAAATATTCCCAAATCTCGTACTTGATTGTAATCGCCAACAATAAAAGTAGTGACTTTATATGATCTCTATGAACAATTTCAATAAAGTTTCGCATATATGCTTTTATCTAAAAAACCAAAATTTACAAAGTTAGCAGCTATCAAAGTAATAATTTATTATTTTAGATTCGAGTTTTGTGTAAGTTATTGAAACATTTTTTTAAACAATAGAATAAAGAAGAATATATAAAGGCGCTGAAAGTTGTCCATTAGTTTATAAAAAGTATTCAACTAAAACATCGAATTCCTTTAATATTAATCAGTGTAAAATCTAAAGTGTCATAGAAAGGTCTTATTTGGGTTTTGATTAAATTTACTCGCACTCCTTGTGTCTAAAAGAATTCCATTTTTATTGATACTGACAAATGGAAGACTCTCACGATATTAATTATTTAAAAATTTTCTCAAAGTGTTTACAAAATTGTATTGCTTTTATAAATTTTAAATTCGCTTTGATACTTTTTAAATTTACTCTGTACTTTTCGGAATACTCAAACTTTTAAGTTATGAACTATTTCGATGGGTACGGTTCGACAGTTTGTTATTCGTTCCACACTAATAGAGAGTAGAT